CCCCCCCTCCTCTCCTTATGCGTGCGGGCAGAGATCTACGAGCGCTTCCTCTTCTCTTCCGGCGCATCAGGCCCACTCGCAGCAACAGCAACAGCAGCAGCTCCTTGCACCTCACCATCTTCCTCCTCTCCCTATCCTCGTCTCTGCTCCTCTCTTCTCGTGCCCTCCAACGCCTACTACCCTCCTCCCCGCAACGGTCTTCGAGCCTGGCACGCGCCCTTCTTGCCCAAGCCACCGCGCGCTCCTTCCTACGTCGTTCAAGCGCCTCAGAAGCGCTTCCTCGCGCCGCTCGGCCCGCTCTCGCCGCAAGAAGCGGCGCGCTGGCGCAAGCGCCTGCTGCGCCACAGACGCCAACAACTGCAGGTGCGCATGCAGGAGAATGCGCAGCGCTGGGAGGAGCGATGCAGGAGGGTGCAGGAGAAGGAAGAGCGCGCGCGCCTGGCGCGCAGGGAGAGGGAACGGAGAGCGCAGGCGGGAGAGGAAGAGGGTGGAGAGGAGGAACAGATGGCCGCAAGTGCAGCGCCGGCGACGACGACGCAAGAGGAGGGCGCATCGGGCAGGTCGGCACGCCAAGGCTCCGCCACGGAGGGCGCATCGGGCAGGTCGGCACGCCAAGGCTCCGCCACGCCGCCTGCCGCCGCGCTCGTCAAGCGTCCGCGAGCGCGGCGCGCCGCACGCATCCAGGACGCTGCCTCGGCGTCGGCGCCCGCTGCTGCGCCTGCTGCTGCTGCTGTTGCTGCGTCTACAGTCGGCCGTGCCGCACAAGCGCCCGAGGCACCGCCGCCAGTGGCCGTGGCCTTCGTGACGAAGCGGCCCGTCGGACGTCCGCGCAAGGATGCGCCGCCGTACATGCCGCCGCCGGCGCCGCCGAAACGGCCACGAGGCCGCCCTCGCAAAGACGCCGCAGCGCCCAGCGGCGAGGCGCCTTCGGCGCTGCCCGCCAACCGGCCGCGAGCTAGAGCAGCGCGCAAGAGCGTCGCGGCAGCGCCATCGCAGCCGCTCTCCGAGCCGCCTGCTGCTGCGCCACGTACGCAGCGAGCCTCGACTCGGGCGCGCACAGAAGCGGCGATCGCAGCCGTCACCATGCCAGCCTCGCCTGCAGCTCAGCCCGCACTACCCGCAGCAGCGGCCGCAAAGCGTCCACGCGGCCGGCCGCGCAAGGACGCCGCGGCTCTGGCGGCCGCCTCGCCTGCGCCTCCGCCGCCGCTTTCGCCGGCCAGACGAACACCTGGCACGGCGCGCCAGGGCGCCGTGCTCGTCGTGTCGCCGCCGCCCGTGCCGCGCCCTCGTGGTCGGCCGCGCCAGAGTGGGCCCGCTGAAGCAGAGGACGAGGGCGCTTCGAGTTCCAAGCGTCGTCGCGTGGCATGAAAAGAGTTTGCCCGTGCAATCGATACCCCCTTTGAACATGCTGCTCTTCTATTGCTTTTCCCTCGCCTCGCCGTCGCCCTTCTGCTCCTGCGCCTTGATCTCCGACTCCAGCGCCTGGCCAATCGTCTTTGCCACGTCGCCGTCTTCCGCCTCGGCCGTCTCGTTGGCCACTTTCGCCGCGAGGATCTTGGCGCCGACATTGCGGATGTTCTGCTCGGCGCGCTGTGCAAAGGGCGTGAGAGCGTGAGTGAGAATGAAGGCGAGTGAGGGGGCAAGAGGGGGGGGGGGGCGCACCCCGATGCCTCCTGCGAGAGAACGCTTGTAGGCGACCATGGCCTCCTCGAGCTGCTCGCCTGGATGAAGCGCGCTAGCGTCAGATGTCAGGCCGCGCCAGTGCACCGCTGCTACGCACAAGCCTCCAGCACGGCGGCCAGGTTGTAAGCGATCTCCGGGTCTTTCGGAGCGAGAGCCTGCGCCTTCCTATCGAACAGCGAGCGCGGGTCAGTTCCTATGCACGCTTCATGCCACCCTCGCCACCACTCACTTGAGGTGCTCAACGGCCAGATCCGGTCGCGCCGGCTTGCTCAGCACGTAGGCACTGGCAATGTTGGTGTGCGCATCGGGCGAGTCGGGCGCCAGCGCCAGCGCCGCCTCCCATGCGCCAATGGCTGCGGACAGGTCGCGGCCGTGGTAGTGCACGACGCCGAGGTTGAAGTGCGCCGAGGAGGAAGGGTGGATGGCGAGGGAGCGCGCGTAGGCTGCCTGTGTGTGTGCGGACAGAGTCGAGGCGAAGTGTCAGCTGCAGCAGAAGTGGACGCTGCTGCTGGCGCTCAAGGGCGGCTCTGCTACACGCGCGGCAGGCACCAGCAGACGCACCTTTGCCTCGTCCATGTCGCCGCGCTCCAGCGCCTCCGTGCCCTGCTCGAGGGCCTTCTGGCTCTCGAGCTCTGCCGGGTCGGCGAGCGAGCTGGTGGGCGTTGTGCTGCTGGCCGCGCGCCGCTGCTGCTGCTGTGCGAAGGCCGGCAATTGCGGCGCACGCAGCGCACGCGGCGCCGGCGATGCGCGCACTGCGCTGGCGAAGCGCGGTGCGGCGCGCGGCAGGAGACGCAGCGAGTGACGCAGCATGGTGGAGGTGATGGTGCGGAGACGTGCGAAGGACCGCGCGAGCGGCTCGGTGGAGGCATGGGGTCCAGCGGCCGAGCGTCACGTGCGAGCTCAGGGAGGGCTCATCACGTGCGTCCCGGGCAAGCACTGTACGCGTCGCGTCGTGCCACTCTACGCGTCGCCGCGACACGCGTTCGCTTGCTCGCATGCGGCGGCCGGGCCGACACAGGCGCTGTGCCTGCGAGCACACGGTTTGATTGTGCGTCGATCTGGCCCGCGGCCGCCGAGCGCTGCAGCCGCGCATGCAGCAAAGCCATCGTGCCTGCGCTGCTGCACCTGGCCTCCAGCGCTGCGCAGACTCCTGCTGGGCCCCTCGGGTCGGAGCTCGCTCGCGCGCAAGCCCCTCGCGGCCTGCACTGCACGCCGCGACGGCTGGCAGGTCCTGTGTGTATGCGGCGCGTGGGCGGCGAGCGGAGAGCGGGCAAGCGAGTGGCCCCGGGCGTATGGGCGGCGTGCGAAGAGGGCATGCGGCGGAGGAGGGGAGGAGGAGGAGCTCGAGGCGAGGCGAGGCGAGATGCAAGCCAACGGCCCGGCCTCGGCGCGGCGGCGCGGCGACGCCTAATTTCGCGCCGTGCCTGCGCCCGCCTTGCTCTCTCACCCCTGCGCCTCGGATCACAGCCATCCGCGTCACCGTCACCCGCGTCCGCGGCTCATCCTCCGTTCCTCCATCACGCTCCCATCCCACGTTGCCGCCGTCACCCCCGCACCACCCTGACCCGCGCACCGCCGCCGCGCGCACCACATCCTCTGCGCCACCGCACCACCCACAGCCCGCACCACGCTCGCTGGCCCCCACGCATGGCCTCGCACCCCGCGCCGCACGCCGCCATGCCCGGCAGCGCGCCGCCGCCGCCGCTGCGCAGCGCAAAGCCGCGCTTCGAGATTGAGCAGGTGAGTGCGCGGCCCGCGCGGAGAGGTGCAGTGGATGGCGCTGCCTCAGCCAGGCAAGGCCTGCTGCGTGCGCTCGCTCGTCGTCGGCGGCACTGGGCGCTGCAGGCTGCGGGCGCCGCTGTCGTCGGTAGCGCGCGCACACGCTGCCCGGCAAGCAGTGGCACCACCTGTGCGCTGCAGTCTCTAGCAAGGCTGCGGCGAGGATTGATGCCGTCGGATGCAGAACGCAAGGCCAGGCTACACCACCTGCGATGCACTGCTCGCCGTCGTTGGGCGGTGCGGGCGCCAGGTGCGCTGTCAGCGAGGGCGGCCCATCAAGGCGCCAAATGACGTGCGCCCGGCTCTGGGCGCCTGGCAGGCTTCTGCTGGCGCAGCAGGTGGCCATTTGGGCGTCGTTGCCAGCGCGCGACGTGCTGCCTCGGATCCGCACAAGGAGGTGACGCCGGTGCGGCGCCGCTCCACTTGGCCGGCGCCACCGCCGCGCGCCGATCCCTTGTTCCCGATTCTGGGGACGCGACGCGCGCCTCCCTCGACGCGCGCCTCTTTGTTGTTCTCGCCTCGCTCTCACGCTAACCCTTCCCTTGTCCTCGTCCAGGCCGCCCATGCCCTGCGCGCTCGCCTCACGCTGGCCCGCGCCCAGGCCACGCACGGCTGGTCGCCGCACGAGCCCGACACGGCGCTGCCCTCGTCGCAGCACTCGGCCACCTCCAGCTCGTCGGCCGACTCTGTCGACACCGTCCTCACCGCCGTCAGCTCGGGCGTCATGGACGACGGCCTTGGCCTCGGCCTCAAGGTCAGCGACGCGGCGCTGCCGCGTGCGCTCCACTCGAGTGCGCCGTCGCCTGCGCGGCCCGCCCTCGTCGAGCCGGCGCATCCGGGCCTCGGCCGGCTCAACAGCTCGTCGCCGTCGCCGTCGAATGCTGCCTTCAGCACGCCGTCGCGCTCGTCGGGCCAGGAGCCGAACCTCTACGCTCTCGTCTTTGGCGAGTGCGGCCTGCCGACGCCGCCGGAGAGCGCCCGTCGCAGCAAGCAGGGCGGCGAGCGCCAGCAAGCAGACCCCACCACGCCGACACGCCCCGCGCGCGTCGCCTCGTCGATGACGCTCTACACGCTGGCCTCGTCGCCGCAGCTCGGCTCCAGTGCTCGGCTCGGCGGATCTGGCAGGCTCGGGCCGCACTGGGACCCGCACAACGACCCAGCACCGCCGCACGGCCGCACGCGCACGCCCAGCGTGCCGCACAGCCCGGCGCACGGCCGCCAGCGCACCATCACCGGCGGCACGCTGGCCAACGGCCACGCTGCCACTCCGCTTGCGCACGGTCTAGGCCTCGCTCGCGGCGCGCCTGGCGCTCGGCCCGTGGTGCCTCCGTCGCTGGTGGCACATGCGAGGTCTGCGTCGAGCACGCCTCAGATGCGTCGCGCCTCGCTGGTGGATACTGCCGAGCAGCGCGAGACGGACCGCCAGGCTGCCAGGCTCCTGGCTGCTGCGCACTCGCACAAGTCGCCTGCGCTACACACGCCGCCCCGTGCCGCAAACGGCGGTGGTGCGACGACCCGTGCCAACGGCACCTTTGCCGATCCCAACAGCATCACCCCACGCCGCGCACGCAACTCCAATGCCGGCCTGCCAGACTCTGCGACCCAGATGCGCGCGCGTGTCGCGACGACGGAGGACTTCGTCTCGCGCCTCACCTACGACGAGAGTGAAGCGGCGCAGGTCTTGTCCTCTCTGCACTCGTCGCCCAGTCCGCAGCTGGCCAGCCACTCGCGCTTCGCCGGTGCCACGCCGAGCCTCTCGAGCGGCGACTCGCGGCGCGGCAGTCTGGCGGCGCCCCGCCCCAGCACTGCACGCACGCTGTTCGAGGACGAGCTCGGCAAGGCGCCGGCCAGCGGCCTTGCGATGCACGGTCTTGGTCTGGCGCCTCCTGCTGACGTCGACGAGAAGCACGGCTCGCCGCTGCGCCGCGGCACCCTCTTCCCGCCGAGTCTGGAGGGCGAGGCGGCCAAGCTGCGTCTAGTGGACGGCCGCTCGCCGCCCATCACGCCGCCGCGCTCCAATCTGCTGCCTTCGCGTGCGCGTCTGGGCAGTTCGGCGAGCTCGCGCGATGCGCCTTCGCTGGATCGCACACTCTCGAGCGACTCTGGCGCCTCCTCTGCGCCCTCGTCGCCCTCGCTGGCCGTGCGTCGGACGCGGGAGCCGACGACACCTCCGCGGCAGATTGCCTCTTCGCCGCCGACGACGCCTCGTGCGCCAGGTCCAAAGGCAGTCGGCTCGTCCAACGCGGCGGAGAATGCGTGGCTGCGTGCCTTTACCAACGTCTCGCCCTCGCCGCAGCCAAAGATGGGCGAGTTCAGTCCGTACCAGCCCCACACGCCGGCGTTCGGCGAGCAGGCGCACAAGCGCGCCGTCGACAGCGACGACGACGAGGACAGCGCCGACGCCTGGCCCGGCCAGCTGCGGCCCGTCGCCACGCCCGAGCAGCTGCGCACGCCGACGCGCCGCTCCAGCGCCCGCTTTGCCGGCCTGCCGCCGACGCCCGACCTGCGCGAGCTCACCGCCAGCCCCATGACGCCGCACGGCCGTCTTTCGCGGCCGGCGCCGCACCACGACGACGGCGAGGTGCCTGCGCGCAAGCGCCAGCGCACCTTCAGCCGCAACAAGGCGCTCTGAACATGCCTCTGCCCATCGTTCTCTTCCTTCCGCCTCCATACCCGACGCTTCCTCCTTACCCTCCTGGTCCTCAAGCCGCGCCTGCAAGTGCAGGTCGACCGGCTCTCGTCACCGCTGCTCCTTCTCGACCCTCTTTCGCCCGTCTCTGGGCCTAACGAGATTTCCTGCGCCTCCTCGACTCCCAGCCTCTCCTGCCTCTGGTGGCGCCTCCTCGCAGCCGTGCTGTGCGGGCCCACCCAGCCGTGCCTCTCTCGCCTCCCTCTATATATCCATCACCTCGTCACCTCGGCTCCGCTTCTGCCTCGCCTCCTGCTGTGTCTATCCTGCTCTGTCTCCTGCTGTGCACGCGCGGCGTCCCTCGATGCCGCCGCTGAGCGCCTATGTATTGATGTTTATTGTCCAGAGGTGCGGCTGTCTGTGTGCTGCGCTTCGAAGTAGGAGAGGGTGGAGGGTCGTGCAGAGCCGGCAGCACGTGACGCGGGCAGCATGGCGGAGCAGAGGCGGCGGCGCGCGCGGCGCTCTGGAAGGCTGGCGGCGTGCCTTCGAGCAGCTTCGCGGCGCGCCCAGGCGCGTCGAGCCTGTTCCCACGCTCCCGAGCGCCCGCAAGTGGAGCAGCGCGTGCGGCTATATGAGCAGGCCAGGGTCTGCGCCTCGCCCCTCTCCGCTCGCCTCTCATCCACCACGTCTGCCCACCGCACACTCCACGCACTGAGACACACGCACACCTCCCACACGCGCACCCCCTCTCGCGCCCATGGAGTTCACGGACCGCGCCCAGGCCGCCGTCTCGTCGGCGCTGCAGCACGCGCGCGACCTGCAGCATGCGCAGCTGCAGCCCGCCCACCTCGCCCTCACGCTCCTCAACGACGGCAGCGCCGATGCTGCGCCCTCCACCTCACGCCCCGGCACGCCGAGCAGCGCGCGCGTCGGCGCCAGCCTCTTCCGCAGCGTGCTCGGCAAGGTCGGCGTCGATGCCGAAAAGGTCGAGCTCGGCCTGCGCACCGCTCTGCGCAAGATTCCGCAGCAGAACCCGCCGCCGGACGAGGTAGGCCTCGCCAACACGCTCACCAAGGTCTTCAAGGCCGCCGACGAGCTCAAGAAGCAGCAGCACGACTCGTACATCGCCAACGACCACATTCTGCTTGCACTGCTCGGCGACTCGGGCATCCTCAACATCCTCAAGGAGGCCGGCCTGCCGAATGAGGCTGTCCTCAAGACGGCGATTCTCGCCTCGCGCGGCGGCCGCCACGTCGACAGCAAGGCGTCCGACGAGCTCGACGATGCCATCTCCAAGTACACCGTCGACCTCACGGCCCTCGCCGCCAGCGGCAAGATCGACAATGTCATCGGCCGCGACCAGACGATCCGCCGCGTCATCCGTGTGCTGAGCCAGCGCCGCAAGGCCAATGCCGTGCTCGTCGGCCCCGCCGGTGTCGGCAAGACGGCCATCGCCGAGGGTCTCGCGCAGCGCGTCGTCGACGGTGATGTGCCGCCATCTCTCAAGGGCCGCGTGCTCTCGCTCGACCTCGCTGCGCTGCTCGCCGGCGCAAAGTTCAAGGGCGAGCACGAGGAGCGCGTCAAGAGCCTGCTGACTGCGCTCGAGAAGCTCGCCGACTCTGACCAGCCCGTCATTCTCTTCATCGACGAGGTGCACCTGCTGATGGCCGGCAAGGACTCTGGCGGCGGCATCGACGGCGGCAACTTGATGAAGCCGGCGCTTGCTCGCGGCAAGCTGCGCGTCATTGCCGCTACCACGCCGACAGAGTACCGCCAGACGATCGAAAAGGACGCTGCCCTCGAGCGCCGCTTCCAGCGCATCGACGTCGACGAGCCGACTGCCGAAGAGACGCTGGCGATCTTGCGCGGCGTTCGCGACCGCTACGAAAACCACCACGGCCTGCGCATCCTCGACTCGGCGCTGGTGTCCGCCACAACACTTGCTCGCCGCTACCTCTCGGCGCGCAGATGCCCCGACAGCGCGCTCGACCTCATCGATGAGGCATGCGCCGACGTCAAGGTCACGCGCGAGACGGTGCCGTCCGAGATCGACGAGCTTCAGCGCCGCCGCGTGCGCCTCGAGGTGGCACTAGCAGCCCTCTCTCGCGAGAAGGACGAGGAGTCCAAGACGTCGCTCGCTGCCACGCAGCAGGAGCTGGCCAAGCTCGACGACGAGCTCGGCCCGATGCTCGCTGCCCACGAGGCGAAGCGCGCCCAGGCTGACGCGCTCGCAAACGCCCGCCGGCGCCTCGACGAGCTGCGCAACAAGGCCGACCGCGCCGAGCGCAACATGGACTACTCGACTGCGTCCGACCTGCGCTTCGGCGCCATCCCCGACATCGAGGCGCGCATCGTCAAGCTCGAGGAGGAGGAGCGCAAGAAGATCGAGCGCGGCGAGAGCGACCAGGTCGCCGTGGGCCCGGAGAACATTGCCGCCGTTGTGGCGCGCATGACGGGCATTCCGGTCACGACGATGCTGACGAGCGAGAAGGAGAAGATCCTCAAGCTGCCGCGCCTGCTCAGCCGCTCCGTCATCGGCCAGCCGGAGGCGACCAACGCCATTGCCAACGCCATCCAGCTGCAGCGCGCCGGCCTCGCCAACCCCAACCAGCCCGCCTCCTTCCTCTTCGCCGGCCCGTCCGGCGCGGGCAAGACGCTCTGCGCCAAGACGCTTGCAAAGATCCTCTTCAACGACGAGGATGCGCTGCTGCGTATCGACGCGAGCGAGTACAGCGAGCAGCACTCGGTGTCTCGCCTCTTTGGCGCGCCGCCCGGCTACATCGGCTTCGAGCAGGGCGGAGCGCTCGAGCCGGTGCGCCGCAAGCCGTACACAGTCGTGCTCGTCGACGAGGTCGAGAAGGCAAGCAAGCCCTTTATCCTCAGCTGGCTCGCCATCCTCGACGACGGACGCGCGACGGACTCGCAGGGCCGCGTCATCGACTTCCGCAACGCCGTCATCATCTTCACGAGCAACCTCGGCTCGGCCTTCATCAACGACGCCGCCGAGGAGGGCCCGCTCTCGCCCGAGACGCGCAAGCTCGTCGACGGCGCACTCGCCGCTTCGCTGGCGCCTGAGTTCCGCAACCGCCTCTCGGCCACCGTCATCTTCCGCTCGCTGTCGCGCAAGGACCTGCGCGGCATCGTCGACCTGCGGCTGGCGGAGATCGCTGCGCGCCTCAAGCAGAATGGCCGGCGCATCCGCATCGAGCTCACGCCGGAGGCCAAGGACTACCTCGCTGCCACGGGCTGGACGCCGGCGATGGGCGCGCGTCCGCTGGGCCGCGTGATTGCCAACAACATCCTCTCGCCGCTCTCGCGCCTGCTGCTCAGCGGCCAGGTGCTCGACAAGGAGACGGTGCGCGTCACGCTCGACGGCACGACGCACGCCCTCGTCGTGCACCCCAACCACGCCGCGCCGGAGAAGATGGACACCGACGACGAGTCGGACCTCGACGACGACGACGAGATGGACGACTGCTTCATCGAGGCTGATCCGCTTGACTAAGACCCGACGCGGCGTCTGCCATGCGCCACTACTGCTCTTGCCCTGCTTTCTCCTGCATCTGCACCTGTCACCCACCCACGCATCTCGCCTGCCGTCAAACGGCGGCGCCACATACCGCTCTTCATCCAGCCATGTCCCCGCTAGTCACCGCACGTCTCATCTCTCTCTGTCATGTATGATCCAGAATCCGTCTCTGTAAAGAATCTGATGTCTTTGCCTCGACCCCTCGCCTGTCCCGCTGTGTGGCCGCCGCGGCATGTGTGAAAAGTTCGAGCGAGCTTGCCCCTGGACCCGCGACGCCACAAGCGTGAAGAGGGAACGCCAAGGCAGGGACCGAAGCCGCAGTGCCGAAGGCTACCTGGCAGGTGCGGCGATCCCTGCTGCTCGGTGCTGCCGCGGCTGCAGCTGCTGCACGCCGGCGTCGTCGGAGCCGGCGCCGACGGCGGATCTACAGCTACTCGCCGTTGTCAGATGGGAGCAGAGTGGTGCAGCCACAGGATGCTGCCGCTGCGCGTGCTGGCATGGCAAAGCCATCAGATGTCAAGACGCGCAGCACGGGAAGCAGCCAGACACCGACGGCTCGGCGCGGCGAGCCGTGCGTGCCCGATGCGTCTGCATCTGCTGCGCATCACGGCTGCTGCAGCTCCACGGCATGTGGTCGGCGGCGGTCGGGCTGCATGCTGAGGGTGCTGCCAGCGTGCTGCTCGCTTCTTCTTGCTGCGTGTGCCCTCGCCGAGGTCGCTCGGCATGCCGGGAGTGTGACTGCGAGGCGCCGTGGCTGCTCGAGAGAGGTCGACGTTGCTTTTGCGTGATCCACGCGCCGCCCATGCCAAGCGCCGGAGCGGACCCGCGGCGCTTCTGCACACACTGCTCCCGCGCCGCTGATCACGCATCTGATAACCAGGATCGCAGACGCGAGGCTTGCGGCCGGAAGCGGGCACCTGGCCAGTCACTGTGCGCGCGACCGCGGCTCGCGAAAATTTAGCGGCTGCGGCGGAAATGAAGAAGCCGCCCCTCGCCGCTGCTCTGGCGCCCCTGCTGCGCTGCATCTGCGCTGCCCGTGCGCAGAAAAAGTTCATCTCTCGGCGCGCGCTGGACGAGGTCGCACGAGGTGGGCGCGGCTGCCGTGCCATGCCATGCGCTCATGTCAGCCCAGCAGCGCGCCAGAGAGCGCCAGCAGCAGACCCACGGTGCGCTGCATTGGCGTGTGCTGCTCGTGCCTGGCCGAGCTGTGGCTTTGCCGCGCAGAGAGAGAGAGAGATGGTGCTGGCATTGAAGCCGAGGAGGTGCCGCGGCCGCGCTGATGGGATGGATGCTGGGAGATGGGCCTGCTGCAGCGCCACGCCACGCCGCGCGCTGCTCCTTCACGCGGCGCATCCGGCGTGCCTGGGCGCTCATATACCGGCAGCAAGCAGCCTGCCGCCCCTTCCCTCACACCACCTCCTCTCCCCAGCCCCTAGCCTCCTCCGCCATGTCGCTCGCCGTGAATGAGCAGCAGCAGGCCGCCGCGCCCGTCGAGGCCGAGCGCCGCCTCTCGCACACGGCGCACTCCGACGACGCCTCGTCGCTCGAGAAGCAGGCCGGCGTGCAGACGGCCGAGGCGGTGAGCCGCATCGCCGGCTGGAAGGTGTACGTCATGTGGGTCGGCATCTTCCTCGTCTCCTACGTCAACGGCCTCGACAACAACACCATGTACGCCTACACGCAGGCCGCCGCGAGCGAGGTGAGTGGGTGTGGTGAAGCATGGCATCTGCCGCCGCAGCACCGCTCCTCTGTCTGCCGTGCTCACACGCGCCGCACAGTTCAACTCCTACCAGCTCTACACGGCGCTGCAGACGATGCAGATCGTCATCATCGCCACGGGCAAGTTTCCCATCGCCAAGTTCTCCGACATCTTCGGCCGCGCCGAGGGCTACATGCTCGCCCTCTTCCTCTACGTGCTCGGCTTCATCATCGTCGCCGCGTCGCACGGCTTTGCCACGCTCATGGCCGGCGTCGTCTTCTACGCCTTCGGCTCGACGGGCGTGCAGATCATGAACCAGACGCTCCTCGCCGACACGGTCACGACGCAGTGGCGCGGCTTTGCCATCGGCATCGTGTCGCTGCCGTACGTCATCAACTTTGCCGTCGCGCCGCGCATTGTCAACCAGCTGGCGCCGTTTGCCAACCCCGTGCACTGGCGCTGGGGTCCGGGCTCGTGAGTGTCTCGTGCTGCGACTCTTGTGCGCTGTGCTGACGCCAGAGCTGCAGCTTCGCCATCGTCGTGCCCGTCGCCTGCGCGCCCGTCATCCTGGCGCTCTACCTGACGCAGCGCAAGGCCAAGCGCGAGGGCCTGGCCAGGCCGCGCCCGTACTTTGCCAAGGGCAGCTACGCCAACAAGTCGGCCGGCCAGAAGGTGGCCTCCGTCTTCTCCGAGCTCGGCCGCGCCGCGCAGGACTTTGACCTGCTCGGCCTCTTCATCCTCGCCGCCTCGTTCGTGCTCGTACTCCTCGCCATCAACCTGGCCGGCCTCGCCAACGACGGCTGGCAGGCGTCGCACATCATCGCCATGCTCGTCGTCGGCGGCAGCCTGCTCATCATCCTCGGCCTCTACGAGTGGCTGCTGGCCCCGCGCCCCGTCATCCGCCGCGAGTTCTTCCTCAACAAGAACGTCTGCCTCGCCGCCTTCTTCATCGGCCTGTTCGACTTCGCTGCCTTCTACCTGGCCTGGGTCCCGTGAGTGGTCTGCGCAAGTCTCGTGCGCGCAGAGGCTCACACCTTGCCATGCAGCGCGTACACCTGGGTGCAGATCACGTTTGACTGGAACAGCTCGGATGCCACGTACTTCTCGTGAGTGTCGCCGGCACACCACCCATCTGCTGCTGCTCACGCCTCCGCTTGCCAGCAACACGCAGAGCCTGTGCCTCGTCGTCTTCGGCATCATGGCCGGCGCCATTGCCGCGGCGACGAAGCGCTTCAAGTGGCTGCTTGTCTTCGGCTGCTGCATCCGCCTGCTGGGACTCGGCCTCATGATCCGCTACCGCGACGCCGCCTCGTCGACGGTGCAGGTCGTCTTCCCGCAGGTGCTGCAGGGCCTCGGCGGCGGCTTCATGGGCATCCTGCTGCAGGTCGGCGCCCAGGTGTCGGTCAAGCACCAGGACGTCGCCATCGTCACGGCCTTCGTCCTGCTCTGGACGGAGATCGGCGGCGCGTGCGGCACGGCCATCCTCGGCTCGCTGCAGAACCACGTGCTGCAGGAGCGCCTCACGCGCTACCTCGCCCCCGTCGGCGCCACGCCGGCGCAGATCTCGGCCGCCTTCATTGCGCCGTCGGGCATCTTTGCCGAGTGGCCGCTCGGCTCGCCGCAGCGTGCGGCCCTCATCCAGGCGTGGGCCGACTACGTGCACATTGCCCTGATCGTCGCCTGCGCGCTCTCGGCCGTGCCCATCGTCGCGGCATGCCTGCTCACCGACTACAAGCTCGGCAACACGCAGAACTGCGTCAGTGACGAGCCGTCGACGGGCTCGGCGCCGATCCGCCAGGACAGCAATGAGGATCTCGACCGCAAGGTCCGCGTCTAGGTTCCGTTGCCGCCTGCACAAAAGCTTCTCCTCTTCCCCTGTCTTGCCCCCTCCGTCTCTCGACGCTTCACCATGTGCATTAGCTGGAAGTAGGGCCTCGTATAACGTCACGCTTGTTTCCACATCGCCGCGCGTCTGAGCAGAGTGAGCAGAAAAGGTGACAGGGTAGTGTGTCTCGGATGTCAGGGGTTCAGACCTCGCGGCCAATCTGGACCTCGGCGTTTGCGACCTCGCCGTCCTCGTCGTCGTCGGGGTGCGCGTCGCTGCTGCGCTCCGTCTTGCGCTCCTTGGCCTCTTGCGGCGCGTTGTCCGGCTCGTAGTCCTCCTCATCCTCGTCCTCGTCGAGGAGCTTCTCGTCGGGGGTGCTGATCTCGGACGTCTCCGCCTCGATTTCGAGGTCGCGACGGGCCGCGCGACGGCGCTGCAGGCTACGGCTGTGTGCGTTGGCGTTGATGCCCTTGACGGAGGAATGCGGCGATGAGGCAGTCACCTTGACCAGGCCGTAGTCCTCCGAGAGGAGCGTCTTGAGCTGCTCATCGCCGCCGGTGATCTAAGAATCGCAGGTGAGCGCACTGTGCGTCGGCAAAGCATCGACCTCGCCTTACCTTGTCGAGCGACACGCCCTGCGAGAGCAGACGGAGGCCCAGGGCGCGCACCCGCTCCAGCTCCTCGGGCGACTGCGAGTTGCGCAGCAGGTGTGCATGGAGCAGGAAGGCCGGCTGCGTGCCGATGGTGCGCTCCTCTCCGTCGAGTTCGGCCACGTCTGCGAAGCGAGCATGAGCAAACGTCCTGATCGACGAAGAGAAGAGACACTTACCTCGCTCGACCTCGACGCTCAGATCAGGCACGCCGGAGTAGTCGGCTGTCTTGGCGTCGGCGTTCAGGGAGCCGAGCTTGGCATCTTGGGCGTTCGGAGCGGCAGCCTGGACAGTGCTTGCTGCGACAGCGACAGCAAGCAACGTGAAGACGGAGAGACGCATGCTGCGGGGTCAGTCGAAAGAGTTTGATGGCGGTGCAGCGCGTGTCGATGAGGGGTGTGTCAGTCGATGATTCGGGGTCGCGTTGGCCGGGATCGTCTCGGTCTGGTCGTCGAGTCTCTGCTTGAGCTTGAGGGTTGATTGAGGCAAGAACCTGGCGTGGAGGTGTGACGTTGGTCTTCTTAAGCGCCTCATGCTTCAAGCAAGGTCGTGCGTGCAGCAAGGGCACGAAGCAGCGCTCGCCCTGTCGCCCATTCGGGCAGGCCAGGACGCTGAAGAGGCAGCCTCGAAGGTCGTGAACATCCAAGCCTGGCGTTCTCAAAGTCCAATGGCAATCGCCGTCGACGCCAGAAGATGCTAGCGGTAGCGAGCAGCTCTGCTACACACTGTGCACTCAGACGTCTGACCGACGGGCGGAGCGACAAAGGCTCGCGAGTGAGATGTCGGCAACGTCGGACGCGTTCTCGTCCGTTGGCGCCGTTGAGGCCAACACCACGACCGCGTGCGCATGGCATGTGCTGCCGAGCGGCCCCATGTGGTCTCGAGCGAGATCCGTGTGCCGGCTGACGGAGCGGCAAGCGGATGCTCCAAAGGTCAAGCCGCCTTGCCGTTCCGGCTGGCAGGTCAGAGACGCTGGGCCAAAGCGACGAGACAGGCAGGTCCCGACGTCGCGAGCGGCCGTGCGGGCTGCTCTGCGCCGCCGCTGGTGGCGCCTGCCGGTGACTTGCGACCAGTTCTGAATATTGCGGTACATCAGAGCCGCTCAGACTCGAGCGCAAGAGCCTCCGACGGCGACGAGAGTCCTCTCGAGATGGCCTCGCGGCGAGGCGGAGTGTCGCGACGCGTGCGTTGCCGCCGAGCCGGAGGCGCGTCGCGCTCGCATGCCTCCGCCGAGCTTGGCGCCGCTCGCCACACCGTTCATGCTCCCCCGCACTCGCCGCGACGGCTCCCCTCCAGCAGCCTGCTGTCGTGTTGTCGTGCCTGTCACAGCACGCGGCGACGTGCGGGGCTCCAGACGGAGAAGCTGCATGAAGCGAGTGGCAAACGCTGGCCTGTCTCGCGCCGCTCGTCCACGCCAGAGGGCGGCGAGCGCGGCATATCCGCCAGACGCGCCCTTGCAGCTGTCCCACGCGAACGGCGAAGGGGAGGTGAGACACCGCAAAGGCGTGTGTGAAGCTCGGAGCCTTGCTCTCCTGCTGGGAGGAGGCGATTACGCCAGCCTCGCGCTGTCTTGCGGGGCTGCAATGGACGGCCCATCAGCGGCGCTGCCAGTCGCCGGCGACGCCGATGTCGGCCACGGCGTCGCGACGACGACGCGCAAGGAGGGGCGGAGCAGGGGTCCCTCTCCCTGTCTTTGCGCGCTCTGCCATTGCTCCGCGTGCGCTCCTCAGCAGCGGTGCCGGACTCCGTGCCCTGCGCGCCCTCGCTGCCGCCTCGAGGAGACTTGTGTCAAGGCGTCATGCGGCGGAGTCAGTCGCAGGACAGCGAACGCGTCTGCTGCCCGTGCTCGCCACGCCGGCACCGACGCGCCGTGCACCGCCACAGCGAGCCTGCGGGCCTTTCTCGTCGTCGCGAGGGATGGGCCACAAACGCTCTTTCTTTCTGCCGCCGGAGCACACGTCGGCGGCATTCTCGATATCGAGCTCGGCGCCGGCGCCGGTGCCGCAGCGCTGCGCCGAGTAAGGATGCGACTCTGCAGGGTCTCCCCGCCGGACGCGGGCCCAGCAAGCCGGGCCTCGAGCATACATACGGCCGGACTGGGCCTCTCCATGCCCGGCTCCGGTGCCTGCAGCTGCATGGCGGCCCCTCCGTCGGCTTCGTGCCTGCGGTGCGCCGCTGCGCCGAGGCGTCGCATCGCGATCGAGCAGGCTCGCCTTTGCTCTCGCGGCCGAGCAGCATGTGGGCGCCAGCCGCTGTGCCTGCCGCTTCGAGCCTTGTGCTGCGGCCGCAATCGCTTCTGCGGCTGGATGCTGAGCATGATGCTCGCGCTGCTCCTGATGCTCTGCTGCTGCTGCTCTGCTGGTCCGCATGCTGAGCGCCGAGGCGCTGGCGCAGCATGTGGCATGCACATGCAGCTCGTCCTTGCTCGCAGAGCGCAGGGACCCCGTCGATCCGGGGGCCAGCGGCGAGCGGGCCCACCGCAGCACAGCTCGGCCGTTCCCGTCCTGCGCTGCGCAGCAGAGGGCTTCGCATGCCGCTCTTCTCTGCAGCATCAGACGCTGAGATGGACAAAGGTGAGGGTACGAGCGGGCACAGCCGGAGGGATGCAGCAGCATGCAGGGTGCAGCGCGGGTGCTGCACTGCCGCGGCGGCCCACGGCGCCCACGCCGAGCGAGCCGCCGCCGTCGAGGCGAGCGCGCCGCGAGCCCGTCGCTGCGCTGCTGCGGGCCGCCACACGCCACGCCCTTTGCTTGTCGCCCTCGCAGCTGACACTCGCCTGCTGCACGAGCTGATGCCGGGCCGCTCCTTAGCGCGGTCTCAGGTGGTGGGAACGAGGCAGGGGGCCGGCGACGTGCGGAGCCGCGGCGCGGCGGAGGCGGCATGCGCCGTGGTTGCGCCGAGCTGCGGCACCTCTCCAGCTCGCCGCGCCGACGCCGTCGAGGCCCGCGTGCTGATCGCTGCCGTCCTCACCTCGCAGCTCGCAGAACGGCAGCGGGGCCTCAGCTGCAGGCAGCCTCCGGCTCGCTCTCCTGCGGCAGCGCGGGGTGACGCCAGCGCGCAGCCGGCATGGCCTCGCCTCGTCCAAGCTGAACGCTGTCAGCATCAGCATGCAGCGTGCGTGCGCTGCGCTAGGCGGCGTGCGGACATCTGCTGCATCTGCTGCGCGCCGGCCGCTGCACCTTAATCGCTCGCGCTGGCGCGATCTTGCCCGGCCCGCTCGCTCGCCGCATCGCTCGCTGAGCGAACGTGACTGTGGGGGCCGCGAGGGTGCGTCTGGCGTGCCGCGGGCGGCGGGCGATGCGACGCGACGCCTCGCGGGCCGCGCCAGGGTCCACGGCGTGCCGTCGCCTGCGGCGGCCTGCTGCTGCGGCGGCTGCGCATGAGAGGGCGGATCAAAAGGTCAGCCCATCGCCCCGATAGAGCCGCGAGAGGGGGCCGGCGGCGGGCCTGCCCGGACGGGCCAGGCTGGAGCTGCACCTCGCCGAGCTCCGCCTGCAGCGCTGCTGCGCCTGAGCTGCACCTCGGAGGCCCCTCTCGCCGCCTCGATGCGCTGCCGCTGCGTTCTGCTGCCGTGCGCTTGGCGGCGAGCCACGCCTTGCTGCTCCGACGCAGCGGAGCGGCGGATGCTCGAGGCCGTCGGGCGCTCTTCGCTGCCTGGTGCTGAGCGGCTGCTGCGGCGCACGGCCGATGCTGCCTCTGCGCTGGACGAGCTCGTGTCGCCTGCTCCACCCGCCAGGGCCTGCACCTGGCATGCGCCATCGCGCTCGCGCTGAGCCTTGTGCTGGCGCTGGTGCGCTCTTCGAGCTTGCTGCCGCAGCGTGCAGCACGCTGGGGCTGACGCCGCCACGGACGGCGAGACGCTGCCTGTCGACGGGCGACGCTGCACGCGGCATGGCGCGCGTGGCGCTCGGCGCGGCGCTTCGTGAGCCCCTGGCCATGCATGCATGACAGCGGCTAAGCGCGGCGGCAGCGGCGTCGAGACGAGGTGCGGCTGCGGTGCCGCTCCGCAGCGGCTGCTGGGCGTGCACCTCTCAGCGGCAGAAGCACGCTCAGAACGGGCGGGCTGCTGCGCTGCTGGGTTGCCTCGCTCGTGCCATGGTGCATGCGGCCCAGGGCGGGCCGGGGCAGGGTGCCGCACGCCGCTCAGCACCTGCCATCTGGGGCCGGCTGCAGCTGGGCGCAGCGGCAGAGGTGTCGCGCCGCCGCCGCTGCCGCGCTCCGCTGCAGGCTGCAACGCGCACTCGCCGGCACCGCGCGGCGCAACGCGCACCCGCACCGCGCCGGCGCGGCCGCCGACCGGCGCCCCTCGCAGCACACCCAAGCCTCCGCACCCGCCTGCCCTGGCGCTGCCCTCGCCCTCGCCCTGACTCGCCCTGGCCACCGCTCACTCCTCCTCCTTCGACCGCTCACTCCCTCTGGCGCTCATCCATTCGCGCCGCACCCGCCTGCGCCGCCCGCTGCGCACCCTGCGGCACGAGACCTCGGCTGGTCGCTTTGTCGCGCACGCGCGTGCCACCTCCGCACCCCCTCCGCCGCCCTCGCCTGGCTCCACCAAGCCCGCACCGCTCCTCGCCACGCCTCTCGCGTCGTCCTCGGCGCCCCGTCCTTGCCGCGCAGTCGCATTCGCCTCTCTGGGCTGCGCAGTCAGGCGCATCTCTTCTCCACGGCGACTCGCCCCTTTAGTGCGCCCGCACCTGCACACAGCCACACCGGGCAGTTGCGCCCGGGCGCGCCGCACTCTGGGCGGGCAGAGAGTGGAGCAAGGGTGCTGCAAATAGCTCCGTGAGTGCTTCGACTGCGCAACGCTGGCTCCGGCGGGTTTGCGAGGAGGAACATAGGAGGCAGCCGCTGGGCGCCGTGGAGAGAGCGGTGCGCGTCGTGCGGGGTAGCGCGGCTCGCGAGGGGGCCTCCGTCTGGACGGCCCTCTTGCGATGGCGGGATCCAGCGAGCCTGCAGCCTCGCTCCGAGCTTCTTTCGCGCCAAGCCTTCAGCACGAGGCAGCTCGAGCAGTCTCTCGTCAGCATGGCCACGTGTCGTTCGAGCCTATCGTGCAGTAGGGGCTACAAGTGGCGGACCGGCGTCCAGACGCGTCATCATCACTCGCAGCATCCAGCCACACGCCCAGAGCAGGATCAGCAGATGTGCTTGCCTGCGAAACGGGACAGGTGCCGGCCGGCGCGGTGAAAAGACCGGCGAGCTGGAGCGGATGAAGGCGCTTTGCGCTACGGCAGCCGGTGCGCAGAGAAAGCGCTGTGAACGTGCGGCAAAGTGCAATTAGTCTCAGCCGGCCGTTCTGCGCTGCTCATCTGCAGCGCAGCTGATGCTGGCCCGCGGCTCTGATACTGCTCCTGTGACGCACGCAAATGCCGGCCGTGCTATATCGGAAAGGGGGACGCCGTAAGGGGTGACGCTCTGCGTAGCGTGGGCCTGCGAGAGACACGCAGCTCGAGGTCATAAGCGCTGCCTTCTTTGCCGCGTCTTCGTCCTGCTCCTCCATCACATCTCACACTTCCTTGCACCGCGTAGAATCCCTCGGAGCGCCATCAACAACACGCACGCCTCATCCTTCATCTGTGAGTGATGAGCTCGCGCCAAGCTCGGGCCGCGGACGCGCGCCATCGGCGCGGTCCGAGCGCTTGTGGAACGCGGGGCCGCCGTGCATCCATCGCACGAGGCGCGTGCGGCCCACGGGCGTGATTGGCACGCTTCGGCTCGCACAGAGCACTCTCTGCGGTCGACTTCATCGCTGAGACTCCTCATCCATCAGATCGGGCCCATACCTGCATCCGCACACCGCAGACGAGACACCGAGATCGGACCAGCAACAGCACACAGGTGAGTGCGAGCGTACGAGGCAAGCTCGGCGAGCGCTCGATAGGGTCTGGCAACAGGGGCGAAAGGCTCGACCTCGCCGTGACTGCTCCCGATCGCGGCGTGAAACTCTTGTTCACCGCATCCTCGCTCGCCACACCCTGCTGATCCCGCCACGCTCCAGCAACCTCATCGCAGAGCCCGGTATGGCTGCTGTCACCGCCATCATGCACTCGCCGTCGATGGACTTCGCAGCCGTCGATCACTCCACTCCGGGCCGCTTCGGCGACGCCTCTCGGGCGCCGCGTCGAGGGCCACCACCGCCACGGCCGGCGCGTATCTCTGTCCCCGGCTCTGCCACACCACGGGCAGCCCCAACGCGCGACTCTTCGCTGTCGCCCACGCCAAAGCCACGCACGTCCGCGCCGTCTCTCGCTGTCGAGTCCGCTGCAACAGCGCCGTCTGACGTCGGCACGAGCACGTCGTTCTCCTCGATCACCCCGTCGCAGTCGGCGTCGCAGGCAAACGCACCCGGGCGACGGCCAGTGTTCACGTCTCGTGCGAGCCTGGACGCTCCGCGGCCGTCGGCGTCAGAGCTCGACAGCCCGACGCCGCGCCACGATCGGCGGAACCGCGACCACATCGAGTCGCGAGCGGGGCCCTCGAGCCTCTCGCACCGCAACCTGGCGCTTGCGTCGCTGTCGACACCGGAGCTGCATCTCTCCTCCGACCCGATGGTCGACCTGGACGACCGGCGCCAGCCGCGCAGCAAGCACAGCGCGTGGTCGCGCCCCGCACAGGACGGCCGCCAGGCGCTGCCGAGCCTCGCAGCCGTCGTCGGCCCGGTGCTGGACAGCAGCAGCAACCTGCTCCACCGACGCACGTCGCAGCGCGAGCGCAAGAGCAGCAACGTGACGGTGCGCCGCGAGTCGCCCGCGCCGTCGTCCGACCGCACTGCGCCAGAGCACACGGGCGACACCGTCCTGGTGCGCAGCGTGCCGCAGAGCACTCCACGCTCGCCTGCGCTGCTGCCCTTGGCTGCCGCCGCGACAGAGGACAAGCGCCGCTCGGCCGGCAGCGATGCATCGCTGCGCAACATCAAAACGTGGTTCACGCGGCCACGGCGCTTCAGCGCACAGTCATCCTCGTCGAACACGGCCGTCGCGCCCTCGCTGCCGTCGTCTCCGCTGCCCTCGCCGGCGCCGCTGCCAGCCTCGCGCTTCGACAACAGCATGCTGACTGCCGAGACAGAGTCTGATGTCAGCACTGCAACTGCCGGCACCGGCACGACGCTCTTCACGCACAGCGTGGCCACGGCAGCGGTGACGGACTCGTCCGTCGGAGTTGATGCAGCGTCGAGCAGTCGGAGCACCACGAACGTGCGGGCAGCTCGCGCCTTCATCGTCGCGCAGCTCTCGCAACTCTCGCGGCAGGAGATGGGCGCCGACCGGCATCGCATCGACAGTCTGGCCTCGCGCGTCGAGCAGGACAGCGATGTCCGCAGCTCTGGCGACGCGACCACCGAGCTGCTCGACTTCTGGACGAGCCTCTCTGACGGCGTGCTGCTGTGCCTCTTGGCGAACCAGCTGCACCCAAAGTGCATCGAGACAATCGACCGCCGCGACGCCGACTGGGTCAAGGCCGACAACATCTCGCGCTTCCTCCGTGCTGCCAGAGACTACCTCGGCGTGCGCTCCAAGGATCTCTTCCATCCGCTCGACCTGACAGACGCCACCGTCGAGGGCCTGCAGCGCGCAGTCCACACCGTGCTTGCGCTCGAGCGTTCGGCCAGCGCACGCGGCCTTACCGGCTCGCCGGCCTCCCGCCCGTCCGCCGCGATCCCCGTGCCTCTGCGCTCATCAGCGGCGCCGCGCATCCTCAACACGCAGACGCCGCCGCTGACGCCTCACGGCTCGCTGGACGAAGGCTCTGAGCTCATGCACAGCCCCTCGGACGTGCCCTTTCCGCGCGGCTCTGGCTTCTCGCCGCGCGCTTCGCCGGCGAAGCGTCCTTCCGGCGGGCAGCGCCACCCGGTTGCGCTCTCCATCCAGCAGCAGCGGCAAGAGGCAGAGCGCATCCTCGTCGCCGGCAACAGGTACGCCAAGGAGGAGCGCCACCGCCGCTCAAGCGACGTCGGTGCCAAGCCGCAGTTCATGCGCTCGAAGGGTGTCTCGATCACGTTCGCCGACTCGGTCTCGCGCGGTAGCGACGAGGAGACGCGCATGCCGTACCGCGACCGCAAGCTCAGCGAGTCGGCCATCAGCCTGACCGGCGTGGCGGAGGAGGACCTCGAGGACCTACTGCGCTCGCCGCCGCGCCTCAACACTCGTGCCGTGCGTGCCTCCGATGACGATGACGACGAGGACGACGATGAGCTTGCTAGGGGCAACGCCAGCCCGCGTCTCGTCGGCCTCGGACACGCGTCGTCGCCCATGGCGCGCGCCAGCTCGCAGCGGCGGATCAGTCAAGAGCTGCAGCACGGAGCCGGCGGCAGCCCAGGCCGCCCGCTGCGCACGTCGTCCGACTTCGAGGAGCACCGCTTTCCCAGCGGCACCAGCCCGGCACGCCAGGCGCCGGTGCGCCGCCACAGCGCCCGCTCGTACGCGGGCCCATCCTCGCTCAACCCGCATCGCGATGGCGGCTCGAGTGAGAATGTCGCTGCGTTCCCCAGCATGTCCTCTTCGCCGGCCCGTGTGCCCTTCCCGCGCGCAGCCTCCGCGCACGAGTCGCCAACAGTGAAGCGCATCGGCCGCCACCTATCGCTCAACGCCGGCATGGCGGGCTACGTGTCGAGCTCGTCGTCGGTCAACCTCGTCCCCGCCTCGCCCAAGTCAGCCGCTGCGCGTCCCAACTACCGGCACATGCGCTACGCCTCGGACCTGCAGATCCCTCGCAGCCCGCATGGCGCATCTTCGGACGTGTCTGATGCCCCAGCGATGTCGGCGATCTCGTCGCACGTCAGCGGCCGCTCTCGCCTCGAGTCGGATGTCGGCTCGCTGTACACGAACACGCTGTGCAGCGACGCAACCCGCGACGATGGCACCAGCTCAGTCGCAGCGGTCAGCGGCGGCGTGCGCCTGTCGCGCGACCCGTCCGTCGCGCCGGGCGCCAAGCACAAGCTGGTCGTCGTCGAGGAGGGCAAGCCGAACGTGACGTACCAGATGGGCAACTGCATCGGACGCGGCCAGTTCGGCTCGGTGTACCGCGCCCTGAACCTCAACTCGGGCCAGATGATGGCCGTCAAGCGCATCAAGCTCGAAGGCAAGAGCGAGGACGAGGTGACGCAGCTGATGAACGAGGTCGACCTGCTCAAGAGCCTCGCGCATCCGTCGGTCGTCAAGTACGAGGGCCTCGTGCGTGGCCCCGACGTCGTCTCGATCATTCTCGAGTACGTCGAGAACGGCTCGCTGCTGCACACGCTCAAGGCGTTTGGCAACTTCCCCGAGAAGCTCGTCGCGAGCTACGTCGTCAAGATCCTCGAGGGCCTCAACTATCTGCACGACATGAAGGTCGTGCACTGCGACCTCAAGGCGGCCAACATCCTGACGACGAAGAACGGCAACGTCAAGCTGTCCGACTTTGGTGTCTCGCTCAATCTCAAGGCCGTTGAGAAGATCCAGAACGTCAAGAACGATGCAATCGGCACGCCGAACTGGAGTGAGTAAGGCCTCGCTGCAGCCTCGGCCCTGACTGACACGCCTCACAGTGGCACCCGAGGTCATCGAGCTCAAGGGCGCGTCAACGTCGGCCGACATCTGGTCGCTCGGATGCACGATCATCGAGCTGCTGACGGGCAAGCCGCCGTACGGCGACATGCTCGCCATGTCGGCCATGTGGCGCATCGTCGAGGACGACTGCCCGCCGCTGCCCGAGAAGATCTCGCCGCTGCTGCGCGACTTCCTGCTGCTGTGCTTCGACAAGGACCCGACGATGCGCCCGAGCGCCGAGATGCTCTTCGAGCACCAGTGGCTGCGCCAGACGTGGACCGGCGCCAAGGAGCTGCGCCCGCAGGACAGCGTGCCGTTCCTGCGCCGCATCTCGGCCGACTTCCGCAAGGTCGACCTGAAGAGCCTGCATGCGGCCATCGGCGCCGTCGCCGAGACGAACGAGGTCATGGCGTCGGCCCCCTCGCCGTCGCGCCCGTCGGAGCTCGCACGCTCGGCCTCTTCGCCGCCGCGTCACGATGCGCGTCCGGAGCTGACGTCGCTGCGCGCTGCCTCTGACCCGCACGGCTGGGTGCGCGAGGACGACCCCAGCGCGGCAGGCAAGCTGCGTCAGCCCAGCGGGCTGTCCGAGTTCCCGATCGTTGCCAACCTCGAGGACGCCGTGCGCCGCGGCAGCGACGGCTCCGTCGACATGCTGCGCTCGCCGAGCATGGTCGCGAGCAACAGCATCGAGCGCGGCCTGCACGCTGCTGGCTTCGACCCGTCGCTCCTGGACCTGAACGCCGCTGTCGACGGCCAGGAGGAGCCAAAGGCGCACGCCTTCGTCAAGAGCACGTTCAGCAAGGCGGTGCAGTGCAAGATCTGCCGCGAGCCAGTCAAGAAGCACGCCGTGCTGTGCGAGGAGTGCGGCCTGATCTGCCACGCAAGCTGCGCTCGTCGTGCCCATGCGCCGTGCAACCTCCGCGCGCAGCTCCTCATGTTCGCTGGCCAGCGCAGCTCGGTGGACCTGGCACGCCTGCCCAGCTTCGGAGGCCTCGGCGCCTCGTCGCCCGCTCCGTCGCCGTCGCCTGGACCCGGCACACAGTCGCCGGCGCTCGGCCCCACGTTCCGCATCCCCAACTTCAACAAGTGGAAGCGAAGCAGCAAGGGCAGCATTGGAGAGATGGCCACCACGCCCATCTCGCCGACGAGCACCGAGACGCCCGTCTCGCCGACGACCGGAGAGCACCGGCGACGCCGCATCTCGCTGCTGCCCGGCATGGGCTTGGGCCGCGTGCGCTCGCCCTCGCCGGCGGTCGAGCTGGAGACTCAGGCGGGCAACGGCTCCATTGCCCGCTCGTTCAGCAGCTCGCAGGGCGGCTCGCAGCGGCGCGAGCGGCCTGGCTCGGTCAGCTTCGGCAGCGTCAGCGGCTCAAGCACCGTCTCGAGCGCGTCGCACGCCATGGCGCACACGAACTCGACGGGCTCGACGAACCCCAGCACGCTCAACAACAGCAAGCAGGCCATCGCGCGCCCCGCCGCTCACCGGCACAGCTCTTCGCAGTCGACGCGGCCCGCTGCGCCGCCGCCGCGCTTCCCGTCGCGGGGCCACCGCGCGACGCACTCGGCGGCCATCAGCACGCCGCACCTCAACCGTCTGGCGTCGAACGAGGGCGGGCGCGACAGCGAGCGCTCGTTCCGCCAGCGCCTCACGTCCTTCCACAGCGACGCGCGCCTCGCGTCGGTCGGCAGCAAGAACAAGGTCGACGGCGCCATCACGCCGACGACGGCCACTGTCGACAAGTCTGCCTCGGCGGCGGAGCGCAAGCGCGCTCGCCGCGCCAGCAGCAAGCAGGACTGCAGCATCATGTAGGGGTCTCGATGCTGCTTTCACCGCCTTCTCCCTCTCTCTTCCCGGCATTCTCAGAGGCGCAAGATCCGGCCATAAACGACGCCGCATCCCGCCGCAGCAAGCGGCGCCATCTCAACGGCGCCGCGGCTGTTCCCGCATCCTTCTCTTCGACGATTCCCATGCACTTCACTGTACCACCAGCCCCGCCGCGGCCATTCCCCTTGCCCCTTATATGACCAGCGCTCCTCATGCACACACACCTCGTCCGCCACACGCACACCATCTTCACGTCCAGGAGGAGCGGCACGCAGCCCACCCACGCGCGTCGTCGCCCGCCCACCCCCTTTTACGCCCTTTCTGCCTTTGCCACGATCTGCGATGCCCGCCATACAACCCCCAGCCGCCTCTCCCACATTGTCTTGCTCAGCCATGCCCGCTACCGTACTGCATCCATCTCTCGACTGCGCGTGTGCTGGCGGCTGCGAAGGGGCTCGGACCGCGGGCGCAGTGCGTCGCGGGTGCTGCCTGCGTCGTGCTGCGGCCGCAGGAACGGCGTGACATTGCTAGAAGAACTTGACCCAGAGCACAAAGAGGAAGATAAGAGCGATGGCACCGATCCTGCGCGGCGTCGTCAGTGCCGACGAAGCGCGCCAGCGCGGCAGCTGCACTCACGGCGCGTACTGGCGCAGCAGGGCATCGATGCGGATCTGCTTGGCTGCTTTCCTATACTTGAGACTCTCGTCTCGCAATGACGACGACATATTGCTCATCTCTGCGGCGCGACATCAGGCTGTGGCGAACGGCAGCGTGTACTGGGTACTCACGGTCCAGCGTCTCGCCGCGCCACAGCAGGCTCTCCATGTTCTTCGTCATGACCGAGGTGCTGCGCGGCGGAGAGCAGTCTCAGGTCACGGGGCCCTCGTCTCTCGCAGCTGCACGCTACTCACACGTCTTGCAAGTCGTCGTTCAGCCGGTTCAAGCTGTTTGCGCCGCCCGCCTTCTCTTCCACTGCTGTCTGCGCTGACCGAGTGTCGGCATAGAGCCGCTTGGTGCGCTGCATGAATGTGTCTGCCGCCAGATCGTCAGCAGGACACAACGAGACCTGGCACGGCAGCACGCACCGAAGCCGACAAACGCATACGGGCGCAGATTCCGCTGCGCCACCTGTGCGCCGTAGCAGCGCTCGAACTCCTTGGCCAGCTCGTCGAGGTAGCTGAAGGCCAGCTTGCGCGGGTACGAGCGGTCGGTGATGATGAGAAAGACGACGGCGTCTGCGCGCCCGGGCGGCGGCGCAATCTGGTAGTGGAACGTGTACTTGGGCCCGCTCTCGATGGTGCAGCGCACCTCGGCCTGCGGGCTGATGCGCCGGAAGAGCAGCTTGGCCTGCTGCTTGTACTCGGAGAGCGCCGCCTCGGTCGCGCTGTCGTCGACGGACTGCGCCAGCGGCAGGCCGTCCGAGACGCGCGCGATCTGCGTCGAGAGCACCATGGCGAGGGTGTGCGGCTGCGGATGCGGTGCGGTGCGGTGCGGTGCGGTGGGAGATGAGGGGCGGAGGCAAGGCGCAAGCAACACCCGCCCCGCTGCGCCACGATGCACGCTCCACGTCGCCGTCATCGTCGACGCCACGCCGCGCGCGCGGGGCTGCCCTGCGCCAGCTGTTCCCACGCTCGACGACCGGCTCGGCGCATGCCGAGGCGGCACCGCAAGGCCCTTGCTGCTGGCACATGCGCCTCGAGAGAGAACGAGAGCTGTGCTGTACATACAGCTGAAGCGCTTCGGCGCACAGAGACGGCGCAGCTGCTAGGCGGTGGCGTCGCGAGTGGTGCAAGCACGCCGAGGGAGAGCAGCAGCAGGTCAAAGCTCACACCTCTCGAGAGGTGCCGAGTGCTTCTCGGGCTGCAGTCCGTAGCGAAGAGCGAGAGAAGGCTGCTGCATCGTTGCGATGCAGTCGAGTCTGGCGAATCGGCGCAGCAAGGGTGGTGCGGCGTGTCGTCCCTCGGTCGAGCTCGGCGCCGCGTACCTGAGCCGCCTGGCCCCTACTCACAGGCTGCGCTCGCTCGCCGAGGAGTCACTCCATCAGCGTCGGCCAGCGCATCCCGCTCAGCATCCTGGTGCGTCTGCCCGACGCTATCTGAGCCAGAGTTGTGCGAGCACGACGAGCGCAGGTCAAAAGCTGGCCTGCAGCTCGCGGATCGGGTCGGCTGCCGGCACGCGGCCGGCGGGGTGCTGCGGGTGGGTGCTGCATGCAGCCGCACGGCCTCTACCTCGCAGATGCAGAACGCAGGCACCGGAAGATGCACCGTCTGTTTGGAATGGGTTCTCGCCGACGGAAAGCGAGGCTGCACCCGCTCAGCTGCAGGGCAATCGGGAGCCGGCGCAGCGGCGCCAAGTGCCGAGGAGCGAGCGAGGAGCGCGCCGTCGAGGAGCTAGGAGGTGTCTCTCGGGGCCTGCCCCAGTCCGTCGGCTCCTCACCGGCTCGGCGGCCTCATCGTCCCGCACCGCCGGCATATGGAGTTGAGTGCTGTCAGCAGCCCCTCTGCGACGTGTGCGCAGCAGCAGGGCAGCAGCAGGAGGAGGGACGGCCCACCACCGCGCGCATCACGCCGCCCGCCGCCGCTGCGCCCGATGTTCTGAACGCTGGAGCAGCATGCGCGGCGGCGCTCGCCCTCATCTCGCCTTTCAGCATGCGCTGCAGATCCCTCCTGTCTGCGCTGCTGCAGCATCCGCCGCAGATCTCGCGTCTCACCACGCACGGCGAGTTTGCCTCGGGAGCGCTACCGCCCGCCGGCCAAGAGCAACCTGCGGCGCCGGCGACAGAACGAGCACGCAGCCTGCAGCGTGGAGCGCGAGAAGAGGCACGGCGGCAGCACTCTGTGGAGAGGGGCCTCATCAGCATGACGCTCATTGTCGCAGCACGTGAAGCACGCATGTGCAGGTGCAGGCGCAGGCACGCCGGCGGCCAGCCGAAGAAGGCAGGTGCGGGTGAGACAGGTGACGAGGCAGGCCGGCAGCGAGGCAGAGCGAGAGAGTGCGCCCGCCAAGGTGCGTGCCCTCCCGCTGCGGTGCCGCCGAGATTTGCCCACTCTGACTGCGCGCACGTCTGGTGCCGCTGCCGCCGAGAGCCGTGCTCTGCTGCCTCTCACCCCGACGCCGCTGCAGCTGCAGCACGCGGACGCGACGCGGCTCGGCACAAGCAAGCAAGCTCGCGCTGAGCCAGGAAGGTTCACCCAGCAGCAGGCGCAGCGCCAGGCGGCCGCGGGCGCAGCGGCAGCACCCGCGCGCGCTCAATCGCCGTGGCCCTCGGAGCGCACCAGCGGAGCGGAGCTCGGCCGTCCGTCTCAGGTCTCACCTCGCAGGTGCAGCGAGACGAGTTCGGACGGCTCTATCGTCGTCGTCATCAGCACCACCCACGCCGCCGCACACCCACAGCGCTGGCGAGCATCGCGTCTCCATCCATCCGCCGCACCACCACCACCAGCAGCACTGCGCGCCACGCACCGTCTCGCACCGCCAGCCCAGCTCGCTGTGCCGCTCGCCCAGGACTGCACGTCGCCGCGCTAGTCCGGCCTGGCCTTTGCCGCGCCGCCAGCTTCTCGCAGCCTCGACGCTCGCATCCACCTGGCTGTTGAGCGCTCCACACGCTGCTGCAGCTTGCGCCTTGCTCTCTGAGGCGCTTTCTTCCGCCACATCCGAAGCTCGCTCGACATGTCCTCTCGCGACACGGCAAACGCCAACGGCAGCTCCAGCTCCGGCGGCGGCGGCTTTGCGTCGCTGCTGCGAGCGGCGCGCAAGTCCACCGAGAGCCTGCGCAGCGTGCGGAGCAATGCCAGCCGGAGGAAGGTGAGCGTCGCTCGCGCTTGCTGCTCTCGCCGCTCCAGCTGCTGACACGCCTCTTGCGCCCCGCCAGTCGCTCAGCGAGGGCATCTCGCGTGCATCCAGCCGCGCCACGAACTATTCTGACGCTCCGCCGCTGCCCGAGACGCCCAGCGAGGTGGGCACGCCCGGCCGGCTCTCTGCTGACCCCTTTGGCGCTGCACGAGGAGCACACCGCGTGCGCAGCGAGAGCGTCACGCCGACGCCTCGCACCGAGGCCTCGAACCCGCTGGCGGCCAGCACGCCGGGCGCCACGACGCCGGCGAGCAGCATTGCCGAGCAGCAGCGTGCCGCGGCAGAGAAGGCGCAGCACGAGGAGGCCCACCTCGAGGCGGCTGAAGACGATGGCATCAGTCCGCTGGAGGGCTCGCGCAAGGGCCTGTATGCGCAGAACTCACCAGCCACGTCCATCGGCTCGCTCAGCAAGTCGATGAAGCGCGGCACGGGCAGCGCCAGCTCGCGGCGCAAGGGCAAGGGCTCGCTGCTCAACTCGGCCAACGCGAGCGGCGTCAGCCTGGGCCTGCAGCCGCTCGGCGAGGAGTTCGAGACGGACGAGGGCGAGCTGCGCGTTGCGCCCGGCAAGGGCGACGGCAACACTGTTGCGCAGCTCTATGCCGTCTTTGGCGTGAGTGGCCTGCACGCAGCGCTGCGCGCGTTGAACTGACGCATCGCGCATCATCAGCTGCCCAAGGATCCGTCCGTGTGGACGCTCGCCGAGGAGGACTGTGTCGCGGGCGTGCACCACATCGAGGGCGCCGTGGGCCGCTTCTGGCGCCCCGAGGTGCTGGGCTGCTCGATCTGCCCCTCGCCCAGCGAGGTTCTCGCGCGCAGCACTGGCGGCAAGACGCCGACGAAGGAGAAGGACAGCGGCGCGGCCAAGTGGGAGGGCCGGGGCGCAGACGGCAAGAAGCCGCAGAACCCCAAGTTCATCGAGATGGCAGACGGGCGAGGCGGCGTCGAGCGCGCAGAGACTGCGCGCGTGCTCAGCAAGGCGCTCAAGGTAAGCGCGCGCGATGTGGCGCCCGCCAGCCCGCATGCTCACGCCCTGCGCACAGCTCTCCTTCACGCGCGAGATCGAGATTGTGTCGGGCCAGGCCAACTTCCCGCCCTCGGCATCGTCGCACACCTTCTCGTTCTCGGTTCCCACGCTCACGTCTTCCGGCGAGACGCTCGACCAGACGGGCACGATGGGCCGCACCGAGGGCCGCAAGGCGACTGGCGCGGTGGGCGTGTCTGTCGGCAAGGCCAACGCCGCCAGCGCCGTCGGCGAGGGCTATGGCCTGCAGCGCGGACCGGGCGCCAGCGCGGCTGCCGGCAACGGCTTTGGCGACAGCCCTGACCCGGCCACGTTCTACGGCGTCGTGCTCACTGTCTGGAGCGCCGCCGACGAGCGCCGCGCGCGCACGATCAAGCGCGAGCTCACGCGCATGAACCGCCAGCGCGCCGACGCCAAGGCCGCCGCCGCGAACAACAAGCGCAACGGCGGCTCGGGCAATGGCTGGAGCGGCGGCGACACCGACACGACGGGCGCCGAGGAGACGGCGGCGGACGACGACGGCGCCAATGGCGACGGCTACTCCTTCTTGCCGGCGCACAACACGTTCTTCATGCCGTACGCCATCTGCATCGTCTCGCGCTACCCGCTCTACGACCTGCTCGGCGACTGGAACAAGATGGCGTGGCACAAGTACTCGCGCAACATCGAGATGCACAATCAGCAGATGGCCACGATTCTGCGGCACCCGGCGCCGCGCCTCGGCGAGCAGGTGCTCATCGATAGCCCGAGCCACGAGCTGACGTTCGTGTGCAAGTTCCCCGGCGCGCTCGAGTGGGGCTCGGGCCTGATCGGCATCGACTTTTCGATGTGGCCCATCTTCAAGACGCTCAGCCTGGACAACATCCTGAGCATCTGCGAGATTGCGCTTTCGCCCAACGGCCGCGTGCTCTTTCAATCGCGCCACCCGGCGCTGCTCGGCCTGGCCGTCGAGACGTTCAAGCACATCGTCGAGCTGCGCGGCTGGCGCGGCGTGGCAAACCAGAACTGCCACGCGCGCGACGTGCGCATCTACCTCGAGGATCCCGGCTCGTGGATCATTGCGATCAACACGGAGCTGCGCAGCATCATCAAGCCCGCGCCCGAGGTGTGCGTCGTGGACCTCGACGTCAACAACATCTCGTGCCCGCGGCCGCCGAAGCACGCGCCGAGCACGGGCAGCGTGCGCGAGCGCCGCAAGCGCAAGCTCGCCACGGGCATCTCCATCTCGGGCGTCGAGCACGCGCCGCCGCGCCAGTACGTCGAGGCGTACCCGGGCGGGCGCTTCCGGCCGCTGAGCAACGTGCAGCTGCGCGAGCGCAACTCTGCCTACGAGCAGCTCGAGCGTCCCTCGTGGTTCGACCAGGGCCCTGCGCTCACCGCCTTTGACCTTGCGCTGCAGGACACGACGCGCTCGACGTTCCTGCAGAAGGTGCTGCGCACGCGTGCGTCCAAGGCTGGCGCCGCCAGCGAGGCGGAGCTGGCCGCGATCCTTGCGCTGCGGCGCCGCGCCAGCACGTTCGTCGATGCGCGCGACGGCCTCGAGAATAAGATCGGCCGCCTCAACAAGCGCCTGGCGTTCCTGATGAGCGAGTCCGAGATGTGGAAGCAGCAGTTCGCCAAGATCCAGCAGCTCGTCGACCGCCTCACGCGCGAGGCCAACGACCTGCGCAGCAAGGTTGACAAGGAGCGGCGCGAGAGCCGGCGCCTCAGCTCGACGCTGGCTCAGCGCGACCTCGAGCAGGTGCAGATCCAGCTGCGTCTCAAGGGTGAGTGGGTCTGCTGTGACGCCGAGATGTGTGCTGACCCGACTGCTGTCCACAGAGACGGAAGACGCGCGCGAGCAGGCGCAGATCGAGCTGCTGAAGATGCAGAAGGCCATGGACTCGCTCGAGCAGGAGCGCGAGGCGATGATGGACGAGATCCGCAACGTCATCAGCGGCGCCGGCGCCGGCGAGGACGGCGAGTTCGACATGTCGCGCTTCGACATGTACGGCCAGGCGAATCGCCTCGCACGCCCGAGCAGCCCCAACGGCTCGCACCACAGCGCCACGCCCTCGCAGGTGGCCGAGAGCATCATGCGGCACCGCACTGCCGCCGAGGCGCGCATCTCCGAGGGCCGCGGCAGCCGCGCGGCGAGCCGCAACGGGCACGAGGCGCGCGGCAAGGAGGGCTCGCAGGACGGCGAGCGCAAGGGTGCCGACGGCTCGTCGCAGGTGCACCACTTCCCCGACGACCAGATGAACCAGGAGATCCAGGCGCGCACCAATGTCGTGACGGACCAGATCTCGCGCATCCAGCAGCAGCTCGAGTCGACGCTGACGAACCTCGAGGGCCGCCGCTCGGGCACGTACGAGCGCAGCGAGCGCCGGCGCGACCGGCGCACGTCGAATGCGTCGATCTCGAGCATGCGCTACGAGTACGGCATTCCGTCGAGCATCGGCCACGGCGGCATGGCCAGCGAGAGCGAGTCGCACTACCGCGCGCCGTCGAGCGTGGGCGGTGGCGGCGGCGGCGGCATGACGACCGACGACGACAACTACAGCGACATGGACTACGCCATGGAGAGCGCGCGCAAGCGCGAGAAGCGCCTCGCCCGGCAGGAGCGCCGCGAGAAGCGTCTCGCTGCGGGGCCGTCGGCCTACAAGGCAGTCACGCCGTCTGCGTCGTCGGGCAACCTCTCGCAGGCCGCCGCCACGCCGCCAAGCAGCAGCGGCATCGAGCCGGCGCAGGCCGCCTCGTCGCCGCTGCCCACCGGCACGCCCACGCGGCCACCGCCGCGCGAGCGCAAGCCGTCGAACCCGTGGAAGCAGCAGAGCAGCGCACCCACGCCCAAGGACTCGCCCGAGTTCATCTCGGCCCCGGGCACGCCAGGCTCGCACGCCGGCGACACGTCGAACCCCGCCATCGACGCCACGCCGGGCCTGGGCGCGCAGAGCAACGGCCACGCAGCCAACGGCAAGGACGTCGATGCCACGCCGCGCCAGCAGGTCAAGGCATGACGCGCCAGCACCTCAAGACTTCTTATGATCTTCCTTCTTTTGCATCTCGCCACGCTTCTCCCTCCGGCTTGTGGCCCTGCCTCCTCCTTTGGACGTTTCCTGGAACACCTGCGCGCAGCGCGCCTACCTGCTTGGAATGCCATATGCGACTCAGACCCGGCTCGGGCGGACTGCCCGTGACTTCGATGCAGTGAAGCAGGGACTCACGGCGCGGCACCACCCGTCAGGGCCACGGGGCCCCAGCGTTGAAGGCCGAGATTGCCCTCATCAGCCTGCCCAGCAGCACCACAGCAGCGTCGTGTGCGAGGCGCAAGGCCGCCACCTCCTGTCCTCTCCGATGCTGCTGGATGCCCCAACATCTGAGCGAGCAGCATCTAGTGCCGGGCGGGAAGTGCAATCGCGAGCGGGAGTGCTGATCGTCGGGCGTCAGAAGCTCCCACGAGGGCCTGCCGAGGTGCTGCTGCTGCGCTTGCCTCAGCCTAGCCTTGTCCGCGGCGGCGCGCGCGGCGCGTGACAAGGCACGCACGCCGTGTGACAGGCGCAGGCGGCCTTCCCCCCGCGCTCGAGGTTGCTGTGCGCGGCCTGCATGCGGTCCTTGCGTCACATCCACCACCACTCGATCTCGGCACCAGCACCTCTGCCGTTGCCGCATCCCTCGCATCTGCGCCTGGCCGTGCCGCGCTTGCTCTCACGACCTCGCTGCCTCTCACGATCCGCCATGTCCCACTGATGCGCGCTCCCGCCTGAGCGCCTTTCCCAACTCCTCCACCCGCCACCAATCTGCGCGCTTTCCATCATGGCCAGCACGCTGCCGCCGCCCGCCAACTCCTCGCCCGAGATGCCCGAGGAGTGGGCAGAGAGCGACTTTGACTTCTCCGAAGTCTCGCCCGCCGTGGCGCTGCGCCCGCCCTCGTCGCTCTCCGTCGCGCACTCGGCGCACTCGCACCCCGGCACGGCGAGCAGCGTCGCTGGCTCCGAGGCCGGCGACTCGACGCCAGCCGCGTCGGCAGGTCCAGCGCCTGCGCGCAGCTTCGCCGATGCGGATGATGCTGCAGACGGCTTCAGCGATGAGGACGAGGACCAGGTGGACACAATCAAGTTCTCGGCGCTGACGGGCGACACGCTCGCGCAGCTCGCTGCTGCCAGCTCCGCCAGCAAGGCGAGCCGCATCGCCGCAGCAGAGGGTGATGCCTTCAGCGGCACCGTCACACACCTGCAGCCGGCGCGCGCGCCCATTGCTGATGTGGAGCTGGACTGGGACGAAGATCTGGAGATGCCCGAGGTGCTGCCGTCCGCAGTGGTCCTCCGGCGTCCGACCAGCTACACCAGTGCCGACACCGACTTCGACTCTGGCATGGGCGAGACGAGCGACGGCACCACCGCCGATCTGCACGCCGGCTCGCACGGCTCTAGTCCGCGGCGCCGGGCGACTGGCTCGTCCTGCTCCTCCGCCGCATCGTCGCTGCTCTCTCCGCAGAGCCTGAATCGTCTGAGCGACAAGGCGCAGGGCGTCACTTTTCCCACAGCAGAGACGGAGACCGACGACTTCGAGGGCGCCTTCGAGCTCGGCCCGGAGATGGACCGCCTGCAGCTCAGCCCTACTATCACGCGGCAGCGCTCGCAGCCTGCTCTGGAGCAGCAGAAGCAGCTGTGGGGCGAAGCGCCGGGCAAGCGCAGCAGCTCGCCGGACGTCGATGCCTCTCGTCCATCGCGCGATCGCTCCGCGGGAGGCAGCAGTGTTGGCCTGCACTGCATGGAGAGCAGCGATGCAGACGATGAGGAGGATCTGCTGGACGGCCTCGAGGTGCCTGACGACCTCTTTGGTCAGGCCACTCCCGTCGACGGAAGTGCTCTAGCGCCTCAGTCGCCACGCGACAAGCTGCAGGCGATGCTCAACGCGCGTCGAGGCGGCTTCGCTCTTGGCCAGTCCGACGATGCCGTGCCGTTGAGCCCGACGGAGAGCGATGCCGACTTTGCGACGGGCCTCGTCATTTCAGACGATCTCGATCTCTCGCCAAGCCGCCTGCACGCCAAGTCGCTCTCCTACAAGCTGCGCGGCCCGCCGCCGTCCAGCCGCCGCAGCCGCAACAGCGCCTACACGGCGCAGTCTGGCGGCGGACGGTCGACGCAGCCCTCGCGCCGCAGCACGCTGTCAGACACCAGGTCAACACCATCGCAGCCGCCTCCGCCGTCGGTCACTGTCACGATATCGTCTCCTCAGCTCGCGCGCATTGCTCCCAGCGGCATCAAGTCGTCTCCGCCGCGCGCGCCGTCTGCGTACAGTCACATGCCTGGCAGCGGCCCAAGACCTGGCACACTCTCGGCCGTGCGCCCGCTGCGCTACAAGAAGAGCGTCGGCGACCTCGCTACTCCGTCGAGCACGCCGGCAGCCGCAACGAGCAACGCAGCTGGCACATCGTCTCGACCGATCAGCCTCTCGCGCAAGCGCAGCCTGCCGCATCTCAGTGTCGACGCGATGCCCCCGCCTGCCGCTCCGGCGCAGCAGCCCGGCCGCGCCGTGGCAGAGCCAACGGGCTCCCGGCTGCTAGCCTCTACGGCCGCCTCTCGCGCTCGCGCTGCCGAGGTCCGCGCCGCTCGAGAGCGCAGCGTCACAGCAGACGGTCACCCACCGGCACGTCCGAATACGCCTTCGTCCTTCATGCCTACGCGTGTCGGTGCCAATCGGTTCGCGATGCACACAGCCTCCTCGCTAGCAAGAGCCAGCGAGACAGATGCCGCGACTCGTCGGCCTGCCTCGCCGCTGGCGCAGGCGATTTCCGCTGGAGCAGCGGCCGGCCGTGAAGCAGCCGTGCGCATGCTGCGCCGGCCCAAGCGTGGTCGCATGTACGGCGATGGCCACGAGCTCGAGTCTTTCGACGACCTGCCGACGAGCACTGAACGCGAGAGTCGCACGCTGCGCGAGGGCGGCAAGGACGACACTCTGCGTGCACGCGGCAGTGCGGTGCTTGCTGCCATCACGAGCCGCTGGTCGGAAGCGTCGGCATCAGTCGGCGGCTCTCGCAGCCGGCGCACCCTCGACCCGATGGCATCCAAGAAGGTCCGTCAGCCCGCCGGCAAGCGCGGCCGTGCCAGTGGCAACCCGACGCTCATCTGCCATCTCGGCTCCGTCGATGCTGCGCCTCGCGTCGTCGGCGACATGCGCTGGAACATGTCCAAGCAGAAGTGGGAGGGCAACGAGGCGGCGCTGCGCGACTTTGACAACGCTCTGAGCTCCAACACGCGGCCGGCGCTCATCACGCAGCTCACCGGCTCGAGCACGTCGAGCTTCTTTGGCGCTCCCACCTCGCCGCCGGCGGGCGTGGCGTCGAGCGGCGCGCGCATCGTCGGCGACATGCGCTTCGACCCACTCGCTCTGCGCTGGGTCAGCGCGCACGGCGTCGAGGAGCCGGATCCCTTTGCCGACCTGGCGGAGCTCGACGAGGGCTCGTCGCAGAACGAGAGCGCCGACGTGCTCGAGGCTGCGCCAACGTTTCCTTCTGCTGCCGGTGCGGCGGCGGCCAGACGTGCACGCTCGACGGACCTGCTGCGCGATGTGGCTGGCGGCGACGGCAAGGCACATCCGCGTCGCTCGGCCAGCAGCGCCGTGTCGTCGGCCGTCATCGAGGCGGCAATCGAGCGGCGCAACGCTGAGCCGCCGGCCGAGCTCGCTGGCTTCGTCGACGCGGCGCTGTGGGCCTCGTGCCTCGAGGCCAGCCGCCGGCACGAGGACGAGGTCAGAGCCTTTCTGCCGACGCGCAACGGCGCCGAGACGGCGCGAGCCGCCGGCAAGGAGCACCTGTACCTGCTCCAGCGCCTCGCTCGGCAGGCCGCATCGCGCTGAGCACCCCTCTGCGAGCGACAGTCGCTCGTCAAAAGCTCGTCTTCCCCGCGCACCTCCTAAGTATAGTAGCTTGTTCCCTTCCTGTCCCTTCACTCTCTCCTGTACCATCCCATCTGCGACGACTCGCTCACGAACCCGCGTCACCTGTACCACCTCCACCCTCACGATCGACCCCCTCACGATGTGCGCGCACGAATTCACGATGTCCCTGTTACATCCAGTTACGTCCGGTATGGCACAGGTCGCGTGGCCTCTGCTGTCGTTGGGCAGCGAGCGCGATGGCCATCCTCAGGAAGAAGTCAGCACGATGTGATCTCATCGAGCAGCATCCAGAGCGGCGCAGCTGCGGGGCGAGCGCAAGGTGTGGCGGAGCGAATCAGGCACCATGCGCGCGCGCGTCCGCGTTGCGCCGCATCGCGACGCCCGACACGAGTCCGATGCTGGACGAGATCTTGCGTGCTCTGCCGCTCCGAGGCGCTGCCGCTGCAGCTGTCTGCGCTTGAGGAGCTCTCTTTCTGGGCGGCGCTCGAAAAGGACCGCGCCGCCGGCAGCGGCAGCGTCAAGATGCGGCAGCGCGGCAGCGTGCAGCTCGTCTGCGTCTGGCAGCTTGACGCGGATGACGAGCAAGCGGAGCAGCGGAGGCTCGTGCTGCACCTGCATGGACCTGGACGTCGTGCGCTGGGGCCTTGTTCATCCGCCAGAGCTCCAGACAAAGGCGAACAAAGGCCTCGCCAGCGCACTCTCAGCTCCCGCCATCGAAATGCTCCGGTCGCCTCCTGCGGGCGCCAACAAGGGGCCCATGCCGCCCTGCATGGCGCAGCTAATCATACGTGCCTTCGGCCGCTGCCGCTGCTGCCAGCGCCTCTCTTGTCATCGGTGCGCTGGGCCGGCCGGACGGTGCGCCCGATCCCACCCGTCGCGAGCCCCTTGCGACGCAGTCCTCGTCGTCATCGGCGAGGCCTGAGCACTCCTCAGCGCCGCCGCAGCGCTCCAGCCGACGCTCTGCCTGCTCGTCCCCGGATGCAAGAGAAGGCTGCCAGGTGGCTCGAGCCAGAGCTTGGAAGTGCCAGCACGGCCCGCGTGGGCGGAAGCGTCTCTTGTCCGTGAGGGCGTAGCGCGGCGGGCGCGAGAGTCGCCGCGTGCCCCATCACTCCGTCATAGGGCGCCGGCCGGCGGCGCAAGCGCGCGAGGCGCCGGTGCAGGCGCTGCTGCTGCGCCGCCGTTGCGCCGCCAGCGCCGCCCGCCGCCGGCCGGCCGCCCGCCGCACCGGCGCCAGAGCTTGCTCGTGCTGCGCCCGCGCCTGCGCCGTCTCTCGAAGCGATCAGCCACCGACGCCGCGCCTCCGCCGCGCGGCAGCGGCCAGTGCACGACAACGGCGCCGCCTCGCACCGTGCCTCTTCTCCACCCTCTCCCACCCACGCACCGCGCACTCGCGCACACACGCTCTCTCTTTCCTTCTCCTGCCGCGCATTCTCTGGCCTTCGCTCCGCTCCACATCTTCCCTCGCCGCCTCACGTTCGCCGAGCGCCGTCCCTCTCGTACCTGCCCCTGCGCCGCACTCACGCCGCGCGGCTATACTCACGTGAGTGCAGGCCACCTTGCCCTGGGCGCGCCGAGTGGTCTCCTCTGCGGCGCCCGCGTGTCTCTTGAGAAGGGTCAGATGACTCGCGCAGGAGGCTGGCCGCGAAGCTGGCGCAGCATGGCGGGTCGACACAGCCGCGAGCCGGAGCCGAAGGGGCGTCGTGCTGCCAGACGGCGGTGCCGATGGCGTCGTCGACGGCTCCGCCCCTGTGCGCCAATCTGCGTGCACGTGGCGTGCTCTCGTAGCGCGCGAATGAGCCACCGGTGGTGCGTGGTGAGGGGCCATCTGCCACTGGGGCAGGCGCGTCTTGCTGCTCCTCTCTTGCGAGATGGACCGCGGCTGCTGCCTGCATCTCGAGGATGGAGGGGGCCCATCAAGCGCCAGGCGGTGCATGTCATGCCCGTGCGCGCCAATCATGGCCTTAGCTCAGGGCGACACGATCGCCGAGAGGCCGAAGGAGGGGCGTCGCGCAGCGCAGCGAAGACGTGGGCTGCTCGCGAGCGCTCTCGCTGCCGGCTGGCTTCGGCGCAACTTCTCGGACCGTGCCTTGGCCGAAGGTGATGGCCAGGTCTGCGCACAGGTAGGCGGCGGCGGCGGCTCGTCTCGAGGCTTAGATGAGCTCGGCCGTAGCGCGCCGCTCGGGCGTCTTGACAGGGGCGCCATTGCGCAGCGAAAGTGCACTTTGTAGCACTGGCACGCGCCGTGGGCGCAGCAGATTCGCGCCACGAGTGGCCGACGGTTCAGGTGCGCTGCCGCCGTGTGTGCGAGGTTGACGGCAGCAGGCGGCGTTCCCGAGCCGGAGCTGTGCCATTCCTGGACGATTTGCTGCGACGAGGGCCGGCAGCAGCACAGCAGCAACGCCTGCTCCTGTCTGTTGTCCAATCTTGCGCCTCATCGGTCATCACACTCGATTCTGCTCCTGCCCGGCGACCCCTGGCGTTCAATGCTTTCGTTTGGGGCGACGTGGGCCGCGTGTTGGCGCCCGGCAGCCGGGCACGACGAGTCATCTCCCCTCGAACCGCTGCGCCGCGCTTTGACTCTACATCTGTGGCCTGATGCGCCCAGCATCTGCCCGCCGAGCTGCAGCTGACGCCTGCCTTCTCTCCTCTTCCTCTCTCCCTCCTCATGTCTGCTGCGGCCGATCCTCCCGCCGTTGTGCGCCGGCGCGCTGGCACTCTGCATCCTCATACGACGCCCTCATCTGCCGCTCGCTCGCCTGGGCCGCCCGTCGCTCCTCGCTCCACTCCTTCTTCGCCGCGCGGGCTTGCTGTCGCCGTCGTAATGCAGCAGCAGCACCAGCGGCAGCAGCAACAGCCGCAGCAGCACCTGCAGCAGCACCCGCAGCAGCAGCTGCAGCTTCTGCAGCAGCAAGAGCACCTGCAGCAGCATCTGCAGCCGCAGCCGCAAAGCGTCGGGCGCCAGGGCTTGACCCATCAGCGCTCGCACTCGGGCGTACTCACTCCCGCCACACCTGGCTTGCACGCCGGCGACACCGTCGTCGTCAAGACCGAAAAGGTACCGCCCGCCGCGTGCGACTTTGCGGTACCCGTCCGACGCCTGTCGTACCAGAGCTGCCTCTCTGGGGCAATGGCAACGGCGCCGTCGCTGGCATCCCCTGTTCCTCAGCCCGCGCGTGCCCTCTCAGACCGCCGACACGTCTCTGGCGAAGGCCCGAGCCCTCGCGCGAGTCCACGTCCCATGCAGTCTGGCGTTCAGGATGAAGCGGCGTGGGAGGCCCGCAGACGCCGGGGCGCGGAGGAGGACGGCCGCTACGCCAACTCGTGAGTCAGCTACAGGTGATCTAGCCCATGCCTGATCGCTAACAACGCGTCGATCAGCCCTCACACATCGTACAGCTCTCTGCGCCACTCGCCGCAGAGCCGCTCGACCCAGCTGCGCGACGCAGACGCGCGCCACATGCCGTCCGGACGTCTGGCCCAGGGCCCATCTGCGTCCTCGCCTGCGTATGGCATGGCACGCAACGGGCAGCCCTCGCCGCGCACGCAGCTGCCGAGCTTCAACAACCTCACCTCGCGTGAGGAAGACGCAGCCAATGGCAAGCGCCGGAGACAGGATGCTGACGAGCCGGTGAGTGCCACGCGACACGCGACACGCGACAGCTCGCGTCATACTCACACTTACGTGCAGCTCGACGAGGATGAGGAGGCGTACCGCGCTCGTATGCGACGCGGCCCCGAGCACAACGGCCGCTACTCGCCGCCGGATGCTCGCACCCACAGCAGTGCCTCGCTGCTTCCACCCACTAGCCACGAGACGCGCGGCGGCCCGGACGCGCCCTATGAGAGCAGCGTCCCGCTGAACCGCCGGCGCGGCGACGCCGCACAAGCCAAGGCTAGCCGGCTGCACATCGACACCGGTGCCACGAGCAGCCCGACGCACGACCAGCTGTCCGACGGCCGGCGTCCCGATGGCCGCACGCCGATCGCGCGCTCCGCGCCGCCGCAGAAGATGTCGTTCGAGGCGCAAGAGGCTCCCAACCCGCCGTTCCATCCCATGGCGGCGCACAACCACGTCAGCGCTGTGCGCGCTCGCGAGGGCGAAGACGAGCGCCACGTTGGCTCGCCTCAGCAGCGCAGCAGCGCAGCGCGCCCCGAGCCTCCTCGCCATGTGCTCGCTCCCCCGCCGGCGTCGGCGCGCTTCGTGCCGCAGACGGCGACGCTGCCTTCGCCCGCCTACCACTCAACGGCCTTTATGCGCGGCGGCCCGCCCGTGCCGCAGAGCAACAACCCGCCGCGCACGGCTGGCCTGCCTCCGCAGACGGCGCGCCTGCCTGAGCACTTGCGCTCGCCGCCGAGCAGCAAGACGCAGTTCCTCTCGCTCTTTTCGAACTTCTACGACTCGCTCAGCGACTCGCGCACGCTCAAGGCCACGCTCGAGGACCAGGTGCGCCGCTCCAACACACTGCTGCAGACGCTGCAGCGCTCCAGCCGCGTGCTCGACGCCACCGTCGACCGGCGCATCCGCGAGGAGCGCCTGGTGTGGGAGAATCGCGTGCAGGGCCTCGAGGCGCGCGTGCGGGAGCTCGAGGCCAAGGCGGGCTCCGGCTCCGGCTCGTCGCCGCCCGAGACCAAGCCCGTAATTGCGCCTGCGACCAACTCAGACGCTGCGCCGAGCGGCAGCGCGCCGGCTGCCGACAAGACTGCGGCCCCTGCTCCGCGCGGCTCCGCTCCGTCGAGCGGCCGCAAGACGCCTCCGGCCGACGAGGCGATGGAGGACGCCGAGGAGGGCGACGAGCTCCAGTCGAACCGCGATGAGGACTAGCGCCCGTGCTCCCGCCTCGTCCCGCACATTCCCTTTTCCTGTCACCAAGCGCCCGAGACCATTGCCCGTCTTTTCTTCTCTCGCCCCGCGCAGCGTTTCACGCTCAGCCGCACTCTTTCACCGCTTAGCTTCGACCTCGCCACGAGTGTCCCTCTGGATTCTGGCCACCCCTTTGTAACTGTAGCAGCGCCGCGAAAAAGCGAGTTTGTCACCACCCCGACAAGGTGTCTAGAAGGAGGCGCGGATGAGCGCTGCGAGGCCCCAGGCCTTGTCGCTGAGCGAGCTGCCGCCCGCGAAGGTGCCCAGCCCCTGCGCGAACGACCAGGCGCGCACTGGCTTGGCGAGTGGGTAGTCGAGCGGCCCAGGGATGGCCGTGCGCACCAGCCGGAAGAGCAGGTCGGACGTGACGGCCTTGGTGGAGGTCAACGAGAGCAGGCCTGTGCAGTGTAAGTAAGGACCAGCAGCGCTCAGCAGCTGCGCAGCTCACCTTCCGGACCGGCGAAGCGGCCGCTGCCTGACGCCTTGACGCCGCCGAAGGGCAAGCCCTGGTTCAGATAGCCGCACGCGAAGCTGGGAAGAGGATGCGGCGTCAGCATGCCGTCGCGCAGGCATGCAGAGAGGGACTTACTCGTTGATGTTGCACATGCCGGCCTCCATCTGGCTCGCCACATAGCGGCACTCCCTCTCGTTTGAGCCGAACACGCTCGAGCCTGCATCGCTCTGGTCAGCAACAGACGCGTTGCGAGAGCAAGCCGGGCTCACCAAGGCCGTAACGCGTGCCATTGGCAAGCTGAATCGCCTCCTCCGTCGTGTCAAACGCCATCACGACTGTGGGGAGATGTAAGAGCCAGGCTGACAAGAGCAAGTCAATGCGTGCTCACGCATGACAGGCGCGAAGAGCTCTTCTTGCGCGATCTCCATGTCACTGCGCAGAGGTGAGCGGAAGGGCAGAGTCATGCACAGCGAGCGTACTCACGGAGTCACGTCGACAAGCAGCGTCGGCGCAAAGTAATGTCCGCTGGGATGCTTGGGGTGCACGAAGCGCTTGCCGCCAACGAGGCAGCGGGCGCCCTTGCTGACGGCATCCGCGACGAGCTGCTCGAGTCTGGGGATGCGTGCGCCCGTGATCAATGCACCGACGTCGACGTGTGCGCTGGCCTTCTCGCGCGAGCCAGAGAAGGGCGTGTCGTCGAGGAACGAGCCAAGCTGGAGAGCACGCACGCGCGGCTCGACGAGCTCGATGAAGCGAGGCAGAATGGAACGAGCGACGAGGAAGCGCTCAATGCCGATGCAGTTCTGGCCGCCAGCACCGAAGGCGGCGCGCAGGAAGGTCGGCACGAAGAAGGGCAGATCGGTGCCGGGCAGGGCAATGAGCGGGTCCTTGCCGCCGAGCTCCGGCGTGAGCGGGATCATGGCCGACGCAGCGTCCATAGCCACGAGCTTCGCGACCTGCAGCACGCCGCATTCAGCGTAGCGCTATCAGTTGAGTCGCGTTGCGCACTCACCGACTCGCTGCCGATGAACGTCAGGTGCTTGATGAGCGGGTTGGCCGTCACGGCTGAGGCATTCTGCGGGTAACAGCACACGACCTGCACCAGATCCGGGTCCTCGCCGCAGGCCTCGAGGCAGGCGCGAAGGCCGCTGAGCACGTAGGAAGACGACCAGGCGACCTGCTCTGACACCTTGACGACTACGGCATTGCCGGCAGCAAGCGCCGCGACCACTGGCGAGAGCAGATTGTGGATCGGGTAGTTCCAGCTCACGCACGCGGCTACGACGCCGAGCGGCACGTGGTGGACCTCGCAGCGCTTGTGGGCTAGCAGAAGATTGCTGGAGCGCACCTCGGGCTTCAGGACACGCTCTGTGTTCGCGACAAGCCAGTCGATCTTGGACAGCGTCGTGAGGATCTCGCCGAGCAGCGCGTCGACAGCCTGAGCGAAGAAGGTCACGGAGCTGCCGGGCAACACCAGCACGCATCACTCACCGTCTTGCCCGTGTCGCGGCAGGCGACGCGCGCAATGCCCTCCATGTCGTCGACACACCACTTCTTGATCGTGCGCAAGAGGCGGCGGCGGCGCGCAAAGCTCGACGTGCCCCAGGCACGGCGCGCGACGTCGGCGCGGCGCACCTTGTCCTCGGCCTGCTCGCGCGAGTCGGCGGGCAGGTCAGCAATGTGCTGTGCGGTAGCAGGGTCGTAGCAGACGATGACGTCCGGCCGGCTGGCATCGCTGATGGCGGGCTCGGCGAGCACGCGGCCCGTCCAGCCGGGCTGCGCGGCCTCGGGCACGGGCAGCGAGATGGGCAGGGCGCGCTCGGCGGCGCGGTGCCGCAGCGCGAAGAAGAGGAAGAGCACGAGCGGCGCAGCGACAAAGGAGCCAAAGGCGTAGAGCAGCAGCGCCGTGTCGGCGCGCTGCCGTGGCGGCTCGAGCATGTTGGCTGAGGCGAGGATGGTGAGGGAGCGGAGGTGAGCATGAGGCGTGTTCGGTGAGAAGGACTGCCTGGACCCACGGCTGCACAGCCGCGGCCCGACTCCCGAGGCGCTGCGCCCCTCCAGAATTAGCTACGCCGTCTCGCCGGTACCTTGCCGGCCTCGCTGCGCCACGCTCTTGCCGTCCCTCCACCACTACTCGCAGGCCCTACAACACCAGCTCCTTGCACGTGCTCCGCCTGCCCGCCGTCGCTGCTGCCCCCGTCGATGCTCGCGCGCCTGCTCGGCCGCGCCACTCCCCGCCTGCGCCCGCTCTCGCCGCCCGCCTCGCCGCGCCTCTCCACCCTCGGCGCTCCTCTGCGCTCGCGGCACGCCCCGTCGCTGACGCTCGCCGCCGCCTCTGCTGCCGCTGCGTTTTTCGCACTGCGCACCAGCCCGCTCGCTGCTCCGCGCCTCGCCGTCCCGCAGCGCGGCCTCGCGACCATGGCGGCCACGCAGCCCGCGCCGCCGCAGGCGCACGCCAACTTCGACCTCGTGCGCCGCGTCGAGCTGCACTATGCGCCGGGCATGAGCGTCGAGAAGTGGCAGAGCCGCGTGACGGGCATGACGGTGTATTGGGCCAACTTCGACAGTGAGTACTGCGCCGGCGCGAGCAGGAGGCGACAGTGGGCCCGAGCGATAGCGCGACGGCAGTGATCGCCAAGGGGCAGCGTCCAGTAGCTGTGCACTGCGGCGCAGTCTATCGCCCTACTGACGCAGCGCTGGCAGGTCCGCTGCTGAACAGCTATGCGACGATGGCGTCTGAGATCTTCGAGGACAGCGGCGTGCCGCACACGCTGGAGCACCTCATCTTCCTTGGGTGCGTTGCAGTGAGGGTCCGCGGCGGGATGCCACTGACAGCCAGCGCTGTCCAGCTCCAAGAAGTACCCGTACAAGGGCGTGCTCGACAGCCTGGCCAACCGCGCGTTCGCCAGCGGCACCAATGCATGGACCGCCAACGACCACACGGCCTACACGCTCACGACGGCGGGTTCTGACGGCTTCCTCCGCATGCTCGACATCTACCTCGACCACACCTTCTTCCCGACGCTCACTGCCGCAGGCTTCACGACTGAGGTCTTCCACGTGAATGGCAAGGGCGAGGACTCGGGCGTCGTCTTCTCGGAGATGCAGGGGTGAGTGCGGTCGCTGCGACACATAGAACGCATCTGACGCCTGCTGCAGCCGCGAGAACACGGCAGGTGACTTGATGGAGCTCAAGAACCAGCGCATGCTGTACCCGCGCAGCTCGGCTTACCGCTCCGAGACCGGCGGCCTGATGTCTGCGCTGCGTGTGCTCAAGATCCAGGACATCCGCAAATATCACGCCACGTATTACGCGCCGCACAACATGGCGCTCGTCGTGTGCGGCCCGCTGGAGCGCGCCGCGCTGCTGGACTCACTGGCGCCGATCGAGGAGCGGCTGCAGGCTGCCGGCTCGACGCATGGCCCGCAGGGTCCGCAGGGCTGGAAGCGGCCGTTTGTTGAGACGCAGAGCAACGTTGCGCCCGTCATTGACGGCGCGGCCGAGACGCCGGGCGTCGACCGCCCGGACCCGGATCAGCCCGTCGAGAAGCGCCGGCGCCGCGCGTTCATCGAGTTCCCGGAGAAGGACGAGAGCGTCGGCGAGGTGGCCGTGACGTGGGTCGGGCCGCAGTACCACGACTTCCTCACGAACGAGGCGCTCAGCGTGCTCAGCACGTACCTCATCGACTCTGCTGTCTCACCGGTGCAGCAGGCCTTTGTCGAGCGCGACGATCCGCTGTGCACCGACATCTACATGGCCAACGAGGACAAGGCGGGCCACACGACGCTGAGCGCCTACTTCTCCTCGGTGCCGACCGAGAAGCTGGACACGCTGGACCGCGAGCTCGTGACGCTGCTGGAGAAGATCCGCAGCGAGGGCATCGACATGACGCGCATCGCCCTCGTGCTCAAGCGCGACCGGCTGAAGCTGCTGGCCAGCCTCGAGACGAAGCCGGCCGACTCGTTTGCCGACGCCATCATCGCCGACATGCTCTACGGCCGGCGCGACGGTGCCGACCTCGAGGCGGCGCTGGACGACATGACGCGCTTCGACCAGCTGTCGGCCTGGAGTGCCGAGCAGTGGGCCGCGCTGCTCGACAAGTGGCTCATCGGCAACTCGCGCAATGTCGTCATCGGACGGCCGTCGCGCTCGCTCGCCGCCAAGCTCAAGGCCGAGACCAAGGCTCTGGAGGAGTCTCGCCGCAAGGAGCTTGGCGAGAAGGGCCTCAAGCGCCTGGATGAGGAGCTCGAGAAGGCAAAGGCGGAGAACGACCGCGACATTCCGCCAGAGATGCTGAACAGCTTTGCCGTGCCGAGCGTAGACAGCATCAAGTGGATCGAGGTCGGCACGGCCGTCAACGTGCCTGGCGGGGCCAGCAAGACGTCGCGAGCCGTCGCCGCCATCAACGGCTCCGGCGGCGCTCCGTCCGCACTTGACCGTCGCGTGCAGGAGCATGTCGAGAAGGACGGCGAGCCGCTGCCCTTTGCCATCCAGTGGGACCACGTCAGCAGCGCGTTCTGCACCGTCACTGCCATCTTCAGCACCGCAGCACTGCCGCCGCACCTGCGCGGCCACCTCAATCTTTACCTCTCGGCGCTCTTCTCGCTGCCCATCACGCGGCCCGACGGCACGAAGCTGGGCTTTGAGGCCGTGGTCAAGGGCCTGGACGAGGACACGCTCGGCTACGAGACGGGCCTGGGCGTCGGCAATGGCTTCGCCGAGATGCTGTCCGTCGAGATCCGCGTCGAGCGGGAGAACTACGGCAAGGCAATTGCCTGGCTGCGCGGTGAGTGCTGAGTGAAGATCAGCATTGACCTCGCCACTGACATTCCCCTCTGCGCAGACCTACTGTGGGGCGCAGAGCTCTCCGTCGAGCGGCTTCGCGTCACTGCGGCTAAGCTCGTGCAGTCGCTGCCCGAGCAGAAGCGCGATGGACGGTCGGTGAGTCTGCGCTTGACTGCTCACAGCTGCGCCTCGTGCTCACCGCGTCGCCTTCCTCAGATCTCCTGGTCGCTCTCCCGCGCTCTGACGCACTCGCTCGAGCTGTCGACGAACGTGGCGAACTCCGTGCTCTCGGTGCGTATTCGGAGTCGCGCCGCTGCTCGCGCATCGCTGACCATTTCCTGTCGCTGCAGAGCCTGGAGACGATTCCGAAGCTCGCTGAGCGTCTCGGTGCCGCTGATGCGAGCACCAGCGACGCCGAAGCCGTCGTGCGCGAGCTCGACGAGATCCGCAGCGTGCTCTTCCGACCCGAGCGCATGCGCGTCAGCGTGACGGGCGACGTGCTCGGCCTCAAGCGGCCACGCAGCGACTGGGTCGACAACCTGCTGCGCGAGAAGAGCTGGCAGCCGGTGCAGACCGAGCCCGTGCCGTGGTCCAGCCAGGTGCTGACAGCACTTGGCAAGGAGCCAGCCAAGAAGGTGAAGGCCGACGGCACGCTGAAGATGCAACTGTTGCTGATGCCGCCGCTCAGGGTCTCATCTGCCCGCTGCCTACGATCGAGAGCTCGTACTCGGTCTTCACGGCCAAGGGCCTCAGCGGTTTTGAGCAGCCCGACACGGCCGCGCTCGTCGTGACCATTGGCATCCTGAACGCGATGGAGGTGAGCGTGCCTGAGACTCAACAGCGCAGGATGTCGCTGACTTCGGTGCCCGCCAGTCGTACCTCTGGCGCTTCATTCGCGGCGCTGGCCTGGCGTACGGCGCCAGCATCCGCTCCGACACGGAGGCGGGGCACATCCACTTCTCGCTCTACCGGTCGCCCGACTCGGCCAAGGCGTTCGCAGAGGCCAAGAAGGTCATCGGCCAGCTTGCCGCCGGCACGATGGCCATCGACCAGACGACGCTCGACAGCGGTGAGTCCAGACATTGACCGCTGGCTTGCTGTCTCCTGACCCCGCTTCTCTCTGCAGCCAAGAGCTCGCTGCATTTCTCAGTCGCCGACTCGGAGGGCACGGTCGGCCAGGCAGCCGCCGAGAGCTTCGTCGACGTGCTCAAGGGCACGGGCAAGGGCCGCGGCCGCCGCCTGCTGGCGGACATCGAGCACGTGCAGCTGGCCGATGTGCAGGAGTCACTGAAGAAGGTGCGAGCCCAGCTTGGCGCCCCTGCGCTCTATGCTGATCGCCTGCGCAGTACATCCTGCCAATCTTCGACCCCGCCACGAGCGTGTGCGCCGTCGCATGCGCGCCCGCTCGCACGGAGGAGGTGAGCATTCTCTGCTGCGCTTCACAGCGGTGCTGCTGCTCACGCGCCTCGTCGTCAGATCCAAACGGCCCTTACGCAGGTTGGCTACGAGATGGAGCGGCGTGACCTCGACATTGGCGCGGACAGCGACGCAAGCGGCAGTGAGAGCGGCAGCGGCAGCGAGAGCGGCAGTGAGAGCGAGGAGGAGAGCGAGGACGAGGGCGCCAAGGGCAAGCTGTGAAAGGGCATAGACGTAGACCCTCGACGCCGGACCCTGTGCCACCATCTGAAATCAGACCGGGTCCTGGATGTAGTGTGTACATTGCTGCCAGCGCGGATCATGCTGCGGCCAGGCTCTTGATGTACGAGCTCGTCGCCTCAAGGCTGGAGGCGGTGCGGGCGATCTGCTGGTCCCACCTGCGTGACGAGTCAGCACGTGTGTCGAGACCCCTCAGCAGCACACTAGCTCACCGCCGTGTCCAGACTGCGTCGGGATCGTCTTCGTCCTCCTGAGCCTCGCCTTCGTCGCCATCGCCGGCCACGTTGCCAAGTCCGCCAGCGGTGCCCGCCTCTGCTGCGCCGCCGCGGCCGCCTGCCAAGAAGGTGACGACGCCTCCGCCAGGGCCCACTTGGTCGATCTCGGCCTTAAGACGGCCCTGCACGACCATGCGGCGCACTGTCGACTCGGCGGCTGGGCGTGCGTCAGCCAGAATCAGGATAGCACATACGGCAGACTCACCTGGCGCAGTCAGGTCCAGCAGCAGAGCCAGTCCGCTGAAGGTGATGTTGGCGTACAGCGTCGAGGCGGCCAGCACGTTGTGCTCGATCATGGCGCGCGACAGCACTGTCTGGGTGCGCAGGACGGGAGCAGGCGGCGGCGCCGAGTCGCCCATCTCGACGTCGCCGTCCGAGTTGGAGGCAGCGGCAGCTGCAGCGGCAGCATCGGCGGCAGCCATGGCCTTCTCATTGGCCGTCGGCGGCAGCTCGGCCTTCTGGTGCGGCGCTAGCATGGCCTCGAACGAGGCGATCTCCGACGCGCGGATGATCTGGCCGAGGAACACCTTGGTCAGGATCGTGTGCTGGTCCAGCGAGGACGTGCGCTCGTCGCGGATCAGCGTCGCGAGAATGCGCGAGCGCTGCGGTCCGGCTGGAGAAAGGATCGCAGCAGTCACGGCGGCAGACCTGAAGCAAACCATGTCAGCATCGCTGCTGTTGCAGTCAGGCCCGAACTTACAATGCCTGCGTCCGCTCGTCCTCGTCGATCTCGGGCACGAAGCTCAGCTCGTGATAGCGCGTGCTGGCCTCCATGAAGCGGCGCTGAGCGTCGTAGATGCGCGCTTGGCACAGCTTGAACATGAGGCCGAGCTTCTTGCCCTCGCGGCGCTCCTCGGGCGTGCCCTCCTGCTCGATGCCCGGCAGCGCCGGCGTGGCGCCGGGCACGGCGTGCAGCACGAGCGAGGCGCGCTTCAGCGACACGTCTGCACCGACGGCATCGTCAGCCTCGAGCAGCAGGCGCACGATGCGCACGAGCACGTCGAGCTTGTTGGTGTCGGACACGGCTCGATGACCCGAGTCTAATGGGATGCCCTGCAGCACCCCTGCCGCCGCCGCCCAGTCTTCCGCCGACTCGTACAGGTCGGCCAGATGCAGTCGCAGCGACGACGCCTTGAGAGATGGCGCGTTAGCTCAGAGCTCAGCGACATCTCCATGAGTGCACTCACCTGCTCCTCGAAGCTGAGCACTCGCGGCTGCACCTTCTCGATGGCATCCTCGAACAGCGTCGTGCGCGTCTCCTCGTCCCAGACGGCCGGGTCCTCGGCGCCCAGCTCCTCGTCCTTGCGCTCAGCCGGCGGCGCGCTCAGCGGTCCCGCAAGCGCCGTGTCAAAGGCCTCCAGCACCTGGCGGCCTACGACGAGGCCGCCGCCCGTGGAGTTGGCATCGCTGAACACGGCGGCGTCGAGGAAGGCGGCGAGCGCAGCGCGCAGGGCAGCCGGCGAAACGTCGCGGCGCGGGCGGCGCAGCAGGGAGTGCAGCTGCTCCTGGTACGCTGCGGCGCGCGTCGACGTCGGCGAGCTGGCCAGTGCCGAGAGGGCGGCGAGGAAGTCGGCGGGCGCCGCGTCCGTCATGCTGGGCACGCCGGGTCGAGCTGAGCGGGCAGGTGGAGGCGCGAGGGTGGAGCGGGCAGTCGCAGCGCTGCTGAGAGCGAAGGTAAAGCAGGTGCGCTGCACCGCTGTCCAAGTGCTCGGGTGTGTGGGTGCGAGGCAGGGAGGGGGATGGTGGTGCTCATCAAGCCGCGCCCGCTGTCGAAGCGTCATCAGCGCGGCGCCGCGGCGGGTGGAGAGCGAGGCCTTGAGCTTGCTGGCTCGTGCACCGTGCGCCGCGCGCCAGCTTCCCTGAGGCATCCTCCGCCTGGCCTCTTCCTTCTCTACCACTCACTGCTCGCTCGCTGTCTTTGTTTTCTCTCCCCCGACCCCTTCGCCGGCTTGCACACCTCTGCAGCGTGTCTGTTGCTAGTTTGCGAGCGTCGTCGTGAGAGCGAGTGCCCCGCCGCTGCTGCACGTCCTCGCCGCCCTCCACACCGGAGACCAACACTCGCTGCCGCGCGTGCCCACCAGCCGACCGGCTCGCCGCCATGGCAGCCTCAGGCAGCGCAGCCGAGGCTTCTGCCGCCATGCCCTACAGCGCTGTTGCTCCTGCAGCGTCGTCGACCATGCCTGCTGCCGCCGCTGCCGAGCCGGCGGTCGAGGAGTGGATCGCCGTGCGCGTCAGGCACGGTAGTGCTGTGCACTCGCTGCGCCTGGCGCACGAGGATCTCGTCGAGGATCTCAAGGCCGCCATCTTCTCGCTCACCGACATTCCGCCGGAGCGGCAGAAGATTCTCGGCCTCAGCCGCGGCCGGCTGCCGCCGGACAGCAGCCGCATCTCGCAGCTGGCGCCGCCGCCGTCGAGCTGGAAGGGGCGCAGCGAACTGGGCGAGCGCATTCTCGCGCTGCAGGTCATTGGCACGCCGCTTGTCGACACGTTCAAGGATCCGGCGGCGCTGCTAGGTCTCGAGGTGAGCTCTATCCTGCAGCGATGTCTGTGCGGCTGTGCTCACATGCCCGCAGGACGCGCGCGAGACGGCGGCTCTGTCCGAGGACGTCGACTACCAGGCCCCTCAGGAGGAGGCCAAGGCGCAGAAGACGCTTCTCCCGTGAGTGTGGACGCCCTCTTTGCACGACCGCGCTCACACAGCTCTTCTTTCTCCCAGACATGAGAACCCAAAGGTGAGCATGTAGCCTCTCGCGGTCGGGCCGCATCCTGACACCCGCCTGCAGAACCACGCCAAGCTGGAGAAGACCATCCAGCGCTTCGGCGACTTTCCCGTAATGCACCCGCCTCGCAGCGGCCTGAAAGGTGGTCTGCTGGTGCTTGTGAGTCAGGCGTGCTGCTGTCTTCCGACCACGCTCACGCGCGACGTGCAGGACCTCGACTACACGATCGCAGACACCAAAGTCTTGCTCGACAACTCCCGGCTCGCCAGCGAGTCCATTCGGCCCGGCTTGCATGATGTGCGTCTCACCAGGGAGTCAGTGCCGACAGCGCTTTGCTTACTGCAGCCGCTGCGCAGTTCCTGGCGGCTGTCTACCCGTACTACGATATCTGCGTCTGGAGCCAGACGTCCTGGCGCTGGCTCGAGGCTAAGCTGACTGAGCTCAACATGCTCGCCGACCCGCGATGTGAGCTGTGCCTGCGCTGAGCTTGGACCGACGGCCCTGACGTGCGCGCGCCGAATCCGCAGACCGCATCTCCTTCGTCATCGACCGCACGCCAATGTTCAGCGTGAAGAGCCTGATGTGGGAGAAGCCCGACATTACAAAGCCGGCTGTGCAGACGGAGTACAAGCACGAGGTCAAGGGTGCGTATGACGCTGCGTGCGGCATCGACTTGCTGGCGACGCTCACGCTCTCTCGGCATCGGCAGCGCTGGAGCTCATCTGGCGGCGCTTTCCGGAACACTACAGCGCAGGTACGTCTGGCAGGCGTCTGTGCTGGCCGTGGCCCGACGCTCACGCTCTGCCCCGCCAGCCAACACGCTGCACGTGGACGATCTCTCGCGCAACTTCGCCATGAACCCGGCCAACGGGCTCAAGATCACGCCGTATCGGTGCGTCGCCTCGCAGCAGCCCTGTCGCTTTCATTGGCTGACTTTGCTTGCAGCAAAGCACCCCGCTTCGACTCTGAGCTCGCCGCGCTGAAGCGCTACTGCCTGCAGCTGGCACACCCAAACGTGACGAACTTCAACGAGGCGTGTCCGAACAACGCGGACTGGAAGTACGTGCAGCTGCCTCTCGTCACCGACCTGCCGCAATCGACGACGGTGGCGGCGACGCCCGACACGCCGCGCCCGGCGGCGGGAGAGCTGCCGCAGGAGACGGACGAGACGATGGCGGCGGCGGCGCCGGCTGACGCCGCAGCTGCTGCATCCACCGCCGCTGAGAGCACCGAGGGTGCAGCTCCTGATGCGGCGGAGCTGCAGCGCCTCTCAAGCACTCCTACTCCGCCTCCGTCCTCGTCCCAGTCGCTGTCGCAGGCCACCGCGCAGCAGCCAGGCACGCAGGCCGACACGCCGGATGTGGCCGGTCCGCCGCAGGCCGACTGATTCCTCCCCCATCCCTCTCCGCCCCTCTCACGACCCCCCTTCACGCACTCATGACGCATTCGCCGCCCTCACATCATCTCATCATCACGGACACCTCATCCCCAGCACGTCTCATGTCCACCACCCACCCACAGCATCAGTCCACACATGCGCCGCGCGTCTCGAGTGCACAGGGTGTATTCATTCGTGGTAGTTGACGATTCGGGGGAGGGAGTGGGTGCTACGCGCGGGACAGATGCAGGAGAGAGAGCCGAGAGACACGAGAAGAATAGCCGATGAGAGCAGAGAGGGCCCGGTCAGAGCGCGGCGCGCAGCAGGCCGCGACGTTGCGCCTGGCCATGGGCCAGTGTGCGGTCAGGAGCGCTTACTGGCGCGCCTTGGCGAAGCCCACAGCGTTGCGGCCGAGGTCGTAGACGGTGTAGTACTTCCGCAGGAAGACGTCGCCGACGATCCAGAGCGGGCCGGCCGGCGGCGGGATGTCAAGGCCGGTGCTGCGGAGAGAGAGAGGTCAGCTCATGCCGCCAGTGTTCGGCGTGTGCTTTCGGCGCCACACTCACAAGGGCGAGATGCAGCTGCCCTGCACCTGCAGAATGTAGTCCTGCGGCGTGAGCGTGTACTTCTTGCCGTCGAGCTTGAAGGTGAAGTCGGGCATGCTGTCGAGCTTCTCGCACTCGACCGAATACGAGCCGTTCCAGCCCTTCTTGGCGCCGAGCTCCTTGTTGATCAGCTCGGCCATGTCCGACGGCAGCGCAATGAGCGAGGTGCCTGCGGTGCAGAGTCAGCATCGCCGTGTTTGCGCTCAGCCGTGGCAGGGCTCACCGGTGTCGATGGCAGCGCCAGTGTTCTCGAGCTCAAGCTCGTCGTCGCCGAGGAACACGGAGTCGAGGGCGACCTCCCAGTAGGCTACAGCCGCGCATCAGCACACGCAGCACGCGTTCACCCGCTGCAGCAACTCACCCTTGCGGCGCAGCGGCGCGTACACAATCTTGCCCTCGTAGTGGCTCTCGTCGATGCCGCCGAACGTGGCCATGCCGCCGTCCTCCTCGGACGAGCCGAGGTAGAAGCCGAACACGGGCGCGTCGAGCAGGCCCTGGTTGACCATCTGGTAGAAGGGCGGCACGATGCCGTTGACACTGATCGTGTCGTAGGCGAGGCCGAGGATACCGTCAAACTTGCCAAACGCGACTAGTGGGTGGAGAGAGCGTCAGCAGTTGCAGCGCCACTCGCTCTCGCGCACCACGCACACGCAAGGCCGGGCTCCGAGGTGGCCTCGGCAAAGTCCTGGCCCTTGATCTTGAGGTCGCCGATGGTCAGCACGTCGTTGCTGACGTAGCCCTCCATGGCGCCCGAGCCGTACTGGATCTTGAACTCGGTGCCGTTCTTCTTGTACGTCGACGACGCCGAGTTGTCGTACTTGGTGTGCAGGAAGCACGCAATCGACGAGCACTTGGTCGACGGCACCCACAGGTTGCTCGAGCCCGTGTCGAGGATGACCTTGAACGACTGCGGCGGCGTGCCGAGCGTGATGTCGGCAAAGTACTGGGCGTTCATGAAGTCTGCGGTGCGCGCGGGTGGTGTGAGCTGCCTGCTGCGCACGGACGCACATCCGCGAGCCAGCCCCTGAGTGGCACCGCACGCCAGCCACTCACCGCTCAGCGGCACGCCGTGGCCCTTCTTGGCCTCGGCCAGCCAGGCACTGCGGTCCTCGGAGGCGTCGTGCGGCAGGATGCCAAAGTCGGCCTCCTGGTTGTCGCCGGCATGCTTGCCGACGCCGGGCGCGACGAACGGCGACTGGCCGCGCTGGCCGGCGGCCGAGTACTTGTGCTGCAGCACGGCGGCCTGGGCGCGCAGCGAGTCGAGCGTCGTGCCGCTGGCGAGCGGGTGCTTGGACAGCTTGGCCCTGCGTGGAGTGTCAGCGGCAGCGCAGCGAGGATGTGCGCAGCAGCAGCGCCAGAAGCGGCAGGGGCGGCAGCAGTGCGAGCACCGCTGCGCCACGCGCGCCGCGCGGCACTCACTTGTGCACGCCGGCCTCGACGCCGGCAGCAGCGGCGAGGGCGGTGACGAATGCGAGAGAGAGCTTCATGGTGCGGGGGTGGAGGGGATGGTGGGGGGCGAGAGGCAGGGCGTGCGGCGGCGGCTGAGCAGGACGTGCAACCGCCGCGGTGCTCGGTGCGACCGCCGCTGCCGCTGCTGCGCACCACGCCACGCCGGCGGTGTGGAGCAGCGCGGCCGCGCGCGAGCGAGAGGGTGCAGCAGCCGGCAGCACGCCGCCTGCCTACGCTCAGCGGCTGCGCGGGCCCCTGCGCGCTGCCGAGCCGATGCGGCGATGGGCCGTGGGCACAGGGCCTGTGCTGCGTGCTGGCGGCGCGCCTATCGAGCTGCATGCAGCCGCCGCCCCTCTTCGGCGCACGCTGCCGTCACCAGGCACCAAAGCTGCAGGCAGCAGAGCCCCGGCCAAAGCCACCCCGCCGCGGCCGCGATCTCGCGCTGCATCTGCAGCACGCACCTTGACGCCACGGGCAAGGGGCGCTGTGACTCGCTCGCGCCGCAGCAACGCTCAAGAGGCGCGCATCTCGAGCCCGTCGTGGCCTCGTCGCAGCACGCTCAACGATGTCCGGCCATCCGGCGCGCCTCGACGTGCGCCCGCCCTACTATCTCGTCGCCTTCAGCAGCTCGCGCCGGCCCGACCTCGACGGCGCCGCCTACGCGCGCACGGCCGCACTGATGGAGCAGCTCGTGCAGCGCTCGCCCGGCTATCTCGGCGCCGAGTCGGCGGCGCAGGGTGACAAGGGCATCACCCTCTCGTACTGGCGCGACGAGGCCAGCATCCGCGAGTGGAAGCGCAACGCAGAACACCTCGTCGCGCAGCAGCTCGGCAAGGAGGCGTGGTATGCCGCCTACCGCACACGCGTGGCACTCGTGCAGCGCGAGTATGGCTGGGAGGAGGAGGCGGCAGAGGCGGAGCGGGACCGCAGGCGAGAATGAGAATAGAGAGGCCTCGCTCTGCCACCTTCACACGCCGCATGTCACGGTGCATCGCTCCACCGACGAGGCCGCGCCAGGGTCCCCTCGCCTCCCACAGGCTCTCGCCACGCCAGGGTATGATGTGCTATTCGGCTCGGCTAGTGTGGGGCGCGATTGGGGTATATGAGCTACTCAATGCGCCTGCGCGGAGCGCGAGACGGACTGGCAGGCTCGCTCCGCTCGGAGCTGGATGACTCGTTCGAGGGTGTGCGGCGATGCGCGCTGGAGAGAAGAGCGAGACGCGGGCTGGAGCGAAGGCCGGAGCGCGAGCCGTCGCGAGGCGCGACAGTCGGGTTCTCCTTGTCTGCCCGCTTCCGCTTTGCAGGCACGGCAGGAGCACTCTTACTCTTCGTTCCTGCGCCGCGCGTGGGCCGCGAGCCCTCGGACTTGCAGAACGGCGAGGTGAGCGGCGCACCGCGACTGCTGCTAGCCTCGTCTTGTGCCGCCCGGTCGCGAGCGATCACGGTGCAGTCGGCAGAAGCCTGAGCCAGCGCGTTGATCCAGTTCTCGTATGCATGCGACTCGGGCGCTGAGAGGATGCCACCAACGGGCGGAAGGGGGCGGGAAAGAGAGGACGCCGTCGTCGTCGCGACGTCTTTGCCAAAGATGGGCCTAAGAGACGCGTCACTGAACAAGGCCTTCCATGGGCCCTCGAGAGCGATGAGAGTTCCCGTGCGTAGTCCCTGAGCGATACACCTGGTCAGCACACGCTGGCAGCCCGGTGTCGCGCAGCATCAGAAACTCACCATTCGCGGCGCGCCATCGCCTAGAAGCGTCTCCTTGTACTTCGGATCCTTCAGCTTCTCCGACAGCTCTTGCCTGCCGGCTCGCAGTGCGCTGTGATGCAGAAATAGGTAGAACAGCGACTCGAGATCGTCGATTGCGCGATGCTGCATCGATTCGACGTTGAGATCGTCCCGCTGCCGCTGGATCTCTGCGCAGTGCTCCTCAATCCCCATGGCGAGCTCGCGGCGTTCTTCTTCCGTCTTGACCTCCGCGTGCCGTTTTCGCTCGCGAACCAGTTCCTGCTCCTCGTCGGCGAGGATCTTGAGGATAGTCGCACTGCTTGTTGAGCGCAGCGACATGAAGTGTTGATTGGCACTGCGAGCGTCGTCGGCGGCCAGGCGCAAGCGGCGCGCGTCGTTTGCCGCGTCTTCGAGGTCGCCGCGAGGATCATCGCCGATGCGGGCGTTGCCGAAGTCGATCAGCAACGGCTGTGGGTCGTCGCCGCTACTATCTGCCACGAGCAGCAGATTGCCGCTGTTGATGTCGCGGTAGTGTACGTTGGCGAGAGCCACATCGCGCAAGATCTCCGCAGCGCGGCTGAAGAAGAGAAGCATGTCTCTTGCTGACATCTCGGACGTCTCGACCTTCTTCGCAACAGGGGAGGTCATCACGACGACGTCGAGCGCAATGCCGTGCCAGGACCATTCGGGAATCTGGCCGCTGGCCTCGCCCATCATCTCAGGCTCGCGGACGAGCGCGTTGGAACTCGTGTGGACGCGAGCGAGCTCGGGCAGGAGCACGGTGCTGAGCAGTACCGGCACGTTCTTGACGTTGTGATGAGCGAGATGACGTAGAACCTTTGCTTCGTGACCGACAAGGTAGGACGCGACCCAGGTCGTCTTGATGACGACGTACTGGGGCGCGTCCGAGTCGGGCGCCTCGCCGGTCGGACTGCCTGACTCGGCACGGATGGCAGGCCTGAGCCTCTTTGCCTTCCCCGCCCAACAGGCTGTCCGGCCGCCGAAGAGCTCATTGCGCACGATGAGCAGCTGAGGCTCGTCGACGAAACCCCAGTCTTCGACTGTCGCGGCTGAGGAGGACGACTGCGCCTCGGCGTCTTGCGTCCGAGCGATGCGAAAGGGCGTCCCTGCTGGCGGCGGTGTCCATCGAACGAGCACCTCGCTCGGATTGGTGACGAAGGTGATGAACTTGACGAAAGTGGGCATGTGATCGGCGCGGCCCAGGTCGATGGCCAGCGCGCACGAGTACGTGTGAGCGTCGAAGCGCCAGAGACGCAGTACGTGTCCGCAGAGTGTGAAGCCGTGGCACACCGCTACGGCGCACTGTTCGCGACGCAGGATCCACATGTACCAAGCGAGCTGACTCATGAGTCGCTCGTCTTTGTCCTGCTCTTCTGTCGGCTTGACCACGCCCACGAACAGGACGTCGGCAAAGTGTGGGCTGGCAGCAGACGACATGCTTCGCCGGAGTGTGACGTCTGCTGGACTATACGTGACTTCCTCGTCCTCATCGCCGCTCTCAAAAGAACGATGCCTATCAGCGTCTAGAAAGGCAGTTCCGGCGCATCTGTGATCTCACTGAGTTCGAGCTTGCGATGGTCCGGTGGCTGGACTTCTCGAACCGCAGCGAGCTGCCGAGCAAAGAGCATGCATCGTTGGCGAGCCGAATGAAGCCGTCCTCCAGTGTCTCTCCTGGCGAGCGGTTGCATGCCATGTCCCGGAACGGGTCGTACGTCGTCTTGCCGATGAGCTGCGAGGCAAGCTCTCGGCACACAGCCTCCGCGCTCTGCTTCGAGGCGCTTCCTTGTTTCTCGCGCAGTGAGATGTTGACAAAGCGTTTGAGGTGACGACCTCGCATGGCCCTGTAGACCTGGTCGTACGGCGGCTCGCTATGCTCCTCGCTGCTCGTGTCCCACTCTTCATCGTCTGCCTCGGGCGCGTGAGATGCTTTGAAGTCAGATGCGCCTGCGCCGTGCGGCAGATGGCCGTCGAAGAAGGCCTCGAGCATGTTCAAGCGACGACGTTGGTGCAGGCAGCTTGAGGCTGGGGTGCCGAGAATAGCGGATGTACGACGGAGGAAAGAAGGGTGAGCGCTGGCTTTGAGGGCGGAGGAGGACAGGTGCGCATCGTCCTTGTGAGGCAGCGCAGCCGACGCCTGGCTTCGCGCGGCTGCTGCGGCCAGAGCGCCGCCCACACCTCGCGAGCGGCCGCTGCGTCTGTGCAGTGCTCAGCGATGCAGCAAGAGCTGCACCGACGCGAGAGAGGAGGGCAAGTGCAGGCTGGCACCGCAACCGGATGCAGAGGCGGGAGGAAGGAGTGGAGCTCAGGGGGAGGCGGGCCGCATTCGATGCGGCGATTCTTGAACTGATCCTAATCGACGCATACAGCTCCGGCTTGCTTTCCCACGGCGCCAAATACAAAGGCGCCTCTGCGGCTTGTAGTCCGATTAGCAATGATTTGGCGCGGAGCCTCTCGCACGGGTCGCGCACGGGCGCCGCCCCCTCTCCGCCTCCTCTCCGCTCTCCATCAGGCACAGGCAGACACCTTCTCGGCCCCTGTCCCTCCCGCCATCACTGCCAGCGCCACATCCGCACGCGACGTACTGCTTGCCTCCAGAGAGGCAGCCGCGTGTCTCGCCGAAGTCGCTCGCACGTCGCTCTCTTCCTGAAGCTGCCCCGCCGTTGGCCGTCCACACGACCTTCTCCGCTGCTCGCAGCTGCCTCGCCCTCGCTCTCCCGACGTCCGCCTGCCACAGCACATCTCGCAGGCACGCGCCGCCATGGACCAGCGCGCCAATGCGCCGCTGGCGCCCCACCTGGCGGTGCCGAGCGGCTCCGCAGCCGCAAGCCCGGCCGCCGCAGCAGCGGGCTCGCCGGCGCCGTCGCTCTCCATCATCCCGCCGCGGCCGCCGCGGCGGGCCGGCATGCCCAAGCTGGCGCTGCCCTCCTCTCGTGCGCATGGCAGTGTGCTGCTGTTGCTGCGTCTATGAGTTGCTGAGTTCTCTGCACGCAGGCCCCTCGTCAGCTCGCGGCGCCGGCGGCCTATCGCTGGCCATGCCGACGAGCAACGGCCTCTCGGGCCTCTCGACCAACCTCTCGCTCAGCCTCTCGGGCGACGACGACTCTTCGCTGCCTACGCCAGGCCTCGCGCCGCCCAGCGTCGGCTTCGATGTGGAAGAGGGCCATGCCACGGCCGCACTACAGACCATCTACCCCGACACGGTGCCGCACGGCGAGGGGCGGCATCCTGCCGCGCTGACGAACGATCTCATTCGCGCCATTGGCGGGCTTTCCGTCGACGGTGCCGGCTCTGCGTCCGAGACGTCGCATGCAGGCAGCAGCAATGGAGACGCGCAGGCTGGACCGTCCAATGCGGCGCTCCGGCTGCCGGTCGTCGGCTCCAGCGCGGCGGGCGCCGGCATGCACCGCCGCAGTCTGAGCGCCACGAGCGAGGCGAGCAACGCCAGCAGCAGCGGCGCGCGCGACGGCGACGAGTCCGAGGAGTGGAGGCTCAAGGGCCACCTGGAGGATCTGGGGCGCATCGGCGAGGGCGCGAGCGGCGAGGTCAAGAAGGCGCGGCATACGCCGACAGGCATCGTCATGGCCGTCAAGGTGCGTGCTCGTGGCCCGAGCGCATATGAGTGCTTGTCCTGGCGGGCGTTTGCTTGCGTTGGTCGCTGACCTGGGTGAACAGACCATCTCGACGTCGCCCAATCCGGCAATACACCGGCAGATCCTGCGCGAGCTGGCCTTCAACCGCACGTGCCACAGCGAGTACATTGTGCGCTACTACGGCGCCTTTCTCGCCGACGAGGACACGAGCATCGTCATCTGCATGGAGCACTGCGAGGGCGGTAGTCTCGACGGCATCTACAAGATGGTCAAGAAGCGCAACGGGCGCACGGGCGAGAAGGTGCTTGGCAAGGTCGCAGAGGCCGGGCTCAAGGGCCTGGAGTACCTCAGGCAGCGCAAGATCATCCATCGCGGTGAGTGCTGCTGTGCTGCGTGAGCCGTCCGTGCGCTGATCAGACGAGCGCCTCAGACATCAAGCCGTCGAACATCGTCGTGACGCGCTCAGGGCAGATCAAGCTGTGCGACTTTGGCGTCTCGGGCGAGCTGATCAATTCGATGGCGGGCACCTTCACAGGTACAAGCTACTACATGGCAGTGCGTCTGCGCTTTCGGAGCGTCCACGGTCTGCGCTGACCATGTCCCCTCTCGCGCAGCCGGAGCGTATCCGCGGGCTGCCATACAACATCAGCTCCGACGTATGGTCTCTCGGCCTGACAATCCTCGAGGTCGCATCCAATCGCTTCCCCTTCCCGCCCGAGGGCGACCCGCCCTTGGGTCCGATCGACCTGCTCTCATACGTCGTCTCCATGCCGGTGCCCGAGCTGCAGGACGACCCGCAGGCCGGCGTCAAGTGGGGGCGGGCGCTGCGCGACTTCGTCGAGCGCTGTCTCGAGAAGGACCCGGCCAAGCGGCCGGGCCCGACTAAGATGCTCAGCCATCCCTTCATCAAGAAGAGCGAGACGCGGCAGCCGCAGCCCGACATTGCCCGCTTCATCGCCGACGTCTGGGGCTGGCCTGCGCCGCCGCCTGCGCCGGGCTCCGAGCCGAGCAGCACCGCCGCCACGCCCACGACGACCGACGCCGGCATCCTCGGGCGCATCCCAAGCGTGCGCAAGGCGCCCAAGCCCATTGCGCCACTCGTGAGCAGCAAGCCGTCGCTCTCCTCGCTCAAGATTGAGCAGACCAGCGCGCAACGAGGCGAGCCCTCGCCCCTCTCGGCCGGCGCTGCAGGCACGCCGCCCGCCGTGCCGGACGCCACGCAGCTGGATGCGGAGGGCCGCACGGCTTATGAGCGTGCCGAGGCCAAGATGCGCGAGGCCGACGTGGGCCTCGTCGGCAGTCCGACGGTGGACGCAGCTGGCTTCGCCTAAGGCTCTCGCGCTCCCTGCTGTGTGCTCCCTGCTCGCTGCCTTGCCTCAATACACATACCATGCACACGCAGCAGCAACTTTTGACTGATTTGAAATGGTCGCGCGGCGTGTATGAGGCGGGACGGATGACTAGAGTGTGCTTGAGCGAATCGGCAAGCGATGAGTTTGTTTCGAGCGAATGCAGGTGCCGAGTAGGGCTGAGAGAGGCCGGGATGGGAGATCAGGCGCTTGTATGATATCTGACGAGGACTATGAGGGGACGTATGGAGCGTATGGCTGCAGCGGGGGCGATGACGAATATGTGTATGTGGCGGTCGCGCCCAGCAGGGCTGCGCGACCGTGCGCCAAGCCGACCTCGCTGAGATCGACGACGGGACTTGCAGAGGAGACGGATCGGGCAAAGTAGCAGTAGAAGTATTCGGAAAGACGAAGAAGAAGGTGCAGAGAGGACGCGTCCTCCTGCAGATGACGCTGCGCGACCGCAGCAGCGTCTTGCATTTCGGTGAGTCGGGGAGATCAGGAGCGGGCGCCACCAGATTGCCTGGAGCCTCGTCGACGAGGCGGCGGCGCATCCTCCTCGCCATCGTCGGTGTCGTCTGAGTTCTGGCGCGGCGCGCGGGCCGCCGCGTTGGCCTCGTCCGTGCCGATTTTGCTCCACTCCTCGAGCAGCTGGCGGCCGACACTTGGCTCCAGCTCGGTGCCGTCGCGAGACACCTTGACCTGGCGATTGTCGCGCCAGGGATTGCGCAGGCGGCGCACGTTCTGGAACGGCAGCGGGCGTGTTTCGAGCCACTCGATCCGGAACGGCTGGCCCCACGAGTCAGAGGAGGCAGCGCGCGGCGTGTCGACAGACGCCGTGGTGTTGTCCGTCTCGCCAGAGCCCTGCGTGCGCGGCTCGGAGCTCGGCTTGCGCGAAGGCTCGTATACGCCAGACGAGCCGTCGCCGGAGACGACTGAAAGGCCGTTGAGATGAGCCTCGAGCTCGGCAGCCTTGCGCTGCGACTCGCGCTCCTCCAGGCGCAGGTTGTGTATGACGGCGCGGAGGGAGATCTGGTCGGCACGCTGAGCATGAGAGACCGAGACAGAGTCGTTGGGCCCGAGCGACGCGGACATGACGACGCCAGTCGGCGTACCGACAGGGTGCGCCATGTCAAGCCGCTTGATGCCATCGGCATCCGCGTGCGCGACAGACGGTCGCCGGGGCGAACTGCTTGGCGAAGGCGGCCGTGCAGAAGCAAGCTCCTGGTCGCTGATCTCACTGGCGCCGCTGACGATGGGCGCCAGGCTCGAGCGCGAAGAAAGGCTGCTGTTGCTACGCGTAGGGGTGCCGGGCGGAGCGCCCATCTCCGCGGCGGTGGCAGCCCGCAGCAGACGCGGCGAGAGCGTGTTGCGGTGCTGCTGCTCCTGGTCAGCCTCCTGGCACTGGCGCTCCGACGGCGGCCACGTAGCTGCGAAGACCTCGCGGTCGTCGGGCGAGGTGGTCGCGCTTGGGAACTGCCTGTCCTCGTCCAGCGGCGTCATCGGCTGCGGCGAAGCCATCGGATCGCGGTCTCGCTCGGCGGGCGAGAGCATGTACGAGGTCGTGGCGCCGTGCTTGGCCAGGTGCTCGAGCGCCTGCTCCGGCGTCAGCGAGCGTGATGTGCTGCGCGTGGACGTAGAGCTGCTCTCGTCGCCCTCGTCGATGGTCGACGGCTTCGTGACGGTGACGCTTGGCCGTTTCTGCGACGAGTACCCCGCCGGCGACGACGGCGACTGGGCAGGAGAGGGACTCTGCACGATGCTCTTCGGCGACTTTGGCGTGCCGTTGCTGCCATTGCTGCCGTTGCTGTCGCGCTTCGCCTGTGTGCTGCTGCTGGGCGTCGTCTGCGTGCGGATGAGGCTTGTCATGCGCGCGTAGCCGTAGAAGCAGCCGCTCTGGTTGGCACTGAAGACCAGGAACACCGTCTCGCTGTTGCGGTACGCCTGATCGAGCACTGCCTCGTTATGCGGCTGCGTAGCCCATAGGCCGGTCTGCACGGACCGATCCAGGTCCTCGGCGCGCAGACTCTTAAGGATGAAGAAGCGCTCGCGGAAGACTGGGTGTCGAAGCAGCGAGGAGCTCGTCGAGGCAATCGAGATGGAGCCAGAGCTGTCGTGGGCCAGCGGTGGACGATCGCCGCTGCTGCCGGTCGTGGCAGTGGGGCTCAGGCTAAGAGAGAGCATGCTGGCCGGGCTTGCGACGGGCTTCGGTGCGGCAGGCTCAACGGACGGAGTGGAAGGAGATGCTCGAGCCGTCTCATCCGATCCGGAGCGCCTGGGAGACTGCGAGCTGACGCTGCCCTTCGAGCGAGCGTCGCTGGGCTGCCGCGTGGCATGCCCCGCGGAACCGCTGGAGCCACCGCTGTCGGCCTTCTGCGCCCTGGCCGCCTCGCGCCGCTTGCGCTCGTGCTCCTTGACCAAGGCAACGTGGATGCCGCGTCCGCGCTGTCCCTGCACGCCAGCCTGCGACTCGTCCTCCTTCTTGCGCACGCGGCACACCATCTTCGGACAGCGCGTGTCCTCCGGCCGCACCGGCTTGTCATGGAAGAACTTGACCGCGCGCTCGAGATGGCGCGGCGAGGCGTAGTTCACAAAGGCGCAGTTGGAGCGTGAAATGACGAAGATGGAGAGCACGCCGTGGTCGCTCTCGTCGTCTGTTCGCGCACTGACGCTGCCGGTGTCGCCACCAGCATCGTCAGGGCCCTCCTCGGCAGCCGCCCCTGCTTTTGCGTGCTCGGGCTCGGCGTCGTCCGGCGGCAGCTGCGCGAAGACGTTCCACAACTCCTCGACGGTGGCGTCACTGGGGACGTTACCGACCCAGAGGACGTGCTCTGAGCGAGGGCCCTGCTGCGGGTGGTACAGCGGACGGTAGACGCCGCGCGGATGGCTCTGCGACGAATGCGGCGAGCCCGGCACCGCGGCGACAGAGCCTGATGGCACGGTCTGCTGCGTCGTGGCTGAGCCTTCGCCCTGCGGAGCGGCTGGAGGGCGTGGCGGAAGCGGATTGTTGAGCGGCGCGGGTGCGCCAGTGGCGCTGTTGCCTCCGCTGCTGGCGGTCCTTGAGCGACTCGCGCTGGGTTGCGAGCGGCCCAGATCAGGCCGCGGGCGCTGTGCCATCCCACTGACGCCGCCCGGGATTGCCGGAGCAGGACGTGCCGTCGGCATGTGCGGCCCGTACTGCTGGTGTCCGCGAGGCGCTGGCGCGCCCCGGCCTGGGCCGCTGAAACCGCCGCGCGCCGGCATCTGCTGCCCACTTGGCGCCGCCTGCATCAGCGCTCCGGCTGGCGGTGGCGGCCCGGGCTGCGCCACGTAGTACGCCGGCGCCCAGGCGTGAGTGGCCGGCGCGCCTGCTGCAGCGTATGCCTGTGGTGCTTGCCCGTGCTGGGCGTATGGCTGCTGCTGCATGTGCGGCGGCGCGACTATGGCGTACGTCGGCGCCGGTGATGATGGAGGAAAGTAAGGCGCGTAGCCATGCTGCGAGAAGGAACGTCGCTCAGCCGCGAGGGTGGCCTTGTTGAGATGCAGATTGCTCACCGGCGCAGCGGAATACGCTGGATAGTAGCCCGACCATTCGGTCGGCGCCGACGAGCCGCCCATGGACGAGGCCGGCGAGTGCACGTTGCTGATGCTCCCCTGACTCGAGCGCGGCGTCGACGGCTGCGTCTCGACGGCCACGCCCGGGCTGCCGTAGGGAAAGTAGGTGACGGGATAGGCACCGGCAGCATCGTACGACGCCTGCCGCGACGGCGGTGCGCCCGGATGCGAGTGCTGCGATTGCGACCGGTAGATCTGGTTTGGATGCGGCTGCTGCTGATGCGTCATGCGAGGCTGCGCCTGCTGCTGCTGCTGCTCGCGCGGGAGCTGCTGCGGCGGATACTGCTGCGACTGAGGGTGCGGCTGCGGCTGTTGCTGCTGCTGCTGTTGCATCATCATGCGCTCCTGGTCCATGCGTTGCTGACCGCGCGCAGACGTCGTTGGAACCGAGCTGTCGGGATACGGCGCATAGTACGGCACGCTTGGTGCAGCCAGTGGCACGCCCGGCGCGGAGTACGGCACGCTGCGCACCTCGACGAGATGATACGGCTGCCCAGCATACGTGTGCGGCGGGTTGGCTCCCGGCGGCGCTGGTTGTGATGACGGCGCTTGGTGCTGCTGCTGCTGCTGCCACGCGCGCTGCGTTTGGGCCGGCGGACCACGATCGCTGCCCCAGCCGTAGGTTGCAGGCCCGGATGGGTATGCAGCGTGCTGTTCCACTGGCGCATAGCCTACGGAGTGCGTCAGAATGATGGCGCCTCAGAGAGCTCGCGGGCTGCATCGCAGCTGCACTGTGCGAGGCACAGCGCGCTGGAAATGAGGAGCCCTACTTCCGGCCTGACGACGGAACACGCCCGACGGACCACGCCCGTGCAGTGAACGACGCAGCACCCGCTCCGCCCACCAGCAGCAGCTCTCACTCACCATTCGGTGGCGGCCCTCTGGCTGCCGATTGCCCTCCGCCTCCGCTGCGTGAGTCGCCGGGCGAGGGTGTGCCCGGCTCTGGCGCTCGAGAGTCGGCCATGCCTCAAAGCCTCCAGCCGGGAGCGCGCCCTGCTGAGCGGGAGGTACGGGACGTGCGATGCTCAGAGCACGAACAGCATGAGAGGAGGGCGGCTCGTGACACGGGTGCAGGATGGTCGGCAGACCGGGGCCACGGCTCGGCCACGAGCGCCCCGGACGTGCTGTCGAGCGGCGACCCAGCAGGCGCCGCACGGCTCAGAGGCGGCCTGGCCTTGTGCGCGGTCGCAGAGGCGCCAGAGCCCGGCACGCCACTACGGCGATGTGGCAGCACGATGCACGCCGAGCGACCGGCAGCTGCGAGTGAAGAGGCGCACCAGACGTGGGGCGCGGAGGGAGTGACGGAGAGTGTGTGCGCAAGAGACGCAGCAGCAGAGCAGGCGAGCCGGGCGGAGCACGCGCGAGGAAGAGGTGGAAACCCGCGGAGAGAGAGAGAGAGAGAGAGAGGCGTGAGGCGGAAGGAAGGATCACGGGCTGCTGAGGCGGGCCATGGGCGATGCGCACTCGAAGAGCAGCAGCAGCGCGAGCGGGACGGAGCGGTGCTGCGAGGAGGCGGCAGCGGCGGCGAGCAGAGGGCAGAGGAGAAGAGGCAAGGCGGAAGCACTCGACTCGCGAGAGCACCAGCAGCAGCGCTGCCGCAGCGCAGCGGGCGAGAGCGGCGCGGCGGCCGCACGACGGCGGCGCGCGCGCCACGCTGAGACCGCCCGTGCCTCCTCTGACTGCGCGCGCGCCAAGGTGCCCTCTCAGTCACGAGCACGACAGAAGGCTGCTGCTGCTATGCTGATCCGTGCTCCACCCGAATCATTCTGCAGGCGATGCAATCTTCGCACGTCCGAGCGCATCGTGAGTGAGTGGCGGCGGCCCGCGCGGCGCGTGGCGCTGGAGAGCGTCCCTCCGTCCCTCCGCTGATGAGCGCCGCCGGCGCCTCTTGATCCGGGGCCAGCAGCGCAGCCTGGCAGCGCCGCGCGTACCGCAGGCGGCAGCGCTCTCCTGCCGCTGCTGGGCCACGCCTGCGTCCCAGCCACGACGGTGCTGCTGCGGCAAAGCGGATCTGGAACGGCACCGGGCGAGCCCGCTCGGATGTGGATGCTCGGGCGCGTCTTCGCGTGCGGCGGCACTTGAGCGGTGCACGCGAGATGCCCAAGCGGCAGGGTCCGACCGACGTCCATCGTCGCGCGATGCTGCCGCCGCCGCCCGCTGCTCCTGCGCTGCTGCTGCTGTCCGCGTCGTGCCTCGTGTGCGCTGCTGCAGAGAAGCGCCACCCCACGGAACGCAAGGGTGCAGCAGACAGGCAGCGCCTGCAGACCACATCGGCGCAGCGCAGCATCAGCATCGCCGCCTGCGGCTGCATCTGCGGCTGGCAGGCTGCTGCGGCAAGCAGGCTGCGTCTCGCGAGACAGGCGTGAGAGGCGAGCCGTCGCATTAAGCTGCAAGCGAGCGGCGGCGGGCGCAGCAGCAGGATCGGCGGGGCGTTGACGGGCGTAGTGCGCTAGGAAGGTCGGCGGCCGAGCGAAGGGTCGCCCACGTCGCTCGCGAGGTGCCGCAGCATGGAGCGTCGGCGTGCAGAGGCTACGATGTGTTCCTGCTGCGCCGTCCAGCAGACTTTAGAGGGAGCATGCTTATGGAGGCTGTGTGCATGCTGCGGCCGGGGCTGCCATATGGCGTCAGCGGCCAGGCGCAGAAGACGAGCGCAAAGCCATGTGCGGCGCCCAGCAGGCGGCGAAGGCGGCGCTTCTCTCCGACAGAACTCAGCCGATGCTCCGCGCTCCGACGCTGCGACTCATGCTGCTGGGCGCCTCCGGAGACCTGCCCGCGGAGGATGAGCGACGCCAAGGTGGGCAGCGTCTTGCGTTCAAAAGGCGAGCGGCGAGCAGCTCGCTTCGGCTGCGGGCGGGTTGCTTGCTTCGCCGAGACGGTGCGGCGCCGCAGCACCCACGGACGAGGGCTCGCAGCTGCCATCGCGGCCAAATTTGGCCGTCGCCCTTCGAGTTGGCCCGAGCGCTCGGCCACGCCCAGGCCTTTGCATGCCATGCTCAGGTCCGTCAAACCACAGCGCACAGCGCGGGAGGTGCAGACGGCACGCGGGCCTCGCATCGTCGATCATTCAAGTCTGAAGTGTGCCAGCACGACGACGTTGACGCAGCGGAGTGAGAAAGGTGGGCGCCGGCGAGCATCAGCAGCATGCAGGCGACGCCGAAGCGGCCTCACGTGTCCGCTGGCCGAGCGGTGCAGACGTCAAGGCGGCCCCGCTGCACGAGCACGAGGGCATGCTGAGAGGTTGACTTGGGGACGCAGAAGCACATCGTGGGGTGCAAGACCAGCGTCACATGCTCGCAAGACGCCGGGCCGGGCGCAGATGGTGCGGCGTGAGATGCGAGACTCGCTGCACAGGCATGTGCGCAAGCTTGCTCTCGCTCCTCTAGTCCTTGCGCCTCTCATCAAGCGGACTACGTCCATCTCGTGCATGCCACACTCATCCATGGCCTATTTGGACGAGCATGGCGCCAGAAGGAAGGCGGTGCGCTCTGACGGGACCGCCAGACCCATGCCTGTGCTACCCGGCCTCCGGCAAGAGTGCCGAGTAGCCCCAAGAACGCACATCACGGTGGAGAGCAGATTGGTCGAGCGTGCGCTGTTCGGCAAGGATTCTGCGCCCAATGAGCAGCTGCCAGCCTTCGGATCGGAAGCCAAGGTGGCAGGAGTAGCCGGCGATGCGAGACCGGCCGGCGTCCCACGGTGCTGAGTGCGCAGCAGCGCTGTTCCCACGCGGCCCGGTGCTGGCGGCGCGTGTGGAGTGCGCCCGACGTCGAGTCTGAGTTGGTCTGCTGGCTGCCTCTTCTCAGCCACCATCACCTTGCCCAGTCGCAGCCATGCCCGAGTCGAGCAGAGCTTCGCACGCCGCTGCCGCCTCGCGCGCGCCCGACCCCGACGACTACCCTGACGACATCTTCGGGCCGCCTGCCGCCGGCGGCGCCGCACACTCCGCCGCGTCCTTCGCGCTGCCGTCCAGCAGCACGCTGCCCGCCGACGACCCGCTCGGCGCCTGGGCACGCACCACGCGCTTCGCCGTGCTCTCGCACTTCTCCCAGATCACCTCGGCGGCGCGCTCCGGCGCCCACGCGCTGCTCTCGCACCCCATCGCCGCGCGCATCGCCGCCGAGTCGGCCGGCGCCGGGCCGCGTGCCGCCGGCCTGGCCGACGCCATCACGTCGTTCGCACAGCACGGCCCGCTCTACCCACTGGGGCCGAGCGATCCCGAGTGGCGCCACTCCGAGGCCGCCAAGGCCATCGGCGGCGAGTTCGACAGCGCCCGCGTCTTTCTCGCGCGCTTCGCCCGCCAGGTTGCCGAGCAGGCCGAACGCAGCCGTCTGGCAGAGCAGGAGGAGGCGCGCAAGAAGGGCGAGCAGAGCGGCGTGGCGCACGAGCCGAGCGTGCTGGGTGCCTTTGAGATCCTGGACCTGCAGCCTTCGGTGCAGCGGCCTACGCCGACGCGCGATGCAATGCGGCCGATCACCAGCGCCGAGTGGGAGAGCTTCTTCGACAAGCAAGGCGCGCCGCTCGTGCCGTTCTCGCAAGCGCGGCAGCTGATCTTCAGGCGAAGCCTGGGACCTGCGCCGACCTGCAAGCCAGGTGCCGACCCCGCCTCTCTGCACGTACGGCCGCGTTGCCAGGCGTGGTCCTTTCTGCTGGGCGCCGAGGACTGGCGCATGGGCGAGACGGCCGCGGAGCGCGCACGCAAGTGGGAGCGGCGCGTCGAGGAGTACTGGGCGGCGAAGCGTGCCTGGGCAGGTCCCAGTGCGATGCCTCTCTCGGGCGTCGCTCCAGCTCCGCGCACGGCGCACGACCCCCTCGATGCTGCGACACCCGCGCGGGAGCGCGAGCGCGAGGAGCAACGCTGTTCAGAGCTGCAGCAGACGCCCTGGATGAAGGAGCAGGCGCACAGAGTGCACGTCGATTGCGTGCGCACCGATCGCAAGCTGCCGCTCTTTGCCAATCTGCCGATGCCGCCTGCGCCGACCAAAGCGCCAGCTCCGAACGCTCCGCTGGACGGAGCCAAGGCCGGACAGGACGTCGACACGCCGCCGCCGCCGAATCCGCACATGTCCGCGCTTGCGGATGTGCTGATGACCTACGTCATTTGGGATCAAGCGAAGGGCGAAGGCAGCGGTGCTGTGCCTGGATCTAGCGCTCAGCCGGCTGGCGCAGACGAGAGCGTCAAAGCGCTGGGCGAGAAGATCGATCTCCGGACCGGCGGGACCCGGCACACGGCGCTCGGCAGCTACGTGCAGGGCATGAGCGATCTCTGCGCCACCATCTACTCGGTCTGCGCAGGCGACGAGGCCCGGACGTTCTGGTGCTTTGCCGGATTCATGGAGCGCGTCGTGAGTGCGCCTGGCAGGCCGGCGTTGAGCTGCGCTCATCCCATTCCGCAGCGCTCCAACTTCTATGCCGATCAGAGCGGCATGCGCCGTCAGCTCTCGCTGCTGCAGAAGCTCATCCAGGTCATGGACCCGGCGGTGTATGCGCATCTCGAAAGCACCGACTCGCTGCACCTCTTCTTCTGCTTCAGGTGCGTTGCGTGCGCATGCAGCGGTTGTCGCGAGCTGACGCAGCCTGTGACACAGATGGCTGCTCGTGGTGTTCAAGGTGAGCTGGACCTGCAACTTCGCCAGCGAAACCCGTGCTTATGCCTCTCCTGCTCAGCGCGAGTTCGACTTCTCGAGCGTGATCAAGCTCTGGGAGGCCATGTGGGCGGCCGAGCCGCGCAGCGATGACGATGACGACGACGACGAGCAACGAGGCGGAGTGCGGACTGACCGGCAGCGCGTTGGGCTCACAGACCACCTGCACCTCTTCGTCGTGCTGGCCATCCTGCAGCAGCATCGCGATCCGCTGCTCAGCTATCTCTACAACTTCGACGAGATCCTGCTTGTGAGCAGAGCCGGGATGCTGCGCAGCCCAAGTCGCCGTCGCTGACCACGGGAGCAGTACTTCCAGGGCCTGTCTCATTCAATCGACGTGGAGGCGACGCTGGCGCAGGCAGAGGTGCTGGCGCGCACCCTTGCCGCTCTCATCGAGCAGCGCGACGCCGCAGATGCCGCAGCCGCCGGCTCGAAGCCCGGCGGCAAGACGATCGATGCACCCGCCGCCGCCGCTCTGCCCGTCATCGACGACGACCTGCGTGCGCTGGTGCAGGCCTCACACCCGTAGATATGCCGCTTCGCCCTTGCGCCTGACCCTGCACGGACGCGCCGCGCACCTGCCACCTCTCCCGATCATCTGTACATCACGCATCGCAGCAACGAATCGATACCCAAGAGGCTCAGAGTAACGAAGCCTGCAATTGGAACGAAGCCTAGCGATGATATGGGTGCGGCATGAAGGGTAAGAAGAGCGGCTGGGCGGAGCATGAGCATTCAGGCGCGGCGGAAACGACAGCGCACATCGCCATCAGTCGTGGAAGGTGCGGCGGCTGCCAGAGCCGCTGCGCTGCGAGGGACGGTCGACTTGCACATCCATCGTCGGCGGCGAGTTGCGCGCCGCACGGCTGGACTTCTTGGCGGCCGAGGACGTCTTGGGCGTCTTGGCCGCACTGCTGCGGTGCTCGGTCTCCGTGGGTGCGGACGGCGGAAGCAGCAGCTGCAGTGCGTTGATGCGCGACGCCTTGAACTCGAGCTGCTCGACGGCCTCGAGCACGTGCTCGGCCAGGATGCGGCGCCGCGTGGCGCTCATGCTCGGGTCGATGCCCTTAAGCTCGTCGGCGAGCTCGGCGTAGAGCATGCGCGCGTGCACGAACTCGTCCATGTGCTCCTGCACCAGGCGCTGCAGCACCTTGAGCTGGCGCGAGCCGAGCAGCGGAGCGGACTGCCCCAGTGCAGTTGCCTCCTCGCTTGCCTCCAGGAAGGAGAGCAGCAGCACCTCGTCCTCGGCCCCCTCGGCGCCGCCGTCGATGCGCTCGCCAGCACGGACGCGCTCCTTGCGCGCCGCTTTGCGGCTCTCCGTCTTGCTGCGCGCCTTGCAGACGGTGCAAGAGCGCTCGTCGTGCTCAAGCTGCCGCTGTCCATCGGCGCGCTGGCGCGCAGCCTCGCCGCGGGCGGCGACCACCTCGAAGGTCCGCTCTGCCCGCTCGTGGGCGATCGTGACGTCTGCATCGAGGTCGTCGACAGTCTCGTCTGCAGCTGCCTGGCTCCGCTCGTCGTCGGAAACTTGACCAGCAGCGGCAGGGATGAATCTCGCGCTGCTGGAAGAGAGGTGACGGGCGCGTGTGGTGGTTGGCGCTTGACGACGAGAGCTGCTCGATCCGGCGCGAGGCTGGTGGTCGCGGGGCCGCGCAGTCTCGTCCGGGTCTAGCTCATCTCCCTCAGCCTCGTCTTGCACGGCGGCAGCGCGAGAGTTGGCCCGCGAGTGTGGAAGCGGCGGCGTCGAGTTCCTCGGCGGCGTGATGCTGCGCTGTGCCTCCTCGCGGATGCCCTCGCTCCAGACTTCGACTCCGTGCAGCTGTGCCGCGACATTCGCGGCCCGGCGAGAGCTCCGCGAGACTGGTCGGGACTGAACGAGCGACGCCAGTCCTGCGGCACCAAGGTCGCCGTCCGAGCTGCTGTGCTCTGCGTCACCCGCATCGCTGCGCGAGCGCGTGCGGTGCTTCCGCGGCAGCACAGGAGCAGGCGACGAGGCAGCGAAGCGCCTCGCATCTGCCGGGACGTTGTCGACGAAGCGGCGCAGCTGCACGACCTCGTGCTCGACGCGAGCGACGTGGGCACGGAGTGCGTCTGCATCCATGTCGCTCGGCGACGATCCTCCGCCGGCCTGCACTGCTTGCGCTCGGCTGGCGCGCGGAACGCGGATGGGCTCTTCTGCCCGGCGGCCTGTGGCATGTGCTGCAGCGGCAGGCGTAGCAGCACGGATTCTCTCCGCATCCTCGCGGTACTTGGCCAGCTCCGCGTCAAGCTGGCGGACATGGTCGTGCAGAGCCTGCATCTTGGCGTCGCTCTCCCGCTGCTGCTGAGAAGAAGGTGCCGTCTCGACGTTGTCCCTGGAGCCGTCGCGAGCGCGTGCCGAGCTAGGCACAAGCGGCGACGATGCGCGGATCGGTTCGGCGAAGCCTTGAGCGTCAGCGGCCGCTGTGTAGCGCTCTTCCCGTTCCTGTCGTTGGAACTCTCGCGCTGCGGCCACTGGACCGGGCGACGCGACAGCCACAGCCGGCGGGCGGCGCTTGAGGTCGTCGAGCTCAGCCTGCAGTGCGCCCACCTGCTGCTGCCACTCTCCTCGGTGCACCTCGAACTGTGCTTGTGTCGCTCCAAGCTCCCGCTGCCATCCCTTGACATAGCCCGAAAGCGCCTCGAGCTCGTGCGGCGGCTGCTTGAGCTTCGCGAGGGGCACGTGTGCCTCCGCCTTGCGCGTCCGCACCGGCGAGCCGAGTGCGGAAGTGACGCCAGACAGGTCAGGCAGGCGAGCCCGGAACGCCGAGGGACCGATGCGCCGGCCGGACGGCAGCACCATCCACGGATCGTCGTGCGCAGCCTCGGCACCCTTGTGCTGCAGATTGGCCTGCACTCCGTCCGGACCCTGCGCCGATCCCAGCAGCGTCTCGCCCGAGCTGTCGTCGTTCTCTGCTGCCTCTGCAGCACGCATCGCGCCTCGCAGCTGTGCTGCTGCGTCGCCGAATGTTGATGCGGTGGCCGCGCTGCCGGCTCGAACGGGCCGCGACGCTGGCGAAGGCGACGTCTGCGGCGCAGCAGAGGTGCCGCGCGACTGAAGAGGAGGTGAGCTACGGCTGGCTGGCACAGGAATCCGCAAACACTCACGAAGCGCTGCGGCGCCTGCGCCTGAACCGGCTTCTGCTGCTGCGGCCGAGCCGGCCGCTCGGCTGCCCGGAAAGCTGCCAGCTTCGTCTCGCCAAGAGCGGGCCGGACGTGCGCCACCGCCCGGCGGCTCTGACCCAACGGCGTGGCACGCAGACCGCGGTGGTTGCCTGTGCTGGCAGTGCCCGGGTACGAGCCCAGCGCATCGAGCTCGTCGTCGCTCTCGCTCTCGCTCGAGCTGGAGCCGCTGCTGCTGGCCTCGGGCGTGGGGCGCGAGAGGCGCTGATGCCGGGCGGCCACGGCCGGCGAAGGGTGGAGGTCGCCGACGATGTCGAGCACGCGGGCATCGCGCGAGGCAGATGCGGCGCTGCGCAGGCCACGGCCCACGCCCGGGATGTAGGAGTCCTCTCCTGCAAGTGCGCTCGGCACGCCCGTGCCGCTCTCGGTGCTGAGCGTCACGTCGTCGTCGTCGGGACGAAGCAGATGACGCTCCAAGCGAGCGCCGGCGCCATGGCTGCGCATGTCGGCGACTGGCAGCGTGGGCTCCTGGCCGAAGGACAGCGACACGTCTGCGGCCCAGTCGGGCAGCGCGGTGCGGCCGGCTGCGTGCTTCATGCCGGCGGCGTAGCCGTACGACGAGGCCTGCGGGCGGCCGTGTGCTGCGCCGAAGCCGTACGACGAGCTGTGGCGCTGCCACGAGGGCTCGCCGTCCTGAGAGCCGGCGTCAGACATGGCGAAGGTGCGTCTGTCGCTGCTGTAGCTGGTCAGCAGTGCGTCCGACGTGCCGCATGCCCAGACGTCGAGCCTCCTCACCGATCAGTGTCTGATGAGCGACGCGAGCGTGCGTGGTGTGGTGCGCGGCCAGAGGTGGTAACGGATGGACTGCGTGTGCCAGCGGCCGGCGGCGGTGGTGCGGGTGGAGTGGAGATGGATGTAGCGTGACGGCAGCCCGGCTGCTCGCCGCTCTGCCTTTGCAGCAGCTCGGCATCGCGCGGCGGCGGTGTGTATGTGTTGGTCGGCAGCCGGCGCGCGCGTTTCCCACGCGGCAGCACGCGCCTCGCGGCGCAGCACGTGCCGCACGCCGTGGGAGCGGCGCGGGGCGAGTTGGGCCGCGGCTCGAGTGTCACTCTCGCGCATCGAGATGGAGCCGATCAGCGCCCCGCCTCCTTCCCGCGCATCCACCACCTCAGCCTCACCATGCCGCGCGCCTCTACCTCGGCGAGCGGTGCGGCGCCGCAGCCGCGCAACGTGCTCGCCGTGTGCGTCGCCATGTTCCACGAGCGCCAGGGCCCGATCATTGCCTTCAGCCATCCGCCCGGCGCCGCCGAGGCGCTGGCCGGCCTCGAGTGGCGCGCCCTGCCGTCGGGCTCGCACGCGCTGCTGCGCCGCGACCACATCGCTCTGCTGCCGCCGCAGCCGCTCCCGACGCAGGAGGAGGGCCAGCACAGCGTCGTCGCTGCCGTCGTGCGCAGCCGCGCCACGGCCGGCGAGGAGGGCGCCGAGCGGCGAGGCAACCGTGTCATCTGCGTCGCAGCTGTGCTTGGTCAGTCTGGGCAGAGGGAGCGCATCGGCTGGCTCGATCAGGCAGAGGTGGCGCAAGTGTTGCGTGTCAAGCTGACGTCGGTCCTGCACAGCATGCGATGAAGCCACGCCAGACTCACACTATGCCGCCGCGTCTCCGCATTTCAGCAAGCTCGCGGAGCTGGCCGAGGCGACATCGCATGATCCTGGCGACAATTCGAAGCTGCAGCAGTGGTACGAGGCGAATGCGGGCTCGGCGCTGCTCCCGCCCGTACCAATCTCTGCTCGCTATGCCTCGGCTCTCGATCCACTCTCGACGCTTCCGTCGATCTCCTCGGCACTGGGCCCGCTGCTGCCGTCGCTTCTCAAGCGCATGATGATGCCCGACCACCGCCTCTTGATCTTCTCGCCCGCCGGCACGCCGCCATCTCGAGCTCTCGCACTGCACTACGCGCTCGCCTCGCTCGTGCCCACGCCGCCGGAGCCGCGCGGTCTGCTTGCGCTGCCTGACCTGACTGAGCTGCTCGACGAGCCGCGGCGAGCGTGGATCGGCGTCACGCCAGATGCGATCTTTCTGGAGCGTCACAGCGTGTATGATACGCTGCTCGACCTGCGGCCAATCGCTGCAGGCGCTCTGCCCGGCGCGCTGCCTGCTCTGAGCTTTGTCGGCCAACAAAGCGGCAAGCTGGAGCTCATCAAGATCAACTGGTCTACCACAGACTTCGCCGCTTGGCGAGAGCTGGAGGATATCTGCGACGTTCGGTCGCGCGTGCGCCGCACTGTTCAGATCTCCGAAGACAGCCAAGACGCCAGCGATCATCGGGCGGTGCAGCAGCGGACCAAGCCGCGCACCCTGCAGGCTGCGCCTGGCTTCATTCTCGCTCTGCTCAAGTACTGCCTCGGCGCCTGGCTCTGGTGGCCGCTCTCCGTCTCGGGCGATGCCGGCGCCGTCTATGGCTGGGTACCAACGGCAGTACGCTCTGACGGCGGCGCTGTCGGAAGCGTCGTGCTGCTGTCCGACGAGGAGGACGAAGAAGACTCGGCCGACGGCGACGAGGAGGCATTGACCGAGGAGTCCGCACTGCTCGACGTGCCGACGTCGCCTGGCGCATATCCGCATACGCAGCAGCCGCGGCTCCGCTCTCGTAGCGCGCGGTCACGTTCAAGATCCCGCGACCGCCTGAGCGAGTACGCACTCGGAGACGAGGAAGAGGAGCACGACCCGCTCCTCGCTGCTGCCGGCGCCAGCACGGCCAGCCGGCGGCGGCGCTCCAGCCACAATACGGAGCGGCACATGTTCTCGCCGACGCACAGTCCTTCCGCCTCGGGCGTGCAGGCGATGTCGGGCCCCGAGCGGCATCAGCATGTCGAGGCAGAGGAGGAAGAGGACGCGCCGTCGCCGCGCACCAGCCGTCTGGCACGGGCGCTGCACGACGAGTGGGCCGCGTGGAGCGCGTCGGTGCTGCGCGACGCCGAGGCGCTGCTGCAGCGCAAGATTGACGCCGGCGAAACGCACGTCAGCGCCAAGGAGCTGCGCAGCGTCGGCCTGAGCGCCCGCTGTGCCGCCGACTGTGAGCTGCTGGGCGCACTGGCGCGCGAGCGCGGCAAGAGCGTGAGCGTGGAGAAGAGCTGGTGGACGTGGCCGTGGTGACGGGCCGGACGAGCGTGGCGTGCAACCATACCATGACATGTAGCATACCGATGTCGCAGGGCAACAGCGTTGATGTGACTGCTCGCTCTCTCCTTCTGAGGCGTGAAGAGTGGGAACGGCCGTGCGCGGGGTGTGGCTAGCTGTTCTGCCCGGCCCCGATGCCGAGTCGCGTGGGCCAGAAGCAGCGCCGTGCTGCCCCTGTGCCCGTCGCGGGGCGGGCTGTGCCGCCGGCGCTGCCGCCGCCGCGCCGCGCGGGCCGCTCGCGAGACCCGCGGCGACTCGAGCTTCTCCTTGTTCCCCAACCGTGTCTTCTCCTCTGAGCATCCACGCTCTAGCCCTCGCACTTCCTTTTGCCGAGCTGGGCCCTTACCACCTCTACACGAGCTCCGGTCTCCGCCAACGTCTTGTCCTCTCGCCCTCTTCACAGCGCCGTCGCGCAAAGGCACGCCCCACCAAGCCACGTCCGTGCGCCCGGCCGCACATCCGCTCCACCTCGCGCCCCGACGAGCGAGCCCTGAGCAAGGCAGGCCACGGCGCTTGCTGCTCAGAGCGCTGCTCGGCGCGCCACCATGGCCTCTGCTGCAGCCCCGCTGGCGACGGCTGAAGCGCCTGCCAGCCCGGCCGCCGGCGAGGCCGCAGCTGTCCTGGCTCCACCTGGGCCGAGCGGCTCCGCTCCGCCCGAGGCGGACGCACAGCCACAGCCTGCACCGGAAGACGGCGAAGGCGACGCCGAGCAGGGTTTAGCTGCCGCAGCGTCGCCTGATGAGTCGCAGCCGCAGCTCGTAGCTAGCAACGCCAGCGGCGCAGAGGACTCGAGCGGGACCCACGATGCGACGACGAGCGCGAACGCTGCGACGGCCAGTCGCTCTGCCGCGAGCGACACGCCCAACGGAGCGCCGCAAGAAGCTGCCACGACACCGCCTGTGAGCGCCTCGTCGAGCAGCCCCCGGCCGCTGCTCTCCGATGGCGTGGCTCCTTACGCAGCCGGGCCCACGCGCCCTTTCGTGCCCTCGCCGCCGCGGCCAGCCGCAGCGTCTCCCGAGCCGAGCCTGCCGCCGCCATCGGTGCACAAACGTCGCATGCCTGCTAGCGGGCCACGAGGCATCCTCAAGCCCGCGCCGCCGCCGGCAAAGACGTTTTCGTTCCGGCGAGACATCCTGCAGTCGCTCAACTCGCGCCTGGCGCAGGGCGGCGTGAACATGCAGGTGCCCGTGCCGGCGGCCGGCGGCCTGCAGGCGACGGCGCAGGGCACAGCACAGGCGGCTGGACAGCTGATCGGCGGCGTTTTCAAGCGTCTGGGTGGGCTGGCAGCAGGCGTGGCTGCGCCTGGCATGGGGCTGGAGGGCGATGGATCCTCGCGCCTCGGCGGCATCTCAAGCGGTGCGGGGGCACCTCTGTCGCGCTCGATGACCAGCAGCAGCACTGCGTCGACCGACTCTTCCGCGACGCTCGTGCCCAGCTCGCCGGTCGCGACGAACACGCTGCCCGCGCCCGCCTCCTCGTCCCGGCCACTGCGGCGGGTGCAGTTCCGCGTCTCGTCGATGCGCATCACCTACCCGATCTCGGGCGCCATTGCGCCGGGCGACGAGGATGCCACGCGAATCCGCGTCGAGCGCGAGCACCGCGCCTCGCTGAAGGAGCGGAGAGAGCGCGCCTGGACAGTGGAGGAGCTGGAGAGGCTGTATCGCGAGTGCTGCCGGACGCGGGAGGAGTTCCCGCTCAAGAAGATGCGCGAGGTGTTTCAGGTGAGTGCAGCGCCAGGGAGAGCAGACTAGAAGCAGCATGCTTCGGCGTAGCATGCACTGTGCCTCGACTGACTATCCTTGGTCCCTCGCAGGAAGCCGCGCAGGCCTCTCCTCCAGGCTTGCGGACGATGGACCTCTCCTTCGTGCCACTCGACCGACCGGCCATCGAGCCGATCTCCGACCTGCTGAGCATTGACTTTGGGCTACAAAAGCTCGTCTTGGAGAACTGCGGCCTGACGGACGAGGGCCTCAAGTCCATCCTGCACGGCCTCTTGATCTCGGGCTCGCTGCCAAACCTCTCGCTGGCCTCGAATCGCAAGCTCAAGTACAACGCCTGGCGCTACGTGGGCATCTTCATGCGTCGCGCTCGCGCGCTACGCTCTCTTGACCTGTCCGAGAACACAATCAACAAGGCGAGCCTGGAGCACATCATGGGCGCCATCGCCCAGCCGCAGGGCAGTGGCGCCGGAGACGCCCAGAAGCAGCAGAATGCCAGCGCGTCGGCGTCTGGCAAGGGCAAGGCGCAGGGGCTGGCCGACGTCGAGTCTGCGACCGAGGAGTACGACTCCGACGGCGAGCCGCTGATGCCGATGGCCCAACTGCTGCACGAGAGTCGCTCGTCAGACTCGAAAGCAGACGGCCAGGCGCGAGCAGGGCCAACCGAGGAGCTCTCCTCGTCGGTGATCTCCCTGCGTCTCGAGAACTGCGGTCTCAAGACGGCTTCGCTCGAGATGCTCAGCCAGGCTGTGCGCTTCTCGGAATTGCGGCACATCAGTCTCCGGCGCAATCGCATTGCGCAGCTCGGTGCTGTTGCCCTGGCGATCATGCTCAAGGACTACCCGGACTCGCGGCCTGCCGCGCCGCAGGCAGAGCAGCAGTGGCAGCCGCACCAGCAGCGCACCGGCGCAAGTGCTCAGTCACGCTCGGCGTCATATAGCGACGGCCTGAGTGGCAGCAACGGCATGCCTTATGCCGTTCGGCAGGGCTCTTCGGCCGGCCCCAGCGCCTACGCAGTCCGCTCTCCGCCTGGCTCGCGAAGTGCGAGCCTCGATGCACAGGGCTCGCGCGGCCGCGCTGCAGAGTCTGGCAACGTCATCGCTGCGGAGCGCAGCTACTCGCCGGCGCTGCCAGACGTGCCGATGATGGTCTCGAGCGCCGGCGGCGGCGTGACGAACCGCCGCATGCCCAACTCGTACGAGGGCACCAATGGCGCGCGTGCACCCATCCTCTCACCAGCACAAGAGCTGGAGCGCACGCTCAGTGACCACGAGAGGGCCGAGGTATGCGCTGCGGCACACCCGAGCCAGACCGAGGAGGAGGCGATCTCGCTGTGCCAGGCGAAGCGCGCGCGGCGCATCCTAGCTGACCTGCCGCGCGTGGGCAACCTGCTGACGCTGGACTTGAAGGGCAACGACGTCCGAGTGAGTGTGCGAGTAGCATTGTGTGCGCTGCTGCCTTGCTGACAGCTGTGCCCAGGGCGGCGTGGCGTACCTCGCGCAAGCGCTGAAGAAGAACCGCACGCTGCGCGTCCTCAATCTCAGCGACAACAACATCGACATGGGCGGCCTCATCGCCGTGGCCGAGGCGCTCAAGTACAATACGACGCTGGAGACGCTTGACATGAGCCACAATCCGTGCTCGGGTCCGGGCCTCGAAGGAGTGAGTCGTTACTGCGTGGGCCACTTGCCGCGCGTGGCGCTGACCCGCGCTGCAGATCTCGACCCTCCGCATGGCCTTTGCTCTCAACACACAGCTCAAGCGCCTCTTCCTCAACGACACCGACCTTTCGTCCGAGGGCGCCATCTCTCTGGCCGAGTTCCTGCCCGACTCGAAGCTCCTGCATCTCGACCTCGTCCAGAACTACGTCGACATTGCGGGCGTGATGGCGCTCGCCGCCGCCGTCAAGCTCAACAAGAGCATCCGCTGCCTCGACATCGAGATCCCTGTGCGTATGCTCTTGCGCGGAGCTACACTGTTGCTGACCCCCTCCTTCCCTCCAGCCAAACGACCCGGACTTCGCCCGTCTCAGCCGCGACATTATGATGGCGTGCGTGACGAACACAGAGCGAGCGCAGTCGAAGGCCGCGTCGCGCGGCATCAAGATCGCCGCTCCCATCCACAAATCCGTCGTCGCACGTACGCTCGAGGAGGAGCGCCGGCGTGCGGAGGCTGCGCAGCTCAAAGCACAGCAGGCTGCTCGAGCTCGGGCTCGCAGCGAGCAGCTGAGCGGCAGAGCACTCGTCGAGGCCGGCCAGGAGTGCGTGCGCGTGCTCCGCGAGCTGCTCGCAGCAGAAGAGCAGCTTCGTCAGCAGCAGAGCGGCGCCGGCGGAGCGACTCAGGAGCCGACGAGTCGCGAAGTTCTCGGCGACGTGCTGGCGCAAGCTAAGATGCTCCGTCAGCAGCTCGCTCGCGCCGCCAGCGATGCCGGCGACGAGACGGTTGGCTCCCTTGTCACCCTCAACGACGAGCTCGAAGCTGTGGCGCAGAAGCTGCACGCGCTCTACCGGGCCCGCACGACTCCGCGTCTCGAGCTTCCAGCCGGGCCTCAGAGGCCAGCTTCCGCTGACGGTGCACGAGAGGGCCCTGCTTCTGCCGAGCATCTGTCCACGCCTGTCATCGACTCGGCGCTCAGCTCTCCGACGTTCAGCATTGGCTCGGACGAAGACGACGACGCCGACGGCCTGCAGTCGCCGCCAAGCCTGTCCGCCGCCACGTCTGGCTTTGCAGAGGGCGCCTCGAAGGACGCGGCGCAAGGCCTGCGCATCGATCTCGAGCCACAGACTGCGGCGCGAGACGAAACGGCGCTCGAGGAGCCGGACCAGGCCGACGAGAGCCTCACTGGCGCGGGCAGTCCCGCAACCAAGGGCAAGGCCAAGGGCCAGCTCTCAGAGGAGGGCGAGCTGTTCCGGCGAGCAGTCGCTCTGCACATCGACGACGACGAGGGCGAAGAAGACGACGCAGAGAAGGCGACCGTGGACAGCAAGACTGACGGCGCAGGCAGCGCTGGCGAGCCGCACGCTCTGTCAGCAGGCTTGGCGCCTCGGCGCAGGCGTGGCAGCGCCAGCAGCGGCACCTCGTCCGACGCGGCGCGCCCCGAGCTGCCCGAGAGCGGCGAAGAGCTGCGGGCGCAGCTGCTCGAGGTCGACGTGCCGCGCAGCCGGCCGACGAGCGACAGCCCGACGCGCAGCAAGAGCGACGACGACACTGACGCCGAGGAAAGTGCAGCGGCTGCAGCGGCGCCGTGATCTTCCTCGCGCGCGCGCACTACCTGAACGAACACGACACGACGCTTTGCGATGACGCACGCCACTTGGCGCCTCATGCTCCCCCACACGTTTTACCCCAAGGACATCTCTAGCTGCAAATGCACCTTCACGATGGTCGGCGGCTGTAGATTGCGGGTGCGCGTGTGATGAAGCCAGGCTGTCCGGGTGCAGGCGGGCGGTGAAGTCAAGCATCGGTCTCGACGTCGCAGCGCAGGATCCAGCTCTGGTCTGCGAGCACGCCGCGGTCGCGGATGACTGCAATGGGTGTCAGCGAGAAGCAGGCGGGCAGACACAGCTGGCCGAGACGCACGTATTGTGTACTGGGAGGCGAGGCAGAGGTCAGCACTGTTTGGAGCGACAGCTGCGCCACACTCACCTTCATGCACCACCGCGGCACGAGGCGCGCGTTCGCCGGCAATGGCACCGGCAGCCGATCTGCAAATTCGGCGAGCAAAGTAGGCAGCGTCTCCTTTGGCAACACATCTGCGCCAGGACGATCAGCACGCGCTTGACGAGAGAAGGCAGCAGCAGGCAGGCGCAGAACTCACCATCGCCGTCGTTGCCCGTGCCCAGCTCCGTGCCGCGCTCCTCGCACCACTGCTTCAGCTCGCGGTCCCACGAGCACGGCGTGCGCATCTTGCCCACGTCGATGGTGACGAGCGAGGGCGTGCGGTACGCCGACGCCTGCGTGTGCGCCGAGCCGTTGGCCGCCGGCACGTCGGCGAAGATGACGCGCAGCGAGGGCAGCGAGGCAGACGCCACGCCGAGCGCGGCAATCCGAGGAGACGGAGAGAGCGCCTGCGCAACAGAAGGTCAGCAAGTCTCTCGCATGCGCGGGTGTGTCCGGACCCTGCACGTTGCTGTGGCCTCGTCGTTGCAGTAGGCGCAGCAGGAATGCATGCGAGGGCCAGTGAAGAGGCAGCGGCCACGCGGGCCAGCACTCACCGACCACGTTCTCCGCACGAGCTCTTCGTCTCCACTCGGCGCCGGCTCGCCTAGCCGCAAGAGTGGAAACTCGAGAATGGCCGTGTCGACCTGCTCGATGCCCGTGCTGGCCTCGAGTGCCTGCAGCGCATCCTCGACCAAGGGCGCCGCGCCGCGCTCCTGGCTGCCTGCGGATGCCGAGAGCAGGAAGAACTTGGCCGTCACGTCGAGCGCCGAGCGGTCTGCGCCGGCCGCACACGGGTCCGGCGAGCGGTCGGCGGCGATGGTGTCGGGATGCGGCAGCGCCAGCGTGCCGTCGTCGCTGAAGTGGTAGGAGATGTATGCACGCTCGTCGTCGTCTGCCGGCGCGACGGGCGGCGCGAAGCCTGGCCGCGGCGTCAGCTCCTCCTCCTCCTCCGAGTGACGCGCCTGCTGCTGCTCGGCCTCCTCGTTGGGCCCGCACGGCGCCTGCAGCGACGGCGCCGCGGCCCAGTCCTCGACGTCGCCGTCGAGGGCAAAGTGCAGCGTCTCGTGGATGGCGTGCGAGAGGGCGCCGAAGGCCGACGGCTTGAGCGGGCGCGAGGCGTCGTGCGTGTGGAAGAGCAGCGAGCGCAGCACGGGCGGCTGCGAGGCGCTCATCACGAGGCAAGAGCGGCGGGAAGACGTGGAGCGGGGCAGGGCACGAGGACGCGAGCGGGGCAGGGATGCGCCGAGCAACAGAGAAGCGCGCGCTGAGACGCAGTGTGGGCAGATGAACGGCAAGAGAGCGCCTCGGAGCGTAGCGAGCGGAAGAGAGCAGCGGACGCGGTGCTGTGGAGCAGAGGAAAGGGAATCGGCGCGCCGCGCCTGCGCGTGAGCACGACATCCACATCCGGCGGCGCAGCGGCGCAGAGAAGCCTTACGGCCGCGCCGGGCTGCGGCCTCGACCGCGGCGTGCGCCAGTCGGCGAGGCGTGCGCTCGCTCTGCTGCAAGGGCAAGCTGCTTCCTCGCCGGTCTCATCACCCACGCCTCGCCGTAAGTCTCCTCTCTCGAGCGCTTCTCGTCTGCACACGCATCGCTGCCTCGTCTACAGCGCTGCGCCGCACCAGCAAGCCGAGGCGGCGTGAGACCCGCACAGCCCCGGTGCCTCGCCTGCTCCCCTGTCGTGTCGCTCTGTGTTGCGCTGTGGACTTTCAGCTGTCGCAGGCCCATTTGCTCCCATTCTTTTCTCGCTCGAGCGTATCAGGCGAGGAGCAGACTCGTTGCGCGACCTCGCTCGGACACTTGGGAACGTGCGTGACTATTCGGTCTCCTGCTCACTCTCCCGCTCCCGCTCTGCTGCTTCCTTCTCCCTTGCCGCGTCTCCCTCCTCGTCACTGCCATCGCTCCCATCGCTGTCCTCACTCTCGCTCTCACTGCTGCCGCTCTCGTCGCTCCCGCTCTCGCTCTGCGACGTCAGCTCGTCCTGCTCCTTTCTCGCCTGCGCCGCCGCCTTGCGCTCCAGCTTCTCGCGTGCGCGCTGCTCTCGCTCCTCCTTTTGCAGGCGCTTCGGCACATCGCCCTGCATGACGCGCGCGAGTGCGCGCTGTGCGCGCTCCTCGAGCGTCAGCTTGGGCCGGCCGCGCGGCTTGCGCTCCTTGGCGCCCTTGTTGTTCGGCGGCGCAGGCGGCGCCAACGGCAGGAAGCGGATGCGTGCGGCCGACGTCGAGGGTGCGCGCGAGAATGCGGCGTCGGAAGGCGTGGGCGCCAGTGGCAGCAGCGCATGGCTCGTGGGATGTGGCGAGCCTGGCCAGCGTCTGCGTCAGTGCAACGTGCCAACGCGCGGCAGAGCAGAAGCGAGCGCTCACTGTGCGTGTCGTACAGCAGAATCTCGGAGCCCAGCGCCTCGTCCCATGCGCCGGCGAACATCGAGGTGCCGATGGTCAGAAAGGGCGTGTCCGTCTCGAGGCCCTGTGGCAGAGAGTGAGCCTGCGTGCGCTTGACGATGGGGTAGCCGCGGCATACATGCGCGTCGCCTCGTCTTCGCCAGTGTGCTCTGTGCTCTGCCACCAACGCCGCCATGCCTTTGCTGCGCTGCACCGCGCCCGCCGGCGCCACTCACGCTGATGCTGTACTCTGCACTCGACTTGACGAGCTTCTCCACGGCGGGCCCGAGGTCGAGGAGCACGACGTGCTCGTGCTCCTCGTACTCCCACTCGCCCCACTCTGCGTCCTCGTCCGCCGCCGCTGCCGCCTCCTCTTCCTCGCCCGGCTGCCAGCCCGTGCCGCCAGGCGCGTCTGCAAAGGCCGGCACGCGTGCGCTGCCGCGCTCCAGCAGCCGGCGCGGGCCCTCGCTGTGCGCGTCGAAGGCGCCGGCCGCACTGCTGCTGCCCGAGGCGTGTGCCTGCGTGTGCGAGCCGGAGCCGGAGCCGGAGCCCGATGCGACGCCGTCAGCGCCAGTGCGGCGCGATGCGGGGCGGCGTGACTTGGTGGGTGCCATGGCTGGATGGTGGTGGAGCGGAGCGAAGGCGAGTGGGGTGCTTGTGCCTCTGTGAGTGCCCGCGAGGCGCGTCCGTGCGCAGTGCGAGCGTGGGAACAACACTTGAGCATCTTCGTGTCCTGCGCCGGCCGGTGCACCTCAGCGTCTGCCGACCACCACCTCCTCTCTCTTCCTCGCTGCGCGGCCACACGCACAAGCATGGCGCATGCGTCGTCCGCATCGCCGCTGCTCGCGCTGCCGGCCGTGCCGCTCGTGACGCCGCCGCCGGGCCTGCTAGGCGCACTGCAGGCGCTCGTGCAGCTTGCTGGCCGGCATCTCCCTGGCCCGCTCGATGCCCTGGCGCGCAGCCTGCTCGGCGAGGTGAGTGGCGCGGGCGCTGACAGAGAGAGGGAGTACACAGAGAAGTGATGCTGCGGCTGCAGAGATGCAGCAGGGGTGCAGTCGCCGAGGTGGGAGCACGCACTGGGTAGACGCCGCTCCATGCCATGCCGCCGCCAGCGCCTCGCCTTCGCGCTCTGCTGACGGCGCCTCTGCAGCACTGCCACTCGCAGCTCGTGCTCAACGCCAGCTTCGGCGCCACGGCCTGCCTGCGCCTGCTCATCTCCAAGGCGCTGGGGCTCGGCATTGTGCTCTTCGGCAGCATCCTCAAGCTGCCGCAGATGGCCAAGATTGTGCGCGCGCACTCGGCGCGCGGCGTCAGCGTCGAGATGTACGCGCTCGAGGTCGTCGCGTACACCATCAGCCTGGCGTACGCCGTGCGCCTCGGCATCCCGTTCAGCACGTACGGCGAGAACGCCAGCCTGACGCTGCAGAGTGAGTGCTGGGAGGGGCAAGGGCGGCTACGGCGGCGACTGCGGGCAGGGGCGTACAGTTGAGGGCCGTCTTTCGGTGTCTAGAGCGATACAGCCAGATCCCGTAAGGGTCAGAACGGGCCGCAGCGCGGAGAGCGAGCGGGTCTGGCCATCAGTCGCTCAGCCAGAGGGCGGGCTTCGATGCTGCCTTGATCTGTGTCAGGAGCAGCGCGTCACTCCTGCATGCCCTGTCACTGACTCCTCTGTGCTCAGACATGGTCATCACGCTGCTCATCCTCTACTACGCGCCCCTGCCGCGGCTGCAGCGCGTTCTGCCCGTCTCGCTGCGCCCGCCGCGAGCGCGCGTAGCAGCAGCGGCAGTCATCATGCTGCTCTTCTCGCTGGCGCTGGCGTCGCCGACGCTCGTGCCGCCGGGCGCGCTGGCCGTGCTGCAGGCAACGACAATTCCCGTGTCGCTGGCGAGCAAGGTGCCGCAGATGCAGGAGCTGGCGCGCCGCAAAGAGACGGGCCAGCTCAGTGCCGTCGTCGTCTTTGCCCAGCTGGCGGGCACCGTGGCGCGCGTGTGAGTGATGCGGCGATGTGGGGGCCTTGCAGGCAGATGCAGGAGATGCGCGGTTGCCATGCATCGTCCGCTGACATGCTCTCTCACGCAGCTTCACCACGGCCACCGAGACGCACGACGCGCTGCTGCTCTGGGGCTTTGCGCTCGCCTCGCTCTTCAACGCCGTCATTGCCGTGCAGTACGTGTGCTACTGGAACGGCGGCAGCAGCGGCGGCAGCAGCAGCGGCGACGGGCGGCTGCTGCCCTCGGCGCACGCACACAAGTGGGAGTGCGACGAGCGGCCGCTCTCCCATCCGCTCTCGCAGACACAGAGCTGGGGCCATCCGTCCGCGCCGCCGCCCGGTGCGCACGCGGTGCAGCTCGGCGTGCCGGGCGCCGGCGGTGGTGCAGCCAAGACGGCGCGCAAGCTCGACTGAGCCCGCCCGCGTGCTACCATAGATGTGTGTGCTGTCACTGCTGGGCTGCCCAATATCACTGTATTGCTAGACTGCGGGCAAGGGGCGTGCTGGGCAAGGCGGGGAAGGTCCGGTGCCCTGCTTAGTCAGCAGACGCGCCGCGCCCACCGGCGCCGCCAGAGCGCCGCCCGAGCGCGCCGCTGCTGCCTGCTTCTCGTCCACGATCCCCTCGCCGCCCATGCCGCAGCCGTCGCCGTCGCCCAGCCTCGGCAGCGCGGCCGCCGCCGCAGCAGGCATGTCCGGCAGCACGCCGTCGCCCGCGCCGTCGCTCAGCGGCACGCCCGCGCAGGCGCCGCCGTCGGCCCTCTCGCGCCTCTCGCTGCGCGACAAGCTGCTGCTGGCGCAGGCCGTGCACCACGTCGGCAGCGTGCCGCCGGACTGGGCGCGCGTCTCGGCGCTCATGCTGGCGCACCCGCTCGTCAAGACGGCGCCGCGCATCGAGAGTGCCGCGCGCGCCGGCTTCACCCTCGGCCGCGTCTTTGGCTCGCGCGAGTGCGAGCGCGCCTGGGTCGCCCTCATGCGCACCCACGCCCTCACCCTGCCCGACGGCAGCGACGACGCCGTGCCGCCGTCGCCCGGCGGCAGCGGCGCCGCAGCGTCGTCGTCGTCGACGGCCGCACGCGCAAAGGAGGCGCGCGGCCTGCCGCCGCGCACCGACCGCGCCAGCCAGCTGCTCCTGGCGCAGCGCCTCTACGCCGAGCGCATCGACGAGCTGCGCGCCGTGCTGCGCGAGCGCGAGGAGCGCTTCCAGTGCGTCGTCTCGCTGTCCTTTCCCGCTCTCTCTGCTGACCCTCCACCCACAGCGAGCTCGCCGCCGAGATTGAAGCCTACTCGTCCGGCGCAAAGGACGCTGCACTGCAACTCGAGCTGCGCAGCCTCGGCGCGTCGGGCGCCGCAGCCAGCCCCGCTCCGACGTCGAGTGCCGCGGCAGCGGGCGAGGATGTGGCCACGCCGCCCACTGCGCGGGCCGTTCGTGAGCGCGTCCGCAGCGCTGCCGCAGAAGGCCGGCGCGGCGCCAACGAGCCCGAGTCTGCGCCACGGCCTGCTGCCGCTGCTCCGGGAGCTGCGGAAGCAAGTGCTGCCCCGGCCGCCGCTGCATCGCCTAAGGCTGCCCCGACACCTTCCAAGGATGCAGATGCGCCAGCGTCGAGCTCGGCCAAAGCGGCCGAGACCCAGGCCGACGAGGCTGGCCCGAGTCGCAAGGGAGGCGAGCAAGCAGCCCAGGACAAGAATGCTGCAGCACAGTCTGTTGCCGCTGAGACTGCGGCTGCCACAAAGGCGAGCGGTGCCCGGCCCGAGCCTGAGGACGAGGAGATGGCTGCGCCGGAGAAGGACGCCGACGCTGCGCCCGCCGCTGCGGCCTCTTCGTCACGCGCTGCCTCGCCCCTGCCTGTCTCGGCACCCTCGACGCCGCGCCGCTCGCGCTCGCGCTCCGCGTCCGCGCCGAAGTCGGCACAGCGCGAGAAGGAGAAGCGCGCCAAGTCGCCAGAAGCCGAGTCGAGTGCGCAGCGCGCCGGGAAGCGGAAGCGCGCCGACGAGCGAGATGCAGCGAGCAAGGAGGCCGAGGCGCAAGCAGCCTCGGACAATGAGGCAGAGGTAGAGGAGGTGCCGCGCAAGGCACGCAAGCGCGGACGTGCGGCTGCTTCAGAGACAGACGAGCGCACACGCGAGAGCACGGCAGAGACGCCTGCCGCGCAAGCAGACGCTGCGGAGGAAGAGGAGAAAGAGGACGAGGAGGAAGACGCAGAGCCCGAGCCAGAGCCGGCACCGAGCACGCGGAACAAGACACGCGCGACACGAGGCAGTGCAGCCACGCCAACGGTGAAGCAGGAGGAGGAGACGCCGCGCCGGACGCGCCGCAGTGGACGTGCCGGCACTGCTCGCGCAGGCAGCGAAGAGGCTGCCGCCGCCACGGCATCCACCTCAGCGACACCCGCCTCTGCGGTGCGGCGGCGCGGCGTGCGCGCCAGCGCAAGTCGCGAGGCGTCGAGCGTGCGCGACGATGCGGCTGCGGCTGCAGCCGGCGACGACAGCGAGCGTGAAGACTCACCTGCGCGGCGCGAGACGAGCAAGAGTGCCTCGCTTTCGCCCGTCTCCGAACGACGAGGCAGCACCCGGCATCGGCGCGGCAGCACGAGCGGCGCCAGCCGTGGCCGCGCAGCCAGTGCAAGCAGCAGTCGTGCCGGCGACGGTCCGTCTTCGACGCGTGCCTCGGGCCGCACCTCGAGGCCCGGCACCGTGATGGAGAAGGACGAGGTGAGCGAGGCGGAGCGCGAGCGGGCGCGCCGCAAGAACGATAAGATGCTCCTCATGCTGCTGGACGAGGTGGCAAACCACACGCACGGCAACCTCTTCCACAATCCCATCAAGGAGCAGGTGCGTCGCGCAGCGCCTTGCCCACGTCCCTCGCGCGCCCTGCTCACGCCGCTTGCATCACACAGGACGCGCCAGACTACTACCAGCTCGTGCGGCACCCGCTCGATCTCAAGACGATCAAGGCGCGCGTCAAGGAGGGCCGCATCGCCTCGGCATCGCAGCTGCGCCGCGCGCTCAGCCACATGTTCGCCAACGCGCTCATCTACAACCGGCCGGGCACCGAGGTGCACCGCATGGCGACGGAGATGCGCGATGCGGCTGAAGAGGTGTGTGGCGAGCGCCGCTTGCACTCGCACCGCGCCAGCTGACATCTTGCGCGTGCACAGATCCTCAATCGCTTCGAGCAGACCCAGACGACAGCAGCTCGACGATAGCGCGCCACAGGCTCACAGCGTCACCATTCTATCACCGCATCCATGCACGCTCGCATTCCATTGCGTGTTACCTTTGCGCATTAGATTAGAGGGATGCCTCAGGCCATCGCCGCGAGCGTGGCGGCGAAGCATGCCTGCAGCAGCAGCGGCCCGTATGCGAGCGTGAGGAAGGGCAGCGTGGCGCTGCCGAAGACGTGCCAGTCGCGCAGGCCGGCAGCCAGCAGCTGGCGCGACGCATCGACGGGCGCACAGCCGCGCGGCGTCAGGTCGATGATGGCGAGCAGCGGCCGCAGGAAGGACGGCAGCGCGGGCAGCGAGCCGCTGTGGCACGCCTCGAGGACGGAGTCGAGGTCGAGCAGGAAGAACGTCGGCTGCAGGACGGGCAGCAGGATGTGTGCCTGCACCAGCAGCCAGACGCGCCGTGCGGCTCCGACGTTGTTGCCGGCCGGGATCGCCAGCGTGAGGAAGGCAGGGGCCAGGGCGATGCCGGTGAGGAGTGCGAGGGAGAAATTGAGCACCGAGACGCAAGCGATGAGCATGCCGGCCTGCAGCAGCGTGAGGGCGTGCAGCGTGCGAGCAAGCGAGAGGCGACGCAGAGTCTTGGCCTCGGCCTCACTGCCCTCGTGCGCCTTGGGCCCAGACGCTGCATCGGCGGACGTGCGGGTGCTGAGGTGCGAGAGCAGCAGCGGCACGAAGATGATCGAGAGCGCCAGGACGCCCATGCTGCCGACGAACGGCACGCAGGTCTGCAGGTCGTGCGTCAGAGGCGCACCTTCTTCTCCTCGCGCCCGGCACACTCACAAAGTATCCATCGCGTGCGCACTCGAGCGACATCGTGGTGGCGAGCTTGAAGACGGCGCCTCCGAGCGCGTACGCCAGGAGCACGGCGAGAAGCGCCAGAAACGTCGGACGCGAGGTGCGCGACAGCGCTTGCCGCAGCTGCTGCACGCCTTGCGGACCGAGTACGGCACCCCGTGCAATGGCGCCGCGCACCAGGCCGGCGAGCTGTTCGTGCGCCGTCTCGCGCGCCAGCGGCACGTCTGTCGGATGCGGCAGGCCTGCGCGAGCGACGAGCGAGGCGGCGCGCTGGTCGGCCGCAGCGCCCTCGGAGGCCCAGAGCAGCAGGCCACGCAGCGTCATTGCCAGCGACGGCACAAGCGCGACGGGCAGGAAGGTGCCGAGCTGGATGAAGCGCTGCGGCGAGGTGAGCAGGTAGAAGAACTGCGAGTGGTGCAGCCGCTCGAGCAGGTTCGAGTAGGTGCGCAGCACGCCTTCGGTAACCCTGTGCCGCAAGGAGAGGTGAGCGCGTGTCGTCTATGCCTTCCAAGCGGAGAGCGACTCACCGGCCGATGTTGTAGAAGCCATACGGCCCGTCAGCTGGTGTGGCGTAGATCGTGTAGGCATCGATGTGGTAGCTGCACACGCAGCGTCAGCACAAAGCGGCAGGCCGGCGCGACGCGCGAGACGCACCGGTGCAGCAACCCATGCACGCCGCTCGGACGACCACCAGCAGCACGCCCGATCTGAGTCACAGCATTGCGCACGCCCTGGAGGTAGCGCAGTGCCGCGCCCTGGCCCATCGCGCCGCGCTCCATCTGCTCGCCCAGCCAGCCAAGCGCCGCGCGAGCCTCGTCTTCGCGCTGACCGTCAGGCCGCGGCGCGTCGAGCCGCACCGGCACGCCGTCCTCATGCGCAGCGACGTGTGCGAGCGAGATGAGCGCGTCGAGATTGGGCAGTGCGCCATCGGCTCCCTCGAAGAGCAGCTGGATGTCGGAGAAGGAGTCGGCCGGGTAGTCCAGCGCAACGGCGTTCCAGATCTGCGCGCGCGGCAGCTGCAGTGCCTCGGCCCCGAGATCTGCATGAAGAGTCAGCGCCGGCAGGGCTTTGCAAAGCGTAGAAGCCACTTACTCGACTGTGCGCGCCCGTAGTACTCCGAGATGAACGCCTGCGTGCCCTCGAGCTCGCCATCGGGGAAGACGAAGATGAAGTCCTTGGACCAGTTGGAGAACTCTGACAGCGACAGAGGCGTCAGCATGACATGACCGCGACATCTATGGTCAAAGGAGAGCGCAGGGCTCGACTGCGATGCCGCCACAGCTCCCTCCACTCCTCCCTTCTGCCGCTCCAGTCCCGCACTACTCACGTCCAGCCCAGCGTGCCCACGCGAGCATCGCAGCGATGCCACGCACGTTCCGCCGCGGTCCGCCGTCAGCCTCGGCAGCCGTGCGTGCGCCTTGGCCTCGCTCCGGCGCCGGGTTGCGCGCGCGCGACAGCCACGGCGCCAGAAGCAGGATGGCCTCACGGCCGTCGGCGCGCGGCGCTCGCAAATGGCCATAGGCGTTGATGCCGTGCAGCGAGCGCGAGGCACCGTCGCTGGTCTGGCCGGGCAGAGCGAGCGAGTAGGATTGCACGTCTGCCGCGAGGCCGTAGGAGACGAGTGTGCGCTGCACGAAGGCCGCTCGGCTGTGGATGAACGGAGGTCAGTCAAGGAACGCGCATCAGAGCTGCGGGGAGCCTGCAACGCACGCTTCAGACGACTCGGGCAGCAGCGCTATCTGCGAGGCCAGGTCGTCGGCCCACGACACGGCCTGCCATGTCCACTCGACGCGCGTCGAGCCGGGCGACAGGGCGTTCTCGTCGACGTACGTGCGCCGTGTGAAGGGCTTGTCGGGCAGCGGCAGCAGCAGCGCCAGCGGCAGCAGCAGCAGCATCAGCAGCGGCAGCTGCGCCAGCGTCACGCGCCGGGCGCTGCGGCGCCGCAGCGGCGCGGGCGGCAGCAGGGCCAGCGTCGTGCTGACCTCGTCGGCCGAGGAGTGCGACGAGGCGCCCGACGCTATCCGTGCCGGCGAGGCGCGGGCCGACGAGGCGCGCGGCGGCGAGAGCGAGGCGTCTGCACCCTTCCGTCGCCGCGAGAGCGAGGCGGGCGGCGTCGTGGCGCTCGACGAGGCCGCGACGGGCACGCTCTGCTCTTCTGCCAGCTCTTCATCCTCGACGAGCTCCTCCTGCTCGGGCTCTTCGGGCTGCAGGTCGTCCTCCAGCTCGGCCTCTTCCTCCTCTGCCGCCAGTACCGGCACGGGCGAGAGGCGCGCCGAGCGGCGTGGTGTGGCCGTGGCGCTGCGGGCGGCGGCACTGCGCGGGGTGCGGGGCGTGCGCGCAGCGGTGCTGCCGCCGTCGCCCTCTGCCGCGGCAAGGAGCGCCGAGAGGGAGGGCGCGGGCATCGAGGGCGGCGGCGAGGCCGAGAGGCGCGCAGAGCGGCGCGGCGTCGACATGACGGCGACAGCGACGCTTGAGTCGAGCAGCCGGGCGTGGTGGAGCAGGTGGAGCGGCAGCAAGTGTTGGCGGATCGGTGCGCGCGTCGAGAGGAGGCGGGGCGCGCGCGTCTGCGGCACTCGGGACTGGGCGCGGCGGCACGTGCTCCAGCCAAGGCGGCGCCGTTCTTCCTCGGCACGCCGCGCCAAAAGCTGCACCGCCTCATGCCTCTCCACCCCCACACCATGGCCAAGAAGAACCTCGCCTCCGCCCTCGCCGGCCAGAAGGCCCGCGCCGCCGCACGCGCCAAGCAGGCGGTCATCGACGAGGCTCTCAGCCGGAAGGCCGCCAGCATCGGCGCCGCCGCGCGCAAGCAGGGCGCCGCCAAGCGCGCGCCGACCGGCGAGGCAGCGCCGCTCGAGGGTGCTGGCGACGGCGACGACGAGAGCGCAGCCGCCGCTCCGGCTGCGCTCGACAAGGGCAAGCGCCGGCAGCCGCGCGCTTTTGAGCGCGACGACGCCGTGCTGCTCGTCGGCGAGGGCAACTTCAGCTTCACGCTCGCGCTCCTCTCGCCGCCGCACGCCCACCCGCCGCACCTCGTCACCGCCACGGCGCTCGACAGCGAGGCCGAGTGCTGCGCCAAGTACCCCGACGCCGCCGCACACGTGGCGCGCATCCGCGAGATCGCCGGCCGCGACGACGTCGTCGTCTTTGGCGTCGACGCCGGCAACCTGCAGGCCAGCAAGGCCGTCTGCGGCACGCCGGCGGCCGAGCGCCGCTACAGCAAGGTGTGGTGGGGCTTTCCGCACTGTGGTGAGTTGGCGCGGTGCGAATACAGCGCCATTGCTGCGGCAGAGTCTGACGCTGCTTCGTAGGCGCCGGGCACAAGGACGAGTCGCGCAACGTGCTGGCGAACCAGCTGCAGATCCTGCGCTTCCTCGTCTCCGTCGCGCCGCTGCTCAGCCGCGGGCCCAAGCCGGCGTACGCCTCAAAGGCGACGGCAAAGGACCGGCGCCGCAAGCGCGATGCCGAGGAGGCTGACCTCGACTTTGAGGCACCGAGCGCGGATGAGGACGAGGCGGGCGTGAGCGACCTGTCCGAGGCCGAGGACGAGGCGGAGCAGGCGCTGGCGGGCTCGAGCAGCAGCAGTGCCATCAAGCGGCCCTTTGTGGCGCCGCCGCGCGCCGGCTCGGTGCTCATCACACTGCGCAACACGACGCCCTACACGCTGTGGGACGTGCCGCTGCTCGCCAAGCGCCTGCCGCTCGTGCTGCCGGCCATCGCCAAGTCGGCGCCAGCGCTGCCGCGCGGACAGAAGGCGCCCACCATCGCCGACGTCACGGCCACGTTTGGCGCGCGCCGCTATGCGCTCTGGCGCAGCTTTGAGTTCGAGCCCGACGAATGGCCCGGCTACGAGCATCGCCGCACCGTCGGCTGGATCGACGGCGTGAGCAAGGGCGCAAACGAGGACCTGCGCCGCCGTCCTGCGCCGGCCGCACCGACACCGCCGACACCCGGCGTGCCGGGACGCGGCAAGGGCTGGAAGGAGGGCAAGGCAGGCGGCGGCGCGGCACAGAAGGAGCGCGCATCGAAAGCGGCGGGCGGCGAGTGCCGCACCTGGGAGTTCGGCACCGAGAGCGGCGTACACGACTCGGCGAGCGGCGGCGGCATGGGCGGCAAGGGGGTGAAGCGACGCAAGTAGACACGGACACAGCATGCTCTTGATAATTGCATTCCTCTCCAGCACAAAGAGCGGCTCAGCCTAGCCGGCTGATGTCGGCGCTGGTGGCCTTGCCGTCGAGCAACAGCTCCTGCAGCACCTTGCCCGTGCCCACTGGGTGTGCCGGATGGTCAGCGTGGCTGCACCGACACGAGCCTCGTCGCTACTCACAGCCAAGCGTAATGCCCCAGCACGAGTGTCCCGCAGCGACGGCGAGGCCGCTGGGCCCGTCGTATGCCACGACGGGGTTGCCCGTGCCGCTCGAGACGGGCAGGTAGCAGGCCTGCTCGGCGCGCACCTTGGCGCCCGCCGACGTGGCAAGCACCTTTGGCGAGAGCACGCCGGCCTGCTCCAGCAGCTGTGCCGTGGCCTTGCGGTCGGGCTCGACGCGTGCAGTCGGTGCGGGCAACGGCACGTCGTCGGTGCCTAGTGGGCAAATGAGATCAGTCGTGGGCTCGGCAACGCGCGATGCGGCAGGACTCACCGCCACAGACGTAGACCGTGCCGTCGCTGCGCGCGTACACCTCCGGCGATGCCGCCTTGGACCCTTTCCCAGCGTCGAAGCGCATCTCGGTAAAGAGGCAGTGGTTTGTCGTCGGTCCGGTGCCCTCGATGATGACGCTGTGTGCGCGCGAGCCGTCGATGTGCTTCGCGTTCTGCACGAACTTGGGCAGCGAGGCGTCGCGTGTGGGAAAGAGCTTGGAGAGCAGCTTGCCTGTCCATGGTCTGTGGATGTGGCTCAGCAAGAGAAGCTGCCAACGTGCAGCTTGCCCGCTCCTCAGACTCACCCAGCAGCAAACACGATGTCCGTCACTTCGCGACTCTCCTTGCTGCCCTTCTCGCTCCAGCTGAGGCTCTTCACCTTGCCGTCGTGCATCTCCACGCCGTCAACCTGTGCATCGCAGCGGATCTCGACGCCCTCCAGCTTGGCCGCCTCGCCCGCCAGATACTCGACGAGCAGGCCCGGCGTCACCTGTGCCGTCGAGCCAGAGCCGCCGAGGGACGCAGTGGAGGAGACGTGCGCGGCATCGACCCAGTCCAGCGCCTTGGGGCACTTGGAGCGCGATTTGGACGAGTCGAAGTTGAGCGAGAGCGTCTGTGCGAAGCGTCAGAGGATTGCACCGAGGCGGGTGGCGACTTGTATGTGACCCTGCAGCAACGGCACGAGAGTGCTGCTGCCGCTGCGGGCCGGCTATCGAACATTATGCTAGCTCCAGAGGGCTTATGCCCATCCTTTACGTTCCAGCCGTCCTGATGCCCTGCCGTGCCATGCTGCCTCGACGCCGGCGTGCCCGCTACTCACCTCGACCTCGCGCCATGCCCAGCGGTGGCCCTCTGCGCGGCCGAGCTCGGCGTGCAGGCCGAAGCTGAGGTCCGCCAGGCTGGCGGTGGCGGCGCCGTGCCAGTCGCGCGCAAGAAAGCCGCCGCTCTTGCCGCTGGCGGCGTTGGCCACGTGCGGCGCGGCCTCGAGGAGCAGCAGCGTGCTGCCCGGCGCCAGGCGCGCACGCGCGGCGGCGAGGTAGTGCAGCGTCGACACGCCGATGATGCCGCCGCCGACGATGGCGATGTGGCGTGGAGGAGCGGACATGGTAGGAGACTGGGTGGTGGTGGTGGGGTGTAGCGAAGAGCGGCTCCGCCACCGAGCCCTGAACTGGACGCCGACCCGAGCGAGGCGTGGTGGAGGCGGCAGGCGTGGGAAGCGCTCCCACGCCGTCATTCCCGGCTCCCGCACGACACGCCTCACCGCCGTGCACTCTGGCTGCGCCGCCGCGCTTGGCACGGCAATCATTCCCTCTCACCACCACAGCCCTCGCCTGTTGCGCCCATCTCTCGGCCCGCCTCGCCACAGCACACTCAGCATGTCCGACGCAGCTGCATCGCCCGCCGAGGCCAGCGGCAGCCGCAGCCGCAGCTCCAGCGCCGCCGCAGCCGACGCGCCGCGCGCCGCATCTCCACACGCAGCGCCGTCTGGAGCGGCAGCGTCGGGCAGCAAGGACGCAGCCGAGGCAGGCGAGGGAGGAGAGTCTGGGAACGAGGAGGCGGAGAAGTCTGGGTCGGAGTCGGCGGAGGACGACGAGGCCGGCGACGCACCGGCTGAGAAGCAGACGTCCAGCGCTGGCAAGGGCAAGGCCAAGATCAAGCCGGGCGAGCCGCACTCATGGCAAGCCAGTGAGTCTCGCATCGCGCATCGTCACACTCTTCCACATGCTCACACGTGCCGCAGTCTGGGCGCCAGCGCAGTCGGCATACTACTTCTGGAACGCCGAGACGAACGAGACGACGTGGGAGAATCCGCTGGAGGTCGACGAGGCGGCGGCAGGGAGCTCCACGGGCACTGCACAACCAGCAGCTGCAGAGCCGTTGACAGACGAGCAGCTGGCGCTGTCGGCCGGCATCGATCCGGACCTGGCCTTCCTCGACCCGACGCTGTACTCGGCACAGCTGGCGTCGGCCCGCGCCGGTGCCGCGTCTGGGCCGTACGGCGCGGCCGGTGCCTTCGACGCACGCACAGGCCGCTTCGTGCCGGCGGGCAATCTGGGAGCTGGTGCCATCAACGATCCGTCACGCCTCTCGCAGGTGGCACGGGCTGGCAGACAGGTGCGTATGATGTGCTGTGCGCATGCGACGCAGCGGCTGACTCTGTGCTGCACAGATGGAGGTCTTCTTCGACGTGGCGCAGTACGAGCAGCAGCGCGCGCAGGACCGTCTGGAGGAGGGCGATGGGCCGCGCGGCGGCAAGCGCAAGCTGAGCAAGAAGGAGCTCGAGTTCTACCAGCAGCGCAAGCGCGAGAAGAAGGCCAAGCGCTACCTCGAGAACTGAGCGCATGGGGCCAAATCAAACAGAGTCACGCACGATGGGCCTGATGAAAGCGCAGCGTGGCGTTGTCATTCTAGAGATCCATCACGAGCAGCCACCGGCGCAGCCGCCGCGGCAGCCCCAGCACGAGAGGGGCTGCACGCCCGCTTCCCGCAGCAGCAGCGCCACGATGGACGCAAAGCCCTCGCCCAGCACAAAGCCGGCGCTGAGCACGAGCAGCCCGACGGGCGGCAGCGGTGAGACGCCTCCGGGCCCGCCACTGCTCTGCCTCGCGCCCGAGTGCTTGGCGTTGCGCGAGATGTAGTGCTGCGCGAGCAGGCCGCCGGCGAGGCGGGCGATGCTGTAGTTGGGCTGCGTCGTTGCTGTGAGTTGCGGGGCAAATGAGCACGCAGGCGAGCGTACGCACAGTGTTCAGGCCGAGGCCGACGGCAAAGGCAATGCCGTTGGGCAACAGCGGCGCCAGGCGCTCCCAGCGTGCCACTCGTTGCACCGTGTTCCGCGAGCTGAGCCGAGCGGCAGCGCGCCGGGCAGCCAGTGCCTTGAGCGCGCCCATGACGGCGAAGAGCGCCGCGGCGACGATCATGAAGCCCGAGACGTTGCGCGGCAGGGCGCCGGCGTTGACGAGGCGCGCAAAGTTGAGCCAGAGACGCGCGGCCGGCGCGGGCATGTCTGGACCTGGGATGACATACGTGCGCTCGTAGAGCTTGTATGCCAGCTGTGCGGATAGAGCGATGAGCCTCTGAGCGCAGTGGCGGCCGAGAGGCGACTCACAGTCGAGATGACCACGCCTGCACTGCTGCCAACGAGCTGCCCGATGAACTGTGCGCGCGGCGAGGCATGCAGCAAATGGCCGGTCTTGTAGTCCTGCATCAGCTCGCCGGCCTGCATCGCACCGGCCTCGGACAGGGCGCCGCCGACGAGGTTGGCGAGGATGTTGCCGGGCGAGAGCAGGGCGAAGACTGTGGAGCAGATCAGCAGCTGCACTCGCAATGCAAATGGTCGGGCTCTGAGACGCACCTAGCTGGCTGAGCTGCGAGGTCGTGATGAAGAATCAGGATCGCGTGCTGTAGCTCGGCAGCACGAGTGACTCACCTTGCCGAGCGCATTGACCGGGTTGAGATCCGTGGCGCCGAGAGAGCGGCAGGCGAGCACGGAGAGCACGCTTGCGATGGCAATGCCAGCGACGACGGTCCAGACGCGCACGCCCTGCGCGCCGAACAGCAGCACGAGGAAGGCGACAGCGAGTGCCGTGGAGAGCGCCAGGCCAATGAGCACCCAGGTCGTGGGCGTCTGCCGCTCTGGCGGCTCGTCCTCCTCCTCGGCGCTGCCGGCGCCGCGCGATTGGCTTCTGGAGCCCTTCGGCGTGGGCAGAGCAAGCACGAGCAGCCCGACGAGAGACTCGGACGTCATGATGGCCAGGCACACCCAGAGGATCCACGCTGATGTCGCGACCGGGAGCGTCAGAGCGTGCTGTGCAAGTGCCGGTCAGGCGGCAAGACTCACCGCGGCCTCCAACGTCTGCGTCCATTGGTAGACCGTCAGTCCAGCCTCGATGTGTGGCCAGCGGGCTCAGAATTGCCCAGCCAACGAGTGCACCGGCGAACATGGACGCCGTGGTCGGCAAGCCCATGATTACACCTTGTCCACTGAAACGCAGAAGCTCAGAGACGTAGCGCTCAGGAGCAAGACGCTAAACTCACACATAGGACAGCGATGGCGTGAGCCACCAACCCCAGGTGCGAGCTAGGTTATGCGCCGGCACGAGCACGTCAAAGACAGGGATGGCAAAGATGACTGGCAGCCAGTACGCCGCCAGCTGCGCAGTGTCAGGATTTGGGAAGCAGTAGGCATCGTCCAGACGACGCACCGTGACAGCAGCACTAGCAGCGAAGCTCCACCCAAGCGGCTTCCAGCCATCCTGCAGCTCCTTCTGCTGCCGCTCGCCCTCCGCCTCATCGTCGTCGGCCTGGCGCTGCTCATCGGCACGTGCCTGTTCCAGCGCCTGTGTCTCCTGCTCCGACGGCCGCTCGTCCCAGTCGAGCATGCGCTCATGCTCGCCGCTGCCGCGAGCCGGCGTGGCAGACCCTCGCTCGTCTTCTGCTGCGGCGACGGGTGCAGCACGGCGCAGAGGCACGCGGTGCAGCACAGCAATGAGCTGCGCCGTCGCTGTCCCCGATGGGAAGCGCAACGCCTCGCGCAGGATGAAGGGCACTCGCAGTGGCGCAGCAAAGCAGACGCCGAAGCTGCCCACAAGTATCAGCGTGTGCCCTAGACGGTGCAGCGGTCGCACTCACAAGGCCATGCTGGCACTCCACATGAGCAGGTGCGGCGTGTCGAGGCGCAGCGGCACGGCGCCGTCGCGCGCCGGCTCGAGCAGCGAGAGGGCGGGAATGATGCCGATGAGGCCGGCGGCGAGCGGCATGCTGCCCAGGCTCACGGCCGTCGCCTGCAGCACGGCGTTCTCCTGCGGCGAGAGCTGCGCCGTCTGGCCGCGGCGCACAAAGTAGCGCGCCAGGGGCGCCGGCAGCGGCGGCACGATGCGCACGAGGCCGTACCCGACGAGTGCAGCCTGCAGCGACGCCATGGTGATCCACGATGACTGCAGGCCGAAGTAGAGATTTGTGAAGGCGAGCAGCGTGCCGACGGCGACGCCGCCGAGGAGGGCGCGTGCGGTGAGGTCCGGCGGCAGTGCGCTGCGGCTGCTGCCGGCGCCGCTGCGGCTGCTGCCGGCGTGCTGGCGCTGCTCGGCACGGGCGGCGCGGCGCTCGGCAGCGGCGCTGCGGCGACGCTCGTCCCAGGCCGACGTGGGCATGGTGCGTGTGCGATGGCGGTGGTGGGACGAGGACAAGGAGGGGCAGCGCACAGCGTGGGACAGGAGGCGCCTCGCAGCGCCGCTAGCGCGCGCAAGGCCAGCGCACCTCCACAGCGTCCCCGAGTGCCGGGCCGCGCATCTTCTGCTTTGGTCAGACGGCCTGCACCACCACCGTCACGCTCACCACTCCTTGCACCTGCTCTCGCCCGCAACAGGACCCGCACTCCGCATCGCCTACCATGTCGCTGCCTGCTCAGCTCGCACGCAGCGCCCGCGCCGGGCGTCTGGCTGCCGTGGCCGCACCCGCCGCGCGTCTGCCGCACCTCGCCGTCGCCTCGCGCCTGGCCGCACCATGCCCGGCCGCCGGCAGCAGCCGCAGCAGCCTGCTCGCCAGCCGCAGCGCAGCACCACGACACTACTCGTCCAGCTCGTCGTCTGCACCGCCGGCCGCCGAGATGCCCGTCTACCACGACACGGCGCATCCCAACGGCATCTTCTACCACGTGCTCTCGGCGCAGCGCATTGCCCTCTCCTACCTCGCCGCGCCGCCGCGCTCGGCCAGCTCGCCCGCCGTGCTCGCGTCGTTCGAGCTGCCGGAGCACATCGACGAGAGCCAGACGCCGGCACAGCTGGCGCAGGCACACGCAGACGTCATGGAGGAGAATGCGGCGTTCCGGCAGCTCATGCACGGCGTGCTCAAGGGCGCCGCGGCCGACGACGGCATGCTGCAGTACGAGGCGTACCTGCGCAAGAGCGGCTTCGCCCACGTCGCCGGTGAGTGGAGCGTTGCCCGACGCAGCAGCTGCCGTGCTCATGCTCCCAGCACACAGACCAGCGCGAGCAGCTGATGCCCGGCCGCATCCCCAATCCCGAGAACATCCTCGCCATGATTGCCTTTGAGGACCAGGAGCTCGTGCCGGCGTCGTATGCGCCCAACGACGTGCACCGCTTCGTCACGCGCGAGCTCGGCGTCATGGCGCTGCGGCCCGAGTGGCACGACCGCGTGCGGCGCGCGTGCGAGGAGGCGCAGGCAAAGGAGGGCGCCGCGCAATGATCACGCTGCAACTCAGGAGGCGCAGGTGTGAGACGAGCTGAACTGCTGAACGTGTGTGTGTGTGAAGACGAACCATGAGCGAAGACAGATGAGGGTGCAGGTGGCACGGGTGGTAATACATGGTGGACGACGGACAGGGAACGAGAGCGGGCAGCGCGCACGGGGATCATGGCGGTGCGCCAGACGGCGAGCGGCTCTACTGCTGGTACGCGAAGCCGTAGTTCTGCATCGGCAGGCCGTAGTTGGCCGCCGGGGCCTGCAGCGACATCATCTGCTGCACCGCGTGCTGCATCGCGGGCTCCGGCGCCGGAGCGGCAGCGGGAGCAGGAGCGGGAGCGGCGATGGCGCGGCGCGGCGCCTGGCGCGCCGGGCTGGGACGGTAGTCGTCGTCGTCGTCGTCCATGGGCACGGCGCGCTTGCGCGTCGATGACGGCCCCTGGATGCGGCAGCCCGGGATCGTCTGCGCGTTGAGCCAGTCGCGCAGCAGCGCGTTGACGTTGTTGTTGAACATGACGTCCTTGACGCTGCCGCGGATGAATGTCGTCATGTTGTTGATGAGCTCGCTGAGCTGCGCGTGCGTCGCGCCGGGAAAGCGCCAGATGGCCAGCGCCACGTAGCAAAACTCGATGGGCGCGAGGTACTTCTTGAGCTTGCCCTTCGGCAGCACGCACGCGTTGTACTCCTCGTCGTTGGCGAGGAGGACGAACTTGCTCATCGTCTTGCGGATCGTTTCGCGGAACGACTGCTCCGGCAGAGTGTTGCCCAAATCCTGCGAAGCAAGGCGAGGGTGAGCGCTTGGCAGGCGCAGATGACGAGCGTGTGGCTCACCTTTAGAAAGGTCGCAATGATCCCGGATAGCGGAGTGTAGCGGTCCTGCGCGTAATGGATCACGTAGAGGCAGATCTGCGCCATGAGCTGGAAGTCCTTGCCACGGTCGAGCTTGGCGATGTGCTGAAGGTTCGCGTCCTTCTCGTCGAAGAAACGTTTGACGAGCTCACGGAAGTAATCGCCCCACGGACCCTTCACGGCGCCCAGCTTCTCGGCCGGCGAGAGGGGCACGCCCATCTGCACGCGCGAGAACATCTCGCGCTCCTGGCTGTCCAGCAGGTCCTCGTACTCGATGACGGCGATCTGCAAATGGCCGTGTGTGTCAGCGATCACGCCTCACGACGAGTGCATGCTGCGGCCCGCGCCAACGTGCGGCGACACTCACCTGCTCCATCTCAAAGGCGCGGCGCATCTTGGTGCTCAGCGCCGGATACTGCTTCTCCTCCCTGTTCTCGTGGAACCAGATCTTCTGCTTGGTGCCCGCCGGGCGCAGCGGGATGACGTTGCTCATGAAGTTGAAGATCGACGAGAGGCGCTGCTTGCCGTCGATGCACACGGAGCACGTGTCGCCGTCCTCGTTGGTGCGCATCGAGAAGAGCACGGGCGGCACGTAGTAGTGGTTGATGATCGAGTCGATGATGGCGCTCTGCTTCTTCTCGGGCCACACGACGCCGCGCTGCCAGACGGGGTCGAGGTCGATGCTGCCAATCTCGAGCATCTCGAACAGCTGGCGCGCCGAGTAGTTGGTCGAGCGCGGCTTCTTGAGCGCACGGCTGCGCAGGAGGCCGCCCTTGCTGTCGCGCTCCTCGGGCTCGGCCGTGCCGCCGTTGACAGTGCTGCTGTCGTCGTCGTCGCCGCGGAAGAGCTCGTCGTCGTCCGACATGTCCTCCTCCTCCTTGGGAATCAGGCCGAGACGCTGCTTCGGCGGCATGGCAGCAGGCGGCGCAGGGGTGCTGAGCGGACGGTGCTGCTGGCACGAGCGCCTGGCTGCAGGCGGCGTGAGCTGGGTGCGCAGGGCGCGGCGCGGGCGCGGGCACGCACTCGAGGGCGGCTGAGTTGCCGGGGCGGCGCGGAGCTGCGTGCGAGGCAGCTGCGCGGGACCGTCTGCGAGCGCGCGCAGGAGAGGTGTGAGAGACGGCTGGAGCGGCGACGGCTGGCGCAGCGGGCGATGGAGAGGCGCAGCGAGGGTGTGGTGGAGTGGACGACGGGAGGGCGATGCGGCGCGGCTGCGCCTCTTGTGGCGCTCTTTATGGCCGCATGCGCGCTCCGCGCAGCAACTTTCAAGGGCGCCCGGGCCGCGCGCACGCGCCGCCACGCGCCGCGCCACGAGAAGCACAAGGCACGCAGCGGCAGCAGCACCGCCAGGCGAGGTCTCCTGCTGGAGGTGACTGGACAAGCATCAGCTAGGCAGTGCACACCTCCTGGACAGGTGCTGCAGCAGGCCACCAGCAGCAGAGAATCTTCACCCAGGCAAGCCCAAGCTGGATAGGCCAAGCAGGATAGGGCAAGCTGGATAGGCCAAGGCACAAGCCAGGAACCAGGCACAAGGCAGAGCCAAGGCACAAGAGCAAGGCCAAGGCCCAAGCAAGGCCCAAGGCAGGCTCAAAGAAGGTCAAGTCCCCTCTCCTCAGCCCCTATTCTGATCCAGGGGGGCCCAAGGATGGCCAGAGGCCCTCCTCTCAGCCCCTATTCTGATTGCACGTCATCGGCCAGTCTGATCCTGACTCATGCCAGGGGTCCACCGCTGCCGTCTCTTCCAGCACAGGTTCTCGCACGAAGACATGATGGAAGGGTGCGCACAGCGGCAAATCTATTGCGACACGGCGTACAGACAGGAGCATCGCTCGGCGTCACGTCAGGGTAGTAGGGTCAAGAAGGGCGGGCGCTCGCACGAGCGTGGCGAAGGCCGCAGCCAGGAGCGCAGCGCCGGCGGCAGTCGAGCCAGCGAAGCATCGCTCGGCGTCAGGCTAGGAGGGTCGCACAGAAGCACGGGCGCTCAGAGCAGCGTGGCGAAGGCCGCAGCCAGCAGAGCAGCGCCGGCGGCCGTCGAGGCCGCGACGGTGAGGCTACGGGCGCCGTCGGGGTTGCCCGAGCGGTTGCTGCCGCTCGTGTTGCCCGCGCTGGTGGCCTCGTTGCTGGATGCGCTGCTCGAGTTGGCCGGCGTCGTCTGGTCCGCGCTGATCGTGCCGTTGTTGCTGGCGAGCGCCTCGCTGGTGCCGTTGCGCACGTTGCTGGGAATCTTGCCGTCCAGGAAGCCCGCGCCGCACACCTGCGACACACCATCGGCGAGCTCGGTGTTGTTGCGGCGGAAGCCGGCGCGCGTCAGGTTGGCGGCCGAGAGGGTGAGGGCGGAGAACTCGGTGTACAGGGCGTGCGTGCAGTCGGTGCACAGACGCTCCTTGCCCGCGTCGAGCGAGGAGATGAGCTCCTGCTGCGCCGTCGTGTTCGTGATGGCCGACATGACCGTCGACACGCTGACGTTGCGCCCGATGACGTCCTGCAGCGTGCTGGAGAGAGGTGTGAGCGGAGGGCTTCTGATAGTGATGTGACGCCACTCACGAGAGCATCTCGGTCAGGCAGAAGTCGCCCGTGCTGGCGTCCTGGAGGCACATGGCCGAGCGGATCTCGGCGTAGTTGTCGATGGTGAACTGCGCGAGGCGAGGCATGAGCATGCGGTCGCTACTGCTGGAACCAAGCCGGAAGAGGGGCGTCTTCGTCGCATGGTCGCTGCGGCCTGGTACACAGCGCCGAGAGGAGCGCCATCACGCGCAGGCAGAAGCGGCATGCCTCGCCGAAAGCATGCTGATGCTGAGCTGCGCGCATACGGTGGCGCCAAGCGCAACGCGGCGTCGTCCACGCGGTGCGCAGATGCACGCGCGAGATCGGGCTGTCCCATGACGCGCGCCACACCGTCTGTCGACGTCGGCATGCATCCCTCGCTCCTCCGTCGAGGGCAGGCGCTGCACTCTGCCAACAACGAGCGAAAGGCTGCGCCTGGGCGAGCAGTCCGAGAGTCCGAGTGCCTTGCCGTGCGCGCTGCGCTGCCACAGCATCCGCACCTCGCTCTGCAGTCGTACGACACTGGCTCGGCCACTCACCTGCACGGCGTTTGCGATGTTGAGGGCGCCGTCCTGCGGGATGTCCTGCGCGCACTCGCCGTCGAGCACGCCGCGCGCCTGCTCGAAGAAGCTCTCGGGGCACGCCGGCTTGCCGCAGAAGTCGCGCTCGAGGTACGAGTCGAGGGGCGCGACGACGCTGCTCGACGGCTGCTGCAGCAGCGGGCCGAAGATGGCCAGGGCGTCGTTGATGCCGAGGCACTGCCCCGGGTCGGCCGAGACGAGGCCGGCGAGGCCCTGCAGGCAGCCGGTGCTGATGTTGAGCTGCTGCAGCGAGGCGGGGTCGAGCTGCAGCTGGGCCTGGGCGCCGCTGAGCAGCGGCACGGCGGCGAGGAGCGCGAGGGAGAGGGAGCGCAGCGACATGGTGGTGAAATGTGGTGGTGGGCAGGAGCGATGAGCGCCACCCTCCCGATGCCTTTATGGCCTCTGCTCAGCCCACCATGGGCCGGCCTCGAAGCGTCGATAGGGGCGGCCGAACAGGTCCTCGCCGCGAAGCCAAGCACGAGGGGACGACGGATGACGCAGCGGCGCGGCTCGGCGTGGGAGCGGCGAGCGTGCCGCGGCCGAGACGGCGAGGACGAGGGCGAGGGCGAGGGCGAGGCTCGGCGCAGCGTCACCACGCGGCCGTCGCTCGCTCGCGCCGCGCGGCGCGCCTGCCTCGCTGCCGGCGATCTGCCTCCGCACCCGCCACGCCGCTCCACCACGCGGTGCAACCTCGAGGCCACGCTGTGCACAGCACCGCCACAAGCCTCGATCCGCGCCTCGTCGTCGCGCATCCATCAAGCCGCAAGCCATGCTCTCTCAGCGCCTCGTCCGCGGCGCCGCTGTGCCGCAGCGTGCGGTGCGCTGCCTCTCGATGGCCGCACCCCGCCGTGCCGCCCAGCCAGGCGTCGGCAGCAGCGTGCCGCAGCCGCCCGTCGTCGAGGCACCCACGCAGCCCCGCCTGGGCCGTGGCCTCGCTGCGACGGCGCTCCTCTTCGCCGGCTGCTTGTGCGTGGGCCGCGACATGAGCACGTCCGAGTCACGCTGACCAGCTCTGTCCGCCCAGCGTCCTGTTCAACCCCACGGTCGCGCGCGAGCTCGTCACCGGGCCGCGAGTCAAGGTCATCCGCCACGAGCAGCAGGCAGAGGCGTTCGTCACAAAGCAGAATGAGAGGCTCGTCTAGTATTTGCTGGTTTACAAACGCGCCCAGGAGGTCTGCGTGCGGAAGAGAGAAGGGAGAGGAGCGGTGTAGGAGGGAGAGCGAGGCTCGGTCGTGTCTATGGGGGGTGCGAGGCGCGGTAATTACAGCGGCGGCGATCTAGGCGACAGCGCGAAATAAGGGTCCTGAAGAGAGGTGGATGAGAAGAGAGTGGTGCGTGCGACGGCGACGAATGCGTGTGTGTGTGTGTGTGAGGTCCGTTGCTGTCGCAGCTCGGCAGGTGCGGCGTGCCGCTTAGGCGGCCATCTCGACCTCGCTGGTCGCCGCCGGCGAGACATCGCGGCTGGCCGTCTGGCGGGCGTCGCCCATGAGCGCGCGCATCGACATCGGCGGCGGCAGCGCCATGTTCGACGGGCTCGTCTCGCGGCTGTGCGCGATGGCCTGGCCCAGCGGCGGCAGCGTCGGGTGCAGCGAGGCGGCGTGGATGGGCGTCATGCTGAACGCGCCCTTGCCCGTGCGGTGCACGGGCGCCGGCACCGCCGCGGCGCTGCTGCCCGTCTGCTCCGGCACGTTCGAGAAGACGCTCGACGGGCTCGAGTCGGCGCTGGCCGCGGCGCCGCTGAAGCCAAACGAGCTGGTGCGCGAGTGCGACACCGACGAGTTGGCGCCGCTGGGCGGCAGCTGCATGTGTGCGTGGCGCGGCGAGCCCGGCGGGCTGTTGGCGGCGCTGGCCGGCGCACTGCGGCTGCTGCTGCGGTGCTTCGAGGAGCGGAAGCTGCTGCCGTGGCCGTGGCCGTGGGCACCGCCGTCGTGCGGGCTGCCGTAGGGGCGGAAGCCGTGCAGGTGCACGTGCTGGTGATTCGTGCTCGAGCCGACGCTGTGCAGGTTCGGCAGGTGCGTCACCGATGCGCTCGACGTGCTGAACGGCGACGGCAGCGTGCGCGACGAGGGATCGGCAGCCAGGCCAGGCAGGTGCGCGTGCGAGTTGCCGGCGCTCAGCGTGCCCGAGACGCGGTTCAGGATGTCCTCGACGCGCGTGCGGCGCCCGTGCGGCTCCTGCGGCGAGGCGCTGCCCGAGAGCGGCGTGAGGTGGTAGGCGCTGAGGCTGCTGAGCGCCGACATGCGGTCCTTGCGCCCCGACGTCAGGCTGCCCTTGCGCGAGAGGCTGCTGCTGCCGTGGATCTCGGCGTGCGCCGTCGACGGGCTCGTCGAGGCCGAGCCGGGCGTCGACGTGGCGCCGCTGCGGTGGCCGTCGTCGCTGATGGCAATCGCCGTGCTGCGCTCGCCCGACGTCGTCGGCGGAATCGAGTGGCCCGAGCCGCTGCTGCCCATCGACGAGAGCGCGCCCATGTTGCGCTGCGAGCCGAGCGAGGAGAGGTGGTGGTGCGAGTGCGAGTGGGCACGCAGCGAGTCGGCCAGCGGCGGGCCATACGGGTGGCTGCGGTGGCGGTGGCCACCGTGGTGGCCAGTGCTGGCCGAGTGCGACGGGCCGGCGTGGATGTACTGCGGCGGCGAGTGGTTGCCGCTGGGCGGCGAGTGCATACTGGACAGGCCGCGCACCGGCGAGCCGGCGCGCGACGGCAGCGGGCTGTTGGGCACCGTCTGGTGGCCGTGGAAGAGGCTCATGTTGCGCAGCGGGCCGAGCACCGGGCTCGACGAGGGCGTCCAGTCGGGCGCGTTGGGGTTGGGCGCAGACGCTCGTGGTGCGCGCGGATACGCGCCGCGGCCGTCCTCGCCGTCCGACACGTAGTCCTCGCTCATGAGGCTGTCGCTGGGCGAGAAGCGCGGCGAGTGCTCACGGCTGCTGGGCATGCTGCTGGGCGCCGAGGTGAGGTACTGCGGCTGCATGTATGCGCGGCCCGAGAACGGCGCGGCGCCGTAGCGCACGCCAGCGGGGTGGTGCAGAGGCTGCAGCGAGGCGGCGACGCGGGCGTTGTACTTGCCGTGGCAGTCGTCGTGGTCGCAGCCGGGCGGCGTGGGCTCGACGTGCGGCACGGGTGCGTTGTAGTGGCGCTGGACAGGGTAGCAGGCGTCGCTGGGCGCCACGGGCGGCATGGGCGCGCCGCGCGGCAAGTACGAGGGCCCAGCGGCGGCACCCATGGGATGCCGGCCCTCGCGCTCGGCACGCTGCATCTCGCGCAGCTCGTCGCTCGCCAGCATGGCCAGCGCCGAGATCTCCTCGTTGCGGCGCGCCGGCGGCTGGCCGTAGTGCTGCGCGTCGTGCGGGTGCATGGGCATGCGGCGGCTGCCCTCGCCCTCCGAGTCGCTGCCGTCCTCGTCGCCGACCTGCCAGCGCGAGCGCGACTTGGCGGCCGAGGCGCTGCCGCCCGACTTGCGCGGCGCCGCGCCCGCCTTGGCCTCGTCCTTCTTGCCGTTGGGGTTGGCGTGGATGCGCACGTGGCGCGTCAGCTCGTCGCTGCGGCTGAAGCGCTTCTCGCAGCCGGGGTGCGTGCAGAGATGCGGCTTCTCGCCGGTGTGCGTGCGGATATGCCGCGTCTGGTGCTCGAGACGGTAGAAGGCGCGCGAGCAGAGCGGGCACTTGTACGGGCGAGGGATCTGCGACTTGTCGACGCTGAAGCTGCCCGCCTTGGCAGATGCGTCTTGCGCATCGATGCCGTTGAGCTTCGACTCGGGCGACTCGACTTGTGCGGCCATGGTGAGAGGCGGCGAAAGGTATGGGAGAGAGGAGGCTGTGGACAGGAAGGAAGGGTCAGCGGGCTGCAGCGGACCCCGTGGGGTAGAGACCCTCGGCCGAGCGTCATGAGCACGCTCAGCCGCGCCTTCTTTTGCGATAAGGCGTGCACAGCCGCACACCGGCACGGACAGGCCACGTCGGCGCGCTGCGAGAAGAAGCAGCAGCACTTTGTCGCAGCCCTTTCGTGGCGAGCCCCTCTCGGGGCGAGCGCGTGCTCGCCAAGCGCCGACGTGGCGTGCGTGCCTGGAGCGCCAGAGTCCGGGGCGTACAGTGATCGCTGCGCGCCCCTGCTCCAATCTGGACACCGAGATGCACCCGAGGAGGTGTCCAGCCTCTCGTCGGCCACCGGCGGTACACGTCGCCTTGGCGCATACCCCACAGCATGGCCAGCCAGACTCCGTACGGCTGAGGCAGCCCGACCTGCTTCTGTGTATGCACATCGTAACGATGCCACAGGCCTGGTGGACGACGCTGTGCGCAGCAAAGGCACCCGCAGCGACGGCTGTTCTGCGCCTGCGCCGCCCTTCTGCTGCTGCGCGCGCCGCCGCGCCCCCGCAAATCTTTTTCCCCGCCGCGCGCCGCCGCCGCACTCACCGATAGGACGCCTTCGACGACGCCAGCGATAAACAGACGGCGAGAGGCCGTGCTGAGCGGCGAGAGCAGAGACGGGAGGGGTGGTGGTGGAGCGGGACGATGACGAGCGGGCGGTGCGAAAATGCTCGGCGATCAGAGGAATGCGGTGCGGCGCGGAAGATGAGCCGCGGCGGGGGCGCGGGCCGGCTCGGTCGGCGCGGATGCGGCGCGCGTGGAGGCAGCAAATGGCAGAGACGCTGCGAGAGCGCGCGAGAGAGGGCGAGAAAGCGAGAGCTCGACGGCGACGACGAGCAAGGCGTGCGATGGGTGTAGCGAGAGGTGACGAGCGAAGGAGTGCGGGGTGGCGGGGGGCCCGGCATTCAGGGGGAGCTCGCTGGACAGCTCGAAGCGGCCGGCGCGGTGGTCAGCTCAGCGCGGCGCAGAGATGCGAGGAGCGCCGCACGCCGAGGCCGCTCGCTGCCCCTCTCCCCGGCGCGGAGCGTGTGATTGCGGAGGCGGGCGCGGCGCCGCGCGGCACGCAAGCAGCGCAGCGGCAGGCGCAGAGCACGCAACGTTTGCTGGCGACGCTGCTGCCGCTCTGCTGCGCCGGCACGCGGAGAACTGTCCGGCCGCCCGTGCTGCCGCCCTGCCCCTTTCCCTTCCCGCTGCGTCGGCATCGGCGCTTGCTCTCGCTGCATGCAGGGCCGCTGCAGCCGCGCACACTGCCCGCCCGCCCGCATCGCGCCCCGCACAGCAAAATCTTCGAATCTCGCCGCGTGCTGCGCCTCCTCTTGCTCGATGATCCGCCCCCCGGGCGCAAAAGAGGCCGAGGCGCCGCAAGTGGGCCCGAGGCGCGTCCCTTCGCGCCCGCCGGGCACATCCGGCAGCGCCCACAAGCTCAAGCTCGGGCGCGGCCGGTGCTGCCCGGCACCCACACGCCCGCTCTCGCCCCACACACGCGCGCCTATCGGCCTTGGCGCCGACGATGACATGGATTGCGTCTCGAGAAGGACGGCTGCGCGCCGAAGTGGGGTGCGCAGGTGCAGCGCCGAGCCACCGCCGAAGGCGGTGAACTGCGCCGGCGGCGTGCTGCGTCGGCTGCCGGCGCCGTGCCGGCCTCGTCTCTCCGCAGCGCGCCGCGCGTGCGACGTGCGTGGCGCTCGGCCTCGGCGATCTCTCCGCGCCCGAGATGGCCTGCTCTGGGGCTGCCAGCCGCGAGCCGCGCCCCCCGCACTGTCACCCACGCCGTCGCAGCGGTGCAGAACACCGAGCCAGCCTCGTGCTCGGCAATCGTGAGGCGCCAACCAGCTCGGCGGCGGCAGCGACAGCCAGCGCTGGCAGCGTCGCGGATGCTGCTGCTCGTCGTCGTCGTCGTCGACGCGTGCTCGCTGTGCCCGCTTCTTCCGGCGGAGGACGACGCAGAGGCCGGGCGCGGCGCGGCGCGCACGCCTTTCCTCATCGCGCCGCGCGCACCGGGTTGAAAGCGAGCCGGATGCCGTGCCATCGCTCCCAGCGACGTTTCTCACAGGCAGCCACAGCAAGCGAGCGAGGAGGCACGGATCGCCGCATGATGGCAGCCGCCTCGCCCTCCCGATCGCCATCGCATCGTCGAATCTTGGACTTAGCCTGCTGTCACATCCGCTGACGCGGCGCCGCCCACGTAGGTACACGCTTGCGCCGGCAAGATCCAGCCCAGGGAGGCGCCCTGCCGCCGGCGTCCGTTGCTACCGGTAGCCGTGAAAGATCTGTCTGCTCCCCGTCCACTCATGCCTGCCTCGCTCGTCCGGCGCACATGCCTCCTGATGCTGAGCGGCTGGTGGCTGGCGGCGCTGCTCGGCCGGCTCGCAAGCCTAGCGCGGGGCCCCGAGCGCCGCTCGCCAGCATGCAGCGGTCGAGGGGCCCCGGCTCTCCATCTTGCTCCTGCTGCGGCACGCACCCGCTGGTCGATGATGGGGCTGAGGGCATCGGATGGCCTCCGTCGGCGCCCAGCGGCCGCCAGCTCGCATGGCGGCGACTGGGCATCATGCGCCTGACACGCCGGGAGCGAAGCACGCCTTGCCGCATCGCCGCTGCCGGCACCGGATAGCCAGCGTCACCGGCCGTGTGCTGAAGCCAGCTCTTGACGAGCGCAGCTTCGGGAGCAACCGCTGCCAGCCACACAGCGTCTGCCTGCATTGAGAGGCGGAGAGTGAGGGAGCCTCGTGTGCGAGATCCGAGAGCCGGCATCCGACTCCAGACTCGCTGCGAGGCGGTGCTGCCTTGCAAGCTCTGCATCCGCACCGGTGCACCTTCGACTCACGCCTAGTCACGAGGACGGCCATGTCGTCGGCTGTATTGTGCTGCAGCATGGGCACGATGGGTATGCACAGTAGACAGGCGCCATCGGCTGTGAAGCTCTGTCGTCGCTAGCGCAAGGCCTGGCGCATTTGAGGCTGAGCGTCGTCGCTGCACAGAGACACACCGCTGAGCTTGCGGTGCTCTGCTTGCACTCGCCTCAAGATGCGCTCGCGGCCGCAGCATGTCTAGTCTTCCAGCCGGCTACGCACGAGCTCCCGCACCATCCACACCCCCTGAGCATACGTCGCAGCCCCCTGAGCAACGCACATCCTCGGACAGGACCGGGCGTGGCCGCTCGTCGGCCCTACCTCGCTGCGTGTGGGCTGCATGAAGGCGAGGGCGGTGCGGACTCGGCGTCTGCGGCGCCGGCTGCGAAGCGGCGCTGCGGGGCAGCGGCGTGCGGCGGCTCGACCTTCTTCCGCACCGCCCTCCGCCCTCCGCCCTTCTCGATAGCGCGCCGCATGCCGCGCCTGGCCCCCGCCGGGCGAACTCGAGCGCACCGAGAAGAGCGCGAGGCGCTGTCGTGCTGTTGCGCCGCAGGAGCGCTGCGCAGCGAGACATGCATCATCAGACGCAGCGAGGGTGCCGGGCGACGCGAGCCGTGCCGCGCCGAGGAGGCACGCAGATGAACGCCGGGCGTGTGTGGCTTGCATCCTGACGTCTCGGCGCCCTCGTCAGCAGCGAGAGACGGCGTGGCGCGGCGGTGACCGCTGCGCTGCCGCTGCTGCTGCGCCGGGGCCGTCTGGTGCTGGCGCCGACGCCGAGCGAGACGACGAACCCGCGCAGACGACGCCACGGCCGCGGCAGTTCGGCCGTCGACGCTCGGCGCCGGTCCGGGTGGCAGCGGCAGCCGTCATGCCGCAGGCTCGGCCGCAGCCGCAGGGTCCACCAGCAGACGAGCGCAAAGCAGGCACGTTCCGGCGGCGGCGGAGAGAAGGACGACGTGCAGCGGGGGGCGCCGTCCAGCTCCGCGGCTCAGCCCCAGCGGGGGCGGCCGCGCAGAGTGGGGTGCTCTGGGCGCCTCGGCAGACCATCTGATACGGCGTCACCGGGATGCGGCCGCGGTGGGGTGGGCCGAGCCTTCCGCACAGCCCCGACTTGGCGACGGCTTCTCGCGCGCAGGGCGGTCTCCGAGGAAGAGACCTCGGCGGTGCAGAGGCTGGCACGTGGCGCGACAAGGGTGTGGGGCGAGGGGCGGAAGGAGCGAGGGGCCTTCGGGAGACGGAGCTTCGACGCCAGGTGTTGCTTGATGCAGGGGCGCAAGAATGATCTCGTGTCGGGCGGAGGGTGAAGAGAGAGAGAGCGAAGCGCCTGCGCTGCTAATACGCCCACAGCGGTGACGCTTCAGCACCAGACTTGGCTTGGCTCAGGGAGAAGCAATAGCCTCGTCGGTGAGAGATATTTGCTGTAACCGGCCCTAAGATCTCATCTCGGCGGCGGTATGAGGTCAAGCTGAGGTCTCAAGCGGCAGTTGCGTGGTAGCAGCGCTCACCGCGGCGCGTCGAGAACAGCTCTTAGGCGACCTCAAGGCCGTCCTGAGCGGTGGCCAGCAACAGTGCTACCAGAGTTTTGCGCTCAAAATTCTCTCAGGGATCGCTTCTACATGCTTCGCCTCTTGTACCCCTCCCCGTCGCCATGGTCGCTTGCAGCGTAGCGTCCCGGTGAAAGCTTGTCCACGGCGAGAGGGTGGCGCGGAGGTGTGTTCCCACGCGTCCCTCGTTGCTTGTGACCCGGGCTAGCCGTGCTAGCTGCCGTACCTGCAGCTGGGATGTGGCGAGCGACGACGCTCATTGCCGCACAAAGGCGATCTTCAGCCCGGGTCGGAGCAGGACGCTGTAACTGAGCATGCTGCAGACGAGCCCTTCGCAGCCGTACGGTGTTGCGAAGCAAGTCTCAAGCACCACCTCTTCCCAGGAGCCTATCGATAGCAGCTCGACGACTCAGCTGCGCCTCGAGAGCAACGCCCGCGGTGCCAGACCAGCCTCGGCTGCTCGAGAGGGCGCCGTGTCCAGCGCAGTCCAGCGCAGTCGCAGCACCTCGTGCGACGCCGAGCAGGCAAAGACGCCGCGGAGCCCCTGACGCTTTCAGAGCACGCCGCCGGCCGGCCGCATCTCGCCGCACGTGGGCCCTGAGATGCTCCCGAAATAGGCGCTCGACGCGCGCCCGCCAGAGCCGCACGCGTTGTAGTCACAGGGGCTCAAAGCGTCGTGCTGGTCGACCACGAGCCTCCCTCTCGCGCCGCGCTGGCAGTGGATCATCCGCATGCGAAGCTCCATCAGCGCAGCGGCGAGCCGCCATCATGGTGCTGCCGTCACTTGGAGTCGTCTGCGGACCCGCTCAGGGGCCGCAGCTCTCGTCATGGCGGTGTGCCGGAGCGTGAGATGAGATGTGCGGGGCACGCCGCCGCCTTTTCGGCAGCCTCCTGCCGGCGCCTTCGCAGCGCTCTCTCTGGCGGGGCGCGTGCGCGACTGCGCTGACGGGCGCTGTGCCGGCGGCGTGGGCTGTCTAAGCGTTCCTGCCACGCGCGCGCGCCTCTGCGCTGCGCTGCACGCTGGCCGCGGGCGGAGATGCAGGCCCTGACGCTGTGCTGCCTCTGCGTGCGTGCGGCACACGCCTGTGCTGTGCGCTGCTGTGCTGCGCCTGCGCCTGTGCGCGCCGCCGCGGCGCGCCGCCTCGCCGTCGCTGCGGCTGGCGGGGCCCTTCTTCCACCTCGCTCCGCTCTCTCGCACCCCGCCTCCATCCCTCGCCCCTCATCCTCACCCGCCTCGCTGCGCATCTCGGACCGCAGCACCGTCTGGCGCTCTCTCGCTCTCCGCCGTGTGCGCGCGTCTCAGCCGCACGCCCGCGCCTGCTGCGAGCAGCTCTCGTCGCACTCCGGCGTGCGCTCGCACCTCGCGGCACCCGCTCCGGCCCTTCGCCCCGCACTCGCGCGCGCTCGCTGCTGCCTAGCCGCCGAGCGGCGCACCGCTGAGCAGCACACTCTCCGTGTCCGCTGGCTCGATGCACAGCAGCCAGCCGCCGCCGTTTGCCGAGCTCGACCCCGACCACGAGCGCGAGCCGGCAAAGTTCCGCAAGCTGCCTGTGCCCGCGCAGCAGGCGGCGCACCTCGAGCCCGCGGCCGCGCCGCATCCGCCCGCATCCGCCGCAGCCGAGACGGCCAGCTCGTCGTCCGGCAGCAGCGCGGCCGCAGGCGGTGATTCGGCTGCCTCGGGAGAGCTTCGCTTTCCATCGGCCTTGAACGGCGCGTCCTCAGAGCGCGCCCGGGGCAGCATGTCGCTGCCAGACGCCAGCTCGCGCAGGGCAGGCTTCGTCGGCGGCGCGCCCGGCAGCCAGGAGGCCATGGATGCGCTTGATGCGCTTGGCTCGCTGGGCCCCGGCGGCGATGTGCCGCCGCTCTCGGCGGGCCTCAGCGCCGCGGGCGTGCCCGACGGCCCGCCGCCCACGTCGCTCGTCAGCGTGCCCGAAGATGCGCAGATGAACGGCACGCAGTTCCGCTCCAGCGACGGGCTCGACGAGCTCGACGCAGAGGACCTGCCGCGGAGCAGCATGACTGTCAGGCCCACGCGCGCGTCCCTCGGCGAGGCACCGGCGCCAGAAGGCTCTCCTTCGTCGCGCTCCCAATTCGGAATTTCTCCGGCTGCGTCGGCCGTGCTCGACCGGCCACGCTCCACTGATGAGGCAGATGTGTTCGGCGGCGGCCCCAGCTCTCCGTCGCGGGCAGGCCGCGCGTCGTCAAGTGAGAGCAACAAGCCGCTGCCCGGTCTGCCTGCCGCGACACGGCCAGTCAGCGACCTGCGGCTCAATGGCCCTTCGACGTCGCCGCTACCTGCCGCAGGCGTCGCGTCTCCCTCTGTCCTCGCCGCAGCAGCTGCAGCGCTGCCGCCTCAGCACATTCCGCGTCCGATGCCTGGTGCAGGAGCAGCGAACGGGCACGAGTCTGGCGGCGCGCGCGCTCTGCGGCCGTCTGGCGACCTGGTGCAGCGCGACGAGCCCAGCTCGTCGGACGCAGAGACTGCGCGCTCGCTGGCCAACAGCAACCGCAGCAGCATCGACGACATCCGGCGAATGCACGCAGCGCGCGCAGCAGCGCGGGAAAGCTCGCCCACTGCGCACGCCACGCCCGAGCCGCGAGCACACAGCACTCGTCGTGAAGCCCCGGGCTCGGAGCCTGGTGCGCGGCCGCTGAGCGTGTTCGAGACGCGCGCGGCACCGAGCGGCGCCAGCAGCCGCAGCTCGAGCCGCGCACCGGTGCGGCCACGCAGCAGCGACGGCCACGACTCGCGCGAGTCTGCCCGCACACCGCCGCGCAGCGCCAGCGGCAACACGTCCGCGACTCTGCGCGATGGCGAGGCGCGCGAGCGTGAGCGCTCCGAGCGGCCCGAGGGCGGCGAGCGCGAGCGCGAAAAGCCGCGCAGCCGGCGAACGCTGGGCGACTACGCGCTCGGCAAGACGCTCGGCGCGGGCAGCATGGGCAAGGTCAAGCTGGGCGTCAAAATGGGCAACGGCGAAAAGGTGGCGATCAAGATCATCCCGCGGCACACGTCGCTCGCGGCAGCGCAGCACGGCAAGCCGGGCAGCGAGGCAGTCACGCCGACGGCCTCGTTCCTCGCCAAGGCGGCGGCCAAGGACCACAGCAAGGAGGTGCGCACGATTCGCGAGGGCAGCCTGCAGCTGCTGCTGCACCACCCGTACGTGTGCGGCATGCGCGAGATGATGATCCATCCGCACCACTACTACATGGTCTTTGAGTACGTCAACGGCGGCCAGATGCTCGACTACATCATCTCGCACGGCCGCCTGCGCGAGCGGGCGGCGCGCAAGTTCGCGCGCCAGATCGGCAGCGCGCTGGAGTTCTGCCACCGCAACTCGGTCGTGCACAGAGGTGAGAAACGCAGCGCCGACTGGCATGCCAGCGCACCAGCTCATCTTACCCTCCTGCAGACCTCAAAATCGAGAACATCCTCATCTCCAAGACGGGCAACATCAAGATCATCGACTTTGGCCTGTCGAACCTCTTCTCGCCGCACTCGCACCTCTCGACGTTCTGCGGCTCGCTGTACTTTGCCGCGCCCGAGCTGCTCAACGCCAAGGTGTATACCGGTCCCGAGGTCGACGTGTGGAGCTTCGGCATCGTGCTCTACGTGCTCGTGTGCGGCAAGGTGCCGTTCGACGACCAGAGCATGCCGGCGCTGCATGCCAAGATCAAGCGCGGCCAAGTCGAGTACCCCGCGTGGCTCAGCGGAGGTGAGTCGCGTGCGCACAGTGATGTGGAGTGGCTGCTGAGTCCTGTTGCCCTGCAGAGTGCAAGCACATCCTTTCGCGCATGCTCGTGACGAACCCCAATCAGCGCGCGACGCTGCCCGAGATCCTCGCGCACCCTTGGATGGTCAAGGGATACGACGGCCCGCCGAACGCGCACCTGCCGACACGGCAGCCGCTGCGGCCCGGGCAGCTAAACCCCGAGGTGATCAAGGGCATGACGGGCTTCGAGTTCGGCACGCCTGAGGAGATCGAGGCGCGCCTGACGGAGGTGCTCACGAGCGAGAGTTACATGACGGTGCTGCATGGCTGGGAGTCGAAGCACGGCATGCCACTCTCTGGCCTCTCGCCTGCTGCGAGCTTTGCTGGTGCCGGGTCGAACGGCACGCTGCTCGGCTCGGAAGGCACGCTCGGCCGCGCCCACACGCGCGGCTCGGTCGAGTCCAAGTCCAAGACGGGCTCGAAGCGCTTCAGCGGCATCGACTTCTACCGCAAGAAGATCAGCGTCTTTGGCGGCGGCTCGAAGGATGACGGCAGCGGCACGTCGAATGGCGTCTTGAGCGGCTCGACCAACCCGAACGCCACATGGCCGGGCGCGGGCAAGGAGCCGCTGGACCCGACGCGCGGCTTTCACCCGCTCATCTCCATCTACTACCTCGTCTCGGAGAAGATGGAGCGCGAGCGGCTATACGGCCACTCCTTCTTCGCCAGCTCCAACATCTCCGTCAACGGGCCGCTGCCGGCCGGGCCGTCGGGCCGCCCGGCGGTGTCCTCGGCAGCCGGCGACGCGTCGGGCGGCTCGATGCCGACGGCCGCAGACATCCCGCAGGAAGCGCTGCGCGTCCCAGAAGCCTCTCACATCTCTGCCGGCCAGAAGGACAGCCCGATCCTGCCTGCAGACTTGCCCGCGCCACCGCGCTCGGCTGCGTCGTCCACGCCCGCCTCTCCGACACCCGTCTTCGAGTCGCGCCAGAAGAGCCAGCCGATGGCCGTCATGGCTGGTGCGCCGCGCGCGCGCGCCCAGGGCGACGAGGTCGAGGCTGCGCTGCGCGACAAGGGCTTCTCCGCACCCATGGCTGCCGCTGGTGGCTGGACGATGAGCTCGCGGCGCTCCGATGCCGCCGCCTCGGCCCTGTCGCCGCCTCCGCGCTCGAGCATCTCCGGCGCTGTCGCTGCCGCGCCGGTGCAGCCGCTGCCGTCAAACCACAAGCGCAGCCTGAGCCTGACGGGCAAGCGGCCTGCTTCCGCAGGGATGGGAGTGCCGCCGCCGCCGCTCGACAAGGATCTGCCTGCTGCCGTGCCGCGGCCCGCGCGCAAGGATGGACAGAGCGCGTCGCCTGACCACCGGCGCAGCTACCACGCCGGCGTGAGCCCGATGCGCGACGGCTCCACGCCGCTCGGCGACGAGGATGCTGGCGCAGCCACGCCCGGCGGAGGCTCGAGCTTCGTGCGCCGCTTTGGCTCGCTCATCGGCCGCTCGCCGTCGAGCCCTCTTGATGCAGAGCGCCGCCGGCAAGCGCGCATGAGCACGGGTGGCATGCCCACGGCGGCGCCGACGCCTGTGCGGCGCGGCAGCACGCACATCACCGGCCTCATGGGCGTGGCCGAGAGCGGCGCTGAGGCGCCCGCCAGCCCCGAGCCTGCCGACTCGCCAGTCGCAGCGCGGTCCGACACTGGCGTGCGGCGCTCTGGCACGCTCAATGAGCTCGGACGGCCCCGCCCGTCCACTGCCAGTCCCGGCGCCGTGTCGATGGGCCGCGCAGCTGGAGGCCGCGCGCTGTCTCCCTCGCGCGTGCGGCCTGGCTCCTTGGCTGCTCCTCTGGGCACTGTTGATGCGTCGGTCGACGACCCGGCGCCTGCTTCCGCCGTCTCGGCAGGCGGCTGGCACGGCGTCCAGCCTGGGCAGCTCGGCGCCATGCCGCCGAACGCCCGGCGAGACGGGGTCGCTCGCTCTGCAACTGTGAACGCGGGCTCGAGCCTCTACAGCTCGGCCGGCGCAGGAGCTGCGGCTGCGACGCCGTCGCGCGAAGGCGAGGCTGCCACGTCGAAGCCGATTTTCCTCAAGGGCCTCTTCAGCGTGCAGACGACGAGCACCAAGTCGCGCACCGTCATCCACGCCGACCTTGTGCGCGTGCTCGAGCGCATCGGCGTGCAGTACCGCGAGATTCGCTCGGGCTACGAGTGCGTGCACCTGCCGAGCCTCGACTTCTCGGGCGCCGGCGGAGCGCCAACGCAGCTGCCCGAGGGCCAGGGCAACGCGCGCATCCCCATGACGCCGTCGAACGGCGGCGCAGGCATCAGCAGCGGCGGCGGCATCGAGAACATGGACGGCGACGCCGGTACGCGGCCTCAGGGCCCGCGACGCAAGCAGAGTCGCATCTCGTTTGTCTCGAGCCGGCGCGAGCGGCGCCGCGCCGAGAATGCATCGCAGGCCGACACGGCGAGCATCTCGTCGGCGACGGCGTACGGCACCGATGAGCGCCGCAGCCCGGTCAACTCGCGCAGCCGCGCCAGCTCTCTGGCTGGCAGCGGCAGCAGTCCGGCGCTGGACCAGCAGGAGGGCACGCCGTCCAAAGCGCCGCGTGCGCCGTCGCGCCAGCGCACCGACTCCATCGTCGAGATCGCACCTGGCAGCGCGCCGCCGCCGGTGCCCGCCAAGACGATCGACCAGACTACCGCGCACGACCTCGCCGTGCGCTTCGAGATCTTCGTCGTCAAGGTGCCGCTGCTGCTCGGCGTCAACGGCCTGCAGTTCCGGCGCGTGAGCGGCAACCCTTGGCAGTACTCGATGCTGGCGCGACGAGTGCTGCAGGAGCTGAAGCTCTAAGCTTGCTCTCCGCAAGGAGCCCTCTGTCTTCGCTCTGCTCGCTGTCGCCGTTGCTACAGCGGGCGGCCTGCATTCGACGCCTGCGCTGCTGCCGTGCATGCCACGCAGTACCCAACCTCCCCTTTTCCGCTCCCTCATGCCGGCCCCGGTCCTCGTCATCCAGCTCATCGCTCATGGGCGCCTTCTGTGGCCGCCTCACACTTGTCTCCTTCACGCGGCCCGAACTTGGCCAATCGAATCATCAATTGCACGCTGGACACTTTGCCATGGGCCCCGAGTGCCTCGATGACGCTGTGGTGTCGTCGAGCGCGCGCGGCTGAGCTACACGAAAGTCTAGCCGTCAGAGGCGGTGGCCTGAGCCACGCCAGAAGGCTCGGAATGACTAGACTCTGACTGTCGAGTGCCGTCATGAGCGGCCATCCGCAGATTCGCCCCTGATCAACGACGGGTTCATCTCCAGCGCTGATGGAGCCGACAGACCCCACACCACCGCAATCAGACTCAAGTGCGGCAGTGCCGAACCCCTGGCTATATGATGAGCGGCTCGCCAGCGCCGAGAGAGCGGTATGGTGCACAACCCCTTGGCACGCCGCGCGCGGGAAGAGAGGGTCCGGGCGCCGGCGTGACGTGCCGCAGGGGCCGTCTCGAGAACGCGCTGCACAACAGCCGATGTGCGCTGTCCTGCATGGCGCTGCAGTGCCGACGACTTGCAGGCTGCAGAGGCAGATCGGCCGGCGCGAAGGTGTGAGCTGGCAGCCTCAACACGCAAGGCGAGGGCAAGGCGCCCGGCGCAAAGGCACGCGCTGCATGCTGGCGAGCACAAGGCGCGCTCGGCTCGTTCTTCCTAGACGCACGCCGCGGCTGGCTCCCTCGTGCGCTCCAGATTGGATGACACAGAGGACTGACGGCCGAATGACGCTGTACCGCTGCTGCTGGCTCAGCGAGCATTGCACAGCCCATCTGGGGTGCTGTGGGACGCGCGCGCGGCCCCGGCTGGTGCGGGCCGTGACGCTCCGGCCGAGGGTGGGAGCGCCGGTGCCTGGCCGCTGCCTTGCTGCCCTTCCTTCCTTCACCTTGCCACCTCGCTTCGCTTCGCGTGCCTGCTGCTTGCCTCGCGACCTCACCATCCCGCCTATCTCGCGTCCGTCCACGCCTCTGCATCGCTACCCTGCCCTGCGCTGCCCGCCTGCTCCGCCGCCGCTGCAGCGTGCACCGCTGCGCCGCCGCCGCCTGTTGCCCCGTCCCCCACACTCGCGCGCGCCTCGCTCCTCTCCTCCACCTCGCAGCAGCAGGTGCGCCTCGCGTCCGTTGCACGCGCCTCGAGCAACGGCTCGCTGCGGCGCCTTGCGGCTGCGGCTCAACGTTCGCTCCCGACGGCCGCTGTCGCCTCTGTGCGCCCCCACCATCCGCGCGCCGCCGTCACATCACACGGCGCAGCTCACGTCGCCTTGGCTCGGCGCTGTCGCCGAGCGTCCCCGCACCGCCCGGCGCTCTCGCCAGCCTGCGCAGTCCCACGCCCCCGCGCCGTAAGCGTGGGCCGGCTCTTGCTGTCTCGAGCACCAACGGCGCCGCCAGTGCACCTTCCGCCACCAAGCCTTGCTCCTCAGTCCGTATCGCGCGACGCCTCGGCCAGCGCATCGATTACGCGCAACTCTACCGACGTACCGCTGGCAGTGCGCTGCGGGTGCACGCAGTCGTCTCTGGCCGCTCTGGAGAGGCCGAGTCATTCGCACTCCGGCTTCCTGGACAACTGCCTCCATCTGAAGGACTCTTGGCTAGAGAGAGCGCGGAGCAGGCATCGCAAGTGAGTGTCGTGGCGCAGCGTGGGCCCGTGCTCGGCCCACTCGCAGTCTGTGAGGCGAGACGCTGACACACGCCGTGCAGCGCAGTCGATCCGCCGTTCATGTCCACTGCGACCCGGCGCAACTGAACAGCTGCCTGAGGGCTCCTAAAGATGGATCCGCGCTCTGCAGCATTCGGGACGTGGCGCGAGCCGCACGGCGCCTCGTCCGGGAGCTCGAACCAGAGCTCCTCTCCGCTCAAGGCCGGCGTGCGAGAGACTCGCACAGTCTCTGGAACCTCGCAGCCAGCTCCCGCAGCTCGGCCGCAGCCTGCGCCGAGACACAGCTACTCGTCTGCGATCAAGAGCAGCAGAAACCAGTCGCAGCCCAATTCGCTGCGCCGAGGCGGAGAAAAGCAAGTCCAGGCGCCTCGCAGGAGCATCGCAGTTGCCTTCGGCATGAGCTCGACTCCTCCAAGGCCTGTGCAGGGCAGCACCCACGCAAAAGCCTTGTGCCTGCCTGCCGACGGCGAGGAGAGTCCGCCGTGGGATGCAGACAACGTCGACGACAGCCCGCCACGTCAGTTCGCTCTTTCAGTGCCCGCCTCCAGGCACGAAGGCGCAGCGTCGCAGCGCGGCAGGACCAGCTCCCTGGTCGAGACCAGCGACGCTGCCGCCACAGCGCGGCTCGCACTCAAGCGCTGGAGTGCACACAGTCAGGCAGCTAGCGAGAGCTGGGACGCAGACTTTCTGTTCCAGCAGGAGGAAGACGACCTGTCCCCGATGAGCCGTGCGTCAGGCAGCTCGTCCTCAGAGCGCTCGGTCAAGGCGCGTCGATCGACCGGTGACCCAACACGAGCGCGTGTTAAGGCGCAAGCTCGGCCAAGCGACGGGCATGCTCAGCCGCAGTGGCAGCCCGAAGGCGAGGAAGAGGAGGATGTGTGGGACTCTTTCTTCGAGCCACAGCTGGCTCAGAGCGCGTCTGCTGCCACGCTACTGGCGGGCCCGGCGAAGGGCGCAAGGCGCTCGACGAACCGTCTCTCACCGACGTCGTCGCGTGGCACCTTTTCGCGCGACACGGAGCTAGGAGTGGCAGCAGGAGCGGCCATGGGCCGCGCAACTTCGCGTTCGTCGAGGCAGAGCAACGAGACAGACTTGTCGGCCCGCCTCAATCTACAGTCCGAGGTGTCTTCGTGGCGCTCGCGCGTCTCGTCGCACGGCTCTGGCAGCCCTCGCAGCAGCACTCCGAGCCTCGAAGGCTTGCGTTCGCGACGATACAGTGACGCATCGAGCCTGCACGAAGACGGGACGGAGGACGAGCCGGAGCTGCGCACCAGCGATGCTGGCACCGAGGACGACTCGGCCGACGATCTGCGCAACAGCGGCGACGAGACGGAGACGGAAAGCGCCGGGCGGGTGCGCACGAGCAAGTCTGCTGCAGCGCAGCAACGCGGCGGCAAGGCCCTCGCATCCGGACGCAAGGGCCTGAGTGCGGCCAGCAGCCGCGAGCGGATGCTGAAGAACGCCCAGATGGCACGTCAAAATCCTCGCAGTCCCATGGCCGCCCACGCATCGCAAGCGCCATGCTCGCCAAGCACGACGGGCAGTACGAGCGGCGCAGACAGCCAAGCCGAGTCTTCCGCCTCCTCCTTTGCCCCGCACGAGCGCAACACGTCTCGCAACTCGCTGCGTGCTTTCCTCAAGAGCGCCACGAGCCCGAAGCGCCGCGAGCGCGAGACGTCTGGTAGCTCCACGGTCGTCAATGCGAGCTCAGCGCGGACGTCGTTCTCGCGCTGGCGAATCGGCGTGGCAGCAGAAGCAGCACCGCACACGGACGCAGGCCGAGACAGCTCGGTGGAGCGCTCGTCATCGCCGCTCGCCGCCAGCGATGAGCCTCTCAGTCCGGGTAGCAGGTCGCTCTCCTTCCTGCTGGCCCGGCACAACGCCGCAGCTGTGTCGTCTACGCCGACGCTCGGCAGTGTGGAGCAGCTCGATCGCCCCAGCACGCCCACGACCGACGTGTCATACAACCGTGCGCTCGCAGCAGCTGCACTCGAAGGCACGCCGAATGGTCGCCGTCCTTCTCGAGCCGGCATGGTCGAGACGCCGCCTCGCTCTAGCAGCAGGCGCGACTCGCGCGCTCGGGCTGCAGCTGATCCGGTGATGCGTCAGTCGAGCCCGATGTACAGCCCGATGCACATCAGCGTCTCGCCCGCACAACCTATCGATGTCCGACGGGCGCCTTCGCAGCTGGACAGTCTGCAAGCACGGCGCAATGTGTCGAATTCCACCACGGCCACTACGGCGAGCGGCACGGCAGGCAGTGAGGGCTGGACGGGCACGAGCCAGGGCGGCATGGAGACGGAGGGAACGTCGCTCTTCGGATCGAGCTGCGACGATCTCACGACGCCGCCCGTCAGCGCCTACACCGTGCGTCGCGGCTCGAGCAGCGACACGTCAGAGTCTTCCTTCAAGCAGGCCTCGCGCTCGTACGGAGCGTCTCGCAAGGGCCCGCGACCCGCGCTGCACCAGCTGCCGGAGGGCAAGATGGCAGACGGGCCTCGCTCGGCGGGTCCGCTGCAGTCATTCAGCCAGAGTGATCCCCGCGCAGTCTTGCACACGACGCTGGCGCCTGACAGCCCGCAAGGCTTGATGAGCAGTTCGCCGGCGAGCGCGCACGATACCAATCGAGCCTCCAAAGGCGCCGTGACACCACAGTCGCGCCCGCGAAGCCGCGGACAGCTGCCGCGCACCAAGACGATCCAAGGTCTGCAGACTCCAGAGACGTCGGCCGACGTCGCTGTCGCGGCCCGTCCGCCAACGGCTAGCATCGGCAAGGGCATCGCGCGGCGCAACAGTCTCGGCGATCTGCGCATTCCTGCCCGCATCAGCAAGGCGCAGGACGGCTTGCGCGCCAACATGGACCAGGTGCGCGAGTTCGCTCGCGGTGTCGAAGGTGAGTGACGCAGCGGGCGATGATTTGTCACGACAGACTGACGAGGCTCCGCAACGCAGAACTCAAAACGATGCGAGCACGATACCGCACGCTCATGAGCGAGATCCGCGACGAAGAGAGCTCGCGCTTTCCTTCTGGGCGCGTCAGTCCGGTGGAGCTACTCGGCACGCCGGCTGCCGTGGCGGCTCAAGTGACTTCACTCGAGTCGTCGCTTTCGGTCTGGTGGGAGATGGCCGACGTGCTAGTCGGCCTCGGTGAAGGACGCGGCGTCACCGACAGCGAGGCGAACCTCGCTACCTTGACACACTCGCCCGATCCTCGACGCGAGAGGTGCATCACGCTCGATGCACCCTCCACGATTGGCAGACGCGGGTCCGACCTGCTCGAGCCCCACTCGTTCGCGTCGGCCTTCAGCCAGAAGTCGTCGACAGGCGCTCAGCAGCTCTCCTCCGGCCAGTCAAAAGCGAGCCACGGCAGTCACCTCTCAAGCCATGCGATGGGCAGCTCGCGGTCGGTCGCGCCAGGCCGTGAGATCGACATCCTCTCGGCCATGCTCGCCGGTGCTCCACCGGACCAGATCTCTCCGCAGAGGAAGGGCCCCGACCTGAGCCTCTACACGATGGGCGGAAGCGTTCAGCAGAAGAGCCCTGTGCCCGGACCCAACATGTCCGTCACCAGCCTGACGTTCGCCGAGCCCGAGCGCCCAGCCTTCGACGAGGAGGAGATCGCCAAGCGGCGCGTGAAGCGCAGCTCACACAGCTGGCGCACGGCTCCAGCCGGCACCAGTCCGTTCGTCGGCGCATCTACGGACTCCCTCGTTCCCGGCGAGACGTCGCGCGAAGGCGAAGGCCGGCGCGCCGTCAAGAAGGCCGCGAGGGGCCTGCAGAGTCTTCTCGAGCTCGTGCGCTCCTTCAAGATCAACGACGATCCGCCGGAAGATGCCACCAGCAGCTCGTACGTGTCCAACGCGTCGCAGGTGTCCTTGTCGCGGCGTCTCTCGCGCACATCCGCCGGGCCGCGCAAGCCTGCTGCTGAGCCGGCTCGAGCGCCCTCTTCTCCTGCGGCTGCGACGCCTGATCGACGTCGGCGTTCGTGGATGGGCAAGAAGCGCGCCGATCTGTCTGCATCGTCTGCCGAGCTCGGCGCATCGCCTCGCCGCAAGCGCTCGGCGTCACGGCTGTTCAGTCGCGAGCTCGAGAAGAACGAGCCGGTGCCAGCGCTGCCTTCGCCGGGCAGCTCTCGTGTCTTCAGCGGCGCATCTGCGAAGACCGCCGTCAGCGCCGGTGACTCCAGCATCGACAGCGAGTGGAACTCTGGCTCTGACTTTGACACCTCGCTCTCGGGCCTGAGGCAGTCGGTCGACAACAAGCCCGGCGCGCCTGTCGCTGCTCCTCCGCCCGACAGTCGACGGCAGCGTGTCCTGTCGTTCCTCGGCGGGCGGCCGCGTGGTCAGTCCATCGTCAGCGCTCACTCGGGCAGCAGTCCAGCAGCTTCAGTGCTGCGTCTCGATTCTGCAGCCTCTCCTCAGCCAGGCGCCTCCGCACGGCAGCCGGATGACGCGAGCTTCTCGTCTGCAAATGCTGCACAAGCCGCAGCGCCGCCCGCTGTCTCTCGCTCTGCCTCACACGCTCCGAGCGCGTCGAACACACGCTCTTCGCAGCCGAAGGACAGCCGGCAGCGGCCGGGCTCCTACAATCGCTCCTTCTCCGTCGGCGTCACTTCCTCCTCAGACACCTCGACGAGCACCGGACGCGGCCGTCCAGCCTTCGAGAGGCCAAGCCACAGCAGCATCGAGAGCAGCGAGGCCGGCTGGGCGCTCAGCTCGCCCGGCATGTCGCCGCAGCCTCCGACGCGCTCTGCTATCACGACCTCCGGCGCCGTCAACGACGCCGAGGCCGCCACGTACCGCAAGCTGGCGCTCAGTCCCCAGGCCATCCCAAGCCTGCTCATCTACGTCAAAGCCACGTGCCAGCACTGTGCGCAGGGCGTCGTCGAGCTCGAGGCACTCTCCAAGCGCGCTGCGGCCACACCGGCGAACTACTTGTCCGCCGGTCTGCCGCCGACGAGCAGCGGCTGGGCGTCTGGCAAGCCCGTCGGCGCGGCCTTCGCCTCAGCATCCGCTGGCAGTTCGGGCGCCCGCAACGACGACGATCGGCAGGCCACTGTCCGTGCCCCGCGCGACAGCGCACGACCCTCAGCTGGCCTGACGTCGCGCCAGTCGCTGCGCGCCTGGAGCGGCGCCAAGCCGCCTTCTTCCTGATGTTGTCCCGGATCCTTCCTCATTTACCTGCCACCTCTTGCATACCATACCTCGTTTCTCGGCCACGTTACCTCTGCGCCCTCTTCATCCGTTCCCTTCTCTTCCCATCGCCAGGCCGCTAATTGAGATGCGCATCCTCTCGGACTCGCTGGTGACGTGTGGGCTGCATTGGGGAGTAAGAGTACAGGGGTGACCTGGGGTCAGGTGGTGACGCCCGGCGCGGCCTGCAGGAAGTTGCAGACGCGCCGCAGGTCGCGCAACGAGAGTGGCGGCGGAGACTTGTTCCCGACGCCTTCTCGGTCGTGATGCGGATGTGAGCACAGCGAGGCGTCGTCCGCAGCTGACGCCGCCGTCGGAGCTGTCGCAGCGTCTGCAGCGGCGACCACGCCAGCGGCGCGACCTTCCTTGAGGTCTGAGGAGAGCACCTGCTCGACGCCACTGTCGTCCGCGGCCGCCTCGTCGGTGTCGACGAAGCCGAGCTGCGAGGGCACATCGACACCGGTGTTGATCTTGACGATCTGACTGAAGAGGTAGGCGAAGGTGGCCTGCATCGCGACGAACTTGCGCGCCTCGAGCACTTCGCGGCGTGCCTTCTCATCGAGGCCCTCCGCGCCGGCCGCGAGCGGACGCGAGCGGCTCGTCGGTGACGGACTGGACGTGCACCCGGTGCCCGTGGAGTCGACGTCTGCATCCGAGTCCGCGCTGCCGCGCTTACGCATGCCAGATGCGGAGTAGGCGCTGCCGTGCGTGCCGGTAGATGCCGAGTCCTCTGACCTTGGCGCGGCATCGGGCGCGAGGGCAGCACGGCTCCGGGCGACCGGAGAGCTGCTAGGATTCGACGCCTGGCCTCCAGGCGAGGCACCGGCGGCGGCACCCTCCGGCGTCTCCGCCGGCACTGCAAGCGATGCATCGAGGTTGTGCGCGGGAGTGCCGGGCTCCCTCGCCTTGCCCTTCGTCTCGGCAAAGTCGGGTATTGGCTTGACAGCGGGCGCGATGACCTCGTGCGCGGCAAGATCCGCGCCCTTCTTGGCGTCGGCCTTCTTGGCTGGCGCGTCGGCGAGGAACTGCTGGCTGAGGCGGTGCAGCTCCTCGTACGCCGACTTGTTGTCCTGCTGCAGGCGAAGGACCTCTTCGAAGTCTGCGCAAAGGCAGAGCTCAGCACACAGCTGCGAGTGGTCGGCCGCGCTTGCACTCACCGTCCTTTGCCGCCTCGCGCTTGCCCATCCCAGCGCGACTGACGCCGCGCCTGAAGTAGGCCTTGTGATTGCGCGGACTCAGCACCAGGGCTGCCGAGCAGTCGCGCTCGGCCTCGTCGAATCGGCTCAGCTTGAGCAGGCACGCGGCTCGGTTGAGCGGGTATATCGGCTCGGACGCATCGTAGCCCATCGCGCGCGTGTAGTGCTCCGTTGCCTCGGCGTACTTGCCCGATGCGTAGGCATTGTTGCCCTAGTGCCGGAGCATCAGCGCTGGCCGGCTCAGGAGCCTGCGCGACAACTCACCTGCTCGCGGATAGCACGCGCCAGCGCCTTTCTGTACTCTGCGCCCGTCTTCTGGTCGTCGCTCGCTGCAAGGCCCTCCTTGCCCCGCAGCTCGCGATTCTCGCGCTTCATGCGCTCGTACTGCGTGCTGAAGGCACCTCGCGTCGCGCCAGCTCCGTTCGCTTGCAGCTCTGCCGCAGCCATGCGCGTCATCGAGGAGGCCGTCGGCGGCTGCGCGTGCGCCACTGCCGTGCCGCTGGCGTGCGTCTGCGAGGCCTCGAGCTCGCGCGTGACGACTGTGTAGAACAGATCCAGGCCGTCGAGACGCGTCAGCGTCTCCAGCGCGCCCTTGACCTTCGGCAAGGACAGCGGGTCGATCGCCTCGGCCATGTCCCCTAGCGGTGCGACGTCAGCCCTCGCTGCCTCGACACTCGCATGCTGCCGCACTCACAGAGCGTCTGAGCCATGATCTCCCACGCATCCTCCACGCGGTCACGCCAATCGCCAGTCCACTGATCGTCGACCCAAGAGTTGGCCAGCAAATCCTCCACCCAGCGGTGCAGCTCAGACGCATCGATGGGTCTGATACCAGCTGGCGGCGTGCACGGCGTCGTCTTGACAGACTTGACGAGGCGCTCTAGGCACGGCAGACATGCCGCAAAGCTGCACGCACACGGCGGACCCCAGGTCTTGAGATCGCGGCCATGCCGGACGGCCTGCAGCACTCCACTTCAGCACGCGCCCAGCAGCCCGACTCGCGGCTGCTACTCACGAGATCGCACAGCAGATCAAAGCAGTCCTCCGTCGAGAGCCTCAGCACCACATCGCCCAGCTCCTCTTCGCAGGCCAGCCGGATCTGGTTCTGGATGCCTTCGCGCGTGCTCGCGTCGCTCGCCATGGTGTTGATCAGCTGGCTCGAGCGGTCAGCCAGTCGCACGGGAGTCGCAAATCCCGCAGCGCTCACAGCGGGCGAGAAGCCATGGTCGATGAAGGACATCAGCTTGTCCTTCAGGACCTGGTCCTGCAGGCTGTGCAGCGACGAGGCGTCAGGAGCAGCGCATAGAGAGCATCAGACGCCTCTGCACGCACTTCTGGACCATGCCGCGGAACAAGGAGGGCACGGCGAGGCGGAACGACGAGCTGAAGAGATCGGAGAGCAGGCTGGCGACACGGCGCATGCGAGCGGGGTCGATGTCGGTACTGCAGAGAACGCTGTGAGCGCCGCACTTGCGGGCGCAGGGCGCAACGCAGCAGCTTCCGCCCACTCACTGATCGCAGTTCTCCGCATTGTCATCATGGGCCCCGTGAGCGCCAAGCGCTTCGTCGTGCAGCCCGCCGAGCGGGCCGTGCTGCACGTGCTCGTGCTCGTCGTCGTCATGCGGCGGCGGCGGCGGCAGCACCGACGAGGTGAGCGGGCCGGCGCGCGCCGCGGCCCGCTCCTTCTTGCGCAGCTTCGTCGAGCCTCGCGCCATGGCGCGCGACGGAGAGGCCGCGAGGGCCGCGCGCTGCTTGTCGAGTGGAGCACCTGGCTGGCAGAGATGGAGCGGCAGTGTGGGCGCGCCAGAAGCACAGAGCCGAGCAGCGGCTGCGATGCCGTGCGGCTGTGCCGATTGGTGCGCAGCAGCTGGCGCAGGTGTGCGGCCTCGAAGAGGTGAACAGACGGCGGGCGGATGGGGTCGAGAGACAAGCGCCGCAGATGGCTTTGAGGGCGTCCTTGGCCCTGTCCAGGCCGGCACGGCGCCGCGGCCGCGGGCACCTCGCCAGTCTCGCGCGCGCGCGCCTCGCCCGGCACGTCGTGCAGCGGCGCGCGTGCACAGCCCGCCGCCGCGCCGCGGATCCAGGCTAGCGCGCCCTGCCTTGTTCTGCTCGCTGCTGCCACGGCTCGTGCGCTCATGCAAGCGCGAGCTCAGGCTTCTCTCTTCTCAGCAGAGCAGCTGCAGGCTATGCTGTCACGGACCATGTTGGTGCTCGTAGAGCTCAGGCACGGACGCGGCAGCCCCTGAGCTCGGCGCTCGGTGCCTTGGTCACGTGCGCGCCCTAGCGCCCTGTTCCCACGGCGCGCTGCGATGCAGGTGATCGGCGAGGCAGCGGCGCGCAGTGCGCACGGCCACTGCCCAGCACAGCGAGCTCGCCGGCACCTCTGGCTCAGCTCCACACCCTCGCCCACACCTCACCACCAGCGCCTCTCACCCCATGGAGGAGCTCGGCATCTCCACGCGCGCCGCAGAGCCGACGTTTGACGATGTCGTCGCCGAGAAGACGGCCGTGCACCAGCACATGGCGCAGGAGCAGGACACGTTCCTGCGCTACAAGAAGCTCACGCAGCACCTCGAGTTCCTGAGCACCATGGAGGACTACGTGGTGAGTGTGAGACCGGCTTGGCGCGCGGGCACGAGCGGCAGGCGACCAGTGGCGCGTGGTGCAGCAGTGAGGGGGCAGCGGCGGTCACGCGAGCAGCGAACGCTGCGGAGGAGCAATGGACTGCGTGCTCCTTTGGCCGACCGTTGCCGCTGCCTTGAGCACACTGCGCACCGTACGTTTGAGGTGCAGCAGCCTCTGCGCGCTCGTCATCTGCTGTCAAAGAAGCCAACCGGCTTCCCTTGGCAATTCTCGAGCCGCACGCTGGAGCTCTTGCTGAAACGTGACGGCCCTGCAGAAGGACGAGCAGCGGAACCTGAAGCGGGAGCTGGTGCGGGCGCAGGAGGAGGTGAAGCGGATCCAGTCGGTGCCGCTGGTCATCGGACAGTTCCTCGAGCCGATCGACCAGCACACGGGCATCGTCGGCTCGACGACGGGCTCCAACTACGTTGTGCGCATCCTCAGCACCATCGACCGCGAGCTGCTGAAGCCGAGCAGCTCGGTGGCGCTGCACCGGCACTCCAACTCGCTCGTCGATGTGCTGCCGCCGGAGGCCGACTCGTCCATCTCGAGTGAGTGCGATGCGGTAGCTGTGCGGCGCGGGCGCTGATTGGCTGCGGCAGTGCTGGGCCAGGACGAGAAGCCGACAGAGACGTACGCCGACATTGGTGGCATGGGTGAGTGCTCTTGCAGGAGGGCACGCAGCGCTCCTGCTGACAGTCCGTGCGCGACGCAGACATCCAGAAGCAGGAGATCCGCGAGGCCGTCGAGCTGCCGCTCGTGCAGTTTGACCTGTACCGGCAAATCGGCATCGACCCGCCGCGAGGTGTGAGTGCAGCGTCGCAGGCGCTCCGTCGCTGCCATTCACACAGCTTTCTCGCAGGTGCTGCTGTACGGCCCGCCAGGCACGGGCAAGACGATGCTGGTCAAGGCCGTGGCCAATGCCACCACAGCCTCGTTCATCCGCGTCGTGGGCTCCGAGTTCGTGCAGAAGTACCTCGGCGAGGGCCCACGCATGGTGCGCGACGTCTTCCGCCTCGCGCGTGAGAACGCACCGGCCATCATCTTCATCGATGAGATCGACGCCATCGCGACGAAGCGCTTCGACGCGCAGACGGGCGCCGACCGCGAGGTGCAGCGCATCCTGCTGGAGCTGCTGAACCAGATGGACGGATTCGACCAGGGCAGCAATGTCAAGGTGAGTCTCGCGCGCCGGCGACGCGGCGGTGCGAGGCTGACGTGCCGGCTGGCAGGTCATCATGGCGACGAACCGCGCAGACACGCTGGACCCAGCTCTGCTGCGGCCCGGTCGTCTCGACCGAAAGGTGAGCGCCTTTGCCTGGACGAGCGCTAGCTCTCTGCTCATCACGCGCGCTTGCAGATCGAGTTTCCGCTGCCGAGCCGGCGTGAGAAGCGTCTCATCTTCCAGACGATCTGTGGCAAGTGAGTACAGCGACGGAGGGACGGCACGTCGCTGAATGCTGACTCGCCGCATCGCGCAGGATGAATCTGGCGCCAGACGTCGACCTGGAGGACTATGTCAGCCGGCCCGACAAGCTGAGCAGCGCCGAGATCTGTGCGTGCCTTCACACAGTCCGCCGTAGCACCTGCTCACACACCCCGCGCTCGTCCAGCTTCCATCTGCCAGGCAGCTGGTCTGCAGGCAGTGCGCCGGAACCGATACGGTGCGCACACCGGCGTGCTGGTGCCTCTCCTGTCGCTGACGCTCGCTTGCGCCCCCAGTGATCTTGCCTGCCGACTGTGAGTCATTGTTGCTGAGTCTTGCACCTGACAGTGTGCTGACTGCTTCTCCTCGCAGTCGAAGAGTGCGTCTCGGCGCCTGCACCAGCCACCCTTGCGCCATACTCACGCCTCACTCACTCTGCAGGGCCTGGAAGCAAACAGTCAAGAAGGACGGCGACGGCAAGATGGACTTTTACCAATGAGCGCGCGGCCGTGGCAGGTGCTGTATCTGCGCAATCCATCATTACACAGAGCACTGGCCGGCATTTTCAGCCACGGGGCGCTGCCGAGGGCCCTTGCTTCCGGCTGCACGCGACGCCGCTGGCACGCGATCTGACGTGCGGCCCAGCACGCAGTCGTGTGAGCTGCATGAGGTGGCGGCAAGATGACGAGCCGTCGGGAAGGTTGGGCCCCGCGAGCGGCCGGGAGAATGCGGGGTGGATGCGGTGCCCCGCACCCCTCGAGGAGCGGCGGTCCGGCGCTGCCCGATCAAGGCTTGGCTGCCAAGCCCTGCGAGCTGCACGCTGGCTCCGACGACGCCCAGGAGGCGTAGCGTTGGGAAGGCACGGAAGCTGCAGAGGCTGCTCAGCCGAGTCGGTGGCCGGCAGGGGCCAGAGGGCTTGGCCTGCACGTCGCGGTCCGAGTCGGCGGCTGGAGCACGCTACGGCGGGAACGCGCGGGCTCGCCGGTCCGATCTGGAGCCCCGCAGCTGCGCAAGCGAGCCCCCGACTGCGCTGCTGGAGTGGTGCCGCTGCTGCACCTGCGCTGACATCCCGTACGGAGCCCCGCAAGTGCAATGCAAGCGGCAGCAGCGGCGCCGGCGCCGTCGCCGACGCCGTTTGTGCGGCTTGCGGTGCGGAGCTGCGCCGCTCCGGACGCTCCCGTGCGCCTCTCGGGCTTGGCACGGACCGTTGCGCGCGCGCGAACCTCGAGACAGCTGCAGCTGGGACAGACGCAGCGATGGACGCAGCCTTGGCCCAGCAGCGGAGTGACAGGCACATGCAGCTCAAGCATCGAGCGCACGACTCCGAGCGAAGGTGCCTGAATGCTGGCTCAGCGTGCAGCATCTGCAGAGGCCGCAGAGGGTGCCTGGCCGACCTTGCCAGCAGCGCGCTCGAGGGCCAAGGCGAGCGCAGCGCCTGCGATGCGCCGCAGCTGCGGCTGCTTTCCCCGACCCCAGAGACGGCCCAGCCCGACGCCGCAGCGTCCAAAATTGCGCCATGTGTCAGAGATAGAGCGCCACGTCGCCCGTCGTTCGGACGAGGGCCAAGGGCGCGGAGTGAGCGCCGAGCGAGAGCAGCGGCATCTGGGGGGGCGGATCGGCATTCTGCGCCGCCTGGCCCACCCGCAAACGCGCGGCTCATCATCCTGCCGCACCAGCAGCGGCGGCCAAGCTGCCCTGCCGCTGGCGCGGTGCTGCGAGCTCGAGTTGCATGCGCATGATGCCCTTGCGCAGAAGAGACGCCTGCCGCCTCCGCCCGCACCGAGGAGGCGCACGGACGGCTCATGCGAGCGGAGTGGGCAGCGCTGCGCGGTGCCTGCTGCTGCGCTGCTGCAGCTGGCGGGTGCCGTGTGCCGCAGCAGCAGCATGCAAGAGACGCAGCTGCCGGCACGAGAGAGTTGCACCGCGGCGCCGACGGCCGCCGGGGCCGTCGATGGTGCGCTTGCTGCACCCTTGCGAGGTGAGCGCTGCCAGCAGCGACGCCAGCACCGCGGAAGAAGCAGACGCACCAGCGCCGGCGGACAGCGAGGACATCGCCGAGATGCCGGCGCCGTGAGTTTGCGTCGTGCTTGCGCCGGCCCGCCCCAAAACGTTGGCTGCAGCCGCCTTCTGTTCATGCGACTTCTTCAACTCGTGAAGTGCCGACGCCGGCGGGCAGCGGCACTGCGCCAGCAGGCAGCAGCACACAGCGCCGGGCCCGGCCACGTGCACAATTCCCGTGCGCCGTCGATGCACCCTCGGCGGCGGCGGCGCTGCTGCGATGGCGGCTGTCTGGCCCTCTTGCTCGCTGTCGCCGGGCCAGCAGCATGAGAGGCATCCTGCGGGTGCTGGGCAGCGGGCGGCGCAAAGCAGCATCCATCAGGAGTGGGGAAGCGGGCAGGGGCAGCCCAGCTCGACGCACGGCCCGTGATTGGCTGGGCCAGCCTGCGCCTGGCAGAGCACGGAGCCATCCGAGGCGAGGCACCTATTCCTGTGCGCCGCGCCGCGTGGGCGACAAATGCCCTATACCAAGCCGAATGAGCCTCGAGCCGAGGGGCGCTGGCGCATGCCTGGCCTGACCTCTTGAATGCTTGGCCCATCACTGCGCCCAGGGCGACGTCATTGAGTGCGCAGAGCGTACGGATACGGACGCTGGCCGGTGCGCTGCGAGGGGGGCATTGCCAGGGGCGGGCGCGCGCACGCTGAGGCTCAGGTGCAGATGCAGGCGCGCAGCGCGGCCGGCGGCCGGTGCACGTCGGCGGCACAGCGGTCCGAGCTTGGCTGGGCGCCGTTGCACGCCGCCGCCGTGTATTCGCAGCGTTCGAATCAAATATACACGGCTGCGCTCGAATAAGGAGCGCCGGATCCAGGCCTGACGCCCACGACACTGCTCGGCGGGCGCAGGGCCAGACGTGCTGCGGCGCGCGAGGGCGGTGTGTGTGCGCGCACGGCGGCGCGATAACACGCCCGCGCTCGCGGGCGGCAGCATGCCTCGCGCGCAGCCAAGCCGGCGCCAGAGCGGCGCGCAGGAGGCCTCTGGCGCGCAGGCGGCAGAGTGTAATGAAGCGCCCGCACCCGAGCCTCGCAGGCGGCAAACAGCGCCGCAGCGACACAGACCTGCGCCCGCACCCGCCGCTCTGCCAGCCGCAGCTGCAGCCAGCCGCAGAGAAGCAGCAGCATGCAGGAGCGGAGCGAGCGCCGGCGCCGCACGCGGCGATGGCTCATCTCGTGTGGCGGCGGCGCAGCGCCCTCTCGCCTTCTCTCGCTCGGCGGAGTAGGGTGCAGCCCGCGCGCACACTGCTGCGGTGCCGCCGGCCGAGGGCGAGGAGCAACGCCGCGCTCCGGAACGGGGTGCGGCAGGCGGCCAGCGGCAGCGCACCGCAGATGAGAGGGCTGGGCGCCGCGGCGGCACCGGAGCGCCGTCGGTGCGGCCGCACTCGGGGCCGCGCGCGGCTGCTGTCCTGCCCGCGCTGGCGTGCGTGCTTGCGCCTGCTTGCTTGCGCCGCGCCGGCGCTTCCGCACCGTGCACGCCAGAGGCGCCGCCGAGCCCGAGGGGCAGGCACGCGGGCAGTGTGCGGCACAGCGGCAGGCAGCCGCTGGCCCACGGGGGTGCTGCTGGCGCGGCTGCACGTACGTGCCGCGGCGCCCGGCGCGTGGGCGGGTGGCCGGCGCAGATGCAGCGCAGCGCGGCGCGGCGGCGCGGCAGAGAGATGCTCGCTCGCCGCATACCTGCCCAGACACAGCACGCCGCACGCACGCCGCACCGCACCCGCGCCGCCCTCGCCGCGCCGCAAACGCCTCAAGAGGCGTCCAAACGCCCTTCCAGCGCCCACTTTTTCGCACCCGTCCCCTGGCCCTTGCTTGCGATCCACGTGTCGTCCGTCCCTAACCCCTCGCCCCCTCCGGCACTCAAGCGCCGTCGCTCCTCTTGGCGATCAGCACTGACTACGCCGCTGCGCCCCTCGCGCAGTCTGCTTCTGTCTGCTGCCAGCCCCCGCCAGCCCTCCTCACGGCCGTAAAACGGCCTGCCTTTGGCGCTTCCTCACCCACATCTTCGTCTGGCACCACATCCTCCTCCGCTTCACTTCCTTCACCACCCACCCACCATGTCTTCCTCCGAGCTGGCCCCGGCGGCCGCCCCGCAGGAGAAGAAGGTCTCCAAGCACCGCGACATTGTGAGTGCCGTGCGCGCGCGGCCGTGCTGCCTCTGGTGCACCCGCTGATGTGCGCACTGCGCCTGTCAGGACGCCGAGCACGCCGAGAAGGGCGGTGCCAAGCATGCGCTCGTCGACATGAGCACCATCGAGATGACGGCCGAGGACCTGTACGACAAGGAGAAGGTCGACCTCGAGTCCGTCGAGCTCGAGGACGTCTACCAGCTCCTGCAGTGCACGGAGGCCGGTCTCTCGACCAGCGAGGTGCAGCGCCGCCTCGAGATCTTCGGCCCCAACAAGCTCGAGTCGAAGGAGGTCAACCCCATTCTTCAGGTGAGCAGCTCGCGCGCGCAGAGTCCTCTCGTGTGCGGCAGCGGCTGACCCGCGCGCGCAGTTCCTCTCCTTCATGTGGAACCCGCTCTCCTGGGTCATGGAGGGCGCCGCCATTGTGGCCATCGCGCTCGCCAACGGCGGCGGCAAGCCGCCGGACTGGCCCGACTTCGTCGGCATCGTGCTGCTCCTGCTCATCAACTCGACCATCGGCTTCGTGGAGGAGCGCAGCGCCGGCAACGCCGTCAAGGCGCTCATGGAGTCCCTCGCGCCCAAGGCCAACGTGAAGCGCGACGACAAGTGGGCCGAGATTGAGTCCTCCGAGCTCGTGCCCGGCGATGTCATTGCCGTCAAGCACGGCCAGATCGTGCCGGCCGACTGCCGTGTCTTCGAGGCCGTCAACGTGTCCATCGACCAGGCCGCCCTGACCGGCGAGTCGCTCCCCGTCAACAAGAAGGCCGGCGACCAGTGCTTCAGCTCCTCGACCTGCAAGCAGGGCGAGTTCGAGGCCGTCGTCATCTCGACCGGCGCCAACACGTTCTTCGGTCGCGCCGCCGCGCTCGTCGGCCAGGACGACGACTCGACGGGCCACCTGCAGATGATTCTCGGCCGCATCGGTCTCTTCTGCATGGCCTCGATTGCCATCTTCGTCGTGCTCGAGATTGTCATCCTCTACCCGGCCTTCCGCTACTCGTACCGCGAGGGCATCGAGAACATCCTCGTCCTCTTGATCGGTGGTATCCCGATTGCCATGCCCACCGTGCTCTCGGTCACGCTCGCCGTCGGCGCCGGTCAGCTCGCCAAGCACAAGGCCATCGTCACGCGCATCACTGCCATTGAGGAGCTTGCCGGTGTCTCGATTCTCTGCTCCGACAAGACGGGCACGCTCACGACGAACAAGCTCACCATCGACCGCGAGCTCGTCAAGACGTACAGCGAGCACTGGACGCAGGCCGACGTCGGCCGCCTCGCCGGCTACGCCTCGCGCACAGAGAACACCGACGCCATCGACGGCTGCTTCATGAACTTCGTCGGCGGCCCCGAGATGGCGCGCAAGGGCATCAAGCTGCTCAACTTCATGCCCTTCGACCCCGTCGACAAGCGCACGGCCATCACGTACCTCGACGAGGCCACCGGCAAGGTGTGCCGCGCCACCAAGGGCATGACGGGTGTCATCATCGACCTGTGCTCGCGCAACAAGACCGACGCCCAGGAGACGGCGCTCGAGAACGACGTCGAGGACTTTGCCAACCGCGGCCTGCGTGCGCTCGCCGTGGCGTACGAGGACGTGCCCTCGGGCGACGCCGACGGACCGGGCAACGGCTTCGAGCTCGTCGGCCTGCTGGCCATCTTCGACCCGCCGCGCGACGACACCAAGGTCACGCTCGAGCGCGCCCAGGCGCTCGGCGTCGAGGTCAAGATGGCCACCGGTGACCAGCTCGCCATCGCCAAGGAGACCGGCCGCCGCCTCGGCCTCGGAGACAACATGTACAACGCCAAGGCTCTGCAGACGGGCCAGCCGCCGGCCGGCTGCCCGTACAAGACGCTCGACGAGATGATCCTCAAGGCCGACGGCTTCGCCGGCGTCTTCCCCGAGCACAAGTACGAGATCGTCAAGCGCCTGCAGGCCATGGGCCACCTGACTGCGATGACCGGCGACGGCGCCAACGACGCGCCCGCCCTGGCGCGTGCCAACGTCGGTGTCGCCGTCGAGGGTGCCACGGACGCCGCGCGCGGCGCCGCCGACATTGTCCTCGTCGAGCCCGGACTGAGCACCATCGTCGAGGCCATCCGCGGCTCGCGCATCATCTTCCAGCGCATGCGCAACTACGCCATCTACGCCTGCGCCGTCACGATCCGTATCACGCTCGGCTTTGCCATCATGGCCTTCATCTGGCGCTTCTCGATGCCGCCGTTCATGATCCTGATCGTCGCCTTCCTCAACGACGGCTCCATCATGACGCTCTCCGTCGACCGTGTCAAGCCGTCGAACACGCCCGACAACTGGGACCTGCGCATCATCTTTGCCAACGCCGTCGCCTACGGCATCTGGCTCTCCGTCTCGGCCTGGGCGCTCTTTGCCGTCGCGTACCAGACGACGTTCTTCGCCGACAAGTTCGGCGCCGAGATGCCCTGGGGCGTCAACGGCGACGCCAACCACCCGAAGCTGCACATGATCATCTACCTCAACACCGCCATCGCCGCCCAGGCCCTCATCTTCATCACGCGCTCGCACAGCTTCTTCTTCATGGAGCGCCCCTCGTTCGCCCTCATGGGTGCCTTCTGCCTCGCCCAGCTCGTCTCGACGATCATTGCCGCCTTCGGCGACTGGGGCTTCTCCGACGTCGAGGCCATCAGCGGCGCGTGGATCGGCATCGTCTGGGTTTGGACCATTCTGTGGTGTGAGTGTCCCCAAACCTTTCTCCTTCGCCTCCGGTGATCCCTACTGACGGTCTTTATCGAATAATCGCAGTCTGGCCGTTGGATTTCATCAAGTGTTAGTATTTGCGTTGTTCTGGAGGTCCTGGGGGTCTCTGGGCGTCGTCGGCGGGCCGAGGGGGGTCCGGAGGGGGTCTCGCGGGCGCGGCGGCGCGCGACGCGCCTGCACTGTGCCCCGGCACGTGACACGCGCGCCGCGCCGCCGCCCCGCGCCTGCAGCTGCCGCGCCCGTGCGCGCGTGGGCCTCCGCTCCCTGCCGCACCACCTGCGCTCCATCGAACATCCTTCTGACACCCTCTCCTTCTCACAGTCGGCATGCGCGCCCTCATCGCCCGCCTCATCAAGAACGAGAAGGTCGTCGCCGACCCGCTGGAGCGCACCATGTCGCGCACCACGAGCCGCGCCGGCTCCATCGCCACGGGCGCTGGCTACAGCAACCGCGTCTCGTTCCTCAAGAACATGTCCAACAAGGTCGGCCTCGGCGGCAAGAAGATCAACATGGCGCCGAACGAGCTGGCTCGCGTGCAGAGCGTGCAGGCCCACCAGGCCGGCCGCCAGCTGTCGCGCGGCCAGTAAGCGCCACCCTTGACTGCCTTCGCCGCTCGGCCCAGAGGCACCCCCACACTCCTTTTCTTCTCTTCTCTCTCTGCTGCACCGCCTGCGCTGCCGTGTCCCCCTTTCCCGCCCGCTTCATGTTCCCGTCACTCGCCTCTGAGCCAAATTACTCTTTAGACACCACCATCGGCTGCTGCCCGCGTCCGCCGGAGTGCGGTGCGCAGCCCGGTAATTCCATCCTAGCATCGCGACGTCCTGCGTGACCTGCAGTCGTGGTTCTTCGGACGTGAACAGCATACACAGCGAGCCTCTCTGCTTGCCGGCCGGCTGTGCGGGACCCACGTGCTCACGAGGTGGGCGTGTGCTCGAGCCAGCGTCTTGTCGCGATCGCGGCCCTGCCAGCGATGCTCGAGCTCGCCTGTGAGGCGAGCCGCAAGCCTGGCCACACCTGTCGCAGCGCATGTGTCGAGCCGACGTCCAGCAGCGATGCAGCACGGCTCATGCGTCCGGCGCAGCTGCGCAGCACCAGCAGCACGAGCGCACAGCAGGCCGAGGCGGCGGTGGAGGCGCGCAGCAGCATGACAGCACCCTTGGCCCGGCGCTGCGCCAAAAAAGCTGGCACGCATCGCCGCGGCGCTCAGACCCCTGTTGCTTCATCACCACATCACCTACGCCGCACACACAGCCACAGCATCCAGCTACACCCAGCCATCCGGCATGGCCGCCGCGCCGCCTCTTAGCGACGCCTCGGGCGCCTCTGCGCCGCACGCCGTCGCAGCGCATGCGGCGCCGCACCCGGCCGCCGCCGAGGCCGTGCCGCGCGACGCCAACGCCGCCGCCTTCGTCAGCTCGGTCGAGCACGGGCGCCCGCTGAGCATGATCGCGTCGAGCGCCTACAGCGACGACGAGGAAGAGGCAGTGCCGCAGGTGAGTGGCAGCAGGCCCCGGCATCGACTGTCTGCTGACCCGGCTGCAGCGCTCCGCGGCGGAGCAGGAGCGCATCCGGGCACGCGCACCGGCGCGCCGCACGCTCGACGAGCTGCGCATCGAGGTGCACGCCCTGTATGCGCGCGAGTCGTCGGACGGCGCAGCGGTCCGGCTGGGCGAGCTGCCGCGCCTGCTGGCTGCGTTCGATGCGCAGACCGGCCGGCCGCTCGTCTCGCCGAGCAACATGGCGATCATTGAGATGCATGCCGAGCAGGAGCCGGACCTGCAAATGTCCGAGGACAAGTTCGTCGACATGATCACTGCGCTGCACAGCGCAGGCGCGAACAGCGACAGTGAGGGAGACATGTCGCTCGATGTCCTCATGCCCGGACGGGCCGGAGAGAAGGCGGTGGGCGAAGACTCGATGGACGAGGACGTGTCGCAGGGCGAAGACTCGATGGAGGTGTCGTCGTCCTCGGACGAAGACGTGCGAGCGTGGCGAAGCCGCGCCATCTCTTCGAGCCCTCCAGGCACCGCACTCGCGGTGCGCAAGCGTGGCTACGAGGCGTTCCCTCGCTCGCAGGACCAGCTAGACGACGCCGACGCGCCTGTGCGGCGCCTGCCGTCGATGCTGCGCCGCAAGACGACGACGTCAGACCCAGCCGAGTCGCCGTTTCGCAACACGCCGGCAGGCGATGAGCGTCGCGTGCTCAGCGGCAAGGGCAAGGCTACCAACTGTCCCAGCGCTTTCACCAAGCCGCGTCCAGCGGCCGTGACACGCGCCCGCCGCACGAGCGACGCTGGCCTCGACGCGGAAGGGACGGTCAACGGCGATGTCGACGACGACTCCATCTCCACGCCGAGCGTGCGTCGCCGGATGCCCTCGCAGCCGCTGCCCGAGATGCCGCGCAGCGCCTCGACTGGCTCTGCGGGCTTTCGCCACTTCCCACGCGCCACGAGCCCGCACAACTGGGAAGAGGAGGCGGCCCTCGCGCAGTTCACTCCGCTGTCTCCTGGCCTCATGTCGCCGCCGCTCATCCGCCAAGCCGAGGCGGACTCTGAGAAGCTGAGCAGCAAGATCAAGACGCTCGAGCAGCAGCATCGCGCCAGCTCGCTGCAGTGGAGCGAGGAGCGCGAGAACCTGCACGAGGAGCATGCTCACGTGAGCGCTGAGCTCGAGGAGGTCAGGCAGAACGTTGCCTCGCTGCAGAAGGAGCTTGTGAGGGCCAAGGAGCAGAAGGAGCAGGCGGAACGTCGGACCGAAGACAGGGATCTCGAGATTCAGGAGAGAGCTGCAGAGGCCGAGCAGTTCAGAGCGCGCAGGGCGGAGTGGGAGAAGGAGAGAAAGCAGCTGCTCGGTGAGTGCTGAAGTGGCACGACGTGTGCTGCCGCTGACACCCCTGCAGAGCGCGCAACAATTAGCGAGGCGGTCGCGGTGGAACGCCAGGCCGAGCTGACGCGTGCGTTGGGCGACGGTGAGAAGCAGCACAAGGAGCTCAGGGAGAACAAGGAGGAGCGCTCGGCGCTTTTCAAGAAGAGTCAGAGGCAAGAGTCGGAGATCTCCGCGCTCAAGAGCCAGCTGCGCAAAGCAGCTCAAGAGCTGCTCGAGCTGAAGGAGCGCGAGGTCCAGCTGCAAGAGCAGATCAATATCATGCAGGATCAGATGCCGGCGGTACGCGCCGGCTCGGGCTTTACGCAAGGTCGCCACCTCAAGGCAGAGCTCGCCGGCGAGGTCAGCTTCGACAACAGCGTCCAGTCGGTCGACGTCGGCGAGACCAGCCTCGCAGACGCCGACACGAGCGGCGACGCAAGCTTCATCGAGACCACCACTGTGCGGCGTCGTGTCAAGGTGCGTCTGAACGTCCTCGAGACCGCGAAGATCTCTGCTAACGTTGGCTACAGCGCTCGCAGCGTGCCGCAGCTGCAACCGAGTTCGCTGAGACGATGACGCAGACGGAGCACGCTGCCGCCGAGATGTCGACGCAAACGGAGCCGGCCGTCGGCGCCGACTCGGCCACGCAGACGGACCAAGCGGCGCCCGTCGAAGCTCTCAAGAAGGATGTGACGGTAGCGGCTGGGCCCTCAGCGCAGACAGAGCAGTCATCTGCCGCAGAGCTGCCCTTGCCGCCCAGCTACCGCGAGGCCGAGCTGGAGCGCGCCGTCATCGCACGCGACCACCCTGCCGTGCAGCTGCACGAGCGCAAGCTCGGCGACCGCGCAGCGCTGCTCCTCGAGTCGGTCTTCCATACCAGCGAGACGCGGCGCTACCATGCGCTGCGAGACGACGTCGGCCGCCGCTGTCTCGTCCTCGAGTCGGCCATCCAAGAGCGCGCCGATGAGGCACGGCTTCGCGCGGCCCGCGAGTCTGCACCGCGCGCCGCACCGACGCCTTCTCGCTTCGCAAACGACAAGCACGCTGCACAGCTGCTCGCCTGCTCGCTCGGCTTCCTCACCGGCGCCGTCGTGATGGGCTACTTCTTCAGCGGCCCGCGCTACGCGCTCGGCTCGTTTGCGCTCGAGGACTCGGCGAGCTGGCAGGTCAGCAACGGCCTCGCCGCCGCGATGCTCGATCTCGGCGTGCCGCTCAGCACCGGCAGCGGCGCCGGCGAGTGGTGGCTGCCGCGCCTGCTCTACGGCTCGGCCAACGTCGTCCGCCGCCACCAGCCCGTCTAGTGCTCGCTGGGCATGCATGCAAGCCCAGCCGATGCCTCCACCCCTCATTCACGATACCACGACCACTGTAGCGACCACGTTCCTTGCTGACATGCCTGTATTACCATCACTTCTTCTGCCCGAGCCCTGCGGCGTGCACGGCGGCCGCCTCGATGCTGCGCGCCACGACGGAGCGCACCTTGCCGTCCTCGAGGTTGAGCAGGCCGGCGATGGTGCAGCCGCCGGGAGCTGCAGCGCGTCAGTGCACGAGCCGAGCGTCCGAATGCCGAGCCACTCACTCGTGACGCTGTCCTTGATCGCGGCCGGGTGCATGCCGGACTGCAGCACCATGCGTGCTGCGCCCTGCATCGCTGTGAGTGCGGTCAGCGACGGCGCGGCCACTGCGCCGGACACACTCACACTGCGCAGCCAGCTCGAGCGCCTCCTTGCGCGGCAGGCCCATCATCACTCCACCGTCGGCCATGGCCTCGAGGAAGACACATGCGAACGCCGGGCCTGAGCCGGCCAGCGCTGTGCATGCGTCAAAGTGCTTCTCGTCAAGGAAGCGGCAGCGACCGACGGCGGAGAAGATCGAGAGCAGCACGCGCCGGTCGTCCTCGTACGAAGGCAGCTTCGGGTTGAGCGTCGAGAGGACCGTCATGCCCTCGCGGATCTGCAGTCAACACTGTCAGCAAGACTGTGCGCTGTCGGAGCAGACAGCGACGGAGAAACAGCAGCATGCCAGCTATTGCTTGCGCTCGGCCTCTCCGAGCTGCATGCCAGGCGCGCTTGACATCTGACGGCGCCTACCTCGCCCGCCTAGCAGCTCCCTGGCACTCACCTTCGACGGCGTGTTGGGCATGGCGCGCACGACCTTGGTGCTGGGGTCGAGCCACGCCTGCATCTGCTCGATGCGCAGGCCGGCGCAGATGCTGCACACGAGCTTGCCTGCAAGAGCCTCGCGCAGGCCCTGCTCGGCCAGCACGTCGGCGACCATGTGCGGCTTGCACGCCAGCAGCACGACGTCGGCGGCGCGAGCGGCGCGCAGGTTGTCCGACACGAACACCTCGACGCCCTCGGCGTCGGCAAACGTCTTGCGCAGGCGGCGCCCGGACTCGGGCCGCGCCACGCAGGCGAGGAAGCGCGACGGCAGGCGCGTCAGCTCGGCGGCGTCGTCGGCGTCGGCGAGCGAGGAGACGGACGAGGAGAGGTCGCCGCGCGCCGCGACGGCCTGCCGCGAGTCGAACACGCCCGAGAGGATGGCGACGCCCATCGTGCCGCAGCCGATGACGGCGAGGGTGTAGTCGGACATGGCGCGTGTAGTGTGAGGGGTGCGAGAGGGCGGGAAGGAAGCGGCGGAAGGGCGAGCAGGCCCAGACCCCGTTGCAGCGGCGCGCGCGGCGCCAAGAAGCCCGAGTCCCGCACTAGCCTCGCCTCTTCTCCCGCCTGCGCTCACTCGAGAGACCAACACGATAGGTTAGCAGGATAGATTGCACGTCGGGTGAGCAACATGCAAGTCAGTACACGTCCGGGAGCACCAATGAGTAGAGAAGGGAGCGTGACGGCTAGTACGGGCCAGGCCGGTAGCCCTGCTGCGGTGCGGGGTAGCCACGCGGCTGGTACTGCGGCTGAGCGTACTGGCCCGGAGCATAGCCGTACTGCTGCTGCGGTGGCGGCGTCTGTGCCGGGCCGTACTGCGGCCAGCCGTGCTGCGGGGCCGGCGTTCGCCACTGCTGCGGTGCCGGTGTGAAGCCGCCGTTGGCGTAGCCGTCGGCGCGGTACGAGTACTGCGAGACGGCAGGGCTGTGCGGGCGCTTCTGCTGCGCCATCTCGAGGCTCTCGGAGCTGGCGTCGGCAAAGTGAGCGCCGCGGCCGTCGGGCCGGGGCCCTGCTGCAGGTCCGAGGCCGGCGCCGTAGCGCTGTGCGCCCATCGGCACGTCCTTGTCGACGTTGGGCAGCGCCGAGTAGCGAGTTGCACCGCCGCCGACAAGGCCGCCGGCGCCCTTGAGGCCGCCCTCCGATGCCGGGATGTTCGACAGCGATGAGTCGGCAGCGCGGCTGTTCCGCCGCCGGCGCATGCAGCGCACCACGATGGCCCAGATGGCGATGAGCGCAATCGCGCCGGCAATGGAGGGCACGAGGATCTTGAGGATGTTGTCCTGCGGACGGGCGTCAGCATGGGATGGAAGCGCGGCATGCAGCACGGCTCACCTTGGTAAACCACGTGCCGGAGCTGCTGCTGCTGGAGCCCTTGCCGTTCCACGTGCCCTCGACCTTGTCGCCCACCTGCACGCCGCTACCGGGCGTGCCGGGCACGCCGTCCTGGCTCGGGTCCTTGAGGAACGAGATCGCCTTGCTCGACGTCTCAAACGCCGGCTTGTTGGTGCTCGTGTCGTTGGCGCCCGTGTACACCCACGACGTCACGTCCGAGGCCGGCGGCGAGCCGCAGGTGACGTTCATCGAGCGGATCTCCATGGCGTAGTAGCCCTTGCTCGTGTACTGGCTCGACGTCCAGTCGATCGGGCCGCCGGCCCACTGGATGACGCCCGGCGGGTTCGTCGAGTTGCCGCCGGCCCACATCGAGACCTGGATACGGCTCGGCGTCGTCGGCCAGCCCGAGTAGTCCTTGGCGTTGACGCTGCGCACGACACGGCCATCGATCTTCCACGCCAGCCGATCTGCGGTCCAGACGAAGCCGTACGTGTGCTGGCAACGAAGTGTGAGCACGAGCAGACACGAGAATGAGGCTACCGCACGCACCCAGTCGCTGACGCTGAAGCTCGACGACGGCGCATTCACGTTGGCCGCCACAGTACCGCCCGTGGGCCGGACGGCCTGCACGAAGAAGTTGGTCTGCAGGTCCTGCGGGTCGTCGGTCGCTGGCGGCAACGTGTCAGCAGCAGCCGGCGGCCGCACCACGCTCCGCCTACTCACTGAACTCCCAGTCGATCTCGTCGCGGTCGTCGCTCATTGTGATGAACGCCGCGACGATGCCGGCGCCGCGGTCGTGCCGCATCTCCAGCTCGACTTCGCCGTACAGCATGTAGTGCGTCGTCGAGATCTTGGCTTGCGACGGCGTCGTGAGCGCCAGCACGACGCCCTCCGGACCTGCGGCCAGGAGGCCACTGTCGAGGGTGAAGGGTGCGACGCTCGCATCGCCGGTGTAGTGCAGGCTGAGCGATGTGGCGTCAGCATCACATTCGCTTTGGAGCTTGGACACCCTGAATGCTCCCGCGGGTCTCGCTTGACACTCACATGGGCTTGAACATGGCGTCGTTCTTGTAGTCGCTCGGCTGGAAGGTGAGGTTCTGGTTGGTGCAGACGGGCATCGGCAGGCACGAGCCGGCCGACTTGGACGAGAGCGGCTGGCAGCCGCCGGCGCTGCGACGGCGGCGTCAGCATGAGCCCGGCGCCAGCTTGTCGAACGCCTGGCATCTCCTGCACCGCCGCGGCAGGGGCTTGGGCTGGGACCCCTGAGCCGCCACTGGCACGTCCACGCTCCACACACTCTCGGTTGCGGCACACCTTCGACGTGCTCTCGCCCCAGTGCTCCGCCAGGCTGAGCGCTGCGTCGTGCTACTCACCACTGCTCGGCCCCGCCGCCGCACGTGCCGCCGGCGCTGCAGCAGGGCGCGTCGCTGTCGGAGCAGGGGCTGGCGACGCTGCACGCATCGCCGGCGCGCGCATGCACCAGCTGCACGCTGGCCGCGGCCAGGCCGGCGAGGGCGAAGAGGGCAGGGCGCACACGCATGGCTTTGAGGATGTGGATGTGGGGACGCAAGCGAGACGAGCGGCGGCCTCGGAGGTTTGTGTGCTGTGCCGGCTGCCGCTGAGGCAGTGCCCCCCGATGAGCTCCACGCTTGGCGCCGGTGTTGCGCGGCGCAGGCCACCTCGCGCTGTGGAGCTGCAGGCACCGCCGCGTGGAGCCGCTTGTGCTGCAGCCCGCAGGCTCGGCGGCGGCACGAGAGAGAGCATCTCACACGCCCCTGACGCTGCCGCTGCGCCGTGCCGCCTCGGCGTCGAAGCTGCCTCGACTTGCCACACCGGGCAGCCGCCGCGCCTGCGCGCAGATCTCGGCCGGCAGCGCGCCGGACGCCGAGCATCCCTCAGCCGAGCAGGCGCCGCTCGCTGCCTTTGTCCTTCAGCAGCGCAGGGCTTGAAGCTTGTACTCTGCAGCATTGCAGCGGCTAGGCAAAGCGCTGCCAGTGTACTGTACAAGCGGCAGCTATTTCTGTAGGGAGAGCGGCTGCGAAGCCAGGGACGTCGAGAGCTGGAGCGTTCGCTCACGTGACCAGCTCTGGGTCGTCCGCTCCCGTCCGCCTCAACCCCTCGGTGCCATCAAGGCTCTTTCATCTGCGCTTGATCCGCGGTGAGGACGCAGCATACCGCCAAAGGAGATCTGCTGCGGCAGGTCAGGCACCACAGAACGTGCCATGGGCAGCAAGCGCACACGCACGCAGCGGCACCGGCAGGGTGTTGCGGGCAGCGAGAGGGCGAGCGACGCCCTTCTTTTCTAGCAGAGCGCAGCCCGTCTAGAGCTTGCTGCAACACCCCGATAGCCAGCAGCAGGCATCCAGGACGGAAGTAGGATTCTCGAGAAGAGGAGGTAGAGTGAGGAAAAGGCCATGTGCTGATGGCGAAGAGGCGGCCCGGCGATGGCGCGCTTACGGCGCACGCGGCCGGCCTTCGCCTTCGCCGAGGCGGGCAGCAGGCGAGCCGCGGCGCAGGCTGACGCGCGCTGCGAGAGCAAAGGCAAGCCGAGCCGTGCGCTGCCGCTCCGCCCGTGCTCCTTCCAGTTCTCGCCGTGCGCTTCCCTCTCTCCCCCACCATCAGATCCGCCTCAGCCGCCTCGGGGTCCGCCGCTCGCACGTCTGCTGCCGTCGCCATCAACACTCTCCTTCGGCCCGCCGCACCCTCACGCCGCCCGCTGCGCACGTCTCGCTTCTCGGCCGCTGCTCCTCTAATCTTCCTGCGCGCTCGCCTTTTTCTTCTCTAGCCCGCACACCCCGCCGCCCCGCGCCCGCCATGGCCGCCGCTGATGTCGTCGCCGCTCCGGCTGCGTCCGCCGAGGAGGAGGTCGACTACGAAGGCCTCGGCGAGGGCTACCCGCTGCACATCAACATGATCGCCGGCGCACTCGCCGGCATCAGCGAGCACGCCGTCATGTTCCCCGTCGATGTCATCCGCGTGAGTGGGCGGCAGCGAGGGTGTGCAAGGAGGGCGCTGCACAGATGCACTGGAGGAGACAGCGACGGGCTGCGCGCGCTGCTACTTGGCAGACCAAGCAGAGAGCATCGTGCTACGCAGCTCCTCCTCTGGCGACGCGGGCTCTTCCGCCACCGGCTGCATGCGCACCAAGAAACGCGCATTAGTGCGCAGCATCGCAGCGGCGCGAGGCCCGTATGCGGGGCCTTCCTGCTGTACCACTGGGCTGCTTCGGCCGGCAGAGACAGTCATTCGTGTGAGGGCTGGCGTGCTCTGCTGGCAGGCGATAAGCCTACTCGAGCGCCGCCTATGCGGCTGCCGGGTCCGCGCGCGGCGTCTGCCGTCAATGCCATCAAGCTAGAGGGCTGCGTCGCTGACACCATCTCTTTCTGCTCTCAGACGCGCATGCAGGTGCTCTCGGCCACACCAGCAGCGACATACACGGGCGTGGCGCAGGCATTGCGGCAGATCTCGTCCGTCGAGGGCGCAAAGACGCTGTGGCGCGGCGTCGCGAGCGTGATCCTCGGCGCCGGCCCGGCGCACGCCGTGTACTTCGGCACATATGAGGTCGTCAAGGAGATGACGGGCGGCAACCGGCAGGGGCATCAGTTCGCCAGCACGGGTGAGTTGCGGGCTGTGATGGCGGCGCAGTGCCGCTCGGACAGGGCACGCGGAGGCAGATCGCGTGCTGCTCGCGCCTGTCTGGGCGTGCGTGCGCGTGCGGGGCGCTACTCGCCAGGTGGCGTGCTGACGCGCATCCTGCGCAGCCTTTGCCGGCGCCTCGGCGACGATCGCAGCCGATGCGTTCATGAACCCCTTTGACGGTCAGTGCACGCTTGCGAGATACGATCTCGTCGCTGGCTCACGCGGTGCGGCGCAGTGATCAAGCAGCGCATGCAGATGCACGGCTCGCAGCACCGCTCCGTCGTCTCGTGCGCGCGCTCCGTGTACGCGCGGGAAGGCCTGCGCGCCTTCTACGTCTCGTACCCGACGACGCTCGCCATGACGGTGCCCTTCACCGCCGTGCAGTTCAGCGTGTACGAGTGGGCGAAGAAGGTCATCAACCCGGAGGAGTCGTACAACCCGACGAGCCACGCCATTGCCGGCGGCACTGCCGGCGCCGTCGCGGCGGCTGTGACGAACCCGCTGGACGTGGCCAAGACGCTGCTGCAGACGCGCGGCAACTCGACCGACGCCACGATCCGCAACGCCAGCGGCATGCTCGAGGCGTTCAAGATCATCCACTCGCGGGAAGGCGCGCGCGGCTTCCTGCGCGGCCTCAGTCCGCGCGTCCTCACCTTTGTGCCCTCTAATGCGCTCTGCTGGCTGGTGAGTCGATGTGGCCGGTGCCGCAGAGGCCTTGTGCGAGGCTGTGCCGCTCACGCGCTCTCTCCGCAGTCATACGAGGGCTTCCGCTTCTTCATCACGCAGCGGCAAAAAGGCCTCTGAGCGCGAGCAGTGCGCCTGGGCGCATCAGCCTGAGCGGGCAGCACGCGCGCGGCGCCGACGCCGCCGGGCTTGGGGCTCCGAGCCTTCGTCGCGTGCGGCCAGTGCCGGCTACAATGCATCAACTATGATACACATCCGGATGGCGAGCAGTGCATTTCGAGCAGCTGGAGGGTAGTATACGCGCACACGCGAGTGCATGGCGGATGCGGGCGCACATAGAGCACAGAATGGAGACGTGAGGCAGGGAGTCGTGCTGGAGAAGGGTCGTGCTGTCTAGTTGTGGCCAACAAACTGCAGGACAAGGCGATCAGCGATGGCAGGAGCGCGGCAGCGAAGCAGCGCACCTGGTAGACAATGCGCCGCACGAGGCCGGAGAGCAGCTGTGGGTTCTGCGCGTATGTGCCCTGCGAGAGTGCACCAACGTGAGCCGGCTGCGACGACGACAGCATCTCACAAAGCGACGCACCATGACCAGTGACATGCCGGCGGAGGTGAGCAGCAGGTCGCCGCCGGGCACGAACGGCACCCAGGACGCCCGGCGCGCGAGAGCCCAGGCGCTCTGCAGCGGCTGTCAGCGAGCAGCACATGCGCGCACCCGCATCGCAAACGACTCACCTCGGCGGCCTTGGGAATGACGTACATCGCCAGCTCGGCGCGGCGCCGCTCGTGCTCGATGAAGAGCGAGAGACACGTCAGGAAGCCGGCGCCCCAGTGCAGCGGGCCGCGCGTAAGGAGGAAGAGCAGCCACTGGGGAACGCGGTTGCGCGTGGTGGGATTCTGCGAAGCACAGCCAGTCAGCTTAAGCAGCCGCCAAAGCGTCGAGCTGAGACGCACCTTCTGCAGGAGGTCCACCAGCGAGTGCGCGCCGCAGAAGAGCGTCTGGAAGATGATGACGAAGACTCCCAGGAACGTCGACGAGCGGAGCGCGCCAAAGCCGGCACGCGAGAGCACGCGCACAGGGCTGGCGGAGCAGCGTCAGCAAGGCTGCACGCGGTGAGCTCTGCGCAGCAGGCACTCACTCCTTGCGGAACGAGCCCATGCGCAGGAAGACGGCGGGCACAAAGTAGAGCGTCGAGTAAACCGGCCTGCACGGGGTGAGCGGAGGGCTCAACGCATGCATGCGTCAGACTCACAGGATCCAGCGCGTCACTTCGACGAAGCGGTCGACCGGGCTCCAGATGTGGTTGTCCTCCCATGGGTGCACGAGAGCGCACGGCACGTATGGCCGCTCAGCCACGCTGGCGCCGTTCGTCCGGTCTGCGGCCTCTTTCCACGCAATGATGCGCGAGGCATTGAGGCCGGTGATACCGCGGCGGTTGTGCTTCGTCGGCGGCAGGTTCGGGTAGCGCAGCTTGCCGTTGGGCATCGGCAGCGCCTCGGGGAACTTGCCGTCGGGGAAGAGCTTGAAGACGTCGTTGCTGTTCACGTTTGGAATCTCCTTGTGCACCTTCAGCGACATGGGCGCGACCTTGGAGGCGTTTGTGATCCACGTCATGTATCCGCGCGGCAGCGTCTCCGGAGCGTCCTGAGCATGGCGGAGTCAGCTGTCGATCTAGGTGCAGCGTGCACAGTCTACTCACCAGCCAGGCGTACATGATTTGGCCGCATGCCAGGCCGAAGGCGAGCACGGCGCCGTACGGGATGTTGACGAGGCCCTTGCCGTGAGCAAGATTGTACGTGCCCTCCAGGCCGCTGCGCACAGACACGAGTGAGCTCGCTGCGCATGCCGCACAGTAAGAGTCCGATAAGAGACTCACCGCACGACGAGCTGCTGCGCCAACCCGATGCGGTTCTCCTTCTTGTCGGCGAGGATGGCAAGGCCAGACACGGCGCCGGCCACATAGGCGTGCCAGACCTTGGAGCGCGGATCCCGCATGAAGGCGCGCTTCTCCTGCTTTGCGCGCAGCTTGGCTCGCTCCTCGGACGACTTGCCCTCCAACTCCTGCCAGCCGCTGCGCGGCGTTGCTGTGCCGCTGCGAGTCGGGCTGCCGTGCTGGCTACGCGGCTCGGCCGCCGGCTTCTTGCCCTCGCTGCGTCCGGCGCGCGAGCTCGGCCGCTGCGGCATGGGCGTCACGAGACGCAGCGTGTTGTGCACCGCCTTGTAGATCGCAGCCCAGAGGCCGAACATCGATGCGAAGCGCACGTTCTCAGGGCCGAAGTAGGCCAGCATGAGGCCGTTGGCGCGGAACGCCCTGCAGCACAGACGCGATCAGCTCTGGTCATCCGCATCGCCAAGCAGCGAGAGCTGGTGGGACAGCGCGCCCGCACACATCGCGCGCCGCGCAGACACAGCTCCATACAGCGCCTGTGTGCATGGCCCACCTTCACTCTGCGCTCTCTCCTCACTCACTTGCTGCGGAACGCCTTGACGAGCGCCAGCAGGAGCATGACTGTGCCACGGCAGCCGAATGCGAAGATCCAGGCCCGCATGCCTCCCCGCAGCTGCGTGCAACTCGTGAGCGCCGAGACTGCCGAGCGCGCCGCATGCTTCACTCACGCTGTGCACCAGCGTGCGCTCCGCATCAGTCGGGATGCGCGCCTGCTCGTCGTCGGGGCGCCAGATCTTGGAGCGCAGCTGCTTGGGGTTCTGCGCCAGCTCGTGCAGGCCGTGCACCGAGAGCGAGCGGCGCAGTTGCTGCGCCGTCTCGGCAATCGACGGCGTCACGGGCCCCACGGGCGTGCGCCAGGGCCCGTCGCCGTCCTGCTCGTCGTCCGAGTCGGGCAGGTCGTGCTTGAGCTGCGTGAAGCCGCCGAGGCGCAGGCCCGGGTCGCGGCGCGGCGGTACGCCGTTGGACGAGGCAGCTGGAGCCGCGCCGGCCGGCTCGGAGCTGGTGCTGCTTGGCGCAGCACTGTCTGGCTGCTGCGCCCGCCGGCTGGGAGAGGTGTCGCCTGCCATCGTGACGCGAGAAGCCGGCTGGCGCGTGGGCGAAAGGCACGGGCGGCGTCGGCGTGGAGCAAGAGGATCAGAGGTGCACGCTGCCGCTCGCGCACACGTTCAGCCTGTGTCGAACGAGTGGTGGATGTGGAGAGCGGGCCGTGGTGGTGGAGCTGGACAAGGCAGCGCCCGCCCTCGCTTTGCATCGCTTGAGGCAGCTGCCGGCACGGCGCGGCGCGGCGCTTCGGAGCATCCGCGTCATGCACGTCGAGGCGCCTCTCCCCGCACTCCGATGCACAAGGCCGGCAGCGCCGCGCCCGCCGACTTCGCGACGCGCGCTGCCTCTGCGTCTGCGTGCCATGCCCTCAGCATCAGGCGCAGTTGATGCTGCGATGCTCCTCTCCTGCTGCGTTCTATTCGGCTGCCTCCTGCACCCCACGGGCTCACAGCTGCCGCGCTCTGCGGCCAGACGAAGGCGACGGAGCACTCGAGCGCACGCGCTACGGCTGTCCAAAGGTTGCCGGAGCCGTGTGCCGCGGCGAGAGCGAAAGTGCCCCCTCTGCGCCAGGGCTCCTGTCAAGAGTCAGCCCTCGGCTGCCGAACGGCACCGACATGGTCGCCGAGCTGTCTGGGGTCCGCGGGAGCACAGACACGCCCGCAGCTGGGAGGCCAGAGCGTGCGCAGCGCTCTGCTGCGGTTCCGAGCGGCTGCGGCGCCCCACGGACGGCCAAGGCTGCAGGCGCGTGAATAAGAATCTGGAGCCGGCGAGCCCGGCTGGCGCGGCACGCTCCTCCACGCGACGGCGATACTCCCGCCGCATGCCCCTGCCTTTGCATCCGCCCTCAACACACGCGCGCCGGGTGATCCGCATAGCATTGCGCTCTCAGGGGTTCACAAAGGCCTGCGCTGCGGCAATGTACAGCTCGTGCACGCGCTGCTCGTTGAAGGCCGTGACGATCTCGGCCTGCTGCAGGCCCGCCGGCGCCAGTTCATCCTGGAGCAGGCTCAGCATCGGCACGTCGCAGGCATACCGGCGCAGCACTCACCCTCCAGGCGAAGGCACGACCGTAGGACCAGCCGCCTTCGCGGTCGTCGATGTCGATGCGGCCGACCGTGCTATTCGCGATGACCTCAGGATAGAGCGCCGCCAGCGTTGCCAGCTCGTCCCACAGCGGCAGGCCGGGCTCGGCAGGCGCGCCGATGAGCTGCGCCAGGAAGCGCTGCTCGCTGCTGGCGCTTGCGCTTGTGCGACCTGCTGCGACCACGATGTCCTCCGGCGGCGTCACGCGCGACGCCGCCTCGTTGATCAGCACCAGACGCTTGAACGGCGCTCGCTGAGAGTCCGAGTCAGCCTTCTGCCGTCTTGCTGTGCTGATGGCGACTCACCAGGACCTTCTTGGCGGCCTGCGGGTCGAAGAGCGTGTTGAAGTCGTTAAAGCTGGGACCAGGTCAGCGGCGTGTCTCTCCGCTCTGGCCAGCTTGCTCACATGTCGCTGTTGCGGACGCTCAAGAGCGACTCGAGGTTGTAGCTCAAGAAGCCGCCTGGCGAAGTGTGTGAGCAAGCGCCCTGGGCCGTAGACGGGCATATCACCGCACCCTGGTAGAACAGCTCCACTCCTTGCGCAAAGGCGGGGTCTCTGACCAGTGCCAGCGCCACGTTGGTCAAAGGCCCGATGGCAACGAGCGTCACCGTCTCGTTGCGCGCTCGTGCGGCCCTGCTGCGCTCTACCAGCACATCTGGGGCCCACTGGGCTGCGGAAGTGGCGAGCTGGCCGGTCAGAGCACGCGGCACCTGGAGAGCGCTGTTAAGCGAGCAGCGCGCGGATGGCTTGGACACGACCCTCACCGCATCGCCCTGGAAGGTCACTCGGCCTGCGTCTGCCTCGTTGCCGGTCGGGTCCGAGCCCATGCTCTCGGCTGTCTCGTTGAAAGGCCGCCAGCTGCCTGCGAACGACAGGGAGCCGGTGTAGTTGATGCCCTGCTCGTAGCCCTGCTGCGTCCGGAGCAGCGGCAGCAGAGCGCCTGGCACTGCGCCGACCGTCTCGATGCGCGATGCGAGCTCTCCCGTGCCGTTGACACTGGCCAGCGCAGCTTGCAGATAGCGCTGTGCGTATGCCTGGCACTGATTGCCCCTGCGGCCGTCGTCAGTGAGGGAGACAAGCCTCATCCGACCACACCTGCGCACCAAGTATTGCCAGACAGGCTCGTCACAGTCAGGTTGCTCACGAGGCTGCTGTCGGCTGCGAGAGCGATGAGGAGCGGCATCGGGCTCTCACTCCAGTCGTTCTGCGGCGGCGGGTCAGCACAAAAGCTGCGGCCACTCCGCAGACCGACTCACATCCAGAATGAGCTCTCGCGGCGCCGCATCGGCCACCACGCCAAAGAATGGCAGGAGCAGCGCTCCCCTGAAGATGTGTGAGAGCAGCATGTCTGTTGAAGTCTGAGGAAGAGGGCCGCTGCCTTTCCTGCACGGATCTGCAGCCGGCTTAGCGTCTTTTTGCTGCGAAGTGGAGGTCGTGCCCGGACGGCTTTGGGCGGCTGTGGGTCAAGGAACTCGACACGGCAGGCGGTAGAGAGCGCATCAGCAGCGCCGTCGCAGCACCATGGCGGGCGGCTGCAGAGAGGAATCTGCATTCTGTGGGTTTCCTTGCGCCTTCAGCTCGTCCTACGTCGCGGAGCATCCCGACACTGTCGGTTGGGAGCACAGTACGCGGCAGTGCTGGACAGGTGCGCATGGGGCCCACTTCGGCAGAGTCGGCAGGCTCTCACCGCTGCGAAGCGAGTCACCGGAACTTCGGTGCGTGCCAAGGCTCATGAGTATTGAAGGGTAAAGACAGGGCGCAGAGGTGGAAGTGAGGAGGATGGGTGCGCAGCCGAGCTCGAGCAGCATGCACGGTCCAGCAGCGCGTGAGGTCACGTGGCGCGCGGCGCCGGCGCGCCGCTCAGGGTCAGCCGGCGGCCGGCGCTGAAGCGCAGCTCTCCCCGCAACCACATCAGCAAATGACACCTGCGCCGGACAGGCAGCCTCGCGGCGCCGACGCTCTCCAGCCCTCATCGTGTGGCGCCTGAGCGGCTCAGGAGCCAGTTGCGATGGCGGCTGAGCAGGGCGCAAGCGTGCCGACGGACGATGCTCCCGCCTCGGGTCCGGCGGCGTCGAGCGGCCCACGGCCCTTCTTCCGTGTGCGGCTGATGAACATCGACCACGTCCTGGTGCATCCCGGCCCGCACGACCGAGCACAGTCGGCCTTCAACCCGCCAGGCGTGCCGCTGCGGCGCGTGCCCGTCGTGCGCATCTTTGGCGCCACGCCGCAGGGGCAGCGCGTCTGCCTGCATGTGCACGGCGTCTTCCCGTACTGCTATGTCCAGTACCACGGCTCGCTGCATCCCGATGAGGGTGAGCAGCTGCAGCGGCTGAGCACTCATCGCAGCGTGCTCATATACCTGCCACAGTCTTGGCGCACATTGCCCGGCTCGGCCGTGCGCTCAACGCCAGCCTGGCCGCGTCCCTGCGGCGCGACCTGTCCAACCCGCTCACTGCCACCTCGTACATCGCCGCAATCCACCTGGTGCAAGGCGTACCGTTCTATGGGTACCACGTCGGCGCGCGCTACTTCCTCAAGATCAGCTTCGTCGACCCGTCGCACAACTTCCGCCTTGCCACGATCCTCCAGAGTGGGCGGATGCTCGGCACCGTCTTCCAGCCCTTCGAGTGCCACATCCGATACCAGCTTCAGTTCATGCTCGACCACAACGTCTACGGCTGCGACTACGTCGACCTCGAGCGCGCCTTCTTCCGCTCGCCCTTTCCAGGTGCGTGGCACTCTGCTGGCGATCCGGGTCCTGCTGCTGCTGATACCCACATGCCTTCGCCAGATACCCCTGATACGCCTGGGGCTGCCGACGGCATCTGGCATGCCGGAAGCATCCCAAGTCAGTTCGTTCAGCGCCCGAGCCCTGCCCGCGCATCGTTCTGCACCCTCGAGGTCGACGCGCCCGCGGCTGCGATCCTCAACCGGCGCCTTCTTCGACCACGCAACATCCACTGCTCGATACCCGAGCCAGCGCCGTCTACGAGCGAGAATGCACAGCGGCTCGTGCCGTCCCTCACAGAGCTGTGGGAGGAGGAGCGGCAGCGGCGGACCCGTGCAGGCCTTCCTCCCAGCATCCCGGTGCCCGACACTGCAGGCGAGGCGCGCCGCTATGGGCCAGGCGGTGCGCCGCCATGGATGGCAGAGGAGCGTCTGCGTGCTGCGCTTCGAGAGCGGTGCGACGAAGACGAGCGCTACCGCCTCGAGCACAAGTACGATGCGCGGAGCTACGAGGGCGGCAACGCCAACGACCGCTTCATCGTGAGCGCTTTTGAGAGCGTAGAGCTCTTCCACGACGCCGCTGCGCCACAGGGCGCTTCAGACCCCCAGACGCAGGCACAGACGCAGCACATGTCTGCTTCGCAGCACGCCGCAGCCAGCATCTACGATCTCGAGCACGCCCTGACGCAGCACCGAGCGCGGACGCACTCCGGCGACAATTCGCAGAGCGCCGTCTCCGGCAGTCCAGCCTCTCCGCGGCTTCCTGGCAGCGCACCGGCGTCGCAGCACCTGCCCAGCGCCAGTCCGCTCTCAGATGCAGAGGACCGCACGCTGGCGGCCGACGCCGACTTCTTCGCCTCACAGGCCTTCCAGGACGCGATGCGCGACTTTGAGCTCGAGGGACAGCGCGAAGACGAGGCAGATGATGGCAGCGATCCGGGCGATGATCCAGCGCTCGATAATGCCTTCGATGCGGCAGCGCCACTGACGCCGCGTGCCTCACGGACCGTCGATGCTCTCAAGCAGTCGACGCCCCGGCAGGCGTCACGCTTCGCTCCACCAGGCACGCCGCAGCACACGCCTACGAGCGCGCAGTCCACGCCGCGTCGGGGACCTCCGAGCGCACAGTCGACTCCGAGGGGCAAAGAGCCCATGATGCGAGTAGCGCTGTCCACGCCGCGCAAGCGACACATCTCAGATGTCTTCATGGCTGCTTCACGCGAGGAGCACCCGCGCACTCCCACTCGCCAGCAGCGCACCGACGACGAGACGCCACCTCGCTCTGTTGCACGTAGCGCCGCGCGCGAGGCTGCACTTTCTGCTGCAGAGTCACCAGGCAGTGGAGCCGAGAAGCTGCGCGAGCTGCTCGATGGCTCTGGTGCCGACTGGCGAGTCCTGCCGGATAGCCAGGTGGCGGGCGCTGCTGCTCCGTCTCAGAGCGCAACGCGCCTGAACGCGAGCAAGATCACAGCCGCAGACATGGTCGAGCACACAGCTCGGCCGGCCACGCTGGGCACGACGCAACGAGTGCGCTTCGGGGCAGCGACGGCAGAAGCATCGACAGTGCTACCGTCGGAGAGCGACAGCGGCCCATCACGATCGAATCAGAGCGGCTCTACCCTGCCAGGCACTCCCCGCTCGGACGGTAGCGTCCGGCAGTGGCAGTACGCGCAGCCTGCTCCAAGCACCGCCGAGGTGCTCAACTCGTTCGGCTTCTTCGGCCTGCCGAACGTGGAGCACCAGGATCCGTTCTACTCCGATCCAGCAGACGTGCCCAAGGGCGCCCGGGAATACGCAGGCCGTAGCTTCCGCTTCGTGAGCAAGACGCTGCGCTTCCTCCCGGCTTTCAAGCCTGGCAACCCCGATGCAGAAGGCGCCAATAAGGCTCCACAGAGGCCTGCTGGCGTGAAAGCCTGGACGGCGTCAGTGCCTCCGCCGACGCGCAAGTCGGTGCAGAAGTGGGCTCACAGGAATCGAGGCGCGCCAGGAGGTGAGGCCAGGCAAGTCACACACGCTCGAGTGCTTTGCTGACGCCTACCTCTGCCAGAGAAACGCGCGCAGGCCAAGGTGCCGAGCACGAAGCCAATGCCGACAGCTGCAAAGGCCACGCAGGCTGCCGACGCGGAGTTCAAGCTCAGTCAGCGCCAGCCGACGGTGCTCGTCGAGAAGGAGAAGCAGCACATCACGGTCTTTGCGCTGGAGCTGCTTGGTGAGAGAGTCGATGCGTGCGGCTGAGCGCTCGCTCGGCGCTGACCCGAGTCTTCACAGTCTGCACACGGGGCGATCTGATGCCAGATCCTGCCAAGGATGCGATCTCAGCCATTGCGTTCAGCTTCCAAAATGAAGACGACGGACTGGAGGACACCGGCTCGCGTCCGGGCCTTCGCACGGGTCTCTTGCTTCTGGACAAGCACGGCACGCTGCCGGATCCTGCTCGCCTTGGCATCGCCGGCCTGGACGTCGAGGTGCTGTCGACCGAGCTGGAGCTCTTCAACGCGCTGGTGGACCTCGTGCGCACGCTCGATCCCGAGATCCTCGTCGGCTGGGAGATCCACAACAGCTCGTGGGGCTACGTGGTGGACCGCGCGATGAAGGAGCTCAGTGAGTCCAGATCGCCGCCAGGCTCTGCGCACTGCTGACCTGAGCGCAGACTTCGACATCATTCCCGAGCTCGGGCGCGTCAATTCGGGCTCGACCGGAGGCAAGGGCGACAAGTGGGGCTACACGCAAACGTCCGGCATCAAAGTGACCGGCCGGCACATGCTCAACATCTGGCGCCTGATGCGCGGCGAGCTCACGCTCAATCAGTACTCCTTCGACAACGTCGTGTTCCACCTGCTGCGCCGCCGCACGCCTCGCTTTGCGCACGCGGTCATCACGCAGTGGTACAGCTCGGGCGTGCCCGCACTGATGAAGCGGGCGCTGGCGTACTGGGTCGACCGCACGGAGATCGACCTCGAGGTCATCGAGACGTCGGAGGTCGTATTCCGCACGGCCGAGTTCGCGCGCATCTACGGCGTCGACTTCTTCTCCGTCATCAGCCGCGGCAGCCAGTTCAAGGTCGAGTCGGTCATGTTCCGCATCGCCAAGCCCGAGAGCTTCATCCTGCTGTCGCCGAACCAGCAGCAGGTCGGCGAGCAGAACGCCGCCGAGGCGCTGCCGCTGGTCATGGAGCCGCAGAGTGCCTTCTACAAGGGCCCGCTGCTGGTGCTCGACTTCACCTCGCTGTACCCGTCGCTGATGATCGCGTACAACCTGTGCTACTCGACGTGCCTCGGGCGCGTGTCCAAGTTCAGAGACTCGTGGAAGCTTGGCTTTACCGACTACGTGCCGCCTCGCGGGCTGCTCTCGCTGCTCGAGAAGGACTGCTTCGGTGAGTTAAAGCGGGGTGGCATCCGCAGACGTAGGCTGAGTCGTGCGTGCAGTCTCGCCCAATGGCATGCTCTTCGCCAAGCCGCACATCCGGCGAAGCCTGCTCGCCAAGATGCTCGGCGAGATTCTCGAGACGCGCGTCATGGTCAAGGGCTCGGTGAAGGGCATGAAGGGCGAGAAGGCCTTCAAGCGCCTGCAGAATGCGCGCCAGCTCTCGCTCAAGCTGCTCGCCAACGTCACGTACGGCTATACCAGCGCGACCTTCTCGGGACGGATGCCGTGCGTCGAGGTGGCCGACGCGATCGTGCAGTACGGGCGTGAGACGCTCGAGCGCGCCATCTCGCTCATCCACGCCACGACGGAGTGGGGCGCGACGGTCGTCTACGGCGACACTGACAGCCTCTTCATCTATCTGCCTGGCCGGACGAAGGAGGACGCGTTCCGCATCGGCCAGGCCATGGCCGACGCCGTGACGGCCGACAACCCGGCGCCTGTCAAGCTCAAGTTCGAGAAGGTGCGTCACGAGCCCGTCTGCACATTGACCGACGTCTGACGCAGCACGCAGGTGTACCTGCCGAGTCTGCTGATGGCGAAGAAGCGCTACGTGGGCTTCATGTACGAGACCGAGGACCAGACGGAGCCCGCGTTTAACGCCAAGGGCATCGAGACGGTGCGGCGCGACGGCTTCCCGGCGCAGCAGCGCATGGTCGAAGCATGCATCCGCATCCTCTTCCGCACGCAGGATCTCTCGCTCGTCAAGTCGTACTGCCAGCGCCAGTGGCGCAAGATCTTCGAGGGCCGCGTGCCGTTCTCCGACTTCATCATCGCCAAGGAGGTGCGCCTCGGCTCGTACAGGTGAGAGCGGCTGCCGCAGGCTATCCGCTGTGCCGCTGACCAGTCCGTCTCAGTGAGAACGGCGTGCCACCGCCCGGAGCAGCGATCGCAACGCGCCGCCTGCTGCTCGACCGGCGTAACGAGCCGCAGCACGCCGAGCGCGTGCCGTACATCATCAGCCAGGGCATGCCGCGGGCGAAGCTCAACGACCAGGCAGTGACGCCGGAGCAGATGCTCGAGAACTCGTGAGTGCGCCGTGGCGGGCCGGAGGCTGGCGGCGTCTGACGTGCCCTATGCAGTGCTCTGCGCATCAACGCCCGCTACTACATCGAGCGCGGCCTCATTCCGCCGCTGTCGCGCATCTTCAACCTCATGGGCACGGACGTCAACGACTGGTACCGCGACATGCCGCGGGCCGTCACGTCGGCGTGGGGCGGACGCTTCGCCGCCGACGACGTGGCCGAGACGCGAGCGGCCGCCTCGACGCGGCTCACGCTGGCCGACCACTATCGCAGCGAGCACTGCCTGGTGTGCGGACGACGAACGGAGCTCGGTGAGTGTCTGTGATCGCTCCCTGCTATGCAGCTGCTGAGACGCCGTGCTGCCCAGACATCTGCCCCGACTGCCGGCAGGACCTGCCGACGACGACGGGCATCGTCGCCTCGCGCCTGCACGGCCTCGAGCAGCGCAGCGAGGCCATGGCGCGCATCTGTGCCTCGTGCTCGAGCCTCGAGTCCGTCGAGGATCCGCCGTGCGTGAGCATCGACTGCCCCGTGCTGTACGAGAAGACGCGCGTGGCGCGCGAGTCGGCCACCGCGCGCAAGATTCTCCACCATGTCGTCGTTGCCATCGAGCCCGACGAGGCGGTGCCGCCGAGCGAGGGCCGCCTGTGGGGCGCACTCGAGCAGCCATAGCCGCGAGTGCCCTGGCACCTGAATAAGAATGCAATCAACGTGCGGTGTTCCAGACGCTGGCCGAGAGCGAGGGACATGCAGCAGATCGTCTGGCATTCGAGGTCCGCCCGCGACACGGTCGTGTGACCATGGCCGGCGGCGGCCTGGGAAGAAAGAAGCGTCACTCTTGGCGCTCGCCCAGGGAGCGGGTGAAGCAGGGTTCGCCGGCCCGCTCCGCCGTCGGCATCGGTGGCAGCTCCTGCGCTTCTTTGCACCGTCGTTCCTGCGGCTCTGCACCGCCTCTGCGACGCTGCAACGTGCGGCGAAGGTGTGTTGCGCAGTCCGCCCTGCACGCTGCCACGGCGCACCTGAGCGGCTGTTGCTGCACCTGCCTCTCTCATCCTGCACTGGGCTGGAGCTCGCCTCAGCCACCAGCAGATGCAAAGCTGACCCGCTTCGGCTCGCGAGCTCGTTGCGCAGCACATGATGACCGCTGCGGTTGCGGCCTGCGGGTGCGGATGCTGGCCGCTGCCGGGGCCGAAGCGCAGCACGAGCGCAGGGCGTGGAGCTTCGCAGACGCGAGAGAGCCCGCCGCGGCTGCCAGATGCGCGCACGATCGCCTGCCGATGACGTCGCGGCCGGCATGCTGCACGCGCGCACACGCCACCTCGCGAAATTCCAGCTGAGCAAGCGCGGGCAGCGAAGGCGAGCGTGCGCTCGAGCTCCATGCAGGTCCACCCGCCGGCGGGCCAAGGTTGTGTGATGCGCTGCCCGCTGAGCTCGGGAGCGGCGGAGCAGCCGCACGCCGCCGTCTGACGCCGTGGCTGCCAGGCGGACCCTGAGGGCCCGCCTCGCGGTGCGTGCGGCGCAGCCTGGGCCCATGCGTGGGGGCGTCATGGGGCTGCGCTGGCCGCTGACGCCTGGCTGCGCGGCGCGCCGTCTCCACACCGCGACAGATGCGGCCGGGGTCCTGGCGCTGCGTATAAGAGCCGCTGGGCCCGGCCCGCCGCTGCTCGCCGCCCACATCTTCCCACTCGAACACCTGCAGCTGAACACCCACACCCCGCGTTTGCATACCCTCTCCGCCACCGCATACCCACCTCTCCAACCCTCGCCTCCCACCCCCTGCCGCGCCACCGATGTCGACGAGCGACCGCACCCCGCTGCTGCCCTCGAGCCAGAAGGACGTCAAGCGCTCGGAGGAGCGCCTGCAGAACTACGGCTCGCGCGCCGAGCAGACGGCCCAGTCTGTGCAGGCGCACGCCAAGCGTGCGCTGCGCAACCCCGAGGTGCGTGCTGCTCTGCCGAGCTTCTCCCGCCCCTTGCTGACCCGCTGCCACCAACAGCGCGCGCTCAACGAGGCTACGCCGTCGCACGGCACGCAGAAGGCCGTCACGCGCGCGCTTGCCGCCCTCAAGGCCGGCAAGCTGCCGAGCAACGAGCAGCTCGTTCACTGGGCCGAGCTCGCGCGCAACAGCAGCTTCCTGCAGGAGGGCCCCTTTGAGCGCACGGGCGCGCTGAGCGAGGTGAGTGGCCCGCGTGCGCGCTGAGCCTCCGCACTGAGCACGTTGCTGACCCTCTCGCTCCTGCAGGATGGCTCGCGCGTCGTGCAGGATGTCAAGTCCGTCATCGACGAGCTCATCTCGCTCGCTGAGGAGAAGAACGAGGGCGACCTGATCCAGAACTTCATCTTCAGCATCACGTCCATCGTCGACCAGGCCGACTCGGTCAACGTGCCAGACGTCAAGAACAAGGCGCTGCGCGCCGCGACCAAGATCTCGCCCGACACCAAGGTCGACGTCTCCGGCGAGCTGCCGTCGCAGAAGCAGGTGCAGGCCGATGCCGAGAAGGCTGCACAGGCCGTGCAGACGCTCGTGCGCACCGTCGTCACCGACTCGTCCTTCCGCGGCCTGCTGAGCGAGATCATCAACGCCGCGCGCGACATCTTTGCCGACGCCGCCAGCGAGGTCGCCGAGGGCGCCTCCAGCGCCGCCGACGCCGCGCGCCCCTCCGAGGACGAGCGCAGCTCGCTCGACTACGAGAAGGTCGGCAAGGAGGGCAAGGCCAAGGCCAAGGCCCTCGAGCGCGACTACAAGACGGGCCGCCTGCAGACCGAGGTGCGCGAGAGCGCCTACGCCGCCAAGGACTGGATCGACGAGCGCCTGCCGACCGACGCTCGCGACGCGCTCTCGGAGCGCCTCACGTCCATCATCAAGAAGGCGCAGTCGAAGCCCGAGTACAGTGAGTGACGTCTGATCCACGTGCTGCAAAGAGCGCGTACTGATGCATTTCGCGCGCAGAGGATGCCGTCAACGGTCTCTCGTCGCTCTTCAAGCGCTACCGCACCATCGCCACGCGCGCGGCCAAGAAGGCCGCCGACCAGGCCAAGCAGGCCGGCAAGGAGGTCGTTGAGAAGACGAAGCAGGAGGCCCAGAAGGTCGCCGACGAGGCCAGCGACGAGGCCTCGTCGGGCGACGTCGACCTCTCCGGCGTCGCCGACAACGGCAAGGAGCTGCTGGAGCGCTTCGCCAACGGCAAGAGCCTCGACGACGTCATCTCGACGTTCCAGACGGTGCTCGCCGATGTAGAGAACGACGAGCGCCTCTCGTCGTACGTCGATGACTGGGGCTCGTTCGTCAACCGCCTGCTCGAGCAGGAGAACTACGTCGGCTCGAAGAAGGCCGGCCGTCGCTTCGACGAGCTCATCGACCGCGGCGAGGAGCTCGCCAAGGACGACAAGTGGAAGAACGATGCGCAGGCGCTCGCCAGCGAGCTGCGCGCCTTCGGCGAGGCGCTCGCCAACGACGAGGGCACGACGTCGCTGCTCGAGGCGCTCGAGGACCTGAGCGACGACGTCAAGACGCTCGGCGAGTCTGCGTTCAACATCTTCAAGGCCGAGGCGTCGCACCTGCAGCAGGACCTGCTCAACGTCATCCTGCCGCGCCTGCTCTCGGCCATCAAGGAGATCGAGCTGCCGCGCGCCGAGTACAAGAGCGAGGACTTCGACTTTGTCCTCGACGGCGTCAAGATTGCCGGCCTCAGCGGCTCGCTCGTGCCCGACTCGATCCGCCTGAGCAACTTCAACGAGTTCGTCTTTGAGCAGGGCTACGCCGCCTTTGCCACCAACGCGCGCTCCAACGTCAAGGTCTCCGTCACGGGCCTCAACGTCGCCATCAACGACGCCGCGTACTACGTGCAGAAGCGCACCGGCTGGAAGCACGACGACTGGGGCCTGCTCGACATCGAGGGCAAGGACTTTGACTGCGAGATCGAGCTGGCGACGCCCAAGGAGGGCGACCGCAACAACCTCTTCCGCGTCGTCTCCGTCGAGACGGACACGAGCGCGTTCAAGATCTCGGTCAAGAACACGCACCGCCCGATCAGCAACTTCTTCATCCTGCCCTTCATCCGCGCCTTCATGAAGACGAAGCTCTCGGAGATCCTCAACGAGGCCATCGAGAACCAGCTCAATCAGCTCGACACGGACCTCGCCTTTGCGCACGCGCGCAGCGCCGCCGTCGGCCGCTACGCCGCCACGGCCGGCGGCGCGCCGTCGATCCTCGGCTACTTCAAGGCCCTCGTCGGCAACGTCACGGGCAGCGGCGCCTCGTTCGGCGCCGGCAAGGTCGGCGCCACCAAGGGCATCACGCGCCGCGGCACGCACGGCGAGAGCCTGCTGTGCATCGGCGTCGAGAAGCACATCCTGCCCGGCCGCGGCGGCCCCGAGGGCTGGTACGAGGACCGCCAGGCCGAGCTCAAGGCGGCCGCCGACAAGGTGCAGACCAAGAGCAAGGCGCAGATGCGCGCCCTCTCGCGCGAGGCCAAGCGTGCCGAGCGCGAGGAGCGTGCCAAGTCGGGCTGGAAGTCTGACGCCTTCGAGTGAGTGTCACCGTGTCGTGACAGCCTCCGGCTCATCTGCTGACCGCTGCTCCTCTCCACCCAGCCTCGGCTCCAACTAAGCCGACACCCTCCGTCCCTTTCCAAGGCTCCGCTCCGCTCCGCCTAATGACACCACCCATGTATGCATACTGCTCGCTGGCCCGCCATGACATTCCCATTCCGTCGTCCTTGCCGCGTGAGAGGGAGCAAGCTGTGTGCTGATGTGAGAGAGTCGTGCCCACGCACGGGCTCGTGCCGGGCGGGCTGTGGCTTGGGATCGCCGTCGGCGCTGGCCGAGGCGTTGGCCCGACGCCAGCGAAGCATCGCTCGCGTTCTTTCCCACCGTGGGCCTGGCTTCTGGCGCTGCACGTCACAAGCAGCACCTATTTCTGGCGCCGCCGCCACATCGCCGAGGAGCGAGTTGAGCTTGCTTGCGAAGCGCATCTCGTGTTCCGTCGATGGCGTGCAGCATCATGCAGCCAGATCGCGAGCGCCGGCGTGCAGGAAGGAGCCCGTGCTGTACCCGCTCGCCTCCTGTCCGCCGCGCTCTCTCACGGGCGACGGCGGAGCGCTGTTTGGAGGGACCCCGCATCCGAGCGTGATTCAGGCTCCTTCCCGCCATGCGCATGACGGCACTCGGGTACCCAGCAGGTGGGACGGGCGCTCGCCGAGGAAGCCGAACCGGAAGCGGCCGCGCGGACAGCAGTAAGAGTGCGGCCTCCGCCGGCGCTGCGGGACGTCATGACGCGCACGATGTGGCTGCGCCGCAGCGTGACCCGCTGATGCTGCAAGCTGGGTAATCCCAGCCCGCCCTGGGCCGAGCGAGATGCTGTGATGGATGCGCACAGCATCACCGTGGGTCTGCGCCCTTTCAGCGAGAGGCCTCGCCGCTGCGGTTGAGCCGCCGCCTCCGTGCTCTCTCCACGTCGTTGGTGCGCCTCACAGCCACCGGCGCCGAGCGCACATGACGGCACTGTACCTTGGTCAGCGCCGAGCCCTGCCGAGAGCACCGTGCGCCGGCGGCTGATTGCTCCCGCAGCAGCATCAGGCGCGACCGCGCGAGGAGGGCAAGGCGCTGAGGCCGGGAGTGCCGGGTGCGGATGCCGATGCGCTGCTGTGGCTTGCGCCGACGTGCGGCCGCGGCTGCGCGTTGCTGGCACGCCTCGGCCATCACATGCCAGCTCGTCCCTTCTGCCAGCCCATCGCTGCTGCACGCTGCACGCTGACGCTGTGCTGCGCTGTTCAAGGTGCTTGCTGGCCCTCCGAAGAGCTGCGGAGTGCGGCGTGGAATGCGGCGGAAGCGGCATGCGGCGGCGTGCAGCAGCTTGCAGCGGCGTCGGGCGTGTGGGGTTGGCGACGTGGCCGACTCAGCGCTGCGCAGCTTTGCCGAGCGCTCGGCATCACTTGCGGAGAGGGCAGCGCTCGCTTCGGCTGCCGCGGCTGCGCCATGCCCCGGAGGTGCTGCGAAGGGCCCGAGCCGGCGCGGCGGGCACTGGGCGCTGTGCCTGCCTCGGCGGCGAGGCAGCGCGTGCCTCGGCGGGCGGCGTGAGAAGAGAGTGGCTCTTGGGCAACGGAGGCTTGCACAGCCTCGGCGCGGCAGCGCCGCTGGCAGGGCCCAGATGCGGCAGGGCCATGCAGGGCCAGGCAGCTGCGCAGTGATCGTGCGCCGATGACGCGCCGATGACGTAGTGCTGCCCCGTGCATGTTGTCCCTGGCGCACGGGCGTGCACGGGCGTTGCGTATGGCACGGCATGGCACGCGCTCGCTGCGCTGCGCGCTCGAGACTGGACCTGCCTCGTGTCTATAAGAAGCAGGCCCTCGTCGCCCTGCTTCCTCTCTCACCACCAACCACTCTTCAACCTCTTCACCCAACCAACTTCACTACTTCACCATGCAGACTGTCAAGGTGCGCCCTCTCGAGCCACTCACTGTTTTTCGTTGCTCACCTCTCTCTCTTGCAGGACGCCGCCAACTACGTGTCGGAGACCATCCAGGGTGGTGGCGCGACCGCCTCCAAGGAGGCCAACAAGGAGGTCGCCAAGGACTCCAACGCCTCGGTCGGCACGCGCCTGTCGGCTGCCAAGGACGCCGTTTCGGACAAGATGGACGAGCAGAAGCACGAGTCCAAGGCTGAGATCAACGAGCAGAAGGTGAGCAGCGCTGCGACTTCGCGACACCTGGACTTGCCGCTGATGCATCGCTCCTTCTTCAGCTCAAGAACTAAGCCGCTCGATACCTCGTCGTGACGGCCTCCCCGCCTGATCGCACCACGTACCCCGCGTTCCGCTAGTCAATTCCACCTATGACCAGAACCTTGCTTGAGAGTTGTGAACATGTCAGCTTGTCGTTGCGACGAGTTCGAGCGGCTAGCCCCCCTCTCTTGCAAGGCAAGGGAGGGGTCGGACGGCGTGAGGACGAGCAGTGCGCTGGCCTGCTGGCGCGCTGCTCGTCCTCGCACGTTCCTCGCCGCTGCGCCTCCGTGCGCACAGGCCGGACACGCCGGACGTGTGTGCGCCCACCCTCTGAAGTGGCAAGCGCGTTTACCCACTCGCAGCAGCCGCCGCTCGACGACCCTCTTCCCGGCGGAGAAGCGCAGACGGAGCCATTTGCTGCGCCCTGTTGCTTGCGCTCGCTGTACGGCCACTACTCTAGCGACTTGACCGACAGCCTCGCACAGCACACGCAGCCACACCAGCATACATGCCAGGCGCCGCTCGTCGTCATCCTCGACATCGTCGCCACCTCGGCGCTGCGCGCTTCTCACTGCTGCGCCGCACGACCCTCCTCGGCGCCATCTGGTAGCTGCGCGCAGCACGGGCCCGCCACCTGGCATCGCGCGCACGGACAGCGCGCGGCAGCGAGCGTCCGCTGGCAGGGTCTGCCTCGCGACGCCACCCGGCAACGGCCGGCGCCGCCAAGGTTGGCCCTCGGCTGTTGGCCCTCGGCTGCGCTGCGTGCGGCTGCAAGCTCTGCCGGCGGACAGACGTGCAGCATCGGCACCTGGCAGCATCTGCCCCTGCAGGCCCCAACGCCAGCCATCGCGCGCGACGTGGCCCGTGTCGCCCTTGCGGCGCATGGACGCGAGGCGACATCATCAGCCCCGGCGACGCCGCCTCCACAGCGCAGCAGCGCGGCGCGCAAGATCTCCGCTTCGCATCCGCCGGCGACCGGCGCGCATGCATGCCGACCACCGCTCCGGCCGGCGCTCCGACTCACCGGCAAGGGCAAAGATCAGCGCCCAGCGATCATCAGCCCGCAGCTGCTCCACTCTCCGTCCGCTCGGCGACGTCCTCAAGTGGAGCGGCGCAGCACGAGATGGATGTCGGCATCGTTCACCGGGCCATGCAGCGCACGCGCAGCTGCGCATGACGAGGTCGGCGGGAGGCTTCACGCGCGCAAAGGGCCGTGTCCGGGGAAAGAAGGAGAAGCACAGAGAGAGCCAGAGGAAGGTGAGGCGGTGAGAGTGCAGAGCGAGGGAGAACGAGACGGGTCTGGCGGAGAAGCGGCGGCGCGCGCTCGACACGTGACGGCGCACGGCCCGCGCGCCTTCGCCGCTGCCGCCTCCGCTTCTATCCCTCGTCATCGCTCAGCCGCTGCTGGCAGCCATGCAAGGCTGCGCATGGATTGCGCATCGATGCGTGGCAGCCGGACAAGGAGAATGCTCCGGGTAGCCGGCTCCACCGCCTTGGACGAGTCCCAGCCGCCACCCTCGACCCTAGCGGTGCGCCTCAGCGGCGCGCTGGTCCTCGGTGCAGCACAAGCCGCAACGCTCTCTCTTCGGAATTGCCTCTGCGCACTCGCGGGCTGCCGCAGTACGGCATCGGCTGCGGCATGCTCGAGAGTAGGGCGGCGCCGGGCGGGCGCTCGTGCTGCAGAGGCAACGAGACGCTGTGGGTAGAGCGGCGGCAGCGCTCGGTGAGTAGCCCGCGCTCGGGCTCGCATTTCGCAGCACGGCGAGGCAGGCAGGGTCCCACGAAAGTCGTAATTACAAGGAACAGTCACATCATGCAGCGAGAGAGTGAAGCGAGAACCAGAGGCCGCGGGCGAGACAGAGAGGGGTCAGATACTCTGGGCACACGGGCTGCCGAGAGCGGGCGCGACGCGAGGATGGGCCTGAATGGCACGGAGCTGAGAGCGGCATCGTCACTTGTCGCCGCCGCCGACCTGGAACACGCCCTTGACGGGCAGGTTCGAGAGCTCGAGGGCGCCGAGGCCCGAGTTCCAGATCTTGGCGCGTGCGTTGCCCTCGATGCCCGTGAGGGCGCCGCCGGTGAGGATCTTCCACGTGTACTGGCGGAACTCCTGGCTGCGGCCCTCGAGAATCGTGATGGGCACGTCCACGAGCTCCGAGCGCAGCAGCTTCGTCTTCTGCTCCGGATCCTTGGGGTCGAGGTACGTCTCGGCCACCGTCCAGTTGTGCGGGCGCACGCGGCCAAAGGCGCCCTTGGGCAGCGGGCTCGGCAGCGGCGGCACGGGCTCGGGCCGGTCGTGCGGCTGCGAGCCGTGCTTGTGCTCCGATGTGCCGTAGCCGCCGTAGCCGCGGCAGTGCGGCCGGTACATGCCGTCGTTGATGGCGTCCGCCGGCGGGCACTCGTCCTCCGACGCGACGCTCATGCTCGGTGGGTTGCCGTCGAAGACGAGAATGTCAGGCCACAGGTGCGTGATCTGCACGTCGAGGCTGGCCAGCTGCCCCGGCAGGTTCATGATGCCCATCACCGTGCCCGAGCACACGAGCTTCTCCGTCTCGAACGGGTGCGGCGTGATCTTGAGGTCGTTGATGGTGACATTCTTGATGAGATCGGTGACCTTGGAGCCCGGGAAGCTGATCGGCAGGTCGACGAGGCGCAGCGCGCTGTCGAGCCACTCGGGCAGCGCCGAGCCGCCGCCCGGCAGCGGGTTCGTCTCGTTGGCGACGGGCGGCAGCGGGTTGCCGCCGCGCACCATGACCGTGTTGGGCTTGCCGCTGAGGAAGCGCGACAGGAAGCCCGAGAGCGCGCGCTGCGACGGCGTGTCGGCATTGTGCGCCTCCTCCTGTCCGGCGGCAAAGATGTGCTGGCCCGCGCGGCTCTGCGTTGATGCGCTCTTGCCGCCGCCAAGACCATCCTTGGGCGGCACGACGTGGCCCTCGAGGATGAGCGATACGTTCTTCTCGCCAGTGAGGCGGAACGGCTCCGTGGCCAGCACCGCGAGCAGGCTGACGTCCGTCTTGTTGTTGCGCGGCTTGCCCTCCTCCGGGTCGGTCGGCAGGAAGGCGCCGAACGGCAGGCTGTAGCGCACGTCGCCATGCAGCATGCGGCCGAGCGGGTTCTTTGCCTCTGCGTATGCCTTGATGCCGAGAGCGCGCGACGCCATCGCCACGGCCGCGTCCTGCACGGCCTTGGCGCCAATCTCGAAGAACTCGTAGCGCTTCAAATCGAGCAGCTCAGAGGTGCTGTTGCCGTGCGTGACATCAGGAACTGAGGGAGAGGTCAGCCGGGCACCCGTGATCGTGTCCCGCGCGACTCACCCTTCTGGCTGATGCGCTTCCGGATGTTGTTCTCGCCGATGTTAATCCAGCCGGGCAGGTCCCAGCGGCCGCCCTTCGGCTCGCCCTTGTCCATCTCCTTCTTGCCGAGGCCGCGCACGCGCAGCGAGTCGACCTTGATGTCGAGCACGCCCTTGCCCTCCTTGATGGCCGCCTGCGCGACCTGCATGAGCAGCGGCGCGGGCGACACGGGCTTGAAGAGCAGCGTGAGGTTGAGCGGCCGCAGCTCGCGGTGCGCGCGGTACGTGCCGTGGTCCTTCGAGGGAGCGAGGCTGGCATGCGCGCGCGGACGAAGCGGCGGCAGTGGCACGATCAGCGGCTGCACGTGGAACGAGAGCAGGTCCTGCGGCGGGCGGTCCGGGTTGTTCTGCTTCGGCGGAGCGAGCAGATCGGCGCTGAGCTCCTTGGTGTCGTTCAGCAGGCCCAGCGGCTTCTCCTCGAGGTCGACGCTCCAGTCCGGCTCCGCGATGCGCAACTCGCCGAGCTCGACGCGCACGCCACCCAGCTTGCCCACGGCCCACTCGACGACGGCGCGCTCCCGCTTCTGCCAGAAGCCCATTTGCTGCGGCGAGCCGAGCCACAGGTCCAGCGCGCGGTCCGGGTCGATGCCGAGCCGGCCGTCGACGCGAACAAGGATGCCCTCGTCGGAGATGTTGAGCAGAGAGATGGCGTCTGGGCCGCGCAGCAGCAGCGATTCGTCGAGGATCAACGCCTGCGCGTCCGGCTGCGGCGCCTTAAGCGTGACGGTGAAGAGGTGCGCCACGGCGACGCTAAGCAGCACGAGGACGAGGACGATGAGCGCAAGCAGCGCATAGATGATGCGCATCAGGATCGGGTGCTGCGCCCGGAAGCCCGAGGCGCCGACGGTGGAGCGGCGCCGCGTCGAGGCGGCGGCACCAGTGTCCCTGCGCTTGCCGCGCCGCGTGCTCTTCTTGCCATGCAGCAGCGAGTCGATGCGGGCGCGCGTGCGGGAGAGGAAGGAGCCATTGCCGCTGGACGAGCCGCCGAGCAGCGCATCGGTCTCGCGGGCACCGTCGTCGCGGCCGCCCGCCGAAGGGCCGGCGAGGCCGCGCTCGAGCTCCTCGTCATCGACATCCGGGTTCAGGCCGTCGGCCTCGGCGTCAGAGTCGTACATGGGCTTGCGCCCGTGACGCAGCTTGGGCGGTGCGGCTGCTGCGGGCGCGGCGGCCGGAGCAGGCGCCTCGGCCGGCGGTGCCGGGGCCGGGCGCGTCTCGTCGGCGGCAGTCGGCGCCATGCTGGCACGCGGTGGAGCGAGGCGTTCGCGCGCGCGCGGCTCTAGGGGTGCAGACGGTGCAGTGCCGGTGCGAGTGGATGGAGTGTGAGGCTGCGACGCGGAGAGAGGGGCTTCGCAGGATCAGTCGTCGTCGTCGTCGAGCACGACGCTCGCGCCTCGCTGCTCGCGTGCCAAAGGGGCAGGCCCGCTCCAGCGCTCGATGCGGGGCTCATGCGGCTGAGTCGCCGCGAGGCAGCGCCGCCTCGCGAGTACAAGATCTGACCCTGGCGCAAGCATCGCGCATGCTGATTGCAATACAACAATGCTGCGCCGCGCCGTGCTCGGACTTCGGCTTTCCGTCACGCCGCGCGGCCGCCATCTTCTCGCACTCCACCTCGCCTCGCACCCGCAGCCATGGCCGACGCACCCGACGACGCCGCACGCCTCGCGCAGATGGGCCTGCCGGCCTCCTTCGGCATGGCGCCGCGCGCGCCGCGCGGCCGCGGCCGTGGCGGCGCTCAGGCCAACGCGGGCGACGGCGGGCAGGCGCAGCGCGAGGGCAAGGGCGGCAAGCGCAAGCCGCAGGGCGCAAGGGACGCAGCGCCGAACGGCGGCGGAGGTGGTGGTGGGCGAGGCGGTAGTTCTGGCGGCGGTGGAGCATTTCAGAACCGCGGTGGCAGAGGAGGCGGCCGTGGTGGAGGGCGCGGCGGGCGCGGAGGAGGCGGAGGAGGCGGCGGTGGACACGGCGGACCGGGTCGCAATCTCGTCGTGAGTAAGAGCTTGCTGCTGGAACCTTGGCAAGGATGCTGTGAACAGAGATGGAACGGCCGAATTGTCATAGCCGTAGCGCATGCCTGTTGCCCAAGCAAGCCGAGCCTGAGCTGACTCCGCACAACCAGGTGCCGCCGAAAGAGCCTCACCAGATCCGTGCGTCTGGCCCTTCAGGCCTTCTCGCGACGCCTCGCTGACACTGACAGCTGCACATCCTACACAGAGGTCTTCTTCCGCCCGTCGTTCCTCGAGGACCCGTGGGCGCATCTCTCCTGATGCCTGTCTTGCCGCACTCTTCCATACCCCGCGCCGCGCTTCGCCTCCGGCTCCAGCCTCATCCTCTTCCAGGGCTCTCTCTCACGTCATCAGCAATCGCATAATCCGACACTCTCTGTCGCGGCGGGGCACGTATCTACAAGGGGTATGATGGGGCATGAGGTGTAGGCGGCAGAATAGAGGGACGTAGAGGAGGGTATGGGGCCGCAGTGGTGAGTGAGGAGCGCCGGGGGGCGCGAGTGAAGTGAAGAGCACGCAGCACGAAGCTCAGAACGCAGCGGCGCTCACGCGCCGTGCCTTCTTGCCGAGCTTGGGCGAGGCGAGGCTGTTGCTGCTGCGAGCACTCGAGCGGCGCGCCAGGTCGGCTGGGCCGCTGTTCAGCGCGGCGCTGATGTCTCTGGCGGCACCGGCGCTGGGCGAGGTGGGTGTGGAGCGCTGGGCGCGCGCCTGGTTCGCCTGGCAACGCTGGAGCGCAACTCGGTTCTGAGATGGGCGAGGTCAGGCAGAGTCTCAGCCACGCTCTCTTACTGGGCGACTCACGACCTCGTCGCGCCACACGCGGCGCTCCTTGCGGCTGTGGTCCAGACGGCTCATGCATGCACGCTCGGCCATGTCTGCCACGCCCAGCGACGGCTTGCTGCAGTTGCTCTGTGCGCCCGTGACGCTGCCCGTCTCGGAGTTGGCGGCGCTGTCGGCGCTCAGCGCGCTGGCGCCGCGCACCGAGTCGAAGCTGGCGCGCGCGGCGGAGAACATGCGCGCACTGGCGCTGCCGGACGGAGGCGGGATGGGCGGCGGGCTGAAGTCGGCAGGCACGGCGATGGGAGTCGGCGGCTCGGTGCGGCGGGGCTTGTTGCGGCGCAGGGCACCGGAGAGCAGACCAGGCTCGGACGACAGTGCGTTGACGGGCAGCGATGAGGAGTGGCCGTGCCTGAAGCGCTTTGCCGCGCCCGAGATCGGCGGGCTCGTGCTGGCTGGCGGAGAGGGCGCCTTGGTAGCGCTCGGCTCGTCGCGAGCAGCTTGCGCCTCCGTTGCACGCGTCTTGCTGACCTTGCGCATGCGCGTCTGGCCGCTGTGCTCGGACGATGCCGAGCGGGGAAGCGGACCATTCTGGCCCTCCGACGACGGCGACTTGGCCATCACGACGTACGTGATGTTGCCATGCTCGCTGCCGCTGGTGCGCCGGCCGTGGCCTTTGAGCGGCTCAAACTGCTGCACGGGTGCGGCAGAGGGCGAGCCGCCGATCGAGACTTCGCGCACAATGTCGAGGCGACGTCCGCGACCGCGCATGGCACCGACGTCCTTCGTCGGGGTGATGCAGGCCTCGTCGCTAGCAGGGCGTGAGCTCGATGTCACGTGGCGCTCGCTTGCTGCCATGCTCTCAAGAGCGACTGCCGATGCAGCGGCAGCAGCAGCGCTGGCAGCTGCAGCAGCAGACGCCGCAGCGGCAGAAGCGGCGTCGGACTTGGCTGCCTGTGCCTTGGCCGCCTCGTATTGCGCCGCCTTCTTGCTGCTCTTGCGAGGAAACAAATCCGGCTGCGCCGGCGTGGCGGCCGAGGGCGCGGCGTTGCCTAGGACCCACAGCGTGCCCTTGGCCTTCTCGGCTGCCGTCTCGCGCTCGTGCTCGGGGCGAGGCGCCGGAGCCTTGGCCGGCTCGCCGAGCGACACGACGACAGGCTTGGCGGGCGGCGACGGCTGCGAGACGTACGCATAAGCTTGGCTGGCGCCTTGCTGCGCCACGTAAGCAGCGCTGGCAAGACCGACGTAGGCGCCGGAAGCCAGGTTGCGGGCGCCAGCGTCGAGACGGACGCGCAGGTCTGCCGTGTCATTCTGCGCCGCCGAGAGCGCTGCCGATTGGTTGCCGCTGGGGTCTGCCTGGCGGGCGGCGGCGACGACGAGGCGCTCCTTGGCCTCGGCGGCGGCGTGCACAGCCTCGCGCTTGCGAGTCTGGATGCCGGCGAGGGCAGCTTGGGCGCTGGCGTCGACTGCAGCGAGCGCCGCGCTCTTGCGGCGCTCAGCCTGCTTCTGGATGTCTCTGGCCTGCGCCTCGAGCGACGAGCGGCGAGGCGCTGCCTGAGCCGTGCCCGAGGAGCTGACGCGGCGCAGCAGCGCAGCCTTCTCGGCGTCGATCGTGTGCGCCACGCGGACCTTCTCGCTCTCGACGGACTGCACGAGGCGCTCCTTCTCCTCGTCGGCGCGCTCACCGGCGCGCCTCATGGCATCGCGGGCGCCGCGCTCGACGGCATCGCGCGCCTTGCGCACCTCGCGCGCAGCTCGCTCGGCGCGGGCAGCACGGCGGGCAACGCGGCCCTGCTCGACCTTCTTGCGGCGGCGTGCGGCATGCGTGGCAGGAATGTAGCAGACGCCGTCGTCGTCGCAGACGCGCGCGATCTTGGAGGGGCGCTCGAAGCCGAAGAGCGGACCGAAGGCCGAGTGCAGCACCGAGGCAAAGCCGCGCTCGGCACGCCGCAGGAAGTTGTCGAGCGCCGCAGCGGCGCCCAGCAGGTGGCCCTCGAGGCTCTGCAGCGGGCGCGAGAGAGTCACGCCCATGGGCGGCGCAGGCGTCTGCGCCTCTGGCGGCGGGTTGAGAGATAGGTGATGTGGGTGGTGGTGGCTAGCAGAGCAGCCGAGGCGCGCGGCGATGCGTGAAGGCCGAGGCTAGCTGGCAGCCGGCGGCGCTGCTGACAGATCGGCGGCGGCGCGGCGGGCGGGCAAAGTTTGGGTGAGGACGCGCGTGAGGTGTCGTGATGGGCGGTCGTGGCGGTCGTGTGAGGTCGTCAGGCGTCAGTTTGTGCAGCGGTTGCCGTGCAGGTGCAGCCGGCACTGGCGGCGGCACACGGCTGGGGCCGCGCTGAGAAGGCTAGGGCGCGAGAGGGGCTGTGCAGGTGACACGGGTGGCAGGGAGACAGGAGCCAAAGTGTTGATGGCGCGGCCCAGCATGCAGCTCAGGCCGCGGCAGCGAAGTAGCGGCAGGGGGGCAGGAGAGCACTTGCAGCGCCGCCGCCGCGCGGGCGCAGAGGCGCAGCGAAACAAGGGTGCAACTCAACGCTTGGCGGCGGGGCCAGAGCCGCCGGCCGTTGACAGGGGCGCACACGTCACGTGCCGCAGATCTCGCTTTCCCACGGGTGGCGCGCCGGCCGCTTGCCCGAAGCGGCGCGCGCTGCCCACGCGACGCGCCTCGGAAGTTCGCAGCGAGGCGGCGGATGCGCAGGCACCAGCAGCCGGCTGCGCAGACAGCTTCCGACCCACCACCATCCCCCGTCTGCTGCACCCACGTCCCGCTCTCTCACACTGCTCGCACCTTCGCATTCACCCGTCACACTCTCTTCTCTTGCTCTGCTTCCTTCTCTCGCCTGCCGCACACCTCCGTCACTCGCTCTCTTCGCATCCACCATGATCTTCTCGCCCTCGCAGCACTCCTCCTCCTCGCGCTGGGGCAGCGCCGCCGCACCGCCGTGTGTCGCACTGGCATTCACGCCCGCCGACGCCTCGGCCGTCGCTGCCGGCAAGCGCGGTGCGCCGGCGCCGCAGCACGGCTGGCAGAAGCGCAAGCGCTTCAACGAGGAGGAAGAGCACAGCGAAGCCGCTGAGCCGGACTTCTGCTCCTCCAAGCGCGCCCGTGCTGGCGAATCTTCCATCGCGCTCGAGCCAGTGCAGGCTTTGCAGCCCGTGCAGCCCGCTCAGGTGAGCTGCACTGACGAGCCTCGTCTCTGTCTGTCGATCAAAGCTGACGCTGTTCGGCCGCCAGCCCTCGCGACCGCCCACGCTGGACGAGGTGCACTCCTGGCAGTCTGGCTCCTCTTCGTCCGCGCCGCCAGCGACGTCCGTCGTGGCCGCCGCGCCCTCGGCCTGGGTGCGCGTCGAGCGCCCGTACGGCGCAGCGTACGAGCGTGCGGCGCCCGTCGCGCCCGTCGCCTCTGCTCCGCTCGGCGCCTGTCCCGACATGGACATGGACTGCGCCATGGACTACGAGAGCGAGACGCACACGTCTGCGCCCAGCCGCGCCGGCTCGACGCCCGCCACGCCGCCGGACTCGCCGTGCGACATGTGGGAGCGCATCGAGGGCGACGGCGGCTGTGCTGCCTCACAGCAGGCCACTGCCTGCGGCCAGCAGCAGCAGGCAGCCACGCTCGCCTGGCTCCAGCTGCAGGTCGGCAACGCCGCTCACCCGCACCCGTACGCCTCGCCGACTCCCAGTCCCAACACGCACACCTTCGACGCGCAGAACCGTGTGCAGCTCGGCTCCGGCTACTTTGCCCGCGCCTTCTTCTGAGCTTCTCGCCGCCGCCGGCCCCAAGAAGCAGCACGCTGCTGCACCCTGCGTCTCTCTACTCTGTATTAGTACCGCTCCTGCCCTCTGTGTAACACAACGTCATCGTCTCATCATGCAGCACGAGCTCAGCGTGTGCATTGCGCGCGGCTACAGCTTGAAGCTCGTCCCTGAGGCCGACACGGGCCGCGCCGCGCCGTTCTTGCCCGCGGCGGGGCCCTTGCTGCCCTTGCCGCCCTTCTCGTCCTTGCCTTTGCCCTTGCCGATGACACTGACGCCCTGGAGATTCGATGCGTCAGCGCAGCACCACAACCGACTGCTGGCCGGCCACTCACCTTGTTGCCCAGCAGCTTCCGCAGGGCCTGGTCCTTCTCCTGGCTCTCGCCCTTCTTGCCGCGCGGCGCCTTGAGCGGGCGGCCCACGGCCTCGGCATTGAGCTCGATGGCCTTGCGCGTCGACTCGATGCGCTCGTTGCGCGCGCGCTTCTCCTTGCGCAAGCGGTTGTGCAGGCGCTGCGCCTCCTCGGGCGTCAGCTCGCTGCGGTCGCCCGCCAGCGCCGCCGCGTGCCGGCCGGCGTCGTAGATCTCCTCGGGCGCCAGCATTGTCGCGGCAGACGACGTCGACGGCAGCGCACTCTCGAGCGTGATGGTGGGCGCGTTGGAGATCGTCTGGATCGTCGCCTTGGGCTGCGGAGCGGATGAAGAGCGTCAGTCAGGGCAGCTGCCTCGCACGGACGCAGCCAGCGACTCACCGCCTTGGGCGTATAGTGCGCGTTGCTGAGCGCATCGAGCTTGCCGCAGATGTCGTCGAAGACCGCATCGATCTCGTCGTGCTCCTTCTGCAGCTTGGCATCGGCCGCCGGCGTGCTGGCCGCCTGGCCGTCGGCCTCCTCGCGCGCCTTGGCGTAGTCGTCCTCGTACAGCTGCGCCAGGCTCTTCTGGCTCTTGGCGTCGGAGAGCTCAAGCAGCCGCGAGGGCAGGAAGGCCGTCGCCTCGAGGTTGCGCCGCCGCACGACGTCGTCGAAGCGGCCCTCAAGGATGCGCGCCTTGATCATGTCCTCGAGGCCCGCCGTCACCTCCCCGGTGATGATCGGCTTGGCCTTGCCTGCGGACTCGAACTCAAGGTCCTCCTCGAGCAGGCTGTTCTGCGGGCGCACACGGCCGCCGGCCTCGCCGCGCAGCGTCCAGTCTCGCTTGCCCACGTTCTCCTGCTCCAGACGATCGATCTCGTCCTGCAGTGCAGCCATGCGCCGCTCGTGCGTGGACAGTTGCGAGGCTGCGGCAGAGTCAGCGCAGCGGGCGCACATTGATGCACAAACACTCACTCGAAGTGGCGGCGGGCTCGTCGGCGAAGAGGTCGCCCGTCACGCGCTGCGCCGTCTCTTCGTCCGCCGAGTCGCCTTCGTCCATGAGAGCGTCGCCTTCGTCGTCCTCAGAGGCCTCTGCGTCGCTGCCCTCCTCCTCCTCGCTGCCCTCCTCATCATCATCGTCTGCCTCCTCGTCATACTCCTCCTCGCCCTCCTCATCGCTCTCGTCCTCGTCTTGCGAGAACTCCGCCCACTTGTTCATCATCTCTTGGGCGTCTTCGCCGCCAGCGCCGATCGCCGCCAGCATCTCGGGGGTGATCTTGAGCGGATCCTGCTTGCGCGCCTTGATGCGCCGCACCTTGACCTGGTCGTGGAAGCGCACCGACGGCCGCCGCGAGAGCGTGCCCTCCTCGGCCTTCTTCGGCGTCTCTGCCTTCTCGGCGGCCGGAGGCTCAACAGCCTTCGCCTTGCCCTTGCCTGTTGGCCCGGGCGGCTTGCCTTTTGGCTTGGGCGCGCGTGGCGGCGGCAGAAAGAAGTCCTTGTACCGGATGTCAGCGGCGCTCGGCCCGTCTTCCTCCTCGTCCATCTCGCTGTCCTCGTCAGCGCCCGGCAAGCCATCGATCGCTGCAGGTCGAAAGCGTGAGCATAGGAGCACGCTCGCGGTATGGGTGAGAAGCACTCACCCTTGAACAGGTCGACATCATCGTCGAAGTCGCGGTCCTCGTCGTCCTCGTCCACCGAGCCCTGGCGCTCTTTCCGCTCCGCCTCCTTCTCGGACTCGAGGGTCTCGCGGTTGAACTCGTCGATGGAGAAGAACTGGTCGTCCAGCACCGGGTGGCGGCCGCTGCAGCGCACGCGTGAGCGTCTGCAAGTGCGAATTCGAGGCGCCACGACTCACCCCTTGCGCGACGGACCAGCCACACTGGAGCCCGGCTCGTCGAGGTTGTCGAGGATGCTCGCCCGTCTCCGGTGCTCCGCAACCTCTGGGTCCTCCTCCGACTCGCTGCCGCTGCCAGCCTCTTCGTCATCCTCCTCCTCCTCATCGTCCTCATCCTCATCAGCCTCGCCGTAGCTGGCGTCCATCATGGCTGCCAGCTCCGGGTCCATGCCATCGTCGTCCTCCTCGTCGCTGTCCTCCGCGTCTGGGTCCTTGCCCATGCGGATGCGCCGTTGCCGCGTCTCGCTGCGCAGGCGGCCCAGCTCCGCCGCCTCGGCGGCCGCCTTGCGCGCCTGCTGCTCTTTCTCACTGAGCAGCGGCTCAAAGGAGACCTCGTCGGCGTCGTCGTCGCTCAGATCGCTCGTGCCCGGGTAGCCGTGGTCCTCCGAGTCGTCGTCGCTGCCGTCGCTGTCGCCGTCGGCCATGAACATGTACTCGTCGCGCATAGCAGGGTCCAGACCGAGCGCGCGCATTTCGGCATCGCTGAGCTCGGCGATGGAGTGCACGAGCTTCTGCCCTTCCTGCTCCTCCTCCTCCTCCGAGTCGTACTCATCCTCGTCCGAGTCATCCTCGGCACCCGCCTTGTATGGCCGGCCCTTTGGCATGTCCTCCTCGTCCTCCTCATCGTCGCCGTCCTGCTTGACCTCCTCCTCCTGCACGACGGCGCTGAGCAGGCGCTCGAGCTTGGCGCCGCGCAGCTCGAGCTGCTCCCACAGCTGCTCGGCCGACATGCCGTCGACGACGAGCTCGCTGAGCGGCGTGGGCGGGAAGAGCTCGTGGTGCGCCGGCAGCGCGGCCTTGGCGTCGCGCTTGCGCTTCTTGCCCTTGCCAGCGCCCGGTCCGGGAACGGGCTCGACGGGTGGGAACGTCTCGCGCAGCAGCGCGGTGAGGCTCGGCAGTGCGGCCTCCTCGCTGGCGATGGCTGTGTGCGCGGGAGCGTCAGCAGGGCAGAGCAGGCCGAGGGTCCGGCCAAGCAGACGCACCAACGTCGAACATGCTCTTCATGGCCGCGCGTGCCATCTCGGCGATCTCGGCGTCCGGCCGCGAGAAGCGCTCGGGCTCGGTGGCGATGAGCTCGGCCAGCTGTGAGACGCTGGCGGGCGCCGCGTCGCCCGAGCCGGACGCCTGCGCCGTGGCGGCGGCAGGGGACGTCGGGACGGCCATGCTTGGCTGGCGCAGCCCGGAATAAGCAGCAGCGGCGACGGAGCAGAGGCGGCGGTGCCGGTGTGCGGACGAGCAGGCGGGTGCGGGCGGTGCGGTGTGGGTGATGAGGAGCGGGTGGCAGTGGCAGCGAAGGAAGCAGGAAGGCGCCGCCGCCGCTCTCCGCGGCAGCCGCGGCGCCGCGCCAGGGATTTTGCAGCGCGGCGCGGGTCTTCCGGCCGAGAGCGCGCGACAGCCTCTCCTTCCTCTCCCATTCGATGCCTGTACCGCTCCAGCAGCGGCAGCATGAGGACGGTGATGTACTGCAGACAGACCCATATGCTTTTCAGAGCGAGCGGGCGCAGTCCCTAAGCAGAAGTCAGAGTCGAGTCTGAGCCTGAGCCTGAGGCAGAGGCCAGGCGGACGCGCCTCACCGCGGACTGCGTCCGGCGTGATGGCTGCTAGCGGCCCCAGTGATCGACACCGTCCTTCGCCAGATGCAAGCAAGGCTGATCTACCGCGGAAGTGTCTCCTCGATGTATTGCACAAAGCGTCTCGCTACCGCCGCCTCTCCGCCGCCGCCGCGTGCGTTGGCTTCCTGCTCCACCATCGCTCCAATCGCGCTGATCGCACTGGCGCCCGTCGAGTGCAGACGCACAAAGGAGCGGCGTAGCCGCTGCAGTGCCGCCAGCGTGGGTGGAGCGCGGCCTGGCGGCAGAGTGAGGGGCAGCGCATCGCCGGAGAGCGAGAGCGTCACGACGCCGCCCAGTACCGGGACTGCAGAGGAGGAGAGCGCAGAGGAGAACGAGGAGAGCACGCCTTGTGTGCTAGACTCGAGCAGGGAGAGGTAGTTGGTCGTCGTGGAGCGCAGCTGGGAGCAGCGTGAGCCGCGGCACGCCGCGAGAGCACGCGGCTGGACTCACTGGCGCAACGACCGACGGCGCCTTTGCGCTCTTGCCGCTCGACACTGCCTCCCAGATGTCGTCGAGCGGCGCAGGCTCCCATGCCTGCAGCCCAGCGCCAGCAGCTGATCTCTCCGGTATCGAGCTTGCACTGTCTGCATCCTTCCCCGCGTCTGCGCCTAGCGCATTGGCGTTGCTGCTCGACGCAGCCTCCTCGTCGCCGCCCGAGGGCAGCACAAACAGCGGCGAGTCCCACCGCACCGTCGAGCTTGGCTCTTCAAAGCGCAGTAACAGCTCCCTTAGTCTGACACGACAAGCACGGCCATCAGCGCCGGGCACACACAGCCGCTGCTCGTGCACTCACGTCTCTGCCGCATACGCCTCCTCGCCGCGCTGTCTTCGCCTCTCGTTCCTGCTCGTACACTCCCCCGGCGGCGTCGCCACGAGCACGCTGATGCATCGCACGCCCGCCTCACGCGCCGCACACCAGAGCTGGTAGCGGAAGCCCTTGATGTTCGTCCCTGCGCCGCCGTCTGCCAGCACGAGGGCGTCGGGCGCCAGATGCCGCACGACGAGCGAGAGGTAGGCGGCGCGCGCCGGCTTCTCGGCGGCTTGCGTGTCGAACACGGTGCGCGTGTTGGAGATGTCGTCGTCGGTCAGCACGACGACGCGCCGCAGAGCACTGGCGCTGCTTGAGGAGGAAGCAGAGAAGGAGGACGAGGACGAGATGCGACTCTCGAAGGCCAGCCGCAGCTCCTGTGCGCGGCGGGAGCGGCCAGCACACGGTAGGCCCGAGACGATGACGAGCGCCATTGAGTGAGGTGCTGTTTGTGCGGAAGCGGGCGGCCAAGTGCTGGGGGGCGTGCAGCAGGCAGGAAGAAGCGGGGGGAGGCGAGGCGCGCACCGCAGGCAGCACGGCGCCTGTGGTCACAGGTGGAGCAGCGGCGTGGGAGCACGCACGTGACGCTCCGGCGTTCAAGATTTGGCGGAGCGTAGCGCACGGAGCAAGCGCGCCTCGGCTGCTGGAAGTGGCACGGCGTCCAGACGGCGTGGAGGCAGGCCGGCAGCGGACGGCACAGCGGACAGAGCGGAGGGAACTGGAAGCGAAGCTGGCCGTGCTTGCGGCTGCGTGCGCGTCTCGCCACCTTCCAAGCAAGCGCCGGGCGCAGATCTTCTCATCCCTACCACATCAACCACCTCGCACCACCCCCAACACACTCACTCAGCAGCCATGTCGACCCCCTCCTGGACCATTGTCTTCGCCTGCGACGGTGCGTAGCCCGATGCCAGCGCCGCTGCTGCACAGCACACACTGACTTCTTCTCCACAGAGGCCGGCGTGTGAGCCTTTCTTGCTGCACCTTGCTGCCCCCTCTGCTCACGCTCCGCAGCTCGTACAAGGACGCCATCCTCGCCGACTTCAAGAAGGACCCGCGCGTCAAGAACGTCATCGACGTCGGCGTCAACAGCACGTCGGACAAGACGCGTGCGTGCCGCTGCCAGTCCTTATTGCTTCGTCATCTGACCTCTCTGCCGCAGCGTACCCCAACGTGGCCCAGGCCGCCGCGCAGAAGGTGGCCTCGGGCGAGGCTGACCGCGCGCTCATGATCTGCGGCACGGGCCTCGGCGTCGCCATTGCCGCCAACAAGGTCAAGGGCGTGCGCGCCGTCACCGCACACGACCCCTTCTCCATCGAGCGCGCCATTCTCTCGAACAACGCGCAGGTGCTGTGCATGGGCCAGCGCGTCGTCGGCCTGGAGTGAGTGCTGCGGGTGTGTGAGTGGGAGGGACAGTATGCTGATTCCTCGCAACAGGCTCGCTCGCAACCTCGCAAAGGGCTGGCTCGGCCACGTCTGGGACCCCAGCTCGCCGTCGGCCGCCAAGGTCGATGCCATCTGCAGCATCGAGTCGAGCGCATAGGTGCGTGCCGTTCCTGAACCAGCAGCAGCTGCCAGCGGCGCTGACGCGTTTCTACAGATGCGTTCCTCCGCTGTAGTGCTTGCTCTGAATGATACACCTGCTCCTTGCCCTGCGCCTTTCGTAGGCTGAACATTTTGTCAGGCGAGTATCAGCTGCAGTGTGTCTGTGATGGCTCTTGGGCTCTGGGAGATTGCTCGCTGCCCTGCGGCCTCGAGAGCACTCTTGCCGAGCTTGTCGCGGTCAGGCGCTTGCTTGTGGCACCGTGTCTGCAGCCCAGCTGCGTCAAGTCTCTCGAGGTGGGTTGCAGACTCGATCATGAGGTGCGTTCTTGGTCTCGGTCGATGCTGTGCACGCTGGTCCGCGCGCCTGTCGTGTCGGCCGCGCGTGTGACGCGACAAGTCTGTCCTCGAGGCCGTCGAGGGTGCGCTCTGCTTGAACGCTCGCCGCCGGCGTTGCGCACTCGGCTGCGCGGACGACTGACCTTAGCCTGCGCCTGCTACTGAGCCGGACTCTGGCCTGCATGCTCTGTGACCGAGCAGGTGATGCGCTCGGTCACAAAGGCTCTGGCACCATGAGCGACCTCACAAGCAGGAGCATCAGCGCAGGCGGAGAGAAAAGCCCACGTTCCCATTATAGTCTGGCCCCAGCGACCCTTCGCCCCTGTACAGTAACCGCGGCCTGTCTTGATGTAGTCTTTTTGTGTGTGTCTCATCGCCATCCCCCTCTGGCTCCCACCTCGGGTCCACTGCGCCGCGCGAGACCCCGTCGAGCTGCCCCACTTCAACCCTGCCTGCTGCTCTCGTCTGCTCCCTCAGGCCGTGACTGCCGCGTCGCCGCTCTTGTCCTCGGTCACCGTGCTGGTGCGCCGCTCCTTCTCCGACTCGAGTTGCTGTGGCGGACAGGACGTCAGTACGTAGTCCGTGGTCAGGTCCACGCGCCGACACTCACGTTGTACAGCAGGTACAGCGCCTTCTCATTGGCCTCGGCCGTGCCCTGGATGGTGAACATGCGCTCGCCCGAGTCGTCGTGCGGCACCTTGGCAATGCTGATGCGCGAGCCCGAGATGCGGCGGATTTCGGTGATCTTGCTGCCGCCCTTGCCGATGATGCAGCCGACCATGTCCGAGGGGATGCTGATGTTCTGCGTGCGCTGGTTCGCCGCATCGACGATGGGCGCGCCGAGGCCGGCCGCGTCGCTGGCGCCGGCCACGAGACCGCCCGCCGGCGTCACGGCGGCGCCCGAGGCGGCGGCATCAGCGGCAGCCGTGCTGGTGCGGCGCGCAGAGGCACCGCTGCCGTTGGCCGCAGCGCCCTCGCCCGAGCCTGCGCGGCGCGGCTGCGGCGGCGATGCAGCCATGCCGTGCGAGCCGCCGGCGCCCAGCGTCATCGAGGCCACGGCACCGGCGAGGTAGGCGCCGCCGCCGGCGCGGCGGTTCGGCGTGCCCTGCGGCTGCAGGCCGCCGGCGCCGCCAATGGCAAGCACGCCGGCGCCCTCAGCCTGGCCCGGGTGGTAGAGCACGGTGCCCTGTCCGCGCTCCCAGTCCTCCAGCAGGCACTTTGCAATCTCGAGCACGGCGACGCGAATCGCCTCAAACGTGCCCTGCACCTCGACGATGCGCTCCGTGCTCTGCGGCAGCATCTCCTTGCTCGCCACCATGCGTGCGCCCGACACGTCCTGGATGTGCTTGATCTTGAGGCCCTGTCGCCCAATGACGGTGCCCATGAGGTTGTGCGAGATGAGCAGGCGCACCGACGTGAAGTTGCCGCCCGCGGCCGCCGAGAGCGTCTCGCCCGGCGCCGCCGCTGCGGCCACGGGGTTCTCGAGGATGGTCTGGGCGATGTATGCGTAGGCCTGTGAGGAGTGTCAGCGCCAGGCACTGGCAGTGCCGCTCAGAAGCCACACAACCTGCCGCCTGCAGTGCAGCACGCCAGCCGCAGCTCTGCCCTGCCAGTCCACGTTCCGCAGCTGCGCCATCACTCTCTCGCACAGCTCCACGCACCTTGGACACACCCTCGACGGTGCCGCTGACGCTGAGCACGCGGTCGTGCACGCCCTGCACGACCTTGCTGACGCCCGCCTTGACGCCGGTGCGCTCGCGCAGCTCGGCGACGTTGGCGCCGCCCTTGCCGATGATGACGCCGGCCTCCTTGGTGCTGACGAGGGCGCGGATCGTCAAGCTGGCCTCGCTGTCGGGCGCCGGCGCGGCAGCCGCCGTGGCCTGCGCATCGGCAGAGGCAGAGTCGACGGCCGTGGAGGCGTCGGAGGAGCTCGGCGCCGCGGCCTCGGCCTGCGAGGGAGCCGCGGCGGAGGCGGCGACGTCGGCTGCCGGTGCCGGCGCAGCAGCGGCCGGCGTGGGCGAGGTGGGGTTGGACATGGCGGAGACAGGTAAGGGTGGAGGGAAGGGCGGAGAGGGAGAGAGTCGGCGGCGGAGAGAGAGCGGGCGGAGGGAGAAGAGAGGAGGGTCGGGTCGGAGTAGAGGAAGGAGGAGGAGGCGGAGGAGGAGGAGAGAGGGGAGAAGGAGGAGGAGGAGCGGCGACGACGACGGAGTGTGATTGTGGCAGGCGGTCGTGGTGGGAAGGCGGCGAGGCACCGGCGGCTGCTTCTTGTCGTGCTGGCCCTCTAGAGGCAGGCACGGCGCGCGGCTCCGAGCTCCTTTCCCTCTCGCAGCAGGCACACCACACGCGCCCTCCTCGCACTCTGTCTTACCGCGCCTTTCCTCACAGCGTGCTGGCACGAGACTCAAGCCGGCGCTGCTTCACCACATGCTGCATCCTCCAGCAGACGCATCTTCTCGATGCTGCCTCTGCGTGTCCGGCAGAGCGGCATTCTCTGGCCAGCTGCTGGCTGCGTGCTCGGTGCCGCGCCTCGCGCACGCCGGCCGCGGTGCGCGCGGCCCCGCACCGCAAGGCACGGCACTCGCAAAAAAGTTGCGCGGAGTCGCGCCCTTCGCTTAGCGCCCGACTGCACCGCCCGCGCCGCGCTCCCACGCCTTCGACGACCCCTCTGCCTCGCCATACGGAGGGTCGGCGAGGCCGCGGAGGCTGGGAGCAAGCCAACAGCAGCGGTCTCGCCTGTTTTGTGCTCAATGACAATCAGGCTCAAATTCACGTCGCTGTGTTGGTGCTATTTGGGCTGCCGCGGCACAGAGGCGCACCTAAGGAGCTTCGCCTTCAGCCGCCTCGCACCCGTCCCGGCATGCCGTACCGCGCGAGAGCGCCTCACAGCGAGCCCTTCTCCGCAGCGGCCTGACTTTGCCGTCAGAACAGCCCATGGATATGGCATGCACGCATCTCGCTCGGCTGCAGCGCCCGAGCGGGCGGTGCCGTCGCGTCGATAGAGTCCAACGGCTCGCGCGCGCCCAAGCGCCACTCAACGGTCGTGTTGAAGGCGTGGCGTCTGCTTCAACGCTGCAACCGCCGACAGCCCGTCAGGGACACCTCATGCGGCTATCAGAGAGCCCTCAAGCCCTCGTGCTGGACTCATCTTAGCTCTACACCACTCCACACTCACCTTCTTTGCTACTCGCTGGCCCGCGCTCGGCGCACCCCACATTCGTTTGACCCACCACGCTCTTTTCTTCCCTTGCCGACATGCGTTTCTTCCTCCTGACCCTGGCGCTAACGCTGTCTGTCCAGCTTGTTCGCGGTGAGTGGCGCTCAGACCGCCTCATCAGCCGCGCTGACGCTCGACAGGCGACAACAATGACTGGGTGTCGCCGCTGTACGTGGCGCAGAGCGGTGTCGCCGCCGAACGCACGCCAGCACAGCAGCGCATCATTGAGGCGGCCGTGTGGAGCGCCGTCAAAGGCCCCTGGCGCGTGACGGACTCGAGCATCGAGCCGCCATCAGGCGATGCGAGCGACTATCTCTCTTGGGCGCCGTACTGGTGGCCCGACTGCAACTGGTGCAGCGGCGGCGCTGGCGCTCAGTCAGATGGCAGCGAGGGCGACGATCCTGATGATGCGCCCAGCTCGGCTGCAGGACCGATCCCAACGGCACTGCCAGTGCTGCCGCAGCCAGGCCCGCAGCGACCCTACAACGCGCTTTCCTCCATCCTCGACAGCCTCTCCCGCGCTCAGGCCGTCGCCACAGGCGCGCCCGACGCCGAGCGGCCCAGCAGCATCGCCACGCCTGAGCCATACTATTGGCTCTCGCAGGCACTGCCCAAGCTGCCCGCATATCCAGCACCGCTGCAGAGTGCCCTGTCGTACGCCTACAGCAAGGTGCCGGCGCCTGTACAGACGGCCATCTGGGGCGTCGCGTCTGCAAAGCAGGAACTACCGATCCCGAATGTGTGGGGTCAGCTGCCGCAGGTCGGATACGTTGGCCAGGCAACGGCTACAGCGCTGCCCACACCGTATGGCCAGGCTTTATTCGGACGAGCAGCAGACGACTCGAGAGCGACAGCCTCGCCGACGACGACTGCAGCGGCCACCGGCGCACCCCTCGCTCCGCGCGCCGGCAAGTGCACGCCGTCGCGCACCAGCGTGGCGCCGTCGGCGACATGGACGAAGTGTCCCTACAAGCAGCGCGACGGCAAGCTGAATCCAGACGTGCGGCAGCTCAACAACACGCGCGACGTCGTCTCGATGGCGCAGTCGGTGCTGTGGAACGGCGTGGCGTACGGCCTCACCAACGACACTGCGCACGCCAAGCGGGCCGTGCGGCTCATCCAGACGTGGTTCCTCGACCCCCGCACCGGCGTGAAGCCACGTCTGACCTATGGTCAGGTCGTGCGCGGGCCCGGCTCGCAGGAGGGCGGCTACACGGGCATCCTCGACTGGCGCATGCTCATCAAGGTCGTCAATGCCGTCGTCGTGCTGCGCAGCAACGACGCCGAGGCGTGGAACAGCGTGCTGGCGACGGCGATGGCCAAGTGGGCGTCCGACTACGTCGACTGGCTCACCACCAGCGCCGAAGGGCGTCGCGCCGCAAAGGTGGCCAACAACCATGCGACGTTCTACTACAACCAGCTCGTCTCGCTCTATGTACTCCTCGGCGACGTGCCGCGCGCACGAACTGCTGTCAATGCCTTCTTCACGACGGTGTTCATGAAGCAGATCAGCGAGGATGGCGAGCAGCCGTACGAGGCAGTGCGCACGCGGCCCTTCCACTACCGCTGCTTCAACATCGAGGGCCTGCTGGCCAACGCCAAGCTGGCCGACAACCTCGGGCTCAACATGTGGAGTGCGCGCAGCGACGACGGCGCCACGATCCAGACGGCCGTCGACTACGCCATGACGCTCGATGCCGGCGATGAGGACGTGACGGAGCTGGCGCCGCACGTTGCCGCTGTTGCCGCCGCGTACGGCGACCCCACTGGCAAGTATGCACGCTGGCTGGCCGACGAGAACAACAGCGGCGACCCCGATGCCATCCAGAGCTGGCGCTTCTACGACAGCGCCGACGCTCTGTACTCCTCTCCCAGCGCAGGCAACACCGCCAGCTCGCAGAAGTTCGCCTGACCTCCGGGAAAATGACAGCAGCACATACCACGGCGTGTGCGAGGCGCGAGACTTACTGATAGATTGAGCAGCGCAAGAGGCAGAAGGGCCCGGCTTGGACTGTAATGCTGCAGAGATGCTGTCGAGATCTGTGTGAATTGAGCAGCGGTGGCCTGGCGGGAAGCCGCGGCCACACCGAGCTGCGAGTCTGAAAGGAGGCGGAAAGTGGAGATGAGCTATGGTCCAGCGCTGCCCTTCCGAGACTGGCCTGCAGCATGCAGAATCCGGTGCATGTCGCCTGCTAGCGAGGCTCCGCGCTGCAGCGAGGGCGTTGCTGCTTCTTTGTCTTCTGGCCCGAAGACCGCGTGTCGAGCCGCGAGGCCGAGTTGATGACGCTCCAGCTTCGCAGGCACCGCGCCGCTTGCTTGCTCGCCCAGGCCTGTCTGTATTCTCGAGGGCACTCTGCCGCTGCTTTGTGGGCTCAGACGTTCGTCGTCGACATCGGCAGTGCTGCGAGCCAGCTAGCATCAGACAAAGGTAGAAGAGAGCGCAATGCATTCAGGGTCAGGAGCAGCGCGAGAAGCGAGCTCAGCGGCAGAACTGTAAGAGGGAAAAGACAGGACAGGCAGCGCCAGAAGCGAGCCCTTGGGGGTGAGAGGTGAGCGCGCGGGAGAGACGTGCAGGTGAGGGCGAATGAGAGGTGAGCTTTGCCGGTGGAGATGAGAGGCGGGGCTCGAGGTGGGGGGACGGGGGTATGCAGAGAGAACGGGCCCAGGAGAGGCAGCGCGGACGGCTGCGCATCCCCGTGCGCGCCTCGCTCCCGGTGCGGCGGCAGTGCGCTTAGTCGTCGAGCTTGGTGAGGAACTGCACCTGGTCGACGTAGACGCGCGCCGTCTGGCCGGAAGGGCAGGACACGCCGATCTTGATGTTGCTGACGGACGAATTGGCAGACGCGACCTTGGAGAACGAGGCGTAGGTGTCGGTGGCGCTGGTAGCGGTGATGTCCATGGAGGCGTCCGGGGCGCCGCCGTTCTCGGCAAGGTAAAGCGAGCACGGGGTGGCCGACGAGACACCCGAGCTGACCGACTGGACGAAGTACTGGAACTTGACTTGGTAGGCGTTGTAGCTGTCCTTCGGCGCCGTGGACGAGATGACGATGTCCTGCGAGATCGACTGGCCGCTCTGGACCAGGGCGTAGCGCCCGCCGTACTTGGCGTTGTTGGTGGCCAGGGTCGCGCCGTTCTGGTACTTCCACGGGTCGCCGTTGGTGCCGCCGTTCTCAAAGCCGCCGTTCTGGGCCACGTCCGTCGGGTCAGACTCCGGGTACGCCGTGGGCACGAACTGGACATCGTCCACGTGCACGACTGCGGCGCCCTCAGGGCAGATCAGGCCGAAGCCGATGTCCTCGATGCTCGTGCGGTTGTTGGCGATCATGGTCTCGAACTTGGTCCAGTCGGCGACCTTCTTGTTGACCGGAAGGAAGGCCTTGCTGGTGTCCTCCATGTACTCGTTGTCGAAGCCGAACGACAGGTTGCAGCCCAAGCCCTTGGGGCCGGCGATGAACTCGGGCACGCGGTACTGGACGCTCACGGCGTAGGCCTTGGCCTGGGGCGTGTCGGAGACGCTGTTGCGAATGCGGTAGTAGCCGCTGGGGACCGACTGGTACAGCTCCGGGTAGCTGTACTCGCCGTACTGGGCGGTGGCCCGCAGGCTGGCGTACTGCTTGCCGTCGTAGGCATCCGTGGCGTTCTTGACGACCGTCACGTCGCCGTCCTTCTCCCAGGGAGCGAGGATGTCGTTCTCGAAGTGGTTGTTCTTGGCGACGTTGCCGGCATCGTCCGTGGGCGTCTTGTCGACCGGCGTCGGCGCGGGCGTGGGCGTCGTGGCCGGGGCCGTGCACTTCTGGTTCGTGCAGATGCCCGACTGGCAGCCGGCTGCCTTGTAGCAGCTGGCGCCGTTGGCCGCCGGGGCCTGGCACTTGGAGTTGCCGCAGTACGACGAGGCGCACGACTTGCTCGTCTCGCAGCGCTCGCCGTTGGTGAGGGCCGAGCCCTCAACGCACTTGCCGCTCGAGCACTTGTTCGAGATGCACTGATGGAGGCGCGAGGTCAGTGCTGAGTCTCCAGAGCGAAGCCAGAAAACTCACGCCGATGTCCTTGTAGCACGAAGCGCCGAGCGACTTGCGCGTGTCGCACTTGCTGCGGTTGCAGAAGTTGTTGACCGAGCCGCACTGCGACGACTGCGTGCAGCTCTTGGCGGCGCGGGCCTCGAGCGAGGCGTTGTCCGTCGAGGCCGGGAGGGCGGCCGCGAGCGGGAGGGCGACGAGGAGGAAGGGGAGGAAGCGCATTGCTAAAGAGAGGGGAGGGGGGAGGGGGAGAGAAGAGGAGAGGAGTGGAGGAAGCTGTGGGAGTGAGTTGCGATGATGAAAAGATGGGAAGACGATCGCAGCGTCCTCCTTTTATGTCCCTGGCCCCGCCTTGCCCGCCGACTCGCTCTCGCCAACACTGCAACGGCGAGGCCCATGCTACGCAGCGGCGCTGCCCACGCTGCGCGCCGTGTGCGCCTGCGGCGTGCCCGCAGACTGCGACGCAAGCCGAGCGCCGCCGCAGCAGCGCGCCGCATGCCGCTGAGTGCCGTGTGGCATTGCAGTTTGCAGTTGTGCGACGGTCCAATCGGTCGGACGCATGTCTACACGCATGCGAGCATGGAAGCATTCTCGTCGGCCACAGGGAGATGCAGGCAAGACACAGACGGGAGCGTGCATCGCAGATGCCGTCGAGAAGTTCTGGAGCGTGCGCTTCGGGTGCCAGCGAGAGGCACAGGAGCGCAGCGCCGGCAAGACGACGAGGCTGCGTCGGCGCCCCGTCGGACGGGCTGCGCTATGGGCAGGCCGGGCCGTGCATTGCGGTGCGGGCGCGTAGCGTGGCGTGGCTTGGCGGGACGGCGCATGCGGCGGCGATGGCGGTTCCTGGGATGCTCCCGTGGGTGGCAACGCGGGATTGCGGCCAGGCGTGGTGGTGGCCGCACGGAGCTCGGCACGGCAGGTGGGTGCGCCACGCCGCGGCGACGGCGGCGCCGCCCCCTGGACAGTGCCGCGGTCACGTGTGGCGAGCTGCTGCGCGCCTGCTGGGGTGCCGCGCCTGTCGGGCGTGGCCTGGCGTGCGGCGCGCGCATGCGCATGAACGCTGGCTGCATGCCGTGGCGCCTCCTGGCTCCCGAGACTCGGCCAATTGCTGCTCTGGAAGCGGGGTGCGTGCAGCGCGCAGGGTTCCGCCGGATGTGCTTCCAGCACCAGCACAGCGGCACAGCAGCACAGAGGCGGGCGCCTGGCTGGACCCTCGCCTCGCCGCCACGCATCTCATGCCGCGACGCCTCTCGCTCCCGAGACAAGTGCGGGATCCTGCTCGGGTACACGGCCGGCGGCCAAAGCAGAATGCCCGCCGGATGTGCTCCCAGCACAGCGCACCCACGGGCCCGTCGCCCGTGCAGCACGCATGCCGGCGTGCGTCGCGCCCTCGTTCCCGAGCCTCGGACACGTTCCTCTCCTGCGCCCAGCTGCAGTGCCGTGCAGTGCGGCCGCATGTGCTCCCAGCGCTTCGGGCCCTCGCCGCACGCGGAGCGTTCCCGGCCCCGCGCACGTTCCTGGCCGGGCACGCTGCAGCCGCCGCAGCCGCTAGAACACCAGGGCCGCAGCAGCAGCGGGGCAGCAGCAGTAGCGGCAGCAGCGCACGGAGGAGCAGCAGCAGCAGCAGCAGCAGCAGCCGTGGCAGTGGCATGGGCGGCAGCGGCGGCAGCAGCAGCGGCGGCGGCTGCGGCGGCGGCAGCGGCGGCGAAGAGTTGCAAGGCAGCATGACGAAGCCCATGATCTGCCGGCCGTTCCTGCGAGTCGATTACAGAGCAGCATACAGCGTCGGAAGCGTCCAAGCACCTGCAGAGGGCATGCCTGTGGATGCTGACTTGCTCCCCACCCCTTCCCGCGCTCGCTCCACTCCGCTCGTCCCCCGACTCCCGCGGCAGCAAGTGTGCGTGAGAGGCGGAGCGCACCCTGCCGTCCCGCACGGGATCCACGGACACAGAGAGGAAACGGGGTACCATTACAGTAGGAGCAAGTCGTGGCAGTCACATCGAGGGTCGTCGCGCGCACGCCGGCCTGCCCGAGGAGGCATGCGCTGCATCGGAGCCGAGGCGGGAGCGTGTGGCTGATGGCAGCTGGCAGCTGGCGTGCATAGCGTCGCCGCTCAGTGCGAGTACAGCGGCGGCAGCTGCGGCGGCCGCTCGGGCGCGCGGCGCCCATTGAGCTGTTCATTGATGATGGCGTACGGGTCCTGCGGCGGCGGCGAGTGGGCATAGCCGCCAGGCGCATGCGGCGTGTGCGGCGCCGCCGCTGCGGTTCCATACGCGCCGTAGTCGTAGCTCGGCCGTGCGCCGGCGGCGGTGTCGCCGAACGGGTTGCCCGCGTCGTAGCTCGGGCGCACATCGTAGCCGCCGCCGTACCGGCCATCGCCGCCCTCGCCGTAGCGCGCCGACTGCGCAGCTGCCGCGGCGTAGTCGCCCCGGTCGTCCTCGTCGACGTCGTCGCCCGTGATTGGCTCAAAGGCAGAGTCGTCGGTCGGATGCGTAAAGGGCGGGATGCGCGGGCCATTCTTGCGCGTGAGGCGCCAGGAGCGCAGGAAGAGCAGCGCAGAGACGACCCAGGTCACTGCAGAGGAAGGTCAGTCACAACACGCGGGAGCAATCCGTGGACACGCACGGAAGAGGAACCAGCAGAACGCAGCGCCGGCGCGCTTGGTGCGGCAGAAGCCCGGCAGTGCTGCAATGTAGTCCTCCTTCTTGCCGTTAGAGCTCCCGGCATGAGAGTCCTTTGCGGGATCCTTGCAGCCGGCGAGCGTGTAGGCCGAGATCGTCTGCGTCATGCTGCCGAGGACGCATCAGCATGCGAGGCTTCGGGACGCGGGTGGGCGAGGCCACGGGAAGCGAGGGCACGGGAGTGGCGCGCCATGCAGCGGCGATCCGGCGGGCCCGCGCTACGGTATGCTTATGCGGCGGTGCACTAGCCTGCTGGATGCGCGCTGCACCCGTCCCGCCCTGCTTCGCCGCACCATCTTCGACAAGTTGCTCTCAAAGCACTCACGCAAGAATCGCGCCCAGGCCGAGCCAGCCGCCATTCACAACGAAGCCGACGCGCGCCTCGCCGAGCGCACGGTTGAGGCTCTTGAACGTCTTGTAGTCGCTGCGCTCGTGCACGACGGGCACGACGAGGAACGTGGCGCTGGCGACGAGGGAGAGCGAGGCGAGCGCGAGGATGAGGCCCGTGAGGCCCGAGGGCGAGCCGATCCACTTGTTCTGGAAAGCCGCCAGCACGACTCCGATGAGCAGCAGCACGGCAGCAAAGAAGACTTGGCCGCAGCGCAGGAAAAAGAGCATGCGATCCCACTTGTCCTGCAGATGCAGCGTGTCAGACCGGGAGGCGCGCGTGGCTTCGCACAGACGACGCCGACGGAAACGTCGGCCCACTGCCGCGCTCGGCCCGACTGGCCGCCGCAGCGCAGTGCTCTCGCTCCCGCTCCCGCGCCTGCAGCTGCCGCCGCTCGCCTCGCTCGCACCGGCGCGGCGCACTCACCTCGGCCCCCGTGCCGGCCGTGTGCACAACGCCCTCGTTGCCGATGCCGGCGCCGAAGCGCGCCTTGCCCTCAGACGCCCCGCCGCCGCTGCCGCCGCCGAGGGCCATGCGCTTGAGCGCGCCAAAGTCGACCATGTGTGGTGGGTGGGTGCGCCTGTGGTGCGCGACTTGCTGGAGGATGTTGGGGGTGAGAGGTGAAGGAGCGGCGGGGCGTGCTTGCGCGATGCGCGATGCGCGATGCAAAGGTGTTGCTCGCTGCGCTGCGGCGGCGGCTGCGCGCGCGCCGCACAGCCTCCTCGCCTTGCCCTGCCGCCGCGCGTCTAAGTCGAGTTAGGGGCGCGCGCGCGTCTCCTGTCGCGTGTGAGATCTGGCCGGCGGCTGGCGCGCCCCTCCGCCGCTCGACGCGAGCGCAACGCGCGCGGCGCTAAGGCATCCGTTCATCGGGCGCACCCTCTGCTCTCGCTCCCGAGACCACCGTCCAACTCAGACTAGATGGTTAGGGGTCTTCGGGACGAGTGGACGTGCAATGCAGACGGGTACACACGCAATCTGAGGCGCGGCCCGGAAAGCGTGGCGTGGCGTGCCAGCTGCCGGACGTAGAGCTCCGCGTTGCGGCGCGCTCCGGCCGTGCGCTCGGGCCTGCTATGCTGTGAGCCAAACCCGGCGTACGAGTGCCAGCGATGCGGGGCCATAGCGAGCAAGGAATGCAAGGCAGAGGCGTCTCCTCTCCACAGGCGCAGCGGCCGGCATGCACGGCCGCGCCGCGGCCAGAGAGGAGCGGAGCAAGCGGCAGCAGCGACGGAGCGCCCTTCACTCGAGCATGTCGACTCGAGCAGCCCCGACTTGGGCACCTCGACTCGAGCACCGACCCGAGCAGCTCGGGGCGAGCACCTCGTCTGCGCTTCGGAGACAGACAGCGCTCGTAGCACAACGGTACAAGTACATTGCGCAGCGCGCAGCGGCGGCCCTCACTCCCAGCTCATGTCCAGCATGTCCGACTTGATCATCGCCATGACCGAGGCGACAAAGGCCTCGAGGTGGAAGCTGCAGGAGAGGTGGCGCTGTCAGTCGAGCAGGTCGCTGGCACATCTCTGCAGCTCACATGGCCTTGTTGCCCTGACGACAGCGAATCTCCTGTGGCAGAGGCCGGCGTGTGAGCAGAGCACGGGCCAGACGAGAGCAGGGCCACTCACATAGAAGGCCGCCTTCTGCACGATGTGTGCCCGCAGGTTCTCGTCGACGCGACGCACGAGCTGGTCCGTGATCGTCTTGATGATGAGGCGCGCGGGAATGGCGTGCACCAGCAGCTCGTACAGCTTGCCGCGCACCTCGAGCAGCCGCGCGGGCGTCTGCTCCCCCGTGATCAGGTCGGCCGTGTTCATCGCGAACGTCTCCCAGTCTGGCTTGGCGATGGAGAGGTCGCCCGTGAGGTCGGGCCTGTGGTCGGAGCGACGCAGATGAGCACTGGACTGACAGGCACCGACGGCGCACTCACGACTGCATGCGCAGCGCCTCCAACACGAGAATCGCCTTGCGCAGGTTGCCGCACGAGTCCTGGAAGATCTGCGACGCCACCTTGTCGGGCAGCGTGAACGACTCGCGCTTGGCGACGTGGCGCAGGACGGCCGTCATCTGCAGTAGAGGAACGTGAGCTCCGCGCGGCCGCAACACACGGCACAGCTGCACTCACCTCAGCCTCAGACGGAGCACCGACGCGCATCAAGAGACACCGGGAGCGGATCGGCGCAATGATGCGTGATGTGCTTGTGGAGCACAGGATCAGGCGCAGGTTGCCCATGTACTTCTCCATCGTGCGGCGCAGCGCCGACTGCGCGTCGCGCGAGAGAGAGTCCGCCTCGTTGATCACCACCACTGCGCCAGGGTCAGCGCGACGCTGCATTGCGAGCAAAGCGCCAGACTCACCCTTGAAGCGATGCTTCGCATTCGTGTCGACCTGCTGCGTCTGCGCAATTTCCTTCAGGATGTCCTGAATGACCAGCCGGTCGTAGCCACCCGCATCACTGAGCAGAAGCGGGCGCATCAGCTCTGGCGAGGACGTCCAAACGGCTCCGCCTTTCAGCCGGGAGCAGAGTGGCGAGCTTTGCTCAAGCCTCCTCGCAAGACAGCCGCTCGTGCCGGCGAGCGACCCTCCTCCGTTGCTCGCTCCACCCTGGCCCCTCCTCCGTTGCTCGCGCCATCCTTGCCTGTCCAGTCGCCTGCCACCCGCACGCCCCTGCACTCACCTGGGCGTCAGCTCGATGTGGTAGTTTGAGCTCACGACGTTGACATCGATCTTGCGCTTGCTCGGGTTGAGGAAGACGCGCTGGTCGATCTTGAGCTGCAGTGCGGGCCACGCATCAGCAGCGGGCCTACGGCAAAGAGACGGCTCCGCGCTCCGCCCTGCGCCGGACTCACCTTCGCCGTCGCCGGGCCGTAGAGCTCGCGCAGCAGACACATGATGCGCGTCTTCTTGCCTGCGCCGCTGGGCCCGTAGAAGAGCATGTGCGGAAAGTCATCGTGTGCTGCCTGCAGAGCATGCGCGCGGCAGGAGTCAGTGATGCGCGGCCAGCCGGCGCCACTGTGCCACGCACGAGGGCGACGAGGCGGTCGGAGAGCGTCTGGTGGTAGTGCAGCTCGGTGAGCGCACGCGGGCGGTGCTTGTCGACGTAGAGCATGGCTGCAGGAGGGCAGCTGTGCGCCACGGAGAGACTGGCGCCGGCGTGGCGAGGAGGAGATGTGCAGATGGGGAAGGGAAAGTGGAGCAGGCGCTGCACCTGCTGTTGCCCCCCGCCGCCTCGGCCGTGCAACACCGCCGCGCGCCGCGCGCAGCCCGACGCGTCTCGCGGCACTTAACGCGTCACAGCGCGCGCGCGGCTGCGCTGTGTCCGTCTCCGCCACACCCGCTCTGCGTGCCCAGCCCTCAGCCAACGGCCGAGCGTCGCGCAACAGAAGCAGCATCACGCAGGTGAGATGGACAAGGATGGTATATGATGTGCAGCTCGGAAGTTCAAGGAGCGTGGGCGTGGCTTCCGCTCCGCGCTGCGGCTCGCTGGCGCAGCTAGCGCCCGTTGGAGCCGCTGAGCATCGATTCAGACTGCGGCGCACGGGTCAGCTTTCCGATGGACAGCCTCGTCTGCTGCTCTGCTCACCTCTTCGGCGACGTTGTCGAGGGGCATGCCCGGCTGGTAGGGCTCGCGCCGCAGCTCCATCGCCCGGTCCTCCTCCTCGCTGCGCAGCGCATCCGCCGCAAAGCCGTTCTCCGACAGCATCGAGTCGGGGCGCGAGGCGAAGAAGGCGCTCGAGCGGCCGCCCGGCTCGCCGCCGTCGTCCGTCGAGCGCGAGTAGTTCGACGCCGCGTCGTCGGGGTAGATCGAGTCGCTGTCCGGCAGAACACTGTCGAGCGACTCGCGCATGCGCGGCGACGGCGGCGCCTCGGGGTCGGCGAGCGTCCAGCCCTGCGCGGCCGGTGCAGGGCTCTTTGCACCTGCGTCTGCAGTGGCGGTCCAGCCAGCCATGGGCTGCGCGATCTTTGGCTCGGGCTGAGTTGCGGACACGGGCGAGCTCACGGAGGACAGCGCCTGTGCCGGCAGGCCGCTCAGCAGCGCCGAGGGCAGGCCGGCGCGCACGGGAGACGGAGAAGCAGGCTCGCTGCTTGCGACGGCAGAGAGAGCCGGCGGCGAGGTCGGCTGGCCGTTGGTCGGCGACATCGAGCCGAGACGAGCCTTGGCCGGGCCGCCGAACTTGCCAGCGATCGCCGCCACGCGTCCAGAGGTCGGGTTCTTGGAGAAGGGGTCCGGTCGGTCTGTGGCAGGCGAGGGTGCAGGTCGAGCCTCTGCGGCCTCCTTTGGCTCGACAGGGAGAGGGCGAACGTCCTTGAGGCCAGCTCGGAGCTCGCGCGCTCTCTCCTTGGCTGCCTCGATGCGCGCCGCACGTGCCAGCTCCTTCTCGGCCGCAGTCGCACCCGGGCCCGGCATGGGCGGCACGATTCGGCGCACAGCGACAGGAGAGACATCCGGCGACGGCACAGCAGGCGGCTCCTTCGCGGTAGACGTCGGTGCGGCGGCACTTGCTGGCGCAGGGGGCGGAGAAGTCTTCCCTGCGACCGGGGTGACCGACTGTGACCGGTCTGGCGAGTCCACAGGACGGAGTGCCGGTGCGGGGAGCACTGGTGCATGCTGCCTCGGCTCGCTGGGCGGCAAAGGCACAGGCGCAGCGGCAGGTGGTGTGAGGTCCATCGGCCTGCTCGACGAGCCAGACGCGTCTTCCGAGATCGACGAGGAGCGGCGCTCGGGCACGGCAGGCCGTAGCATGTTGCGGCGCTCTGGCTCGGGCGCAGGCTCGAGAGACCAGCCTGCTGCGGCAATGGCCGCAGCGGGAGGGACCACGCCTGTCGCTGGAGCCGCATCGCGAACGACAGCCTGCGTTGCGGTGCCCTGCCGCGCGTCCTCATTGAAGGTCTCTTGCGTCGGCGTGTTGCGTAGCGAGTCATTGAGACTCGCATCGCGCGGAGGTAGCTGCAGGTTCGGAAGTGCTGCGCGGCTGGGCCCGGGTTCGCCGGCAGAGGCGAGCTGCTGACGCGTGCCCCTCCGCATCGGCGAGACATCGGCATCCTGACCCGCCATGCGAAAGCCGTTTGCCTTGCTCAGCACGTCGATCCACGCGTCGTCCTTGCTCTCGCGCCGCTCGTGACGCCGCGCCAGTGGGTTCTTGCGCCGCACCGTGTAGTCATCGCTGGCCGTGAGCTCGTCGAGCTCGGGATCGTGCAGACTGCGAGTCTCGAAGTCCGACGAGGAGAAGGAGTCGTACTGAGTGTGCGCAATGCCTTGCTGCGGCGGTGCGCTTGGCAAAGCTGCCTCGTCGGCGCCTCGTCCACGTCCCCGCTTCGTCTTGGACCGCAGCGAGTGCAGGATGCTGCTCGAGCTGGTCTCCATGAAGTCGGGACCGGGCTCATACGTCATGCCGGGCGGCACTCCGGCGTCGGTGCGCCGCTGCGTCTGGGTGCGGAACGAGGCGTAGGTGCCCGCGCGCTCGAGATCCGCCGCCATCGCTCCGTTGCTGCTCAGCGCCGGGCTGGTCGGGCCATGAATGCGCAGATGCCGCGTGGCCCCACCTGCGCCGGCAGTGAACGGATCGTGCGGGTCGGCGGGCTGATTCTCATCGCGCTCCCGACGCACGCGCTTGAAGATGTTCAGCTTGCGCAGGCTGGGCTTGCTGCGACCCTTGTGCCGTCCCGCGGCATCGAGGTCCGCGCGGTACTGCGACGGCACGAGCTCCTGCACGATGAACCACGCCGCCTTGGTGCGGTCATCGACGGGCGCCTCGCCGTTGCGCGAGAGGAGCGACTGGTCGCCGAGCGTCGAGTCTGCCGAGGCCTCCTGCACTTCTGGCGCGGCGCGGCTCTTGTACTGCACGACGACGAAGTTGGCGTTGCGATGCGTCAGCTCGTCGCGGTTGCTCCAGCCATTGCCAAGCAGAAAGTCGGCCACGACCTCGGGGAACATCTCGTCCATGCGCGAGATGGGCGTCTCGTTCCACTGGCCCGCGCCAAGGGTCGAGATCTCGCCGCGCAGCGGGCTCGCAACGCAGTGCGGCGCAGTGTCGTAGGGGAACGGCGGCAGCTTGCTCGCCTGGGCGCGGATCTTCTCGAGCATCTGGGCGCGCTCGCCAGGCCAGCGTGCCATGTCCTCCTGCAGCCCGTCGTCGAAGCTCAGCACCTCTCGCAGGCCCTCGTCTGTGGCGACGAAGCCCGTCTCTTCAAACTGCGACCACTTGACGGTGCCGCGATTCTCGATGCGCGCCTTGCGCTCGCTTTCGCGCAGATCGAAGGCGAGCTTCGACTTGTCGGGCGCCGCGAAGCCGTCGAGCGAGAAGTCGGACCATGTCTTGGAGGCGAGCGAGCCGTGCGTCTCGAGCTCGGACTCGGTCGAGCGGCCGTTGGAGTGCGATGAGAGCTGTCGAACGAGCAAGCTGCTGCCCGCGCCGTTGCTGGCCTCGCTTCTCCGAGCATGGACAGCGCTTCCTCTGAAGTTCAGCAGCTTCCGGAAGCGATCGGACAGCTGCGGCTCGCGGCCGAGGCTCTCCTGAGTGCTGCAGCACGCAGCCCACTCCTCGCAGGTGGCGCTCAGGTCCAGCTCGCATGCGCTCTGCACGAGGTCCGCGCTGTAGAGGCGCACCACGCGCTCGATCTGCGTCACGGGCACGCCGCGCACGTGCCGCGCCGGGCGGCTGATGTCGCTCGAGAGCATGGACGGATAGCCTCGCAGATGGTCGTTCAGGCGGACCGGCAGCGATTCGGTGCTGGACGCATCGCGGATGTAGGCCAGCAGCAGGTGCTCCGTGGCGTTGCTGGCGCGCACGAACGCATCGTACGTCCGCTCGAATGTCTCATCCTCGGGCAGGCCGAAGATCAGAGGCCCGAACAGCCGCGCCAGCTTGGACGGCGTCATGCCGTTCTTCAGGCTGTATGCCGCCGTCGAGGAGAGCAGAGAGAGCAGGGCGCGCAGCAGTGCGGCTGCCGCGGGGTCCATCACCGCATCGACGAAGGACGTGAACGCAGTGACCGGAAATTGCCGGGCTGCATGGTCGCATGAGCACAGCGCTAGGCGGGGTGAGATCGCAGCACTCACTCCGCTCGTCTTCGCGCCATGAGAGGTACGCATCAAGCTGCAAGAAGCCGCGCTGCTGCACGAAGATCGTGTCCTCCTCCACCACGCCTTTGCGGTTCGGGCCCTCGCCGGGCACTGCCGGCACAGGCACGGCAAAGACGCGGCCGAGCCGTGCCAGCGCCCACTTCAGCATCGCAGCGAGATCGTGCGGATTCGCGAAGCGGATTTCGCTCAGGAACGCGGCAGGCAGGGCCGAAGGAGGCATGCCGCGCGATCGCGAGCTCGCTGCCGCTGCCGAGTGCGAGGACATGAAGGAGCGGATCAGCGAGCAGGTGTTGCTCGCCGAGACGTCGAGCGCCATCGAGGAGAAGATCAGAGGCGAGTCCAGGCCTGCGAGAGCGGCACATGAGCGCATGCGCGACAGGTCCAGCTGCAGCGAGGACCCGCATGACCTGCGGCTGCCACTCACCCCGCTGCCGAATCTGCTCTCCCAGCGCGCCCACGAGCTGCACGACGACGGCAATGTCCACCTGCGCATCGAGACTGGCGTGGCAGTAGCCGTAGGAGTACGGCTCGACGTGCTCGAGGGAGGCACGCCCCGAGAGGTGGCCGAAGCCGGAGTGAGTGATGCCGGTGGAGTAGCCGCTGGCCATGCTGGAGCGAGTCTTGGCCCGCGTGGGCGGGCCGCCGGCGCTGATCGTCGCGGCACTGACGGCCGGGCGCAGCGACGCGATCGGCATGGTCGAGCGCGAAGTCATCGAGCGTGCTGTTCGCTGCTGCTGCTGCTGCTGCGGTGCCGGCAGCGGCAGTGGCTTCTCGTCGATGTCACGCGGCGGCGGCAGGGCGCCGAACTCGTGCATCTTGAAGGAGTCGTGCGAGGGGATCGAGTAGTCGGTGCCCTGCGGCGGCAGCTCGAAGGGCACGGGCGGCAGCGGGCGCGCATCCTGGTCGCCTGCGGCGCTCTGCAGCAGGTCCGCCGACGACACGGGCTGGTGCTGGTTGAAGCGCAGCGACGAGAGGCCGTTGCTGGACGGCCCCTTGCTGCGCCGGGCGAAGAGGGTGGGCATGACGGACGCGGTGCTCGGTGCAGCGGCGTCGCCACGGCTGGCGCGCTCGCACACGTCGGAGGAGGTGGCGAGCGGAGGGGTGCGGCGAGGTGCTCACACGAGACCGCAGGGGACGAAGAGGGAGAGAGCTTAGAGAGAAGCCGGCATCGAGGATGGGCGGCGAGGAGCGGCCCGCGCGCGAGGCGCAAGCTCAGCGAACGGCGGCGGCGCGGCGCGCACGGCGGCGGCTCTCTCTCCGCACGGCGCGCCTCTGCCCCCGGCGCGCGCGGCTCAGGCACAGCGTCTGTCTCGCAGCGCCCGCCGCGCCGCCATGCCGCCGTGTCGGGCGCCAGTCGGCGCACACATACAGGAGCTGCTCCGCCTCGCCCAGCGGCAGCTGCTCGCCCTACCGCCGCTGCTGCTCTTCACCTTCGCAGCCATCACGCCGTGCTGCGGCAGCGGGTGCGGATGCTGATGAGGCCCTGCCCTGGAGGGGCTGCCGCCGAGCGGCGCTTGTCTGTGATACCGCGGCGCGCCGCCTCCTCTGCCGCGGCACGCCCAACGGCCCGCGCTCCTCGCCTCGCCTCGCCGCCGCCGCTCGTCTCGTGCTGAAAGCCTCTCTTGCCAGTCATAACTGCTGCGGGACTCATCCTCTCAGCATGCGCAGCGCGACCTGCGATGCTCATTTCGCAATAAGATGGTAGCGCCAGCCACGGCCGCGACAGCCTGCTGCGGCGGAAGGTGCGGATCACTCATGCATGACGCCGTGCGCTGCGCGTGGGCGTCGTGCGGGCCAAAGCTCGGCGGCGTCGGCGCAGCGCCCACACGGCGCCGGCTTGCTGCTTGTGCGCGGCGTGCGGCACGATTCCGCGGATCCGAGCTGCTCGGCCGATGCGCCGGGCCTCGTTCGCGGCGGGCGAGGACCGCCATCCGTGCCGTGGTGCAGCGTGAACGTCCCTCTCGGACGCTCGACAAAGAAGACTGCCGAGCTGGACACCCAGCCTCGTGCTCGCAAGCGTCTTCAGCGGCCCTCTGCAGACACGTTGCTGGTGGTGCCGAGCGCAGCCGTGACCAAACGCGCGCTGGCGACACGGCCAACCATGTGCTTGATGCGTTGCAACTCGCACTTCCACGATGTACCATGTCGCTGCCCAGAGCCAGCCATGCCCACGGAGGCGCCGTAGCTGCCGTCGATCTCAAGCAGGGATATACAGCTAGATTTTGAGCACAATAGCGAAAGGTCCAGGTGGAGATGGAATGCAGGCAGAGAGGACGAAGGGGAAGGATGTCGCACGCTCGAGGAGAAGGCGCGGCGCGGCGCGCGGCAATCTCGGGCGGAGGCGGCACGCGCAGCTCAGGGCGTGCGTGCTGGGTATAGGCGAGACGCCACCTCAAGAGGACGACAGATACGCTTCAGAGGGGTATGCAGCAATGCGCCTGCTTAGAGCACGACTGCAGCAACCACAGCCGCGAAGCCGAGCCCGGCCCACGCCGCCACGCCGCTCGACGCTGCGCCCACGGCGCCGTCGGTCCTGCCGCTGCTGCCGCTGGAGCTCGACGCCGCTGCGGAGGCAGTGTTGCTGGTGGACTCGGCATAGCCGGGTCCGAGGGAGGAGATGCCGATGATGTTGCCGATGCCCGTCATGCCCGACACCTGCGCGTTGCGCGTCGAGATCGACGCCTCGTATGCCGAGAGCTCGGAGCCCGTCAGCGTCACCGAGGGCGTGGCCACAGCTGCGTGCAGAGTGTCAATGGCCGCAGCGAGACGCATTCGCTCCAAGCACTGAGAACACACGTGTGCTGGAAGGAGCGGAGGCGAAAGAGGCTGTAGAGGAGCTGGGGGCCGCGAAGGTGGCCGTGCTGTCGCCGTTGCCGACTGTGCCTGCGCGTCAGCACACGAGACGGCGAGGCAGCATGCCGGCACGGAGGCACTGACCGTTCTGGGTAGCCGGCACTCCCGCCGTGGACGCCAGAGTGATGGTGGACTGCGCCGCAGCAGCTGCGGCGAGCGAGGCGAGCAGAAAGAAGGGGCGAAAGACGTGCATCGCGCGGAGGCGTCCGGGGTGTCCGAGGCGTGCAGAGAGAGGCGGCGAGGGCGGTGAGAAGCAGAGGGGAGCAGGAGAGAGCAGCAGATGGAGGAGCAGAGTCAAGCTGTGACCTCCTCGTGTGAGGTCCTCGCCATGGGCTTCCCCGCACGAGATCTGGCACAAAGCCGGCGACCTGGCGTGACACCACGGCAAGCACTTGCTCTGGCGCCTGCCGCTGCGCATGTCGGAGGGATCTGCGCCCTCGCAGCGCAGGCCCAGCACCCAGCCTGCAGTGCGGGGGATGGTGCGCCATCATAGCGCCGATCCTGCATTTTTGCAGCTCAGTCGTGAGCACGAGGGGACAGAGCGGCTGCATCTGCCTCCGGCAGGCCCCGAGCAGCGGCAGCAGCAGCGAATGCAGAGTCGCGTGCGAGACGCTGCCAGGCCCAACGCGAGCGAGGCGTGACGCGTCTGCACCTAGGCGGCTGACGTCGCCGTGCAGCAGATCGAGCCGCCCTGCCGATCCCAGACCCCGATGCCGCGCCGGCGCGGGCCGCACACGCACGCCGGCGGTATCGCCTACTCCCGCGTGAGCTCTCAGCGCGGCTCGCCGTCGTCGTGCACGCATCCTGGAAGCTCGTGAACGGTTCATTACACCACGCCTGCGCTCGGACGGGCGGCGGCGGCCGTCCCGGCGCGCGTGCGCCCTGGGTTGCTGCTGTGCATGCTCTCGCGCCCCGGCCCCTCACATCTTCGTCTTCGTCTCCTTGGAGACGGACGTCTTTGGCCATGCGTACGTGTTGTCGCGCACGTAGCCGTAGCGCGTCTGGAACTCGTTGAGCGACGCCGGCCCCCGCGAGCCGTACTTGTACAGCTCGTTCTTGATCTCGCCGGCGTCGATCGACTTGAGGATGGGCGTGAAGATCTTCCACGCGTAGTCGAGCTCGTCGTCGCGCACAAACTGGCTGTGGTCGCCGTTGAGCGCGTCGAGGATGAGCGCCTCGTACGCCTCGGGGATGCGCGCATCCTCGAAGCGCTCCTTGTACGTCAGGTCCAGGTCGGCGGGCAGCGTGCCCATGTGCAGGCCCGGCGTCTTGGCGTTGACCTTGAAGTACACGGCCTCGTTGGGCTGGATGCGCATCACGAGCTCGTTGCGCGGCAGGCCCTTGAACGGGCCCGTCTCGATGTCCTTGTACTGGATGCGGATCTCGACCTTGGCCTCGTCCAGCGCTGCGGGCGTGCGCGTCAGCACTGCGCGCGCAAGCCATGTCACACTCCTGCTGCTCACCCTTGCCGGCCTTGAGGATGAACGGCACGCCGCTCCACCGCGCGTTGTTGACCCACAGCGTCAGTGCGGCAAACGTCGGGCAGTTGCTGTCCTTGGGCACCGTGTCGTCGTCCTTGTAGCCCGGCTTGCCGTCGGCGGCCGAGTACTGGCCGATCAGCACGTCCTCCTTCTTGATCGCCGCCACGTCCTTCAGCACGTTGACCTTCTCGCTGCGGATGTCCTCGGCCGAGAAGGACTTCGGCTGCTCCATGGCAAGCAGCGAGAGCACCTGGGACAGGTCTGTCTCGGCGCGTGTGAGCACGGCGCTCGGCCAGGCTCGCCGCCGTCAAAGCCGCGCTCGCCGGCACACTCACGGTTCTGCTGGATGTCGCGGATGATGCCGAACTCGTCGAAGTAGCCGCCGCGGCCCTCGGTGCCGAACGGCTCCTTGAACGTGATCTGCACATTGTCGACCATCTTGTTGTTGAGGCCGGCGTCGACGACGGGGTTGCCGAAGCGCATCACGAGCAGGTTCTTGACCATCTCCTTGCCGAGGTAGTGGTCGATGCCTGTGCAGCGCGGCGCGTCAGCCGCGAGCTCCGCACGCTGCATAGCGCCTCCACACAGCCGCAGCGCGCCCTGACACTCACGGAACGTCTCCTCCTCCTTCCACAGGTCCTTCAGCTTGCCCATCATCTCGCGGCTGCTCTCCAGGTCCTTGCCGAACGGCTTCTCAATCACGATGCGGTTGTGGCCCTTCTCCGAGTAGCAGTTCTTCTTCAGGCCGGCGGCGACGACGGTGAAGACGTTGGGCGGCAGCGCCATGTAGAAGAGGCGGTTCGGGTTCTTGCTGCCGCCCTCCTTCTCGATCTTCTCCATGGCGCTGTTCAGCTCCTGGAACGCCTCGTCCTTGTCGTACGCGCCCGGCTGGTACGTGCAGATGTCGAGGAAGGCCTTCTTGGCCTTGGCGCCCTCGCCCGAGTCGGCGTCCTTGAAGTGTGCCGAGATCTTCTCGTGGAACTCGGGCTTGTCCATCTTGGTGCGCGCATAGCCGACGATGTGCGTGCCCTTCGGCAGCAGCTCGAGGCGGTAGAGGTTGAAGAGCGCCGGGTACGTCTGAGCGCGGCGGTCAGCACTGCGCATGTGTGCGGGCCCTCGGCGCGCGGCAGGGTCTCGCTGGCAGCGTGTCTGGCCTCTGCCGCCAGGAGCAGCCAGACGAAGCAGCAGGCGCTGGCTGTCTCTCTCTTCTCAGCCTGCTTCCAGGAGCTCTGAGGTGCCCAGGCGCGCTTCGCATTGAGCCGAGGCCCGCCTCAGCTACCTGCTGGCCCATCGAGTGCTCCCTTGCTCCACATGCATCCCACTCCGCCGCGCCGGCCGACACGCACCTTCTTCTTGGCAAGGTCGCCGGAGGCGCCAAGCACTGCAGTCAGAGGCGTGAGCAATGGATCACAGACAGCACATGGCGCTTCGGGTCCGGGCGCAGACGCACCGACGATCACCGTCTCGTCCTCGAGGGCGGGCACGCCGGAAGGCATGGCGGGCAGCGGCTAGCGGGCGGCGGCGGGATTCGGCGGGGTGCTGTGCGAAGGTGCGGCTGCAGGTTTGGCGTGCAAGAGGGTGAAGCGGGTGCGCTGTGGGTATGGGAGCGCAGGTAGTCGTGGGGGTGGGGGGTGGAAGGAAGGGCTGCCTTCGCCGGCCGGTGCTGCCTGCTGCTGACCTCGTTTATCGCAGGGCGGGAATCTACCGCGCCGCCGCGCTGCCGGTGACGCTGCGCACGGCGCGCAGGCGGCAGCAGCAGGCGGCGCAGGCGGCCGGCGTGGAGGCGGGCGCGGCAGCACGCAGCGCCAGCAGCAGCATCAGCAGCCCGCGCGTGAACTCAGACGCGCAGGCACGCCGCCTGTGTGCTGCCTCCCGCCGCCCACAGATGACGGCTCGCGCTGATCAGCGGCAGCCGAGGCCGGCGCGCCGCGGCCGCACCGCACCGAAGCGGAGCGACCTCATCAGCGAGAGCGAATCTCGCCGGCGAGAAGCGCCTCGACGGTGGCCGACGGCGGCACAGATGCGCGCCGCCGGCGGACTCGTCGGCTCGAGCGCCTCGCGAAGGCGTGCTTCTGCCTGCCTCGGACGAGAGAGAAGATCTCGCTCCGGCTCTCCAGCCTCGAGCTGGAGGGGCACGAAGCAAGCAGCTTGGGCAGCGGCGCGGTCGGCCGTACCGCGGAAGCGTGGGTGGTGAGGCCTCCACCTTCTTCTTGTGCCTCGCACGTGCACAGCCTGCCCCTGGCGAGATCAGCGGACAGTCTCGCCCATGCAGAAAGGCCAAGGCGGTGCAGTGCAAGCAATGGGTTGTCAGGTAGAAGTACAGATGACGGCAGCCGTGCGGCAGGGCTGAGCATGTGCGGAGCAGGGGTATTGCGGGCGTGCGGGTGGAATGAGGAGCTGCTGCTCGGCGATGGTGCTGGCAGGCTCAGATGTAGACGGACGAGAGGTCGTCGAGCGCCGCAAACGGCTCGTCGACGGCCTTGATCTGCAGGTCGAAGGCGCGCCCCGTGCGGTCGGCGCCGTTGAGCACGCTGATGAGCGTCCACCAGGCCTGACAAGAGGGAGAGGGTCAGCAGAGCTTGACGCCGGAGCAGCGAGCACCCTTACCTGCCACGAGACGGCGGGCACGACAATGTGGCCCGGCTGCAGGCCGGCCAGCCACGTCTTCCACGCGCGCGCCTGCCATGCGCCCGAGGGGCTCGGATAAGGACAGCAGCGGGCACGTGCCTGCTCGTCTGGGTCCTCCGGCTGGAAGGACTTGTGTGCTGGAATGACCGCGGCCGCCGGCGAGGGAAAGCGCTCTGCTGCGAGCGGCGTGTGCAGACAGCAGGCCTCCAGATAGTCGAGCTCCCACGCGGAGCGGTACGTCCATTGCGCATCGGTGAGCTGCGAGGTGATGTGAGTAAAGGAGCCGGCCATGAGAGCTGTGCGCGGTTGAGGTCAGCAAGGGCACAGCAGTGAAGTCTCTGAAGCACTCACTCAAGGCGCTGGCGAAGTGCTTCGCATGCAGTCTGCTGCTGGCCCAGTGGTAGTCCTGATGCTCGATGCCGTCGGGCGACGCCAGGCTAGGCGGGATGCCGCCTCTGCGACGGAAGCCGTTCGTGGCATCGAGTGCGTCTTTGAGGACGCAGTCTGGCAGTCCGGAGGCATCGGCACCCGACGGCAGTGCCGGGGTTGGCCGTCCGGCACCTGCCGAGTGTGCGACCATCTCGTGGGCCAAGCCCTCGCGCACGCGCGTCGCCTCGTACTGCTCCACCCAGCCTTGCATGCTGACGGCCAGCGTAGTCCAGTCTGCCCACGTGCGTTGCCGTTCGCCGCCGAGCTGCAGAGCGGCGAGCGCAGCAGCAGGTGCGAGAGCTGTGCTGTCGCCTCCAAGTGCAGGCGGGGTAGAGGCGCTCCGCCCTGGCATGCGCTGCAGGAGCTTCTCGAGTGCCGATGCGCCTTGTGTCGCGCGGGTTTCATCCGATGCCGGCTGGACTGCCTTTGTCGAGGCACTCTCTGACGGCGCCACGTCGGAGGCGTCCTCTGCGACGTGCGACAGGCCGAGGTCCCGGCCTGCCGAGCCTGGCACTGGCGATGAAGCTGAGCGCGCAACGAAGGTAGAGTCGGTACTGCTCTCCACGCCGCGAGCCCACTGCTGCACCTTTGCGCTCTCGCTCTGCTGCCGCGAGTCCATCTCGGCGGCCTTGCCGAGCGGCACAAAGTCGCCGGCGCGAGCGCTTGCGGATCCCGGCCCATAGCACAGGTGGAGGATGCCCTCCCATCCGAGTGCCTCGCCAAAGGCGCATGGGACGGCGATCGTCGAAGGGTCAGTTCGGCCGCAGAGCCACCATGCGCTCGTGTCGGGCGGCGCCTGATCGGTCGGCTGGCCCAGCGGCGTGTCGGCGCCCGACGAGCTGGGCGTGATGCTGCCCGAGTGCGCAGCGGGCCGCTTGCCGCGAGCCTTCTCGCTGAGGATGCGAGCCGATGGATCGACGTTCAGCGCCGTGTCTGCCGCTTTTCGCAGCAGCGTCAGGAAGTCGTCTCCGCCAGCCCAGGGCTTGGGAGAGAGCAGCTCTGGCGGAGCACGCATCTCGGACCAGTCAGCCACGGCACCTTCCGTGACCGGCTGCAGTTGCGCCGCGATGCCCGCCGTGCCGGCAAGCTGGCTAGCGGACATGTTGCTGGCGCTGAGCACGGAGCCAAGCGAGGCTCGACGAGGGCCGTCCACGCCGAGCATGCGCGCAGGCAGACTGCCATACAAACTGCCGTCCTCATCTCCGGTGTCGATGGCCTCGTCGTTGCTGAGGTCGCTCACGACAGTGGCGCTGCGCATGCGGCGAGAGGGTGCTTCGATGCTGGCAGTGACAGGCACCTTGAGGCCTTCCTCCTCAGCGATTGATGCACTCGTGGCGGCTGAAGAGGCGTCTGGCAGGTCCAGGCTGCTGGCCAAGCTCGGCGCAGTGCTGTTGCTGCTGCCTCGACGAGTCGAGCGACTCTGCCCGAAGAAGCGCTGCAGGAAGGACGGCCGACGAGTCTCGCCACGCGATTGCGTACTGCTTCGAGCTCGTGCGACCGGCTCCTCTGAGCTCGGCACAGCGTCGCCAGCGTCTGCAACAGCGCCAAACACGTCATGGTCCATCGTGAAAGAGCTGCCGGCAGTCTGTGGTCGAGACGCTGCTTGCCGGTTCCGACCCGCAAGGCCAGCGCTTGCAAAGCGCCCTTGCGAAGGCGAAGGCGGAGAGCGCTGCCGCGCTGCCGACGTGCTGCTCTCGCGGCTACTGACTTCTCTCAAGGAGCCCGCGCCGAAGAGGTCGACGGCAGAACTAGCTGTCCGAGCTCGCTCCAAGTCGTTGCCCGCCGGCTGACTCGTGGGCGAGAGCACTTGCTCCGGCACCCGTCGGCCTCTTCGGCTTGGCGATGAGAGGATCTGCGTGTCCAGCATCGGGCGCGACGGTCGTCGTGGCGGCGGCTGCGGCGGCAGCGGCGCGAGCCCGACCGAATGGAGATCGAGGCGCACGGAAAAGCGCACGCTACGATCCTGCTGCCCTGGCACAGGGGCGTGCGCCGTGCCTGTCGCTCGACGAGGCGGCGCCTGCATCTCGGGAGCGCGAAGCTCTGCCTCCTCGAAGTCGTCCTCTGATATCTCGGACGCGGCGCCGTCGCGCGACAGCGTGCGGAGGACTCGGGTGCGGAAGCCGCCGCCAGCCGCAGATGTCGAGCTCAGGGTGCGAGATCGTCCGGCGGCCGAGCCCATGAGCTGGCCGCCAGGAGCCGATGGGCGGCGCGAGAGGAGCGAGCCGCGGCGCCTTGGGCTGCGCGGCGAGCGTGGGCCACTCACGAGGCGACCCTCGCGATCGAAGCGAGCATCGAAGAAGGCACGCAGCGTGGCGAAGCCCGGGTCCTCATCGGCGCCGTCGAGCAGCCGCACGAGCTGCGTCAGGTCTGTGACTGCCTCGAGGGCGCGAGTGTGCGCCAGGAGGTAGGAGACCTCGTGCAGCGCGTGCGGCGGCGCAGCGTCGAGGCGCTTCTTGACGCGGATCGCCGCCGAGCCGCGGTCCGACGGCGCGTCGGGGTCGAGCTCCTCATCAGAGTCTGAGCCGGACGTGTCGGAGAAGGCGCTATGTGCTGCGCGGTAGGAGAGATGCGGCAGCGGCTCGAGGTGCAATGCGAAGGGCAGCGTGAAGAGCTGCTGCAGCTCGGGCGCCTGCCGAGCCGCCTCGCCGTCGTGAGATGCGCCGGCGGCGGCCTGCTCCTCGCGCCGCTTGCCAGCCTCATCAGCGGCGGCGGCAGCATGCGCAGCAGCCTCGGCGGCGGAGAGCATGCAGATGCGGCAGCGGATGCGGCGTCGGGACGAGACGGATGGGAGTGGAGCGGGACGAACTGAAGCGAGCGGGCCTCTGCGGCGCGTCCTCCGGCCTGCTGCTGGGGCGGCGGCCTGTGCCGTCATGCGCGGCTTGGGCGGCGCCGCCTCCACAGGACCAGGATGCAGCGCCGCCGCACACGCCCCTCGCCTGCCTGCCCAGCTGCGGCTACGCTGCGGCTGCCGCTGGCGTACCTCATGGGCTGCGCCGCTCCGCTGATCTCGCGCCGTTCCTGCGCTAAATCGGGTCCAGCTCTCTCCGCACCACTCCACCTCCTTCCACGCCTGTATACCAGGAAGCGGATCGGCCGGCACTGCTCCTGTTGCCGGCGGCCCGGCGCAACCTTCTTCTCTCCTTTCGGCTGGCTTCGCGCCATCTGCGTTCTGCAGCAGTGCGGCCATCTCTGCCGCAGGAACGGGTCCTGGAGCCATGCAGGCCTCAGAGGCACGCCATGGCCAATGGGCTGCCGCAGCACGCGGCAGGCCAAGTGGTAGCCGTGTCGCGGCACGCCTCTTCTCACGCACGGCCCGCTCGATGTGAGCCTCATGATGGGGAAGAAGAGCGGTACAGGGCGTCGGCCGCGGTATTCCGCGCTGCAAGGTGCAGGACGGAGGATGTCCGAGGCTCATGACGATGATGAGCAGCGGCGGCTGCGGCGCTGGCGCTGCTGTGGCTCTGCTGCACTGCTGTCGGCGCTGATGCGAGATGCCGCTGCGGGTGCACGCATGTCGACGGCACGCGGTGCGCGATGCCGCGGCACGCGCGGCCGGCGGCACCGGGAGGCCTAGCGCGCATGAACCCCTCCGGCGGCACGGCCCCCTCCCTGAGCATTCGATTGTGCCCCACGTTCTGGCGCTCTGCACCTGCGCTGTCCGTGGCTCGAGATGCAGCTCTGCAGCAGACGCAGCAGCCAGCGGAGCCCATGCGGCACGAAGCCACTGCAGTCTTAGTGTGCTCCTCCGGCGCCTGTGCTGCCTCGCACCTCATAAGCAGCACGCTGCAGTCCGGCGTCTCCTCCCACCACCCAGACTCATCCCAACACGCGCCAAGATGTTCAAGAAGCTCTTCCTGCTCGTGGCCCTCGCGCTCCCGGCGCTCGCCGAGTACGACGACCCCGCGCACTTGCCGGCCAAGACGGACGCGGCGCACGGCCAGACGGGCTACAACGACGTGAGTGAGGCGCAAGCGCTGCCATAGCAGAGCGAAGCGAACGGCGCTGGCCAGCCGCGCTGGCGCGCCCCTCGCCCGACCGTGAGCCGCCTGACACCATGTGCCGCACACAGTGCATCTCGCGCTACGGCGCCTCGAGCCAGAAGAGCAAGTGCCAGAACGTCTTTGTCAACAGCGTCAAGGTGCGTGGCGCATGTGACGGCGGCGCGCCGAGTCTGACGCCCTCGCGCAGGACTTCTGCCTCTGGGGCCCGCCGAAGCCCAACTCAAACGTCGGCGACACGGAGGAGGAGCAGGTGGCATGGTGCACCAAGAGCGGCTACGGCACGCGTCTGATCCCCGACGGCACCCTGACGGGCGTGCACTTCCTCAAGACGGGCGACTTTGTGCAGGTGACCGGCACGGGAGACTTGACGAAGCTCAACATCCGCCAGGGTGACGAGGGAGGCGAGCTGGACCCGCATGGGTGCGTCTTGTCTTCCGCCCCTCGATGTGCTGATACGCCGCAGCTGACCTCCACGCTCTCGTCACTCTTTGCTGCGCGCAGTGCCACCGGCGCGGGCAACCCCGTCGGCGGCCTTGTCTTCACCCGTGCGATCACAAAGGGCAAGTTCCAGCGCATCTACGAGTGGAACAACTTCATGGGTGAGCGCCTCGAGTGAAGCAGACATGGTCGCCGAAGGTCTGACGACGCTCTCTTGCGCTCCACAGACTACCAGACGTTCTGCATCCGCGGCTGCTTCGGCAAGTACCGCACCAAGTTCTGCCCGCACATCTACGATCTGCTCGGCTGCAACTTCAGCGAGCCGGCCAACTACTCGCCGGGCGTGTTCGAGCAGTGCGACGGCGACTCGGGCCAGTTCCCCGGTGCGTCTTCCTCTGTGTACGCTCGAGCGAGCTCATGCTGACATCGGCACTGCAGGGATCTACGGCAGCTCGACCTTCTACCAGGGCCAGGAGCCCACCCCGGCCCCTCACCCGGCCGGCACGTCGTCCAACTGTCGCCAGTACCCCACCGTCTCGAACGGCCCGGCGGCGTACATTCCCTCGCGCCGTGATGTCTACGCCAGAGAGACGCCTGTCCCTCGCGCTGCAGAGGCGGCCGCCGACGAGTAGAGCACCCTCGGTGCCGGATCTTTATGCCTGTTGCTTCCGTCTTGCTTCACCGCAGTCCGCTTCGAGAAGCTCCTTGTTCCGTGCTACGTGACTGCGCCAATGTCCTGTTCCCGATCTCTTCTATGCGTACACACTTGAATGTGCCAAGTCTGATGTGAACTGTGTCACGGTCTCACTTCGTGAAGCACGAAGCGAGGCCAGCTGCAGTGGACTGCATTTGAGGACGATGCAGGAGCGTCGCGCGTGAGGCTGCCGCGCGGCGTCTGATCTGCTCTGTGCCTCCACGCTACACGCGTGGCGGCGCTCGGACCGCCGCGTCTCCTCCACCACACCCCATCGCGCTCGCTTCTCTCGACCTCTCTGCCAGGACAGCCAGGCAGCGCCGTGCTCCACCGATGACCGCCGGCGCAGGCGTCGGCGCGGCCGATGTGCCGCCCGACGAGCAGCTGGGCACAGATGCAGCTCGCGCGCCGCCTGCCGCATCAGACGGCGAAGACGAGCAGCGCCGCACGCCGACGCCCACGCAGGCATCGTCGCAGCCGCAGCCCTCAAACCTGACGGCAGCCCTGACGCTCACGCCGCCGACGTCGCTGGCGAAGCTCGCGCCGCTCTCCAGCGCCGCGCCAGGTCCTGCGCCGCATGTCGCGCCTAGCAGCGCCCCCGAGCCGCTCGACCTCGCCGGCTGCGACAGCGGTGCCTCGCTCGTCTTCGCGCCGCCGGCTCACACCGCGAGCTCAAGCGCAGAGCCGTCCACTGCCCGAACGCGCTCGTCGACGGCAGCATCGTCAGCGCCGCAGTCTGCCGCCAGCGCCGTCGGCACGCCGCACCCGCCGCCGCGCACGCAGGCGCAGCAGCAGAGCGCGCGGGCGCAGCATGCCGAGCCTGGCCGGCTCGGCGAGCTGAAGCGATTCACGCTCTGGGAGACCAAGACGCGCTTCTACCTCGTAGCCTTCAATACCTCCCAGACGCGCTTCCGCATCCTCAAGGTCGACCGCACGCTGGCGCAGCCGCGCAGCTCGGGCCGGCCTGATGCCTCGGCGGGCGCAGCTGAAGGCAGCAGTAAGGAGGCAGGCCACGCTGCGGAGACGGGCTTGGGTGTCGATGGTGGCGCTGCCGCAACCTCGACCTCGGAAAGCACGCAGTGGGAGCTGAACCTCACATCGGACCGCGTCGTGTACACGAGACAGCAGGTGAGCGAGCTGCTTGACATGATCGCCGAGGGCAACCGCTCCACGGGCGGCCTGAAGGAGGTCGGGCGCTTCTTTGGCATCGTCGGCTTCATCCGCTTCACCAGCGGCTACTACATGGTGCTGATATCAGCGCGCTCCGTCGTGGCGCTCATCGGCGGGCACTACGTGTACCACTGCGACGACACGCGCATCATTCCCGTGTGCCACCCGTCTGTGCTCGCGAGCGTGCCGGGCCGCTCCAAGGCCAAGGACGCAGAGGAGGCGCGCCTGCTGCACACGTTCAAGCAGGTCGACCTGTCGAAGAACTTCTACTTCTCCTACACGTACGACCTCACCAAGACGCTGCAGGACAACCTGACCGGCGGCAGCGAGACGGCATGCCCTTCCATCGCTCAGCAGCGACACGCGGTGCCATCGCGCAGTAGCACGGCCTGGGGCTACAACGAGAAGTTCGTCTGGAACCATCACCTCCTCGTGCCCGCATTTGGTGCATCAGAGCACCTGCAGCGGCCGCGCTACGAGCCTGACGCCTCGCTGCGCGACGCCGAGTCGGCCGCGGATGCCAGCATCGACGCAGCATCCGAGTGGGTGCTGCCATTGGTGTACGGCTTCGTCGACCAGGCCAAGCTGAGCGTGCTCAACCGCACCGTGCACATCACGCTCCTCGCGCGGCGCTCGCGCCACTTCGCTGGTGCTCGGTTCCTCAAGCGCGGCACCGACGAAGAAGGACACGTGGCCAACGACGTCGAGACGGAACAGATCGTGGCCGATGGCCTCACCACGCCGTTCTACGCGCCCGCCCGCTCGGCAAAGCTGCGTACCGAGGCCCACGACGGCGGCGCAGATGCAGGCCCTGCGCTCGGCGTCAGCCCGCGCTACACGTCGTACGTGATGCATCGCGGGAGCATCCCGATCTACTGGACGCAGGACTCGACGAACATGTCGCCGCGACCGCCGATCGAGATCTCCGTCGTCGATCCGTACTTCTCGTCCGCCGCGCTGCACTTCGACGACATGCTGCGCCGCTACGGCCACCCGCTCATCGTGCTGAACCTCATCAAGAGCAAAGAGAAGCAGCCGCGCGAGGTCAAGCTGCTGCACGCCTTCGGCGAGTGCGTCGCATACCTCAACCAGTTCCTGCCGGCCGACAAGCGCCTGCGCTACATCGCGTGGGACATGAGCCGCGCGAGCAAGAGCCACGACCAGGACGTCATCGGGGTGCTGGAGGACATTGCAGAGGGCACCGTCGAGGCCACGCGCTTCTTCCACTCGGGACCCGAGCCGGCGCTCTTCGAGTCGGCTGCGACACGGAACGTCAAGACTGCCGGCCCGCGCCGCGAGACGATCCTGCTCCAGAGCGGTGTCGCTCGCGTCAATTGCGTCGACTGTCTCGATCGCACCAACGCCGCGCAGTTCGTCATCGGCAAGGCAGCCTTAGGCCACCAGCTGCATGCACTCGGCCTGCTCGAGAGCCCTTCGCTGCCATTCGACAGCGCTGCAGTGGACATGCTCACCGAGATGTACCACGACCTGGGCGACACCATCGCGCTGCAGTACGGCGGCAGCCACCTGGTCAACACGATGGAGACGTACCGCAAGGTCAACCAGTGGACGTCGCACTCGCGTGACATGCTCGAGGGCCTGAAGCGCTACTACTCGAACTCCTTCGTCGACGCAGACAAGCAGGCAGCGATCAATCTCTTCCTCGGCATCGACCCGGACACGGCCGAGGCGCGCCCTGCTCCGCGCCTGCTCGATGCACACGGCAAGCTGGCGCCGAAGCGGCGAAGCTACCGCAACTGGTACACGCCCGAGTACCTCGAGGATCGTGGCACGGTGCAGGAACGCCAGCAGCGCCTCAACGATGTCGTGACGGCGGACCGTGGCTTCTGGGCCGAGTACTACAGGCCGAGCCTCTTTACCGAGTGAGTGCAAGACGCCCTCTCCTGCTGCTTCCTGTCGCTGACGCTCTGCTGCCAGCCTGCTCCGGCATCACGCGTTCAAGATGACCGCCGTCCATCAGCACCAGCAGGCTGCGATCGGGCCGCCATCGACAGCCGCGTACGTCTCGGCCTCGCGCTTTGCGCAGAGCCCGTCGAGCAACTCGCACGCGCGCAAGACGAGCAACGGCTCGTCGATCATCGCCCGCAGCGCGTCAATACCCTCAATGACCGAGGTCAACGCGGTGCCCGTCGAGCGCGCAGTCCTCACTCTGAGCCCCTTCACGGCACGCGTGCCTGGAGGCTCAGCTCCTACCCCCTCGTCGCCCGTGCGCCCCAAGCCGAGCGGCAGCGAGAGCCCAAGAGCTCTCATCGGCGGCGTGCGCCGCTGGATGTCGCTCAATCGCGATGGCAAGCGCGACGGGCAGTCAAAGCGGCGCAGCTCCATGCGCACAGCAGGCGGTCGTGCTTCGCCCAGCTCCGACGACGGCACATCGAGCGGAGCGGCTGGCGGCGCAGCGTCCATCGAAATTACGCCCTCCATGCAGCGCGACGCCTGGCCGAACTGGGGCGACCCAGAGCGCCTTGCACAGCACCCAGTCGTCCCATCGGCAGTGCAGCTGGTACGCCAGGTCGACGCCCTCACGGCGCCGAGCGTCTCGGCGCTCGAGGCTCGCGAGTACGACAATTGGCTCTCGCAGTTCGGCGAGAAGGCCGAGTGCGGCGTGCGCGGCCTCGGCGCCCGCGTGGCAGACGAGGACGCGGCGCTGTACGCCGTCGGCGCGGACTTGGCCGCCGGCGAGGCGCTCGCCGTGGCGCGTATGATGGCACAGTACAGCCTCGGCGGCGAGGACGACGACGGCTGGCCCAGCGCGCACCAGCCCGTCGATGCGGCGCTGCAGACATACGCACATACCGCACAGATGCTCAGAGCCGGCGCGCCAAGCCTGCCCACGAGCGAGGGCAAGCTGCGCGCGTACAACTCCTGGCTTGTTGGACCCGTCGACGCATGATGACCTTTACGACCTGATCCTCATCCACTGTAGACTAAGCATCACGATTGCCTCGCCACTGCCGGCCCTCGCGGCGCGCTCAGTGGCCCTTGCCCTTCTTCTGCACGCCGGCCGGGTTGAGCTTGCGGAAGGAGAAGAAATTCGGGAAGCCGACGGGCAGGTGCACGGCTGCCCACTTGGCCTGTGGAGAGTGTCAGCGTCTCAGCCACATCTGTTGCGCTGCTGCATCGTGAGCACATACCGCCGTGACGACCGAGCCGCCGCGCTTGAGCACATAGAGGAACATGAGCACGCTCTCGACGGCGTGCGCGACGCCGATCTGGCGCAGCAGCCAGGCGGCCCAGTCGGGCGCGTCGGGGTAGCGCTGCAGCACGGGCATCAGCGCCACCTGCGCCGCCGGGAAGTCGTACGCCTTGCTGAGCGCGTAGAGCAGCGCGCCGAGCGCCAGAGCGCCGGGAAGGTGTGGCGTGACGCCGAAGCGGACGGGGTACTGTCGATGTAGAGGTCAGCGTTCAGACATGAGCAAGGGGGGGGGGGGGCTTCCTGGCAGCGAGAGCGCGCTCACGCAGCCTCACAACTACGCGCATCGGGTCGTCCCTCAAGTCGCACAGATGGCTCGTTGAGCGCCAGGCAGGTAAAGCGAGGCCCCCCATGGGACCTCCACTGCACTGCGCGCTGCTGCTTTCCACAGCGTCTCAATCTCACTACGCACCCAAAGGCCGGCACTTTCATTGCTGAGGCCGACAAAGGCGGCGCGCGCCTCGCCCGACTGCTTGAGCGGCTGCTTGAAGGCGACGCGCGCGCGGCGCTTCTCGGCCTTGGAAGCGAGGCTGTGCTGCAGCGTGTACTCGACGTCGAAGCCGTCGGCATCGATGGCCGTGGCGCGGGCGCGCGAGGGCAGGTACGGCAGCTCCTCGCTGCGCGCGACGATGCTGCGCAGCGAGTCGGCGTGGTCGCCGTTGAGGTGGGCGAGGATGGAGCTGGCGCGCGTCTTGAGGTCTGCCATGGTGTGTGCTGTGTGTGGTGGTGCTGAGACAAGGCGGAGCGGGCTGAGGCTGCTGCTGACGCTGGACGGGCTGCTCCGGCACTCCACACGTCGCCCGCCCGCCCGCGCCGCGCGTGGAAGCCGGAGGCCCGCCGCTGCCCCGCAGTCGCCAGCTGCTCCCACGCTCTCCGTCCCGACTCCCGACCCCGCGAGGCGCGGACCGGGCCGGCGCCGCTCGCGAGCCGTGCGCCGGGCAGCGCTGCTTGCCCCCTGCCTCGTCTCCACCTCCATCATCCGCCTGACCCACACTCACGCTCGCCCAGCATGCACGCCTACATCATGGACGCCGACATCAAGCAGCTCAGCGAGCTGCCGGGCAAGCTGCGCCGCGACGCGCCGGCGCCCAGCGTCGACGCCGACGGCACCGAGGTGCTCGTCGACGTCTACAGCGCCAGCCTCAACCTGTGCGTGCGCTGCACTGGCCTGCGCCTGCCCCCACTCACAAACCCGCAACAGCTTCGACCAGCTGCAGGTGCGCGGCAAGTACCAGATCAAGAAGCCCTTCCCCTACATCCCAGGCACCGAGATCGCCGGCGTCATCTCGGCCAACTCGCCGATCCCCGATGGCTGCAACTGGGTGCCGGGCAAGACGCGCGTCTTTGGCAGCGCCAATGGCAGCTATGCAGAGCGTGAGCAGCGTCTATCAGGGTGATCAGAGCCAGCACTGACGCGGGAGCCGCATCAGAGGTCGTCGCGGAGAGCTCGTCGCTGCAGGAGATCCCAGAGGGCATGTCGTTCGAGGAGGTGCGTGGTGCAGAGGCGCGAGTGTCGCAGCAGGTGCTAATGCCACGTCGCAGGCTTCCGGGCTCTACGTGACCTGGCCGACGTCTTACGCAGCGCTGCGCTTCCGCGCCAACGTGCAGCCGGGCGAGTGGGTGCTCATCCACGCCGGCGCTGGCGGCGTTGGTCTCTGCGCGATCCAGATCGCAAAGGCCCTCGGCGCCAAGGTAATTGCGACGGCGGGCAGCGACGAGAAGCTCAAGGTGTGCACTGAGGTCGGCGGTGCAGATCATGCCGTCAATTACCGCGACAAGGAGTGGTTCAAGAAGGTGAAGGGTGAGTAAGAGACGCGCACCCTGGCCAGGCCGCATACTGAGCCCCGCCGCAGAGATCACGGAGGACCACGGCGTCGACGTCGTGTACGACCCGGTCGGCATGATTCTCCCGTCGCTGAAGGTGAGAATTGCAGCAGGTCCAGCCTGTGTCTCGCTCTTTGACCACCGTGCAGTGTATCGCATGGAACGGACGGATTCTCGTCATCGGCTTCGCTGCGGGCGACATTGAGAAGGTGCCGGCCAACCTGGTGCTGCTGAAGCAGTGCACCCTGATGGGCGTCTTCTGGGGCCTCAACACGTGCGTGGCGTGCCGCTTTGCCTCGCACGATAGTCTCTGCTGATTCGCGGCTTCACAGCGTCAAGGACCCGGAGCAGGTGCCCAAGGTCTGGGACGGCATCATGGAGCTGCTCACGAGCAAGAAGGCAAAGGCCGTCGTCTACAAGAAGGTCTACGACGGTGCGTGACTTGCCCTCCATCTGATGCCTGCCACGACTGACTCGCATGCTGCACACAGGTCTAGACCAGCTGACGCCGGCTCTCGAGGCGCTGATGGCGCGCGAGACCTGGGGCAAGGTGGTTCTCCGCGTCCGTGCCGACCCCCAGAACCCGCCCAAGGGCAAGTCGAACCTGTAGGCGCGCTCCTGCGGTGACGATGGCACACACGGCGGCCAGTGATGAGGCGAGGGCGAGGTGAATGTGATGAGATTGGTATCGAGATGCGTGTGAGACGTGACAGATGGGTGAAGGCGCCGCGACGCAGACTTGAGCTGCGCTACAGCGCGTCGAGCCAGCCCTGCAGTCCTGACTTGGGCGCGGCCGTCTTGGCCGCCTCTTGCTGCTCTCGCCGTGCTTTGTCGGCCGCGAGCATGGCGCGCAGCGCAGCCTTCTTCTCGCTCTTGGCGCTGCTGCCGCCGCGAGCGCTCGGTATCTCTCTACTTGAGGACCGTGTCGGTGGTGGCGCAGGAGGAGCAGGAGCGAGCGGTGGTGACGCCGCGATGGCAGATGTGCTTGGTACCTGCAGAGCTGGTGCAGCATGCGGCGGTGCGGGCCGCTCCGGCGGGACAGCGAGGGACGCCGCCTCGGCCTTGCGCTTCTTCTTCTGCAGGCGCTTCGCGTCGAGCGTCTGTGGGATGGGCTCGGCCTGGGCAGGAGCCGCGCGCGGTGGCTCGACGCTCTTCGACGACGTTGCGACGGGCAGCGCTGGGGCCACGGCTGCTCGCTTCTCCTGAGCCTGCTGCGCCGCCTTTGCCTTTGCTGCCCGTTGCCGTGCGCGCGTCGAGGGCACAGCCGGCTTGCTCGTCAATGCGGGCGAGCACACCGTGCCGCAGAGCAAGCACTTGCGCGAGCGTCTGCCCGTGCGTGCCGTCATGCCGGGGATGAGGGGCACATCGCAGCGCACGCAGCTCGGGTTGTGCGCCGCAAAGAAGGCCGGCAGCGCTCGCCGCTCGCCTGCCTGGCCGCCGGGCTCGCGCGAGAAGGCCGCAGCGAAGTGAGCGGCATGCCGCGGTGCCTGTGGCAGAAAGGCGTGCGCCAGGAGATGCTGGTGCAGCTCCGACATGGGCTTGGGGCTGGCGCCTTGATGCTGTGGAGCCGCGCGAAGGTGGGAGCAGCGCATGGCCAGCCAAGGCAGGGCGCATCCACGTGACCGCTGACGCGGCGGCGCTCAGGCCGGGGCTGCGCGGCGGCGCGGCGGAGGTGCTCGAGCCACCCCGCCGCGCGGCTGCCTCCTTCGACACCGGCTCGCAGCTCCCTTGCCGCACCTCCACCGCATCCCTCCACCCATCATGATTGCGCTCAACCCCAGCCGTGCACCGCACGCCGCCACATCGGCGCCCACGGCGCATGCCTTCTCGCCCTACACCGACAACGGCGGCTCCATCCTCGCCATCGCCGGCGCCGACTTCTGCGTCGTCGCCGGCGACACGCGCCAGAGCGAGGGCTACAACATCCAGACGCGCTACAAGCCCAAGGTGCACCGCCTGTGAGTCGAGCACCGGATGCCGTGTCTTGAGCGAGTGGCGTAGCAGGTGCAGCGGCGAAAGATGCTGCAGCTCGGACGACGCGAGTAGTGCTCAGCCAGCCTGCTCACGCCTCCTCCACGCAGCACCGACCGCGCCACGCTGGCTTGCAACGGCTTCAGCGCCGATGCCGAGGCGCTCGTGTCGCGACTGAAGCAGCGTCTCGAGCTGTACCGCCACGCGCACGGCTCCTCGATGCCGCTGCACTCCATCGCACGCCTCATCAGCACGATGCTGTACGGCAAGCGCTTCTTCCCCTACTACGTCTACAACATCCTCGGCGGCGTCGACGAGCAGGGCCGCGGCGCCGTGTACAGCTTCGACCCCGTCGGCAGCTACGAGCGCGAGTTCTGCCGCGCTGCTGGTGCCGCACAGAGCCTGCTGCAGCCGTTCCTCGACAGCCAGGTGAGTGCTGTGTTGCGAGCGGCGGTGACAGTGTGGTGTGAGCGGCGGTAGGTCGCAGTTCTGGCAATTCGTGATCAGCGCGACGGACGCCGTGCCGTGCTCCTTGAATGCCTCTGCCGCCACTCCATACTCACACACTCCCCGCAGATCATGTTCAAGAACCAGCTGCCCGTGGCCGCGCGGCCAATCCCCGAGCCAGGGACCATGACGGTGCCCGAGGTGCTGCGCATCGTCACCGACTCGTTCACCTCGGCCACCGAGCGGCACATTGAGGTGGGCGACGGGCTGGAGATGTACATTGTGCGCGTGCCCGGCTCGGCGGCCAGCGAGGTGCAGCTGCAGAGCGCCGTCGAGGCGACGGGCGGCGAGGACACGCAGACGCCGGGCGCTACGGTTGTCCTGCGACGAGAGCTCAAGAAGGACTGAGAGCGGGCGTGTGTAATTCACGGTTGTGTTCGACTGCGGTGTGCTCGAGCTCTGAGAGAAGCGCTTGCCAGACCATCTGAAGCCTGCGGTGCGATCGACACTGTTGCGCTTCGTCGATCCGAGCCTCATTCCCACAGCCGAGCCAGCAGCGCCCGTCCATGAGACTTGAGCTGCTCGTCATGCGTCTGATCATCGCGCGGCAGCGCCCGTTTGGAGCTTCTCAGCCGGACAAGGAGGACGCTAAAGGCGGCGCTGCTGCGCTGGCGCTTTGTCCGCGTCGAGCTTGCTCTAGGGGCAGACCCGACTGCCTTGGGCCTCTCTTCAGCCCCACACAAGTCGCGTCCTTCTCGCACCCGTCCCTGGCGGCAAAGGAGGACTGGAGGTGCCGCAGGACCAGCGAGTGTAGAGACAGAAGTGCTCTTCTTGGACGTTGCGAGGACGAGGCGTACTGGGGATGCCCCGTGCGAGCGTCCCCTCGAGCGCTCGACGGCGCATCTTCGTCGCCGCGATGACCTCTCTCGCGGCGCCGGCGCAAGGGGAAGCCAAATCAAATGGGCCAGCGGGGCATCGACGACGCCCGCAGCCGCTCGTCTGCGCTGTGCTGCTCAATCTCACGGCGTGCCGAGCGCAGGGCCCAGCAGCGCCTGTCGCATGAGAGGTCAGGGAGCCTCGGGCCGTGTGCCCTCTCATGTCTGTGCTCGCGGCGCTGCAGCCAGCGCACCGCACCGCGCACAGAGACGCCGCTGCGGCTGGGCTGCAGATGCACGGCTGGGCGCAGCGCGGCGGCGGCGGATGCGGCGCGGCGTGCTTGCCTCTCAGAGCGACAGCGAGACGCGTGTGCCGCTGCGACGCAGCCTGTGCCGGCCTGCCGTCGCGGCGGCGGCGGCGGGCGCGCTTGGCTCGGCCTGCGCGCGCTTGCCTTGCGCTTGCTGCACGGCGCACCGCACGTCGCGCCGCGCACCGACGCTCCGCCAAGTCCTCTCGTGACCACGATCCTGCTTCCTTGACGCCGCCTCACGCCCTCGCCGCTGCCTCCTGCTGCACCCTACGCAGCACTGCGCCGTCGCTCCGTCTGTGCGCTCTTCACCTCGCCGCGCGCCGGCTCTCTGGCGTGCGCCGTCGCCGAGCGCGTCCGCCGAGCTGCTCGTCGCCGCGCACCACCTGCCTCGCCCACGCGCCCCGCTGCATCCGCGACGCGGCTGCTCGCACGGCCCTTGCTTCGCCTGCGTAGAGGCTGCCTCGCTCGCAGCTCCCTTCAGCAGCTAGCTTCTCGTCGCATCTGTTTGAAGCTGGCCGCTCCTAGCGTGCTCGGTGAGTGCAGGCGACGTCGTGCACGGATGGTGTTGCTCTCTGTGCCCGTGTCTCGCATGCGAGAGGAGACTTTGCATGGGCACAAGGCATCGTCGCCTTCTCTCTCGGAGCTGCTAGGCTGCTGCACCGCCAGCACAGATGTAGCCTTGGTGCCTGGTGCGCGACTCCACAGCCCGAGACTCGCCAACACCTCGCCCGCGCTGGCTCGCATCTCTGGGCCACGTCTGACGCCCTGCCTACAGCCCGCAATGGCCTTCAACTTCTCCTCCATCCAGGCCTTCTTCACCGGCGCGCCCAGCTCGTCGAGCTCGGGCGCGCGCAGCAAGCGCGGCTCGGCCTTTGGCTCGGGCCTGCCGTCGGCCTCTCGCCGCGCGCCGCCGGGCCGCCTGGGCGACTTCGACGACGGCGGCGCTGGCACCTGGTCGCTGCCGTACAGCCAGCGTTATGGGCAGGAATCGCCGTCGCCCTTTGGCAATGGCAGCGGCATGGCCAGTCCGTCGAGCGCCGGGCCGCTCGGCCAGGCCTACCCGCCGGCGCCGGGCAGCGCGCGGCCGTGGCGCTCCGAGAACGGCGCCGCCTCGAGCGTCACGGCGCTCACGTCGGGCGGCGGCGCGCGGCCATCTATGGACGCCAACCACTCGGCGAATATCAGTATCCCGTCGACGGCCTACCCGCCGCTGCGGCACACGTGGCAGCGCATCCGCAAGTGGTGCGACGACAACTACTTTGAGCTGGGCGACACGCTCAACTGGCCCGCGCTCGACTCTGCGCTCGACGAGCTGGAGATGACGATTGGCTTTTCGTTGCCGCCGGCGGTGCGCGACAGCTACCTGTGCTACGACGGCCAGGAGCTCGAGTCAAAAGAGAGCTGCAGCGACGGCATCTTCTTTGGCCTGCCGCTGCTCTCCATCGAGCAGATCACGCAGGAGTGGCGCTTCTGGCGCAACGTCGACGAAGACCCGTCCTCGGGCGCCAACGACGAGGTGCGCGGCTGGATGACGTCGTGCCCGGCCGGCTGGGTGCGCTCCGAGTACAGCTGCCGCGGCTGGCTGCCGCTCATCACCGACCACGTGGGCAACTACATCGGCGTCGACCTCAGCCCCGCGCCATCAGGCGGCGGCGCGCCCGGACAGGTCATTCTCTTCGGCCGCGACTTCGACACCAAGGTGGTGCTCTGGCGCGGCGAAGGCGAAGGCGGCTGGGGCCGCTTCCTGCAGTTTGTGGCCGAGGAGCTCGAGGCCGGTGAGATGTGGAGCCTGGAGGAGGTCAACAGCGGCTCAGAAGACGAGGAGGACACCGTTGGCTACGAGTCGTACTTCTCCGGCGGCGGCTCGGGCGCAGGCCTTGGCGGCGGTGACCGTGGCGGCAGCGGCGCGGCCGGCTTCCGCCTCACGGGCGACTACAAGGGCTGGCCCGTGCTCGAGGCCTGGGCCGAGCGGTCGATGCGCAACTGGGAGGAGATCGGACTCCCGGCGGGCCAGCCGGCATGGACGCTTGAGACGCCTGCTCTGCGGCTCGACGAGTCCGAGCGCGTGAATGAGAACGGCGAGGCCATCGATGCCGAAGGCAGCGGGTCGCAGGCGCAGCCCGAGGTGGCAGTGCTCATCGAAGAGGACAAGTCTGGCGCTTCGACCTCGGGCGAGGATGCCGCTTCGCACCCGCTCGCCTCGCCTGGCTCGCAAGGCAGCTCCTCGACAGTCACGGGCGCAGGCGCGTCAGGCAGCAGCGCCTTTGTGCCTGCTCCGATCGACGCACGAGACACGCTCTCGCCGCCCTTACCCTCTACCAAGGCATCGCGCGCCAAGCAAAAGCAGCGCGAGCTGGGCCCCGACGCACAGCTGCAGCAGCAACAGCAACAGCAGGTGCCTCGGGTGCGGCGTCCGCCGCCGGCGCCCGCTGCGCCACTCGACCTGCCGACGATCGACGATGTGCGCGCAGCACATGCCGCCGCCATGGCGGCCTCGGCCGGGCACTACCACTTCGACATGGAGCGCAACCGTCCGCCCGCGGGTGCGGGCGGCATGGGCATGGGAATGGGCATGCGCAGCAGCCCTGTCGTGCCTGGCGGCGGCCTGCTGCCCGGCGGCGGCAATCCGCGGCGGAGCAGCAACAGCGGCGAGTGGTACCGCGATGCCGTGCGGCGAGGGAGCGCCAACACGGGCCTCGGCCTGCGCGACACGCCAATGCCGCGCGACGACGACAGCGTCGAGCTGGACACGCGCTCCAGCAGCGATGCGTACGATCCGCTCGCTGCGAATGCCGCGCATGCATCGAGCAACTCGATGCTGTCTGACGTCGTCGTCGACAGCACGGCTGGCTCGCGTCAGGGCGGTCTGACGAGCCCGCGCCTCTCATCTGCCAACTCCTTTACCAACACGTCGCGCACGCCCTCGCGCACTCTCGTTGCCAATGGCGAGCTGCCGCTTATCGACGCCGGCTCAGCCCCAAGCTCGCCCGGACTGCGCCAGCCGTCGCCGTACGAGCCAAACGTGTCGAGTCCGCTGGCAGGCCAGGGCGCCTTCCCCGGCACGCCGACGCTGACGCGGGCGCCGCCGCCGGCCGTGAAGAGCCCGCCGCACTCGCGCACGAACAGCATCATGGGCTCGGCGCTCGTCGACGCCACGCCCAAGACGCAGCAGCAGGCGGCCGTTACGGGCGCCCTTAACTTCTCCTCCGCCTAATCGTCCACGCCCTCACGTCTAGCGGCACCATGGCGGCGAGGCTCTGATCGTCGAGCTCTGCGGTGCCTCTCCCTCCTCTCTCGGCGCGTCTGCGGCGCCACTACATGCCTCGTTTACGACTTCCTTACGTATGGCCCGGATGTCCGCCTCCTCTCCTGTCCGCTCCTCCATCATCTCTCGAGCCTCTGCGGCATCCTCCGCCGACAGCACGGCCGATGGGCCTCGCGCGCTCTCTCTCCATCGCGTCCAGCTCCCACTCCATCTTGCCCGCCGCATCTACATCACTCTCCACACCATCCCACTCTCCCCTTTCGGACTCTCCCATCCGCCATCCACGCCCTATAAACCCCGCGCCGCGTCAATACACTTCTTTGCCGTCTTCAGGGTGCTGGCTGTCTGCAGGCGTCAGTTCTGCGCCAGCTTGCAATCGCTGCCGCCGAGCACAGTCTGCTTGGCTCGCTCGCACCGCTCACACACGTGCTCGGGCCGCGAGGGTCACTCTCTGATGATGCGTCCTGAATACTCGCGGCTCGCCTCTCGAACAGACTCGCACGCAGGGCGCTATCTTGCGTGATTGTGGGCTGGTGATACAAAGGCTGGGAATGGACGGGTGCTGGCTCGCGCGAGCGAGGCAGCACGCGGATGTGTAGTACGGCGAGTGAGGCGGGAGAGAGACCGAGACGCAGGAGCTGGCGTGACGATGAGGCGGCGCATTGATGTTTTGAGGCCTTGCTGCCCGGCGCACGATGCGACTACCTCGTGAGCATGCATTGGCGATGTGTGAGGCGCAGCGAAGCGCACGAGCGCTGTGGATCTCGCCTGCGCCGAGACCGGACCTTGTGCGAGGAGCGGCCCGGGCGAGATGGCGTTGCGCAGAGCGCTTAGGCACGGACGCCGCCCAGCTGCTCGACCATGGCGTCGATCTCGTCTTGGTCCTCGATCTCGAGCTGCGTGAGGGCAGGCAAGAGCGGTCAGCATGACGAAAGTCTCTCAATGGCAGGCAGCACGCAGCGGACCTCAACACCGGACCAGAGCGCAATCGGCGACGACGCGACGACAGCACGGGTAGTGCGCAGCACGAGAGCGCAGAAGAGCCAGTTCGTAGTCGCCGGGTGCCAGACGGGCAACAGATGCTCCTGACTGCCGCTGCAGCCACGCTACGAGCGCATACCTCTAAGAGGCACGCCGTGCGTACAGCTCGAGCCTGACAGCGGCGACAGCATGCGGCCGCAAATCATCACCTCTGACAGCCGCACACTCTGCGCTGCCCTCCAAAATGCCCTTCGACCCCACCGCTGCGCACGCCAAGCCCACGCTCTCCTTGCCGCCGCACCACTCACACTCTCGGCCGTGTCGTCGTCGTTGACGCGCGTGCCGTCGTAGAGGAAGCGCACGGTGTTCTCGGGCTTGCCCATGCGCTCGGCGTACGCCTTGCGCAGCTTGCCGAGGCGCGTGCTCTTCTTGACCTTGAAGAAGACCTCGTTGCCGTCGCCGTCCTTGACCTTGATGTTGAGCTGGTCGGCGCCCTCGGGCTTGGGTGCGGCGGGAGCCTCGTTGTCCGACATGGCCATCAAGTGCGGCGGGGTGCGAGCTGGGAGTGTGTTTGAGGTGAGATGTGCGAAGAGCGGCGGCAGAGTGCGGCGGTGGTGGTGGTGGCAAGGCAGGCCGCAGCGCTGGACCCAGCTGATGATGAGCGCCGCCCGGCTCGACGCGCTGCTGTGCGCGCCGCGGCGTGCCTCGACGCGCGGCTGCATCTGTTGACGCGGCTCCCCCTCTTTCGGCAGCCTCCACGCAGCGACCCCGCTGCCGTGCCGGCTCTCTGCTTGCGTCTGCGCCGCCATCAGCCTCGATAGTCAGCTCACCGCACCTCACTCTGAATATCGACTGTCATCTATCGGCAGACCAGCACCTCCAGGCCGCTGCGTTGCGCAGCGAGCGGCTCAGCCAACACGCGCGGGTGATGCGCGCTGACGACAGAGAGAGCCAGCCGGCGGCGGGCGCGGGCAGGGCAGTCGCGCTCGCCTGGGCCTTGTGCTGAGCATGGCCCCGGCGGGCCGCTCTCGGCCGTCTGTCCCGCTCCTGCGCTTCGCTTCCCTTCTCCACCTCTGACCCGCCGCACCACGTACACCCGGCCGTCGCTGCGCACCCACCTGCTGCCTAGCATCCGCACCGGCTCGCACCTCGCATCTGCAGCAGCACCCGTCCGCTCCGCGCGCCGCAGCAGCCATGGCCCCCACGCCCGAGGCCGCCGCGCAGGCCGCCTCGCGCACTGCCGCCCGTGCCGGCGCCCGTGCCGAGCAAAGCGCTTCGTCCTTCTCGCGCTGGGTCGAGCAGCACCGCCTGCTCGCCATCTCGCTCGGCCTCGGCACGCTCGCCGTCGGCGGTGCGGCCGGCTACTACTTCTTCGCCGGGCCTCGCACGCGTGGCGGCGCGCCGCCGCCGGCATCGGGCACCTCGAGCCCGCGCCTCTCCTCCGAGAAGGCGGCGGCTGGAGGGGAGAAGAAGAAGAAAAAGAAGAGCAAGGGCGGCAAGAAGAGCGCCGCCGCTGACGCCGGCTCGCTGCCGGCGCGCGAGGACGGCCCGCTGCTGGAGGAGGCTACGGATGGTGAGCAGGCCGATGCTGCGCACAGCCACATGCCGCTGACAATGCGCCAACAGAGGAGCTCTTCCTGCTCTCTGAGGACGCCATCCGTCGCATTCCGGAGGACCGCCGCAAGGACTTGGCGCAAAAACTGAAGCTGCTCGGCAACAAGGCCTACTCGCGGCGCGAGTTTGACGCCGCGGTGGGCCACTACACAAAAGCCATTGCGGCGGACCCGCAGGCTGTCTTCTACAGCAATCGCGCAGCCTGTGAGTGCCGGCTGGAGGTGGGGCAAGCGCTGCGCACTGGTGGTCCCAGCTGCACAGGCACGCTGCTACTGCCGCGGCGCTGTGCCTAGACCCTCTTGCGGATGCAGCTCCTGACCGGACTACCGCACAGGCTACTCGAACCTCGGGCGGCCAGCAGATGTGGTGCCGGACTGCGACGAGGCGCTGCGGATGGACGCGACCTATGTCAAGGCGCTGAACCGCCGCGCTGTGGCGCGCGAGCAGCTTGGCGGCGACGCGGCGGAGGAGGGGCCGCAGGGCGAGGAGGCACGTGCGACGCTCTTCAAGAGTCTGGTCGGTGAGTTTGCCTCCGAGCTGCGGCGCATTGCGTGAGCTGACGCTGCGCAGACTTCACCGCTGTCGGCATCCTGGGCCAGTTCAAGGACCAAAGCGCCATCGACGCCGTGGAGCGGGTGCTGAAGAAGATTGCCTCGTCCAAGGCCAAGGAGATCCTGCGGGTGCGTGTGCTACTGCCAGAGACATGCAGCTGCGACTGACGCGGCATCGAAGACACGGGAGCCGCGGCTGCCGTCGCCCACGTTCGTGACTGCGTACCTCGAGGCCTTCCGGTCAAGTGAGTGGCCTCGAGAGCACGCGCCTGCTGCTTGCTGACTCTGCGCTTCCGCAGAGCCGCGGCCACAATTGCCGGCCTCGCCGTCGCGCGGTGACAACCAGCTGATGCTGGCATACGACGCCATCGAGGCGCGCAACTACCCGCACGGCTTCACGTTGCTCAACGAGTCGCTCAGCAACGACGCAGCCGAGGACAAGCTGAGCAGCGAGACGCTCGAGGCCATGGCGCTCAACATGCGCGGCACGTTCCGCTTCGTCATTGGCGATGCGCCGGGCGCGCTCGAGGACCTGGAGCGCAGCACGACGCTGCTGCCCGGCTACGCGCAGACGTGGGTCAAGAAGGCCAGCGTGCACATGGAGCTGGGCGACAAGGACGAGGCGTTCCGCGACTTTGACCGCGCCACGACGGCGGACGCGAGCGACCCGGACATCTACTACCACCGCGGCCAGGTGCACTTTATCCTCAGCGAGTTCGACGAGGCCATCACGGACTACAAGAAGTCGACGGAGCTCGACAACACGTTCATCTTCTCGCAGGTGCAGCACGCCGTGGCGCGCTACAAGAAGGGCGAGACGGAGCGCTCGATGCACGAGTTCAAGAAGCTGCTGCGCACGTTTGAGTCGTCGTCGGAGGCGTACAACTACTTTGGCGAGCTGCTGCTGGACCAGCAGAAGTTCGAGGAGGCCGTCGAGCAGTTTGACCGCGCCATCGAGATCGAGGGCGGCAAGACGAACAGCCCGAGCGTGCTGCCGATGATCAACAAGGCCCTGGCGCTCTTCCAGTGGAAGCAGGACATGCCCACCGCCGAGTCGCTCTGCCGCAAGGCCCTCGAGACGGACCCGGACTGCGACACGGCCGTCGCGACGCTGGCGCAGCTGAGCCTGCAGCAGGGCAAGATCACCGAGGCCATCGGCTACTTCCAGCAGTCGGCCAAGATTGCACGGACGTACCAGGAGCTGGAGAACGCCATCACCTAGTGAGTGCAGCCTTGTGACGCTCAATCTGCGGCGACGCTGACTGCCTGCCTCTCACAGCGAGAACGTGAGCAGACCGAACCTGCTGCGACGAGCTGGAGCCTGCAGAGCACTGATCTTTCTTCCCACAGGCGTCGCGGGCACAGCTCGAGTTCATCAAGTCGTTCCCGAAGGAGGGTGCCGCACTGAGCCAGCTCGCGCAGCTGGTGTAAGGCGTGGGCTCCGTTCGGAAAGAGCAGCGCGGCGTGGGCTGGACGGGGCGTGTGTCGGCAGGACGAGGACTGGACGGCCGTGGAGAAACAACCAACCAAGACAGGGCGCGTCGATGCCAGTGGCCCCGTCTCATCATCACCTGGCGACACGGGGCATGCTTGCCGGCCGCCGCATATGTATGACCACTGCAATCACCACTCAATGCGCCTGTCTGCGTCGCTCTTCACTGCTCGCTGCTGCTGTCCTGTGCGCTGCCATGCTGCACCGCCGACAAGCTGTGGCCGTCTGGCCGGCTCGTGAGCCCAGAATCAGAGTCGAGTGCGGGGTGGAAGCGACCACAGATTGCGGCCGACAGCGAAGCGTGGCGCTGCCGCGCTGGCGCTGGCGACGGTGCGCATGGTGCACCCTTGCACGCCCCGTCACGCATCTTTATCCGAGGCACCGATGCCGCACAGACAGCTGCTGCGTCCGTGCATGCTGGTGCATGAAGGATGCACGATGCTGCCCGAGCAGGCACCGAGCGGCGCAGGCGGAGACGGGCTCTGATGCGCGGGGATCTGCCCGCCTGCAGCATCAGAAGGCGCTGGCGCCGTGCTGCGCTGCTGGACGGTCAGCGGCAGCGCGGCCGTCGTCCTGCCGGGCTCGCGGGGTGCGGTGCCGAGCCGCACCGCCGCGCCGCGCCGCGCCGCGCGGAGAGCAGCCGCCGGGTGCGGCCGCGAGAGCCGCTCCTTCGCCCTCTGGCCCTCTCCACTATCTCGCGTCCCCTCCCCAGCTCCACATCCATCCCACGCACATTCGACGCCGTCTCGCTGCTCGTGCGACACCACAGCGGGTGCCAACGCTGCCCATCGAGCCCGCGTCCGCGCCCCACCGGCTGCTCTCCACAGCGCCGCGCCTTCTCCACACGCCGCCATGGCGCTGCCCGCCTCCACGCCGTCGGGCGCTGCGGCCACGCCGAACGGCGCCAATGCTGGCAGCAGCGGTGCAGGCGGTGAAGCTCCTGTGGTGCCAAGAGTCCCGCCGCCGCCACGGCGAGTGACATACTCGCTGCCGCCGCGGCCCACGTCCGGCCTGCCCTACTTCGCCCTCCCGCCGCCAGGCCTGCCGCGGCATGGCCGCTCGCAGCCGCTGCTCGAGTCGCTGCCGCCTGCGACGCCGCCCGCCGACGCCCAGACGTCGCGTGCGCCGCATCCGCAGCACACGCTCCCCGTCACGAGCCTGGCACTCGACACGAGCACGTGCATCTCGGACGACGGCTCGGACGGCCTGACGCCGCGCGGCATCCTCTACACGGGCGCCCGCGACGGCCTCGTGGCATCCTGGGAGCTCGGTCTGCCGATGCGGCGCCGGGCGCCGCGTGTCGCACGCAGCTGGCGCGATCGTGCAGACATTGACGAGAACGGCATGCGAGTGGAGCAGGGCGGCCGCATGTCGGCTGAGGATGATGGAGACGAGGAGCCCGGGCCCATCCCGATGGAGCAGGCGTGGCAGGTGGATCCGCAAAGGGCACGCGAGCGGCTGCCCAGCGCCAAGTTTCGGCAGTGCGTGCAGAGCCATACGGATTGGGTCAACGACATGCTGCTGTGCAACATGAACCAGACGCGTGAGTCGCCAGGAGAGCCCTGCCGTTCCATGTGCTGAGCCCTGGGTTGCCGTCCCCAGTCGTGTCTGCTGGATCAGATGGCTCTGTGCGAATGTGGAACCCACACGATGCTCGTGGCGCCGTGACGCCTGAGCTGCTCGGCACGCATCTCGACTACGTGCGCGCTCTGACACATGCGCGGGAGCCTGCCTGGGTCGCGAGTGGAGGCTTCGACTCGACAGTCAAGGTGAGCAGGATAGTGACCGTCCTGGCCTAGCACCTCTGATCTTGCTGCTGCAGCTATGGGACATCCGCGAGACGCGCGAGGACCCCATCATCTCGTTGCCAGCGTCAGAGGTCATGGCGTCTGTCTACGCCCTCTCCACGAACGCAGCCGGCACTGTGCTCGCTGGCGGCACGCCCGAGCGCGTGGTGCGGACATGGGACCCGCGCAGCGGCAAGCGCATCGCTTCGCTCATCGGCCACACCGACAACATCCGCTCGCTCGTCGTGTCGGACGACGGCCGCTACCTTCTCAGTGCCTCGTCAGACGCCTCGATTCGCCTGTGGTCGCTGGGCGAGCAGCGCTGCCTGCACACCTTTACGCACCACAGCGAGAGTGTGTGGTCGCTGCACTCGTCGCACCCGACGCTCGACGTCTTCTACTCGGGCGACCGCATGGGCTACGTGTGCAAGGTCGACTGGGAGCGCTGCGCCGAGCCGGCCGAGGGCGAGTGCGTCGTGCTCTTCAAGGACAGCGGCGAGGGCTCCAAGACGGGCGTGCCGCGCGCACGCAAGGACAACATGGGCATCCACAAGATCATCGCGCAGGACGATGCGTACGTCTGGACTGCCGGCGGCAGCTCGTCCGTCGCTCGCTGGAACGACGTGCCTTCGCGCATGTCTCGCGAGGCGCTCTACCCCATCAGCAGCACCGTGGGCAACTCTAGCTCGCAGGCGCTACTTGGCGCCCCTCCTCGCGCCACGGACTCTCCCGCGCCGCCGGCTCCGTCGCTGACCAGCGCACTCAAGTCTGCGGGCGCAGCGCAAGGCAGTCCCTCGGCAGCATCCGTCTCGTTCGCGCACAAGTCGATGGACTCGCCTGGCCTGCGCTTCCAGGTGCCGTCGCACCTTGCTGGCTCAAACCTGCGCGCGGCGTCGGGCAGCCGTCATCGCCACACGCTGTCCAGCGCGTCGCAGGCCACGTCGACAGACGTGCACGAGCTGGCAGGTGCCTCGCAACACCACCCCGCTGCCACGCTCTACGGCATCCCCTTCGACTCACTGGTCAGCCTCGCGCCTCCAGCCAGCGAGAGCTACGCCGCCGTGACTGGCCTTAGCAGCATGGTCTCGCGTGACCCTGACAGCGGAGGCGCCACGTCGCGCTTCAGCTCGCAGTTCCGCAGCACGCCGCCATTCTCGTCGCCGTCCTTCGACATCACGCAGCACATGTCGCCTGCGTCCCCCATCCCGGCATCGCTGCTTAGCGAGACGACGCGGCCAAAGAGCACGCGTAGCGCGAGCATCCGCTTTGCGCCCGAGCAAGAGCCGCTGCCCCGTGACAGCCTGGCGCGCGAGGCCTCGAACGAGGCTGCCGTCGTCGATGACGAGGAGGCAGCGGAAGATGCGGCCATCGAGGCGCGGCAAGCATACGAGGAGCGCGACGCTGCTCCCGACGCCATCCCGCTCTACTCTGCTCCAGCTGATGTCATCGAGGGCACACATGGCCTCATCCGCACGTCGATGCTCAACGACCGCCGCCACGTGCTGACCATCGACACGGCCGGCGTCGTTGCTGTCTGGGACATCGTCAAGGGCGCATGTCTCGGCGTGTTTCGCACGCAGGATGTTGTCACCGCCGCGCGAGACGCCGGCGACATCGAGTTTCGCGACCCCAACTCAGACGAGGTGGCGCCGGCTGACGCGCTCAATCTCGTGCGCGAGCGCATCGAGGGCGAGGCGGCGACGCTGCTGTGGTGCACGGCCGACGTGCGCGGCGGCCTCCTCTCTGTGCATCTCGAGGAGCTGCGCGCCTTCGACGCCGAGATCTACCTCGACGACTGCGACTTCGTGCCGCAAGCTTTCGCCAAGGAGGACCAACGCATCAACATGGGCAAGCTCGTCCTGCGCAATCTCTTCGACACGTTCGTCTCGATGGAGTACAAGCTGCGTTCCGGCCCCTCGCCGCCGATGCGGCCCGGACAACTCGCGCTTGACCACCCGAAGCTGCTGCACTCGCCGCCGTCGCAGATCAGCATCCCCAACGGCCGGACATTTAGAGACCTGCAACGTACGCCGGGCATGACGATCGCCCTTGCCGAGCCGCCCAAGACGCCAGCGCTGCTGCCGGCCGGCGCCGCCCCGCTGACGCCTTCCGCTTCGCGCGGGCTTGCGAGCCTCACCTCGCGGACTGCTGCTGGGTCAAGCGGCGCAGGCGCTCCCGGATCGCCCGGAGACTACTTCTCCCTGCCGAACCAGAGCGGCGCAGCGCAGCCTTCGACTCCGACCAATGTCACGACACCCGGCGCGACCAGCCCGGCGATCACCACGGCGGCGGCACCGACCAGTGGCGGACTCATGAGCCGCCTGCGCATCGGCAAGAATCGCAAGGGCGACAAGAATGCGGACGTGTCGGCATCTAAGGCCGACGAGAAGCCAGAAGTTGCAATCGTGGCGGTGAGTGCATCGCGCTGGGCTGCGAGAGCTGCCACACTGACGCCTGTCCGCGCACAGCCGGTCGAGGACAAGAATGCCGCACTGCGCCAGCTTCTCTCTCAGCCGGTGCAGCCGGCGTCGGCGTCAGAGATCCCGACCTACTCCTTCCTGGCCGACACGACGATCCTCGTGGAGCAAGCGCCCGAGCCCGGCTCGTGGCAAGCGCAGTACCGTGGCCTCGTGCGGACAGTAGCTCAGGATGCCGGCGCACTCGAGGCTGCTGCACCACTCTGGCTGCTCGACTTTCTGCTGCACAACCGCGGCCCGACGCGCGACCCGAGCAAGATCAGCTTTACGCTCGCGCCGTGGATTGCGCCCGAGCTGCGCGGACGTGCCGACGGCTTCGGCGGGTACGGCAACATCAGCGGCTCGACGCCTGTGCCGCTCCCAGAGCTGCCGAGCGGGTGAGTCCGAAGAGCCCAGCAGCCATGGCGTTCTCGCGGCTGACCCTCTGTCCGTAGTGGTGCACGTCTGACGGCCACACGCATGCTGCGCATCAAGAAGAGCTGCGCGTACGTGGCCGAGAAGCTGGAGCTGGCGCACACGTCGAGCTCGCGCAACCATAGCATCGCCGGCTCTCGGCGGCCGTCCGTCGACCCGACGTCGCCGCTGCACCGCGCCTCGAGCGGCCTGAGCATGACTGCACTCGCCAATGCCGCCAACGCAGCCGCCGCCAAGCGGCGCGGCGAGGCCTCGTCGCCGCCGTCGGCGGCCTCGTCGGTGCGCTCCATGTCGCACCTGCCCGACGCGGTGGACCTCATCGAGATTCTCTGCAACGACATCGTGCTGCCGCTCAACACGACGCTCGCCGAGGTGCAGCGCTTCTACTGGCGCTCCAGCGGCGACCCGGAGCTGCGCTACCGCTCGCGCATCATCAGCGCCTAGTCGCGCACCCCTGTCGCCTCTGGCCCTTCATAGAGCTCCTCCTTCTGCTCCTCTTCGCACCCCCACTCCTTGCGCGGCACATCCGCCGCACCCGACATTTCCACCCGCTGTACTCTAATGCCGTCCCTCTGCTGTCGTGATGCACATGCCTCGTTTGAGATCTGAGGGTCGCTCTATTCGTACAGGCCGCAGGCGCGGGAACGGGGTCGGGTAGCGCAGGTGTAGGGGAACGCGAGACAAGGTGGAGCAACAAGGACGCGGGCGATGGAGGGTGTCAGCGGGAGAGAGGTAACCGTGGGAGCAGTGTGTGTGTGTGTGCGGGACGTGAGAGAGTGGTCATCAGTGTTTGGAGCCGGGAGAGAGCGGCAGAGGAAGGCGAGGCTTGCGGTGAGGCGAGGCGAGAGTCACACGCCAGAGGCATCATGCCTTGGCGGTGGCAGAGGTGAGGCTGGGCACCGGGACGTCGGCCTCGTTGCGGCGCTCGCCGATGACGGCGACGAGCACGCTGATGTCGTCGTGCTTGCCGCCGACGTAGTGCTGTGGAGAGAAGGAACGATACGTCAGCAGGGAGCTTGGGCGAGGGGCTGCGCGGGTCTCGACGCACCAGGCCTTCTTCGACAGCACGCTGCTGGAATGGCGAGCTAACGGCGCGGCTGTCCTCGGAGACGGCCTTGGCGCGCGAGCAGAGAGCCTCGCTGACGAGCTGCGGGCTAAAGTCGCTCGGCAGTGGCTCGGGCGCCTGCTGCGCGCCGCGGGATGGCGATGAGCCGGAGGCGTCGGGCGACGAGGTGTTGGAGCGCGGCGGCCACGGCGCAAAGCGCAGCACCTCCTCGAGGATGTCCTCGTCGAACAAGTTGTCCATCAGCCCGTCGGAGCCCACGACGATGATGTCGCCGCGCTGCACCTTGACCGTGTAGCGCCCGGCATCGCGACGCGGCTCGTCCCACTCCTCGCCCGCATCCTCCTCGCCCTCGGCCGCTGCGGCGCCAGCGCTGCCGACGTCGAGGCCAGCGCGTGCCGGCTCGGGCCGCGCACGACGCGGGACGCTCTCCAGCTCGTCGTAGTCCTCCTCGTCCGACGTGCCGACGGCGCCTTCGCGCGCCGCATTCTTCTTGCCCTCGCGGCGCCGGCGGTCCATCGAGGCGGCCGTCTCGCCCATCATGCCGAGCTGCACGGGAAAGTTGAAGGAGTGCTGCTGCTCTTCGGAGCGGAAGAGCAAGTCGCCAGCACGGATGATGAGCAAGACGCAGTCGCCTACGTTTGCAATGCGCAGCTCGTCGCCTCGCAGCAGCGCAATGAGCGCCGTCGAGGAGCCGAGAATGCCCTCGCGCCGCGAAGCACGAACGCAGCGCTCCCAGGCATGGTGCATCACCTCGACAGGGTCCACGGCCGACCACGCCGCTAGCAGAGAGCCGTCGTTGGCATCGAGCTCGGCGGCCGAGAGCTGGTCGTAGCGCGACAGCTCGACGGCACAGAAGTGCATCAGCAGGCGCGAGAAGAGCGCCGGATCAGCGCCAGGCCGCGACGCCCATCCGCCGACGCCGTCAGCCACGCCGAGCGAGTCCTGGTTGCAGCCGTCAGCAGTCCGATAAGCCTAGCGGCAGCAAAAGGAGTACTCACCGGCCGCAGGAAGTACGCATCCTCGCCGACCTGCACGCTGCGCAGCCGCTCACGCACGATCTGGCCCGAGGCATCGCGGATGCGGCTCTTGCGCAGCAGCAGCTCCTTGCCGTCAGCCAGCTGCGCCACGTCTGCCTCGACGTCGGCGGTGGAGAGAAAGGCCTCCTTGCCTTCGGCCGTACTGCCGCCGCTGAGCGCCGCACGCCGTGCCTCTTCGCCGTCGATCGGCCCAGGTCCCTGCGCGGGCGGCGCAGCGCCCGTGAGGAAGTCGGCGGCCTGCGCCAGCCGACTGCGCGGCGCAGGCGCGGGTGCAGGCTCGGAGTTGGGCCGACGCGTGCGCACGGAGGAGAGCGGATGCCGCTTGGGAATGCCAAAAGCGCCGTGCTCGAAAGTGTAGGCGTGGCGCTGTGAGCGCGGCGCACGGAACTGCCCCTCCCAGTCCGACGGCAGCGTGAGCGGCGCGTCCGAGGAGACGGGCGCTGACACGCCGGGCGGCGGTGATGTTGATAAGGCAGCACGCGATGCGAGCGCATCAAGCGTGGCACGGCCCGTGGGCGGCTGCGTGCTGCTGCTCGGCAGCGACTCGCTGCGCGCCTGCAGTGCCTGCTGTGGGCCCGGCGAGGCGGGTGGCGTCAAGTTGGGCGAGCTGGCGGTGGATGAGGAGCCAGACGATGGCGCAGCCACGATGTCCTGCCCGATGACCGTGGCGACCTCGGGCGGCAGTGCGGCGGACAGCCGCGCAGCACCCATGGCCGTCGAGCCGCCGTAGCTCCAGCCGGAGCCACCGGCACCGCCGCTGCGGTGGCCGCTGCGCGTTGAGCCGACAGCCAGCTCGGCGAGACGAATGTGCAGCGTGTCCATGGTGCCCGGCCGGCCGGCAAGCGGCGCAGGCTCGAGGAAGCCGCCGGACGAGGCCTCGCTGGTGCGTACCGCGCGCTTGCCGCTCGCTGCGGTGGGCAGCGGCACAGGCGCGGCGCCGCTGCTTGTGCTGATGCCGCCGTGCGATGCGGCGGCGAAGGAGGTGGAGAAGTAGCGGCGCATCGGGATGGGCGCCAGCAGTGCAGCCGAGGCGCGCGGATTGACGTGGAGCTGCACCACTGCTGCACTGCTGCTACTGCCGCTCGTGCTGGCGACGTTGCTGCCGGACGCCACGCTGCTTTGGCTGGTGCCACTGTTGCTGCTCAGCACGAGCTGTCCGCGCTCCCAGGCCTCGACGACGGCCAGCGGCTGCGGCCCGCAGTACGGCGCCAGCACGGCGCCGGGCACGTCGGGCACGTCGCTGGGCATGAGCAGCAGCGGCGCGCTGCCGCCGCTGGGCATGAAGGCGACGCTCGATGCCGCACTTGCATGGCGCGTGGCGGCATGGTGCGCCGCGAGGGCAGTGCGCAGGCGCGGCGCCGGCTTGCTCGCGGCGCGGCTCCACAGCGACTGCGGCGGCAGCTTGGACATGGCGGGCGCGCGCGCGGCGTGGTGCGTGGTGCGATAGGGATGCTGGTGGCCGCCGCAGCCGCAGCAGTGGTGTGCGGAGGAGTGGCGGCGACGGCAGCGAGCCGCGCGCGGGCCTGGAGCGATGGCGAGCGCACAAAGGACGGGGCGGAGGGCTTGCGCGCGCGGCGCTGAGGTGCGCGTGCGGCGTGGAGCAGGCGGATGGAGAGTCGGGAGCGCGACGCGGACACGCTTCGCAGACGACGGAGTGCGCCGGCGAGGAGCGCGGGCGTGCGCTCTGAGAGTGGGTGCCGCGAGGAGGGCGAGGTGTGGGATGGAGGTGCTGGGTGTGATGCGATGGATGGGAAGATGGAGACGCAGCGGGGGCGTGGGCAGCGTGGAGGAGCGGTGCGGAGAGCGCCGGCGGGCGTGCGGCGGCATGGCAGCGGCAGCAGCACAGCAGGTGCAGCGCGGGCTGAGTTCGCACGCTCGCCGCCTGCCGCTGCCAGCTGCACGCCGCGACGGGACAGCGACAGCGTCTCGGGCTCGCTTGCCCGCCCGCCGCAACCGTCGAGGAGCACGCCGCCCCGCGCCTGCGTCTGACAGCAGCAGCCGGCTGGAGCTGCAGCAGCCCGGCCGGCCCTCCCGCTCGCCCTCATGCAGCAAGCCGCAGCACCCGAGGGACGACGGCGCTGCGTCCATAGCATCGTGCTGCCCGCCTGCCCTCCTGCGCCGCTTGCTGCCGCGCCGCGCCGGGCTCGCGATACGGCTTCGGCGCGCTCTCTCTCAGCCGGATCTGCCGTGCTCGCGAGGCAGCACCCAGTGTGGGCCGCTTCTCATCAGCTGGGCGCTGCTTCGCGATGACTGCAGCCTGCGGAAGAAACAATCGCCCTCTCTCCAAGCGCAGCCACTTCTGCCTGTGGGCGCCAGATCCAGGGGCGAAAACGAATTGAACGCAATTCGAACCGCAGCGCAGCAGCAGCGCAAGCAGCACTCAGACTTTGCGAGTTCAGCCGGTGGGGCGCTCGGCGGCGGATGATGGGCGCGGTGGGCTCCGCGGCTCCGTCGCTGTCGCCGCCGCCGACGCCGACGGCAAGCAGGCGAGCAGCCTTCTCAGAGTCGAGCTCGCACGAGCTGCGCTGCTGCGAACGGTGCTCCAGCTCCAGGGGAAAGAAGAGCGAGCGGCTGCGGGTGAAGCTTCGGACGGCGGAGCAAGTGCACGGGGAGCCGACGGCGTCGAGATCGACAAAAGCCAGCAGGATCGCGAAGCGTGCTCAGCCATTCCGTCCATCGTCAAGGATGCTGCTCAAAACCCATAGCTGCGGCAGCGCTGCAACCGACCAGGTGCCGTCTGAGCATGTCTGCCCAGACGGGCGGCAGTGCTGCTGCTGGCGTCGCCGCTGCTGGCGCACGGCTGGGAGCAGGGGCGCAACGATGGCGTGGCGCGGGAGCAGGCGCCGCAGCGGTCGGCTGGGCGGCGCCGCGCTGCTGAGCGGCTGGCGGGGCGCGACTGAGCGGCTCTCGCGCGGGCCGGACGCGCCTTGGCCATCGCCAGCGTCAGACGCCCGTCGCCGCCTGCCTCGCAACCACCAGCACGTCGAGCGCCCGCCCGCGCGCCCGTCGCTGCTCCACCTCGCCTCCAGCCATGGAGACACTCGCGGGCGACATTGAGCGTCTGGCCGCGCGCGCCCCCGCGCTGTTCGCCCGCAGCGACGGCGCGGGCAGCAGTGCGGCACCCTCCTCGTCGCTGCCGGCGCAGCTCGATGCGCTCATCGCTCGTCTCGAGGCAGCGCGCAGCAGCGGCAGCAGCAGCACGCCTTCCAGCGCCGAGCTCGCCAGCGCCGTCGCCGCGCTGCAAACGACGGCCGCCGCACGCACAAAGGAGTACTACAACGCCCTCTCGCGCGCCTCCAAGACCCTCGAGCGCCGCCTGGCGTCGCAGCCGCCGCTCGACGCCAGCATTGCCGAGCCGGCGCTCTTCACCGCACGTGCGCCGCAGGAGGCGCTGCTGCGCACCGTGTGGAGCCACCTGCTGCGCGCCGGCGAGCGTGAGGCTGCACAGACGCTGCTGCAGGTGAGTTGCGCCCTGCTTCGTCTCGCCGCGGTGGTCGTGACTCTCGTTCGTCTCGTTCGTCTCGTCTCCCTCCCTTCTTCCTCACCCCGCATCGGATGGTCTTAAGAGCACTGAACGGCGTCCTTTCTGAGGATCCAACGCCCATGTTCTGCGTTTGAGTCATAGCTGTCCAACATCGTCGTTCCAGCATCGCCAGTGCCGCTGCATCCCGCTCGCATCGGTTGTCCGCCCTCACAGGCGTCTGATGGCCGTTGTGTGGTGCGATGTAGCTAGCTGGAGATGTGCGTCTGCTCCCCCTTTGCCGTGTTGTGCTCATACGGGCACGCGACGCCGCTTTGGCACCCCGAAAGGGGTCCGGGCTCGCACGCACCGGCCACACACGCGGCACAAGGGCCTGCGCTACATTTTTTCTCCCCCTATGCCTTCTTTCCGTTCACAGCGAGGTGTCGACATTCCATCAGCGCCGGGGTCGCTGCGCCGTGGCTTGCTGTGCTGACTCGCATGCTGACGCTTCGTCTTGCGCATCGTAGGAGGCAGGCTTTACCGCACCGTCGCACGCCGACTTCCAGGCGCTCTCGCACATTCTGCGGGCGCTCAACAGCGGCGATCTCAAGCCTGCCATCGCCTGGGCCACCGAGCATGCCGAGTGGCTCTCTGCGCGTGGCTCGCTGCTCGAGTTCGCCCTGCATCGCAGCGCCTGTCTGCGTCTGGCACTCGGGGCCGCCGTCACTTCCACCGCCCCGCCTGCAGCGCCGGCGGAGGAGTGGAGCGATGCTCGCTCGACGCTGGGCTCCGACGACGCGCACGACGGCTTCTCACCGACGCAGCGGGCCATGCTCTACGCCAGCGAGCATCTCGCGGCCTTCCATGGCACGCATCTGCACGAGATCCAACGACTGCTCACCTTCATCCTCTACATTCCGCCCGACTCGCCCGTGTCGCTCGAGATGCTGCACATCCAAGTGCCGGCGCCGTACCGCAGCTTCCTCGATGCACAGGCCATGCACGCACCGTTCCTGGCGCCGCTGCTCGAGGCCGAGTGGTGCGCCAAGGAAGGCGTGCCGCGCGAAGCACCGCTGCGCCTGGCCGTCGAGATCGGCGCCGGAGGCGCGCTGAATCGCATCGCAAAGGTCCGTGCCGTCATGAAGCAGTCTGGCAACGAGTGGAGCCAAGCCGACGAGCTGCCTGTGAGTTCGAGCTTGCCGTGTGCCGCATCATCTCTTCTGCATGCTCATCATCGCCTCGCCCCCCTCCAGGTCGAGATCCCCCTGCCGCCGCATCTGCGCTTCCACTCGACATTCGCCTGCCCCGTGTCCAAGGAGCAGGGCACCGAGGAGAATCCGCCCATGCTCATGGCGTGCGGCCACGTCGTGGCGCAAGAGTCGCTCACGCGCATCTCCAAGGGCGGCAGTCGCGTCAAGTGTCCCTACTGCCCCTCTGAGAGCGCAGTGAGCATGGCGACACGCGTGTACTTCTGAGCGCCGTCCCGGCCTTCCTCTTCCCTTCACGTTCCACTCACGAAGCCTCACATCACTGTACTACCACCTCCGTTCGTCTCGCTGTACACTACCCACACGCCTCTCTCGTCATACCACAGTTGCAGTCACTCTCAGCCGCGCCACACGTGCAATCTGCGATCGTAAAACGAGCAGCTGACGACGCGGCTCTGCGTCTGCTCCGCCTCGGGCGCCTCTCGATCCCAGTCACAGCCGTACGCCAGACTCTCGTGCGCATCAAAGCGACGCACGATGTGCATCTCCTCGCGCGGCGGAAGTTGGCCTTGCTCGGTGCCAACAGGGAGAGTGAGGATCTTGAAGCCGTCGTGCATCGTTCCAAGGAGCAGCCGTGAGGCATCGAAAGGGTGCCACTTGACGCGCCATACGCCGCCGCCGACGTTGGTGCTCGACAGTGGCCGCAAGGGGTTGCGTGCGTCGAAGAGACGTATTGAGCCGTCATACCTGCGCAGGCCTGTCAGGCCTAGGCGGACGATGGCAGCGAGAGAGCTGCAACTCACGAGCCGACGGCCCAGAGATGCTGCCGCAGGTGCGATGATTGCATCGCCGTCACGCCGCCGTCAAAGCTGAGGGGTACAAAGGCAGCGCCTGTCAGTAGGCCGGATGGGAGAAGATTGCACAAAGCTGGCGGGACACTCACCTGCGCTTGTTGATGAACGTTGCCTGGCGACCTGCGCTGGCGTTGGGCATGCGCATGTCCCAGCCACGCATCTGCAGATCATCGCCGCCTGTCGAGACGCCAAGCCGTAATCAGCATCTCAGTCGCGGTGCCGTAGAAGGCGTCAGGTCAGGCAACGCACCACTCCACCCGACTGTGCCGTCGCTCCAGCAGTCCCAAGCCGCAATCCACGCCTCGTGCCCGTGCGCCGCCCAAGTCTCGAGTCCTCGCGGTCGCCCTGCAAACGCTGCATTCAGCGCTGCGTGCGCTGCTAGCGTCTCTTCGTCTGCGTCGTCGTCTTCATCGTCGGACTCCGCCGCTGCGGCCACTCGACTGTCGGCACGGGGCGTCTCCTCCGCCTGACGGCCCGCCGAGCCATCATCCTCAAAGGCAGCGCTGAGGCTCGGCAGATATGCCAGGGACCCGTCGCTCTGTGAAATGAGCAGTTTCGCATCGCCGTGCTGCTCCTGTGCCTCTGCAAGTCCGGGCTTGCGCGAAGAGAGGTCGAGAGAGAGCACGAGTGCGCGACGTGTATTCATGGTACGCTGCTGCGGCGCGCCAAAGCTGGGCGTGGTTGATGTCGAGGAGAAGCTGAGCGGACGCAGACTGATGCTTGAAGTGGCCTCGGCCGCGAGGAGTGCAAAGCCACTCGAGCGTGGCGCCCTGCATCTCGAGCATCAGCCAGGTCACTGCCGAACGACGAGGCGCCTCACCATGCCATGTCAAGCACAGCCGGCCCCGAATGCATGTCGAGACGCTCGCACTCCACCTTGTCGTCGCTTCCGAGCAAGCGATGCAAGCTGACCTGTCCTCTGCGCGAGTACTGTGGCGAAGTCGAGGCGCTTGCGGCCTCTGCTTGATCATCTGCCTCCTCTTGCTGCTTCTCTGCCTCGCCGCCGCGCTCCTGCGCTGCCTCCGCCTGCGTCACTTCGTACGTGCCGAGTGCGAAGAGACCGCTCATGTGCGGATGACAGGCGATGGCATCGGCACAGAGCTCCGTCGAGGCGCTGTAGAGCGACGCCGCTGGACAGAGCGGGGGCGAGAGCGAGACGGGGCTTCAGCACGGGGCACTGCCGAGCGCGGCGCGCAGGCCACACCTTGATTCGCCTCCATCGCTGTTGCGTCGCAGCGCCTGGTCGTCTGTCCAAGTCTCTCTTCCGCTCCTTGATCTGCCGATGCGCCCGACTTGCGGCTGTGTGAGGTGGAGGCAGGCAAAGGAGGCAGCGGCACGGCCGCGAGAGGCCACCTAGGCTCGCGCGTCACGTGCCACGCGCGTGGGAGCGCATCTCTGGCCCTGCTGCCAAGCCTCAGCCGCGCTTCTTCCCCCCTCAGCTCCCTCATCTCTCGCCCACCATGAGCCAGCACCTCCTCAGCGCCCTGCGCGCACCCCTGCGGCCTTACGCACGCACATTCGCCAGCGGTGCCTCTTCGTCGCAGGCAGCAGCAGCAGCAGCGGCAGTGCGGCCAGTCGCATCGCCGCCGCAGTCGCCGCAGCTCTCGCCCGCCGCCTTCCTCGCCGCCATCGCGCGCCCGCCGTCGCGGCCCGACCTGAGCGGCGACGCCAAGCTTGTCGCGCTCCTCTCGCAGCAGTCTGCCGCTGCTGCGCCGGATGCGGCAGGCGAGGCGGCACTGAAGCTCGATGTGCAGCCGAAGCAGCTCAAGGAGGCGGGTGTGACTGTGCAGATGCGGAGGTGAGTGGGCGGCAGCAGCAGCAGCGGCGGCGGCGGCGGTGGCCAGGGCAAATAAGCTTGTGCAATGGTAGCCCAACAGCACATACTCATTCCGCGTGCCTGTACACAGATATCTGCTCTGGTCCTTGAACAAGCTGCGCGCCGGCGAGGACCCGGCGTCGTTCCCGCAGGGCAAGAAGCCGAAGCGAGTGCGCGGGTGAGTTAGCCTGAGAGCTGAGCTTGGCTCCAGGCCAAACCAGGCGGCAACAAGCTGATCCCGTCGTGCTGCTCCGACAGATGGGGCCCGCGTGTGCAGAAGGGCATCCGGGTGCGCGGCGTGCGGAGGGCGGGCGAGAAGTGAAGGGCGTGCAATTACAGCGGCTCATAGCTCGAATCGTGACATGAGGACGTGGGACGAACAGCGAGGGGAGACAGAATGCAGCGCGGCGCAAGGCGTGATGCTCAGAGAGTGATGTGCTGGTATGTAGATGCAAGAACGAAGCCAGGAGCGCCTCACACGAACTTGTCGCCCGATGCGCCAGCGTCTTGCGAGTGCAGCGGCTCGGCGTACTCAGGCTGCTTGGCCTTGGCCTTGCCGCGCGGCGCTCGGGGCAGCACGTCATGCGCCTCCGCCTCGCTGATCCACTTCGACGCCGCAAAGTCGTTGTCGCTGCTGCGTTGCGCGTGCGGCGGCTCGTCGTACTGCTTCGCCACGTGCGGTGGTGCGTCGTACTGCTTGGCCGGCTGCGGCGGCTCGTTATGCTGCTCAGCCTTGCCCTTGCCCTTGGACTTGGTGGCAGGCTCGCGCGGCACTCCATCGTCCTCACTCTCCGTCTCCGACGTCTCGCTTGCGCTCTTCCTGCCCTTGCCGCCCGGGTACAGTGCCCACTTGTCCGCCTCCAGCACGCTTATCGACTTTGCCTCCTTCTCCGCCGCCCTCTTGCGCTTGCCCGTCAGGTGGTCGTACGACTTGGGGCTGTCCGGGTCGTAGTCCTCCCTCGGAATGCGCGTCCACGGATTCTTGACGCCCTCGCGGCCCAATGCGCGCTGCTCGGCCTTTTCGGGATGATCCTGCGTGCCCGTCAGGCGCAGCCGTTCTGCCCGCTTGTGCATCTGCTTCTCCCACATCTCCTGCAGGTGCGTCTTGAGCGTCGGCATGTTCTTGATCGTCGCGCCCGTGTAGATCGAGAGCAGCGGGGCGTTGTCGCGCTCGTGCTTGAAGTGCGCCATGCCGTTGGGCTTGCGCAGCTGCACGGGCGAGACCAGTCAGCTGAGGCACGCTGAGACGAAACAGGCAAGATGGAGACACACCGTGTGCTCGCCGCGCCTGGCGAGCTCGATCGTCTCGTACAGATCGAGCCAGAAGCCCCCGCGCGGATTGAAGGAATTGTAGTGTTTCTTGTTCTGAGCGCGGCAGACGTGAGCTTGACTGGTGCTCGTGCCAGCCTACGAGTGCTCACCTTGAGGCAGGGCGAGATGAGGTCGGCGCTCATGACCTGTGCGTGTGCATGTGTGCATCAGTGGCCGTAGCTGCAGCGCATCCTGAACTCGCCCAGCAGCAACTCACATGCAGATGCAAGTGTGCCATGCTCGGCAGCGCGTGGAAGCCCGCCTGGATGTTCCAGTGCACGCCTGCCGGCTCCGTGCCGCCCGGCAGCGGCGTCTGGCGCATCTCGTCCTTGATCATCGGCTTGAGCTGCGGGTGAAGGGAGTCAGCGACCAGTGCTTCCCAGTGCGCTCCCTGTCGCCGCCGTCCCGAGGCTGCGAATGACAGTGAAGTCGCGCCAAGGAGCTTGCGAAGAGCACGTGTCTGCACCACATCTCTGAGTACTCTAGCTTGCGCCACGCATCTGCATCGAGGAGCGTGCATGCTCAAGCCTGACATGGCCCTCCTTGCCGCACCGCCCGCTCTGCTCACCTCCTCTGCCGCCGCTGCCAGGCGCTCGAGCACGTCGAGGGCGTTGTCTGTGCGCATGAGCGCCATGATGCTGTCAATGTTCTTTGGCTGCCCCGGCTCTCCGTCCTTTGTGAAGTCCTTCTCGAACTTGAAGGGCATGCGTGCTGCACGAATGCGAGAAGCAGGAGCAAGACGAGCGCGGCGTCAGCGCAGCGTCCTGGGTTGCTCGGCACCACGACGCCGCAGCTGGGCGCCACTGCGTCCACTCACGCAGGATGAGAAAGTGATATTTGGCCTTTGGGTATCCGTCGTAGATGGTGAGGGTGTGCTCGTCGTGGCGCAGGTAGACGTCGGGCGGCAGCGTCTCGGGCTTGGGGTGCGCCGCCATGACGGCCAGCGCCTGGTTCCACGCGCCGCTGGGGCCCGGCGGCCACGCGGGCGGCGCGCCCGAGGCCATGCGGAGGAGACGCGCGGCGAGCGACAGCGTGGGCGGATGTGGGTGTGACGGGCGACGAGGGCGAGGTGGTGGTGGGAAGCGAGGCGTGGGCCATGCTGGAGAGGCGCAGGCGTGTCGCGGCGCCTCCACCTGCCAGTTCCGCGGCGCTGCCGGCGCTTCTTCCTGCACCGCACCCTCATCCTCCCTCGCCTCGCGAGTCGCCCACCGCCCGCAGCCTCGCCATGTCGGCCGTCGCAAGCAGCAGCAGCAGCAGTGCCGCGTCCTCCTCTGCCGCACCAGCCGCACAGAGCCAGCGCATCGGCATCGAGCAGCTGCTCGCCGCGCGCCGCGCCTCGCCCGCCGTGCGCGTCGTCGTCGATGCGCCCGCGCTGTCCATCGGCTGCGCGGCCGTCCTCGCGCTGCGCGCCGTCGCGATTGGACAGCCAGCAGCACTGGTGGGCACACGCACACTCATGGGCATGTTCCCAGTCGCATTCCCGTACTTTGGTGCGTGGCAGAGGAGAAGGGCAGGCGAGCACGCAGAGGGTGGGGCGCGCGATGGAGACGCTGGCGCAGCGATGAGTGCCAGCCTCTTCGAGCAACCTGGCTCGGCACAAGAGGAGCTCGCTGCGCAAACACTTACACGAGCCCTCTGTCAGCACTGCGAGAGCTCGTCGTTGTGCCGCAGCTCGGCGGCAGCGTGACCAGTGCCGAGGCACGGCATCTCGGCGGCGTGCCCCAGAGCGCGCTCTCCGGTCTGCTGCTCGGGCCCGTCGTAAGCATGTACCGATGTGAGTTTCTGGCATCTCATGTGCCAGCATGCTCTCCTCTGCTCCATGACTGATGCCAGGAGATACGCACAGCTCGAGGCGCGATGCACGGCGTGCCACGTGCTGCCTTGACGTTCGCCGCTGCGTTTGGAGGAGGCCAGCTGCTGCTCAACGAGGTCATGGCAGCCAGTGGCTGGGTGTACGCCAAGACGCGCTCCGAGAGCGAGCAGAGCGAAGTGTCCAGCGGCGCTTCGCCGTCTGGCAGTGTCGCGTCTGCAGCGGCGCCCTCGCGTCCTCTTGCCGCACCAGCACAGCCCGACGCCATGCCCGCAGCACCCTCACCCGAGGCGCAGCACGACGAGCCGTGGTATTCGCGCGCCAGTCTCTCGCGCCTGCTGCCCGTGCGCAAGATCTCGGACGACGAGTACGCGCGCAAGCTGGGCGAGCGCGAGCGCGAGCTGGAGAAGCGCCTGGCCGAGCTGCACGGCGAACTGCGTGCCTCTTCGGTGGAGGAGCGAGGCGCAGGCGCTGTCAAGGTGTGAATGGGGGGGGGGGGGGCGTGCTGGTAAATGCGATAGACATGCAAAAGGCCCTTCCCTGTGCTCTGGTGCTTGCATCGCACCAGCTGGGGCTGCAGAGGCGCACTCTCCCGCCCACCAGTGCGAGGGATGCATCGCGCAGCTGGTAGTAGCCTCCTCAGGCGCTCGGGCCCGAGCACATCGCCAAGCGCCTCTCCGCTCTCTTGTGCAACCAAGTCTAATTCCAGCGCCCCCCTCTCATGCGTTCATGCCCTGTCCCGTCGGTGCGGCGCCATTGTTGGACGCCTCGATGGCCTGCAGTGCCTTCATGGCAAAGAAGCGCACGTCTGCGTCCGAGTCCTCCTTGAGCTTCTCGAGGCCGGGCACAATGCGTGCCGCGACGACGCTGCGCCCGGCGTCGCTCTGCTGCAGCACACTGGCGAGCACCTCGAACGCCTTGGCGACGTTGAAGCGGATGTTCGGGATCGGGTCGTCGACCATGGGCACCACCGTGTCCAGCACCGCCTCGGTAATGGCGGCCGCGTTCAGCGACGGCGCCATGGTCTGGAGCAGGCGCAGGCGTGAGCCACGGCGGCACACGTACGTGGCACTCCGGCAGCACAACTCACCGTGATGGCGAAGATGGTCGTCATGCGGTAGAGGTAGTTGGGGTGCACGCCCATCTGCAGCACCTTGGGAATGATCGTCTGGCGCGCCCACTCGACGCCAAACACGTCCGTCAGCTTCTTGAGATTGACCGTGGCCGCCTCGCGGATGCTGAACACCGTGTCGCCGAGCCACGACATGCACAGGTTCGCCAGCTGCTCGTCGAAGAAGCTCACGCCCAGCTGGTTGGCCAGCAAGGGAATGTACTCGATGATCGCTTGCCGCACGCGCCACTGCTTGTCCTCGGCCAGCTCGACGATGGCAGGGAGCAGCGACTGCGAGAGCAGGTCGATGCCGATCACTGCAGGCAGAACGAGCGCATCAGCAGCCCGCGTGCATCGCGGCAAGACAGCAGACGACTCACCCTCGTTGACCTGCTCCAGCTTCGAGATGATGTTGAGGCGCACGTCCGGGAACTCGTCCTTGAGCAGCTGCAGGAAGAGCGGCAGCAGGCTCTCGATCGTCGCCTCCTTGCCCAGCAGCGGCGCCAGGCCGGAGATCTGCGTCGCAAGCGCCGCACGCACGTGCTGGCTCGTGTCTGTCGACAGCTCACGCACGCACGGCAGCAGGCGCGCCAGGATCACATCCGTCTCGACCAGCTTGGCAAAGCCTGCAAAGCCTGGCTTAGCACTCTGGCTCCTGTGCGCGCACTTCTCTGCGACTCACCTGGCACCTGGCCCGCACCAGCCGTGCGCACCTCGGCCTCGTTGTCCTTGAGCAGCTGCACGAAGGCCTGCACCAGGTCGTCGCGCACCACATCCTCGCCCACCGCAGTCGCCAGCTGCACAGCGCGTCAGCAGGCGGTTCCTCCACAGCCCGAAGCTGCGCCCTCTGCATTCGCCAGCTGCTGCCAGACTCACCTTGACGAAGTGGTCGGCGACCATGTACCGCACGCGCCAGCTCTTGTCCGACACGGCGGCGCGGATGCTGGGCAGCAGGTAGTTCTTCGTCTCGTCGTTGTCCAGCACCTCGGCAATCGCGATCAGGTCCTGCACCGTCAGCAGGCGCACGCTGTCCTGGTCGTCGGAGGAGAGCTTGCGGTAGAGCGGGATGATGTCGGAGACGACCTGCTCCTTGGACAGGTTCTTGGCGAACGGCTGCGCGCAACCGATGCCCGTCAGTGCTGAGCCGTGCAACTCAGCCCAGCCGTGACTTACTCCGAGATCTCTGGCGGCAGCGCGCCGCACCATTGGCGTGTCGTCGTTGCAGAGTGCCGCGAACATCTTGCGCAGGTCCTCCTGCACGGCCGCCACGCTGGGCCCGCCGACGCGCGGGTACACGGCGGCAAAGAGCGACGTCGCCGACGTGCGGCTCGTGAACCAGTCGCCGCCGGAGAGACGCCGCAGCACGGGCAGGTAGTGCTCGTCGATCTGTGCCGGCGAGAGCAGCGCGGCGAGCTTCGTGATCGACTCGGACGCCTAATGCCAGGCGCGTCAGCTTTGGACATCGCAAGCGCAGCTGGAAGCACGCCGTCGTGCACACAGCTCGCACGGACAACGGAGTCGGGATGCGGCCGCGCGTCCGCAGACGTGCGGCATGACGTGACGAGAAGCGGCGTCGCCACGCTGACTGCAGCCCGGCGAGCGCGTCCCACTCTCTCTGCACGACTCACCTTCTCGCGCACCACCGTCTCCTCCACCGCCGCCAGATTCTCTAGCGGGCCGAGCAGCAGGTGCGCATACGGCGGGCCGCCGAGGTGCTCGGCAAACGCAGGACCGAGCTCCTCGGCGAGGGCGAGCAGCACCTCGTCCTCATCGTCGAGGCTGTCCTGCAGGAAGGGCACAAGCTCGTCGCGCGCGCGCTGCGGGCCGAGCGCAAGGGCAATGGTGCTGATGCGGTGGATGGCGTTGAGCCGCAACGAGACGTCGTCGGACTTGAGCTCGTCGATCAGAATGGCGATCGGGTAGAGCGACTCGTCGGACTCCATGGCGGGCAGCGGGCGGCGCTCGGCACGGGCGAGAGGGGGCGGGGCAGAGGAGTGCGGCGGGAGCAGGCAGCAGCAGCTGCGGGCAGAGCGGCGCACGAAGGGGTATGTGGCGGGCAGACGGGGCGCGCGAGCCGGGCTGCTGCGGGTGATGGAGCGTGGGTGGAGCGTGGAGGATCGACAGCGCTTGGATGGGCGGCGAGGATGGGAGAGCAGAGGCAGCGTGCAGCAGCAACGGGCGTGTTGCAGTCAGTGCGCCGGCCGAGCGTGCTTGGGACGCTCGCCTCCGCTCTCGCTGGCGCGGCGCCCGCTGCAGCTGCGACGGTGCCTGCCTGCAGCTCGTGCGCGCGTGACGCGCGCCACGCCGAGAGCTGCAGCGCCAGAGGCAGGCCAGCGCGACTCAGATGGCCGCCGTCGCTCACGCCCCTCGCGCGCGCTGCTCCCACGCGCACAGCTGTCACAGCCGCGCTTGCGGCTGAGGAAGAGCAGCACATTGTGGGCGAGGCCTGCTGGCAGAAGGCTGCCTGAGAAGATGGAGTCAAGCTCAAAAGGGCGGATGTGGTGCCAGGCCAGGACGTGGCTGAAGACGCTGCTGCCTCGAGCATGCCGAGGTGCGCGAAGGCCGGCTCTGCGTGTGGAGCTGGTGCACCTGCCCTCGAGACGCGGCGTGCGGCGCGCCGCGCGGGCAGGCCCGATCGGCCGCTGAGGGGACCAAGAGCTACAGCAGCAAAACCCTCCAGATAGCCAGAGGCCGAGCAGCGATCGGTGGAGACGGCCGATGGTCCCTCAAGCCGTCAATGCCGCCATGCGCTCCAAGAGCAAGCGATGGACGAGCTGGCCGGCTGGGGCGGCGGCGGGCATGCCGCGCACGGCCCAAGAATTCGGAGCGCGCCGGCAGCGCGCGGCAGCGTGCGGGTGGCGCTGTGGAGAGAGCGGAGATGCGGCACGCGCGGCGGCGCCGGTGGCCGACGTTCGCGGACGGCGCCCCGGGCCGGACCTCCTTCTGCGCCAAGCCATGCTGCTGCGCCTCTTCGCTTCACACCACCACCACCAATCCCAGGCAGCCAGCCATGTCAGACAGCAACGGCAGCAGCAGCGGCAGCTTCACGCCGCGCATGGCGCTCACCGTGCGCGACGAGCGCACGGGCAAGACGTACGACGTGCCCATCACCCACAACAGCATCCCCGCCACGGCCTTCTCGCGCATGGTCGCACCGCGCGCCGCCATCTTTGGCCAGGAGGACCGCGAGGAGGACGAGACGGCGGGGTGAGTGTGCCGGCGGACGTGTGCAGCGGTGGGTGGATGGGCCTGGCGCCGAGCGGCCTCTGGCAGGCACAAGCTGGGCGAGGAGCATAGTGGAGGTGCCTGGAGCAGCAGTTGCCGGCGCTGATGTGCAGCGATGCCTGCTCATGCGCGGCCAAAGCCCTCTGCAGCCATTGGCGATATGTGCGCCATTGCTCACGCCGCCCTGCGCAGTGGTCTGCGCGTGAGCGACCCGGCCTTCGGCAACACGGCCGCCGTCACTTCGCGCATCACCTTCATCGACGGCGGCAAGGGCATCCTGCGCTACCGCGGCTACCCGATCGAGGTGCTTGCGGAGAAGTCGAGCTTCCTGGAGAGCGCCTATCTGCTCGTGTACGGCGAGCTGCCCACGGCGCCCAAGCTGGCGGCGTGGGAGGCCGAGGTGATGCACCACACCTTCCTGCACTCCGACATTGAGCGGCTGCTCAGCTCCTTCAACGACAATGCGCACCCCATGTCCGTGCTCGCCTCGTCGTTCGCCGCGCTGGGCGCTCTGGCGCCCGAGGCCAACCCCTCGCTGCAGGGCCAGAACATCTACGCCAACGCCGCCAAGGGCGACAAGGCGGCGCTGCGCCTCATGGACAAGCAGATCTACCGCTGCATCGTGAGCCGCACGAGCACAGCCATGCGGAGTGGGCACCGTGCTGACTCAACGCCTTGATACAGGGCAAGGCGCCGATCCTTGCTGCGGCCGCCTACCGCGTCCGCCAGGGCCGTCCCTTCAACCGCCGTGCGTGCAAGTTGCTGCTGCGCTGCGAGCTTCACTCAGCCTCCTCGTCATGCAGCGCCGTCCGGCCTCAGCTACGCGGGGACGTTCCTCTACTGCCTCGACCAGCTCAACGAGCGCGAGTACAAGGTGAGAGGACGCACGGCCATCGCGACGTGCAGCCGCGCTGATCGCCTCCGCTAGCCCAATCCGATCATCGAGAGGGCCATCGACCGCCTGTGGCTGGTGCACGCTGACCATGGTGAGAAGGCACTGCCCCAAGCCTGATCTGAGCTTGTACTGACTTCGTCATTGCCGCTTGCAGAGAGCGAGTATCCGTGGCCCGCTACTGCCTTGCGTCTGCTAACCTTTCGCTGCAGTGAACGCCTCGACTGCGTCCGTGCTGCAAGTCTCCAGCTCGCTCGTCGACCCCTACAGCGCCGTGGCAGCCGGCGTCGCCTCGCTGTACGGCCCGCTCCACGGCGGAGCCGCCGAGGCAGTGGTGCGTCAGCTGCTGCTGATCGGCAGTCCCGAGAATGTGCCCGAGTACCTCGAGAAGGTGAAGCGCAAGGAGCGCACGCTCTCCGGCTTCGGTCACCGCGTCTACCGCACGACGGACCCGCGTGCTCACATCGTGCGCAAGTGTGCCGATGAGGTGTTCAGCGTCGTGGGCCGCAGCCCTCTGCTCGACACGGCCCTCACGCTGCGCGATGCGGCACTGAAGGACCCCTACTTCATCGAGCGCAAGCTGGCGCCCAACGTCGACTTCTTCTCGGGCGTCATCTACTACGCCATTGGCCTGCGTGAGTCTTGGCGTGCTTCGTGCTACATCCAGCGTGCGGCTCACCACGTCCACTCTGCCCTAGCCCTCGACCTCTTCTGTGTCATGTTCGCCGTGCCGCGCGTCTCCGGGTGGCTCGCGACGTGGAGACAGTCGATGCTGGACCCCAAGAAGCGCATCTGGCGGCCGAAGCAGCTGGTGCGTCTCCTCCAGCAGCGCACGCACATCTCCTCTGGTCGCACCACTCATCACACATGCCCTTGCCGCGCAGTACGTCGGCGAAGGCGAGCGCGAGTACGTGCCCATCGGCGAGCGCACCGAGGCGCGCGACGCGCCCGACAGTGCGTCGCCGTCGGTGGTAGAGCACGGCGGCATCACGCTGCGCTCCAAGCTCGCCAGCTGGGTCGACCACAACGGCCGTCGCCATGGCCCGCGTCTCTGAGCGCTTCCGTTGCTCCCAGGAGTCAGGCTAGAAACGCGCATGCTCTGTCTGGCCTCGAGCCCTGCTTGTGTCTCGCCGGCGCTTCCCTCTGCGCCCTCTCGCGCTGTCTCGATGTGACTTCTCTCGCTCTCGCTCTGACAATGACAATCGCCCTTCACCGTGCAGAGCGCCGGAGCGCAGTAGCCAGGCCGTGCAGTGAGCAGGCCGAGAGGCGGCCGCCACAGCGATGGGCTGGCGCAGGCCTTGCTGGCGAGATGCTGATGGCGAGAGAGCGTGCCCTCCACACCCCGCGACGGCGGCGGAGCGGTGCTGACGTGCCGCGCCGCCGCGCGCGAAGCCAAGGCTGTCGCTGCATGAGATGCTGGGCTGGGCTGGCTGACGAGTCGGCTCCTCGCGGCATGCCGGCCCGCGAACTTGCATGACCGCTCCCTCTCCGCCTGCATCCCGACCCTAGACCCGTCACCGTCCTCTTGCTTGTCCACCTCAGCACTAGCCGCCCGCCGCTCCATCGCCTCGCCGTCGCTCCACCGCCAGTCCCTCGCAGACGTGCGCCACGGCGCCGCCATGTCCTCCTCGCCATCTGCGGGCGCGCTCGACGGGCTGCTGAACCCCGGCAAGAGCAGCGCCGGCAGTGCGACGGTGGCGCCCGCGCCGCAGCTGTCGTCCAGCGGCGGCGCAGCCCTGTCCTTCGGCTCGGCCGCACAGCAGACGCTCGATGCCGACGCTGCGCCGACGGGCGCTCGCGCCGCCCGGCCGGCCTTCACGCCCGGCGCCTCGTCTGTCTTTGGCGTGCCAGGCGGCGCAGAAGCGACGCCGGCCGCCATGGCCAGTCCGTGCTTCGTGCACTCGCACCTCGACTCGGCCGTCGGCGCCGCACGCAAGCAGCAGCAGGCGGCGCAGCACCAGCACACGCCGCCTTCTCCGCGCGGCACACACGCCCAGCATCGTCGCCGCTCGCGCCCTCCGCCCTCGGACAAGGCTGGGCCAGCAGCGGCCGCAGCGGCGGGCTACTTTGGCACGGAGCACGCCGAGCGCTCGCACGTGCCAAAGAGCTCGACGGCTGCCGAGTCTGAGGAGGATGCAGGCTCGCCCTCTTCCTCCGGCACAGAAGACGGCCGGCGGCAGAAGGAGAAGCGCCGTCCGCGCAGCCACCGCCGCGACCCGAGCCATCGCGGCCCGCGCGGCGCTGCGGCACCAGAGAGTGGAGACGAGGAGCATAGCCACAGCAGCGACGAGCAGGGCAGCAGCGACGGCAGCTACACGGTCTCGGGCAGCGGCAGCAGCTACGACGAGGAGGGCGACAGCGAGGATGACCGCGTGCGCAGCTTGACGCGGCAGCTTGCCGAGACGGCCGTGGGCGTGCGGGAGATGAGCAAGCAGCTTGGTGAGTGGTGCAGCGTCGCAGAGCGCCGGAGACGCTGCCATGCGGGACTGGCCAGCTGAGACGTCTTCCTGCAGGCCGCGCTCGCGTCAAGTCTACGATCCAGTCGATCCTGATCATCACCAAGGCGCGCGACAACCACCTCATCACCCTCACGCGCGAGCTCGCCATCTGGCTGATGACGACGCCGCGCAACGGGCGCGATACTGGTCTGGTCGTGTGAGTCGCATGCCTGCGCCTCGCCGGCTGGTGCAGCGCCTGACATCCTGCATCAGCTACGTCGATTCGCAGCTGCGCAACTCGAAGCGCTTCGATGCAGAGGGCATCAAGCGCGACCATCCGCGTCTCTTTGAGCCGGTGCCGCGGCAGCACTCGCGCCGCCCTTCCACGTTCTCAGGCGCCCCGGGCAAGGAGGCCGATGCGGCAGGGCCGAGCTCGAGCAGTAGCAGCGTCGATGGCTCGTGGTCGGGCAGCAGTGGCAAGGAAGAGGGCCAGCTGCGCTACTGGACGAGCGACATGTGCAGTCGCACGCCGCATCTCTTCGACTTTGTCGTCACGGCGAGTCTGCGTCGATGCTCATGCCCTCGTCAGCGCTGACAATTTCGCCTCCGCACAGCTCGGCGGCGACGGCACTGTGCTCTTCTGCTCCTGGCTCTTCCAGCGCATCGTGCCGCCAGTCATGCCCTTCGCTCTCGGCTCGCTCGGCTTCCTGACCAACTTCGACTTTGCGCACTACGCCGACGTGATGCGCTCGGCGCTGGACAATGGCGTGCGCGTGAATCTGCGCATGCGTTTCACTGCGACGGTCTACGTGAGTCTGCACAGTGGTGCGAGCGATGGCGTCGTGCTGACATGCCGCAGCGGGCCACATTGCCATCTTCCACCACGGCGGACCGCAAGCGCAGACGTGCCATCAAGTCTGGCAAGACGGGCGAGATCATCATGCGCTCCATCGCCCAGGGCGGCTGGGACCGCATCGAGGGTCAGATGCCCACCGGTCGAGACTTGCGCGGCCGCTACACCGAGGGCGGCGGCGGGCCTGCCTCCGAAGAAGAGCAGCGCGCTACGACGGCTGAAGCTGCAGAGGCGGAGAGCAAGGACTCGGGCTGTGCGCGCAAGGACAAGGAGGTCATGTGCTTCAGCACTCGACCTGTCGAGACGTTCGAGGTGCTCAACGACCTGGTCGTCGATCGCGGACCGAGCCCGTATGTCAGCCTGCTGGAGGTGTTCGGTGAGTGTCGATAGACGACTCAGGCACCGTGCAACTGCTCACGTCTCCTTGCGCAGGCGACGAACATCACATGACGACTGCCCAGGCGGACGGCCTCTGCATCTCGACTCCGACTGGCTCCACAGCCTACTCGCTCTCAGCCGGCGGATCGCTCGTGCATCCCGAAATTCCTGCCATCCTCATCAGCCCGATCTGCCCGCACACGCTCTCCTTCCGGCCAATGCTCTTGCCCGACAGCATGGAGCTGCGCATTGCCGTGCCCTACAACTCGCGCAGCACGGCATGGGCCAGCTTCGATGGCAGAGGCAGAGTGGAGCTGAAGCGTGAGTAGCCGCGGGCGCGCAACGCTCTCACACTCCCGCTGACAGACTGCTCGTGTCTCAGAGGGCGACCACATCAAGGTCACGGCCTCGCGATACCCCTTCCCGACGATCTGCGCCGAGAACCAGTCCGTCGACTGGTTCGAGTCCATCTCGCGCACGCTCAAGTGGAACGAGCGGCAGCGGCAGAAGTCGTTTGTCGTCGTGGAAGAGGCGCGCGACGAAGGCTCGCCGAGCCGCGACGGCGAGTCTCGGCCCGGCACGAAGAAGGACGAGAAGCGCAGTTCGGCGGACAAGCCTGGAGCAGAAGAGCAAGCGCAGTCCTCGAAGAAGCCGGCGCCCTCGCCGTGTGTGGAGCTTGACGACGAGGACGATGACGACGAAGACGACGCCACCGAGTCCGAGGCGTTTGACATCGACGACACGAGCAACACGGCGACGCGCACCAACAGTCCCGACCCCGACCCGCCGGGCTCTGCGCCGCCAAACGGCCTGCACTCGCGGCGGCACTCTGTGCGGCGCCCCGTCTCTGGCGAGAAGCGGCCGCGGCACCATCACTCCTCCTCCGGACTCTCGTCGCGCTCCCACCACCACAGCTCTGCGCCCGCGAGCCACCAGGCCTCGCACGAGAATCTGGCGGCACGCGCAGGCCTGGCGCCCTTGACCAAGGCCTCGCGCTCTGCGAATGGCAGCGACGATGGCAAGAAGTCGTCGCCGGGCAGCGAGGAGTCGAGCCAGCAGGCCTCCTACCAGCACGGCGTCATTCAGCCCAAGCGCGGACACTCGCTGCTCGACAGTCCGGATCGCTTTGGCCTGGCCGGCCCGCCGCAGCCGCCGCGCGCCATCAGCGAGCGCCACCTGGCGCACGCCGACTTCCGCCTCGACGACCCGCAGCCGCCTCGCGGCGAGGAGAGTGCGGCCGATGAAGCGTCGCGCCGCACGTCTCACGCATCGCTCGACGACGGCGCCACAGCTGCCGCGGCCAAGCTGCAGGCCGACACGGACGACATGGCCAGCACGCCGGGCAACGAGAAGCTCAGTCGTGCGGCGGCCGTGCTGCGCGGCGCCACCGAGGCGCTGCATCCTTCTGCCAAGAGTCCGCCGCAGAGCAGCGTTGAGCCGGAGCTGGCGGCGGCGGCGGCGGCCAGCGGCAGCGGCAGCTCGAGACGCAGGACAGGACACCGCGAGTCGCGATCGCGCCGTGCCTCGCGCGACGAAGTCACGCCGAAGCCGCACCGCTCGCAGCCTGCAGGCTCGGGCGGCGGCGGCGGCGGCGGCGGCGGCGGCGGCGGCGGCGGCGGCACAGCGCTCATCGTGCGCGGCCTCGACGAGTCGGACAGCGAGATTGAGGGAGAGTACTAGTCTGCCTTCTCTCCGCTCTAGGCTTGCGCAATCCAGACCATGCCCGCCCCCCGGCTCACTGTGTGATGGGGGCACGCTTTGCATCGCACAGTGTCTAGGCAATGGCGGGTGCGTCTTTTTGGATTCTCACGGCTTCGGCCCCGCGCCCTCCTCGACGGCCAACCGCGCGACGCCCTCGGCGAGCGCATCGCCCTCCATCTGTGCCGCCGCGTCGGAGCCGTCGTGCTCGGGGCCCGTGCCGCCCTCGGACTTGGGCACGAGATGTGCCAGCTTTGGGTTGCGCGGGTTGACTGGGGCGCAGGAGGGGATTAGGGGGATGAGCATGTCTTTCGCAAGCGCGCACAC